ACCATATCAGCTCGGTGTTGACTGATCCCATGCTTCGTCTACCATGTGGTGTCGTACTCAGTTTTTTCTTCATGGAAGGAGCTGGAGCCTTTGCTCCTCTTCGAACAATATCCGTCCAGGCAACCTGGGAGAAGCTAGAGAGAGCTACAGACATTCTAGAGTGCTTAGTCTCTAAGATTGTCTGTCTCGTAACGGTTGAGATTAGGTTTGAGTGGTTTCTTTGAAGCTGTATAGACTTTTATTGGTTTTCGGCTTTCAGACTCAAAAAAGTGATGAATAGCGGAAGAACCCGGAAGAACCCAGCGTGCTCATGGAAGAAAGCTTTTGCCCAATCGCCGGAGGGCAAAGTGTTCGCCATTTTGAAGGCTAGCATTTATGAAATGTTTAATTCCATTTATAGTAATTATGCTAATATATAACATAATATAACATATAATATTTATTTTTACATAATATAATATATAACATACATTTGCACGTATTTACATTATAAATTGCCATAATAAAATATTAAATTTTATAAACGTAATTTTTAAAATGGCATTATAAAATATAAATATTGTAATAACAAAATAATAATAAGTTAAATTGCAAAGTAATAATTAAATTTTGAAACTACATTTGGAATTAAAATTTAGGTGTCCAAAATTACCTCACCGGCTTCTCGAGTTTAGCCGCTTTTTTTTTTTTTAGCGAAGGCACACATTAAAAAAAAAAAAAAAAGAAAGGCACACACAAGAAAGTCGTAAGGAACGTGACAGGTGGGAGTTCTACCGCTATAGAATGGAAGACAACATCGGATTTGCTGGTTTACCCGAACTCGCGGGAATGATCTACATTGAGAAAATGGATACATATATTCCAGCCACGTACCAATAGGCTCCAAAATTTTATTTGTACTGTCAATTAGCCGACTACGAGAGGAAGGAATATTTGAACTACAAATTATACTATGTTATTGTTGCCAAGGTTATGGCCATATCAGTAAGCACTGTAAAAACAGCAAAAATCGCAACAGAATTCCATTTTTGCGACAAAGTTTCTGACATAAATACAGAAGACCCAAATAAACTCACTGGAAGATGTCGAAGATGATACATCATCAAGATACTGAAAAAAGCGAAGTCGAAAATGTAGAAATATCCCTCAATGAATTTAGAAGAAAGTGACTAAAATGCAAGAAGAAAATGATCATAATGATAACGAAGCCGCTGAAAACCAGTAATTTGGTGCTAATCAGGACCGTAATTGGGAAACACTGATGCAGACAGTTCAGGGAGACTTAAAAAAAGCGTCGAAGACGACTGAAGGCACATAAAGCGTCGGCGGGTACAAACGGAACCTTTTAAAGCAAAGAATCTCCAGGACGACAGCAACGACTAAGAAGGACTCCAGCACAACGCTACCACTCGAACCATCACCATCATCATCATCCAAGAAGCCAAAACCAATGCAGGCTAACTTTCCTTCTTTTTCAACACCGATACCATCGCTACCCAAGAAGCTAATACAAACGCCGACAGAATTAACTTTCTCACTCATATTGTCTGTGGTCAATATACAGGCTCAATACCTAACCCTACATTGGGTGTTTATGGTGAATGCACTTACATCAAAAGGAGGCCAACTTTGCATCTATCCTATTGAGATCGATATTTCGCGCTTACACGGAACAAGTCAATTTGGTAGTGCTACCTCTTCTTCCAGATAGGTTTATGAGAGCACTTTAGCAAAATGCCTCAAATGGTACACATATGCAAGTTACTGTCCAAACTACCGCAGCTGAAAATTGATGATGGGTGGCCTAGCCATTTTCTGATACAGTTTCCAGCAACTCTTGTGATATACCGTCCTTTGTCAATGCAACTTAAATTGAACATAAGTCAGTGTTATATGACCGATGACTTCTCCGTCTGGTCACAGGATACCATTAGGAGAAGACGCAGGAGCCCCGCTTGGGATAGAAGGACAAACTGGGTACTAAATGAGCTGGAAAACAACAGGTTACAGATCATACCAGCTGCCCAACAGAGATATATATGGAACCCGCAATGCATACAACGCCCATTCGAATGTCACGCCGTAGATGACATCCCGAAGCTCGACCACTGGCTGATGCAGAACAAAGCGTACCAGTCCATCAGTATGTCTGCCTGGACAACAAGTAACATTCGGAACTACTGGAGAGATCAGGATTCCAAACCACTGCTAATGCCCCCTATGCGCTTGTCAAGTAGAGGTACGAAATTATTCCAAGTCTGGATGGACCATGTGCTGGAAGCTGCCGATACTACACGAAGCAAGATAACCTTGTTGGAGGTTACTCCATGACAAATTGTTGCATCGAAAAAGGTTATATACAATGGATCCCTTGAAATATCCTTCATCAACATGCCTGATTTGCAAGAAGGAAGATGAAGATGAATACAACTTTGTCGTCGATTGCCAAGTGAAATGGGAAGCATGGCAAAAAGGGTTGGACTTAGTCCAGTACCCCTCATCGAACATGAAGCCACTGGATGTCTGGCAAATATTATTACTTCAGGTTAGTACAACAGTTAGCACAGGGAAGCGTCACCCTTTAGTTAGCATGAGCTCTTTATGGGCAGCCATATGGAAAAGCCATTGGTTTTGCACAATGGAGCAACAACCATGGTCTTTGCAGATGTGCTTACAAACCATTAGATCCAAAGATTTTTTGTCAAAAACATACTGAAAGACTCTCATAACGTTTCGACAGTATATTTTGTTCCCTAAGTACCAATAAATTCCTTGACTACAAAAAAAAAAAAAAAAAACCACAAATGGAACATCGATCTTAATCCTTTTCCCCTACATACAACCGTATAACCAGCTTAACTGGCTTAACAAAACAAAAACAACAGTACCACATCCTCAAATCCAAAAATGAACCCTTCTTGTAAGAGTGTATGCCCACATTATATTTTGGCATGTCGCCAAGTACTTATAGTGTCAATAAAAATCAGTTTGCTTTATAAGAAAAACGGATCCCTCCTAGCTGCGGTCATCATCAAAAGGGTACTGTGCCCAAATACCGTGTTGTTTTAGATGCAGACAGTAGATTATAAGGGAAACTGGAAGCTGCATCAAAGTATGGGTAGGCGACGTCTCATCAATTTTCAACCGAAGCAGTACGGGTGACAGTTTGTCAATGCGCATCGTTTACGGTATCTTGCGTAAATGCTCACTTTCAGACGCTTTTCAGCGTTTTCAGTCGATTATGTGAACAAATGATTGATTCTTTTATGAAACTACCCTTTTCCGTATGCCGTCCTGAAGTCCAACACATAAGTTGACGAGAATTACTGTAACCGCATGAACCAAAATACCCCATGATAAACACTACTCCATGACAAGTTAAATTTAGTTGCAAAAGTTATTAGATAAGTGAATGAACTGCTTGAAGATGACTAGGTTTGGGATGGTGATTATTTCACTCTGAAAATTTTGGCACCGGGAGTTGATAGGCTGAGGATAAAACGAAGACAGCGAAGGAAATAGTTTCTGGCTTAAGGCTCATTGCAATACATCAGTTCAAATTAGAAAACCGCCACAGATTATGTGCATATGGGCCATTGGAGCAATGCAACCAAGTAATGCCAATAGTAATAAGATAGATGCAGCATCTTGAATGGCTTTAATGGTTGTTTTCGCGGTATAGACTATCCTAAGAAACTATGCAAACTTGCTCTCTGATCTGTTTGACCGAATGCTGATATCAACAACTCAATTGTATCAAATTTTTTGTCATTGAAACGATTATACATTCACGTTTACAAGTCAATTCTTTTCGATGTACATCCAAGACCATTTTTTTTTCTTCGTTATTTTTTTTGCATGTCATGCAAAAAGGCGCGTTAGAGTCATGCGCTGACATTTATATTCCATTAAGCTTTGCACTGATAATCTGTGTCGCTATTGATATGTCGAGATTGGTATATCTCCTTCTTATCTGTTTGGAAAGCCATCTAAGCATACAGATGTTTGATTAATTTTTAAGAGTGCTTTCTTACTTGTACCATATTCAATTTTTCTTTGGCAAACAAATACTATTTCAGCACATTTGTTGAAGATGAGGTTGACTTGATACCAAATCTTGGCTTACAGAGGGGACTGAAATTTATTGAACTTCAAGCACAGCAAGGGTTTCCAGCTTGCACCTTTCATTACAGGTACCATATTTAATATCCTGTATCCATACTAATAATGGTGCTGATCCTTGATGGCGCTAGTCCTAGCTATACGTTGGAGCTCTCAAAAGATGGACAATTGAATGTATTCCATAATGCAAACGCTATGTCCTTCCAGAAAATGAGCGTTTCAAAATCGATATAAACTAAAGGATAATGTATTCCAAGGATTTGGATACCAGCAGCTTCATAATTAAAGTTGGCATCGAAGTACATGACAGTTTACTTATCGGCTACAGAAGGGTCAGATACGTCTTTACTCTGCAGGCAAGTGCTACGATGGTACCTTGTGAAATTTACATTTAGAAATAAAAACTGCGTGTAGCAGTAAGGATAGTTTAACTTAATATTGAAGAAGGTGCTTATCGCGCATTAGTAGTCGTTGGTTTCATCAACACTGTTAGCCATCAAGCATTTACAGGTTTATGATATGTACTGCTTCCATTCGTGAAGCTCCAGCATTTATCACAGCGTCAGCGGACCAATAAAATGATTGGCTAATAGGTCATCCCCAGCGGAACCTTAGCCGAGGCACGAGAAGCAAAGGGCGCAGAATGTCTTTAGTGCTGATCGATTCCATTCTCAACGTACAAAACGTTTAGAATGGAAGTAAATATCCTTTCTCAAGCCGATGAGGTGGACCTGAAACTAACCTCGCAACCTGAGAAGTCTCAAGATCAACCGTCATCAGAGACCAGTGTAGTCCAGTCTCGGATCGCAGAATTGCTGGCCATTTTGCCTCCCGAAAAACGACTGGCCGACATTATTTCAAGTCATCAGCAGCAGCCACATGAAGAAACGCTCAGTCAGGTACAACAAGCATGTCATACAATGTCGCAATGGTTAGATGCTGCGAACCTGGTGCTTTATGCCTTGGAACAAAATATATCCGGCGACTTGGAGACGACTGCTTTGCGCCCACTCGATGAAGCCGTTGAAAGTATGCAGAGTTGCGTCTCATACCTACAAGATATTTTGGAGAAAATAGATGAAATGATCGCTTTGGAACAGGAAGAAAATGTGGATCTACGGCAGAAAGTCAACGTCGTGAAACTCTCGATCACAAAGCTTCAGTCTGAATGGTCTGCATTCAAACACTACTTTACTTCTGTGAATAAACAGTTTCGGGGACTTAGGGAAAGAAGGCAGCTATTGGAAACTATGAACGACATACTAGTTCAAATCGACGAACTTTCGACCGTCATATTCGAGTTTCAGGAACGGAGACACGCAGCTGCCGCCGCTGCGACACGAGCTCCCAAAGGCAACAGCGAATCAAATGATAAAGCAGAATTATCGCAAAATGATAAGAACAGGGATGACTTGACCCTTATGCATATTGACTCGCGTGTGGAGCCATTGTTCGCAAAAGTCGATTCCATATACACTCAGCTTGTATCTCCAAGCCCCCCCTACGATCCTGAGGGTATACTGGTCAAAAAACATTTGGTTGTGCAGCAGCAATGGGAAAACCTTCGAATTGAAATAGATGAACTCAAGGATGAGCTCAAAGAAGATAGATGGCTATCGGTGTTCCGACAAGTAGCTAATCAAGTGGATGTCATGATCGACGGCCTTGACAGGGTAGTTTCACATTGTCAACAGGTTGTCAGTATGTTCAGAGATTGGAAATCGTCGGATGTTGCTACTAAGCAGACTTCTACGTCAGGAAACCATCCGTCTTCAGCCTTTGGTTCCTTTGAAAGACTGACGAAAAGTCTTCTTCGAGCATACCCAAAATCGCATCACTCTTCCACTTCTGCATCATCTGTAGCATCCAATTCATCCAACACATCGTCCTCTTCGATGCATCAATCTGGGCCACCCTTGGACCGAGAGAAATTTAGGTCATTGGCAAAAGGCTTTGAAGCGAAGTACAAGTATTATACTCCTGCTATTGACCGAATGATCGGCATGCTTGGCACCGGCATTTCACAGCGAGTTACCCATGATACCCAAGCCAAAACTCGACATAATGCCATTAAAGAACGATGGGAGAACTTGAGATCTGTTATGGACGATTTGCGAGCAAATCAGCTTCCAGAGATTGAAAGAACTTTATCTGACCGGCCACAAAGTCCAGCGTGGTCAGGAACGAGCGAAGATAGTCATACAACAGATCGCAGTGAGAGATCACACAGTCATTGGAAAGGAATAAGGTGCGTAACTTGAAAAACATATGATCTACTACGATTTTTTTTTTCTGTTGGCCTTGTTTATTGGTTGCGATATCATTTTGTAATGATTTTAACTTTATTTACTTTTTGCAGAAGGCTCAACTCACCTTCACCTGTGTCTAAGCGCCCTGAGGAGACTGTAAGAGGAAGGAGCTTTAGCCCAACTAATATAAATTTGCGACCGATAAAGAAAAATCAAAGAGCCAGTCCTAGCCCTGTATTGAACGGCGGTCGACCACCGTTATCACAAACAAATAGATCTACTGACGGTCAGCTGTCTGTTAGCCGCCTGCGGAAGACGCACACTCCAGGAACTAGTCAGAATAAGCCTGGTTGGAATGCGAGTACGAAGGAAGATAGCAAGCAATATATATATGAGCCTTTGTGGAAAAGTGAATATCGACAGTTGGGCGATTTAGATGACAAGGAAGATGAAGAGCTTATGCGACGTGGGCGAACAAAAAGTCCAACACGACTTGGCGGACGTCCAGATGAAAATGACGAGAATGGTGCATCCTGGATGAAGCCAACAAAGAGTACGATTATGCGACGGCGCGCTCAAAGCATGGACCGTGCATTAAGTAGGCAGGCGGAAAATAGACCCAAAACACCAACATCTCGACCCAAAACGCCGAACCCACCAAACAATCGCTCTCATACCCCAACTAAAACTGCTCAACCGCCTTCGAGACAATTTCTATCGCCTTACACTTTCCATGAGCCTATACCTTATCCTGACCGCGACCGCGCAGTTTCACCTTCGTCTCGTCGATCTGAAACGCCATCTCTTATACCTCGTCCTAAGACACCCACTTCGCGACCAACGTCTCCTATGGCTAGTGAGTTAGTTCGACCAGGTAGCCGGCCAAAAACACCGTCGTCTCCCAGTCTTATTCCACGAGCAAGGTCTGCGCTTGGCCATAGCTCACCACCTGTTCCTCCTTTGCCTAAAAGTGTTCAAAGCGAGGAGTGGCTTCCAGTACAGTCTTACGGCTCTTTATTAAACATCACATCTCCGTCTATACCACAGCTATCCAAAAAGTCATCCACACCTGTTTTGAACCAGCGCAGCGCTTACCACCACCGGGCATTCACTCCCAATACCAACGAGATGCAAATTAACATTGATGAGATACCGCACTATGTAGCGGACCCAAAAGACCCCCTGGATGTTGAAGTAGGCAAAATCCTTAATGCCAGTCCTATTGCTATTAAATGTCAGCGAAGCCCACAAGGTGGAGGCAGATACTATTTTGGGAATGATCTAAGTCCCAGCCTAGGGGGAGGCAAGAAAATGTATCTCTGCAGATTGATGAACTACGCGGAAAAGAGTAACATTGACCCATCGCTGCTATCAAGTCGAACAAGAACAAAGCCTACCGCAAGTAGAAACAAGGTTTTGGTGCGCGTTGGAGGAGGGTGGCAGGATCTTGAAATTTTTTTATTGGAACATGCTAGTTTGATGGTCAGCGACGTTGTCGTTCGTTCTTTTACTTCATAATCGTTTTTTAAATTCCAGAGGTTCGTTATCTCAAACCAATAAACAATGCGAATGCAATGCGGTGGTTTATCCTCCACAATGACGTCAGCTGATAACAAGTAGATGAATCCCAGAAATCTCGTTGGGGCCGCTGTGAGTCAGCATTAAAGCAGCTTGACAAGACAGATCGGAGAACGAACAATCATTGGCAGGGTCTGTATTTTCAAGCTCCGTAATCTCCCTATTCCATCTATCTGGTGGCCATGTTCCCCGTCACAGTCTCAATTTTTTCACGCTTCGCCGTTTTTCCATTTGCTTTTGTTCTTTTAACCCTTTACTCCCATTTTTCGGTAAGTGTTGTTTCTGAAGTCCTTATCAGAGAGAGAGCCTTTTCAAGCTTAACATCCCTTATCCTATACCTATTGTACAGTAAGTCGTATGCCCAACACTCGCGAACACTCAGTCGAGACTATTCGAAGAAACAGCGAGGTCATGGGCCACCTGAGGAAACTCATGGTGGTCAACCGTGGTGTAAGTTATTAACAAAATGGAAGCATAGAGACTCAGTGATATTGATATTGCTCGTTGCAGGAAATTGCTATTCGAGTCTTCAGAACTGCCCACGAACTGTCTATGAGAACTGTTGCCATTTATTCCAATGAAGATCGTCTCTCCATGCATCGTTACAAGGTATGTTTGCATTTTTAGTTGGGGCGTGTCAAATGTAAAGGATGGGGGCGGTGCCTTGTTTGTGTTGTTGGTGAGGTATGGGGTCTAGTGATGATGCATCTTAGCCAACAACCAAAGTTTGTGATGTCGGTCTTTGAAATCCGTTGATCTGATTTTGATAAACACCTTCTTTTTTTTTTGTTGGGTGATATCCATCTACTTGTTTAGGCGGACGAATCCTATCAAATCGGTGAACTCGGACAATTTACCCCAGTTGGCGCTTATCTTGCTCAAGATGAAATCGTCAGAATTGCCAAGGAGAAAGGTGTCTCCATGATTCACCCTGGCTATGGTTTCTTATCTGAGAACTCTGAATTCGCTCGCAAAGTCGAAGCTGCTGGTATAACGTTCATCGGACCTTCATATGATGTTATTGAAAAGCTTGGTGACAAGACTAAGGCAAGAACTATTGGTATGATAATCACGTTCACACTCCATGGCAATTTCCGTAACTCAACCCGACCACTAACATCTGTTTCCCACGATTTTCTTAGCTATCGAGGCAGGTGTTCCGGTCGTCCCTGGTACCCCCGGTCCTGTTAGTGAGTTCACAGAAGCTAGAGAGTTCATCAAGGAACATGGGTTTCCCATCATCATCAAGGCTGCCATGGGTGGTGGTGGTCGTGGTATGCGTGTTGTTCGTGATGAAGCCTCTCTTGAGGATTCATTCGCTCGTGCAAAGTCGGAAGCTCTTTCCGCTTTTGGCGACGGTACTGTATTCATCGAACGCTTCGTTGACAAGCCTAGACATATTGAAGTCCAACTTCTTGCTGATCGTGCTGGTAACGTCGTTCACTTGTTCGAACGCGATTGCTCAGTTCAACGTCGCCATCAAAAGGTTGTTGAAATTGCCCCTGCAAAGAATCTCGATCAAAAGGTTCGTGAGGCCATTTTGAACGATGCCATCAAGATTGCCAAGCAAGTCAAGTACAAGAACGCTGGTACCGCTGAGTTCTTGGTCGACAGCCAAGGTCGTCACTATTTCATCGAAATCAACCCACGTATCCAAGTTGAACACACTATTACCGAAGAAATTACCGGTATTGACATTGTCGCAGCCCAAATCCAAATCGCTGCGGGTGCATTACTCCCACAGTTGGGTCTTACTCAGCAACGCATCCACCAACGTGGCTTCGCTATCCAATGCCGTGTTACAACGGAAGATCCTGAAAAGAATTTCCAACCTGATACTGGTAAAATCGAAGTCTACCGCTCATCTGGTGGTAACGGCGTCCGTTTGGATGGTGGTGCTGGTTATGCTGGATCAATGATTCTTCCCTTCTATGACTCTCTGCTCGTCAAGTGTACTTGCTCTGGTTCTACTTATGAAGTTGCTCGCCGTAAGATTGTCCGTGCTTTGGTTGAATTCCGTATTCGCGGTGTCAAGACCAACATTCCATTCTTGCAACGTCTTTTGACTCACGACACCTTCGTCACCGGTAACTGTTGGACTACGTTCATTGATGATACTCCCGATCTTTTCAACTTGGTCCAATCTCAAAACCGTGCTCAGCGTATGCTTGGTTACCTTGGAGAAGTTGTCGTCAATGGTTCTTCCATCAAGGGTCAAGTTGGCGAACCTAGCTACAAGCATGAAATTGATTTGCCTTCCATCAAGAATGCCTCTGGTAAGGTTATCGACGCCTCCGTAAAGCCTACTCAAGGATGGCGTAAGATTATTGTCGAGCAAGGTCCTGAAGCTTTTGCCAAGGCTGTTCGTGCTTATCCTGGTTGTTTGATTATGGACACCACTATGCGTGATGCTCATCAATCTCTTCTCGCTACCAGAGTCCGTACCATTGGTAAGTCATGAATTTTTTTTTATTTTTTTTTCCTTATCGAAATTTGCGTGGACAACCTTGGACTCACTTAATTTATCATTTCACATAAGATCTCTTGAGAATTGCTCCCATTACAGCGCATGCTCTTCAAAACGCTTTCTCTCTAGAATGCTGGGGAGGTGCCACCTTCGATGTTGCCATGCGCTTCTTGTATGAGGATCCTTGGGACCGTTTGATGCAGCTCCGTGAGGCTATTCCCAACATTCCTTTCCAAATGTTGCTCCGTGGTGCCAACGCTGTTGGTTATACTTCCTACCCTGACAACGTCATTTATGATTTCTGTGACAAGGCTGTCAAGAGCGGTATGGATATTTTCCGTATCTTCGATTCTCTCAATTATGTTGAAAACATGAAGCTCGGTATCGATGCCGTCAAGAAGGCTGGTGGTGTTGTTGAAGCTACTATCTGCTACACAGGTGATGTCTCTGACCCATCCAAGCAAAAGCACAATCTCGAATACTATGTCAACTTGACTCAAGAGCTCGTCAATGAAGGTATTCATATTCTTGGTATTAAGGATATGGCTGGTCTTCTCAAGCCAGAAGCCGCCACCTTGCTTATCGGAACTATCCGCCAAAAGTTCCCCGATTTGCCCATTCACGTTCACACACACGATACCGCTGGTACTGGTGTCGCTTCTATGATGGCTGCTGCCGCTGCTGGTGCTGACGTTGTTGACGTCGCCATTGATTCCATGTCTGGTATGACTTCGCAACCCTCTATGGGTGCTTTGGTTGCCGCTCTTGAGCGCACCGAACTTGGCACTGGTATCCGTATGGAGGATATCCAGGCTCTTAACTCCTACTGGGAACAATGCCGTATGCTGTACTCCTGCTTCGAGGCAAACGTCAAGTCTGCCGATTCTGGCGTCTACGAGCACGAAATGCCTGGCGGTCAATACACTAACCTTATGTTCCAAGCCCAACAATTGGGTCTCGGTACTCAATGGAGAGAAATTAAGAAGGCTTACATTGAGGCTAACCAACTTTGCGGTGATATCGTTAAAGTTACTCCCTCATCCAAGGTCGTTGGTGACTTTGCTCAGTTCATGGTCTCCAACAATCTCACAAAGGAGGAAGTCATTGAAAAGGCTGGCTCTTTGTCTTTCCCTACTTCCGTCGTGGAATTCTTCCAAGGTTACCTTGGTCAACCTTATGGTGGTTTCCCCGAACCTCTCCGAAGTAAGATTATTCGCGACTTGGAGCGTCTCGATGGTCGTCCTGGTGCCACTTTGGCTCCTTTGGATATGGCTAAGCTCAAGGCTGAACTTGTTGAAAAGTATGGAAAGGGTATCCGTGATGTCGATGTCTCCTCCGCCGCTATCTACCCCAAGGTGTTCCATGAATACCGAGAGATGTTGGAGAAGTACGGTGATCTCTCTGTTATACCCACCCGCTTCTTCCTTAGCAAGCCCAAGATTGGTGAAGAATTCAACGTTCATATTGAGGAGGGTAAGATGTTGATTATCAAGCTTCTCGCTGTTGGTCCCATCAATGGTACTGGCAAGCGTGACGTCTTCTTTGAATTGAACGGTGAGGCTCGTGTCGTTGGTATCGAGGACAAGAGTGCAGCTGTTGATCACATCACTCGCGAGAAGGCCAAGCCTGGTGTCGCTGGTGAAGTTGGCAGCCCTATGAGTGGTGTTGTCATTGAGGTTCGGGCAAAGGCTGGTGCTCATATCAAGGAAGGCGATCCGGTCTGCGTTCTCTCCGCCATGAAAATGGAGACCATTGTTTCCAGCCCTGCATCTGGTATTGTTGAGTACATTCCTATCGAGGAAGGAGATTCCATCATGTCTGGAGATTTGGTGGCTCGCATTGTCAAGGACCCAGAAGCCAAGCAAGAGTAGAAGAATCACAATAGATGATAATGGCTATTGTTAGTAGTTGTTTGCGTAGTCTGTTAGTCAGTCATACCTCCATTTTTTGCCATACACGCCTAACTCAGCAGTAAAAAAAAGATAAAGTTTTTTGTTTTCCAATCCTTGACAATTCCATTTTCTTTTGATCGTAGGTCCTTTCAACAAGGAATGGAATGAAATAGTAAGTTGGGCTCTTTACCGGCCTTGCTTGAATAGGCCACACTCGACCGATATCCAGGTTACAATAACAGAAACAATCATGACAAATTTTCAAGCGCTCTCGTCTGTAACTCCGTACTGAGCCACAAGCAGACAACTGCCGCTCAGCTTGAATTGCTGACTTCTCCATTCTTACGATGTTTTCCAAAGCGTCAACATCGTCTTGGAAGAATGAGGCCTCGACATTAGAGTTGTCCAATCAATATACCGAGAGTAGTAGACAAGCCGAAAAGTCTACTTTTCGGTCTGCGAACAGCCTTGCCCAACCTAGCCCAGTCGTGAATAGCGAATGGTCCGACTTCAATTCCAACCTTCAAGGCAGCGTCCCATTCACACCTGAACTGTCACAGTATAGCATAAGGGAAACCCTTTTCAATGAATTAACGAACCCTGATGACTCAATCCAAATACATGAGCTACTTCAGTCCCGAGAATATACTGATGCCGTCTACTCCCCCAGTCCATCACAGCCGTATATTCCAAATGCACCTATCCCTTCCCAGCAATCCAACCTCTACCTTGCCAATTTAATAGAAGCAGAGGATATTGAAAAGTACCTGTCGCAAACAACATATACAGACGACGTATACTCTCTCCCCGTATTCTTTCAGCAGCTGATTCGGGAAGCGAAGGAAGAGATTGCTGAGAATAAATCAAATTCCGATGAGACTGAGCATGTGCAAACAGCTCTCAGCAGGCTGCGAATGGTTCGAGATCATATATTATCGCGAAATGATGGGGATGTCAGGAAAGCCTCCACATTGCAAAATTTGAATGTCGATGACCTGGAGAGTTTCTGGAATTATCGGTAGATTATGCCAGAATCTTCCTCCATGCTTATAGCATAGATATCTGTACATGAGCGTACAGTTAGGCTCCTTTGCGACATATCTACTGTTCGTTTTTTGTATCCGTAGCTTAATTATTGTTTCTGTTGTACAAAGCTGATTTGCTAATAAATGTATATTCATCTGGCATTTTCTATTTTACATCCCATACTTCACCTGCAATTTGGACCTTATGGTATCAATCGTAATTAAGAAGCGTAATATGCAGGTTCATTAGCAGAGAAAGACGAATTGTTGAAAAAATTACGATAGAAAAACTACTGAACGTTGTTGAGTTAATTCATGGAGCGAATGTATTTTCACACTCACGAGCATCATGACATTATTTTCAATTCATTCGTATTTTCACTAGTTAGCTTAATAACTATAACATTGTCAAATCAGAGGTTCAAATGCAAAGCAACAAGGCACATTGAAATACCCACACTCAATGCTTTTTGTTTCTTTTGGTTTTGAATTCTATCATACAGTAAGTGCCGGCTCAACAGCTATGCTGTCTATAAATTTAGAGAAGAAGAACCGTTGTTAGTATTAGTTGTCCATTGTTGGCCCATTATAGCTGAAATAAGAACGATGTGTAGTGTAAATTGCTCCTTTACATATAAAAAATGCTACCTGTTGACATGAAGTTGGTTTGTCATCAGTAACAGTATAGCAACTTTGGTCTAAGAGCCGCATTTTAGAATAACATGACGTTTCGATGCAGAAATGCATAAACGCTGTTACCCCACAGTCAAGAGCCAAATTGTCTACTTTGCTTGAAGTGACCTCGATTTTTTGTACAAATTAACTACGGAATAAAGTCATTGATTATAAGTATCTTAACAAAGGGTTCAGTAATGACAATTATTCATAGTAGGCGAACTAGTTTCGCTTTATAAGCTTGCTACCTCTAAGTGCGATATGATGCTTAGAAGTATCTGGTAATAGCTTGTGATTGATTCTAATATGAACCGAGACTGCAGTTGGCATATCAACCAAAGATCGGCAAGATATACCAAAAGTTGGGACAACGTGTTGTTGAAAACGATTTTCATTGTCCAACTCTTTTGTCTTCCTTCTTTCTTTACGCTCGATCATCTGCACATTACCGTCACCGTCTACTGTCAGATTTTGACAGCTCGTTCAGGATCTACACTGCAGATCAGATCCAAAATTGCTAACTAAGTAAAGGTGATTGATACTGCTCTCGCTCTGTATGACTAAGGATTATTGGCTTACTTAGAACATTATGTAGTATTTGGCAGGTCCAACTAGGAGAAAAAGAGAAGCAACCGTACGATCAATCATAATTTTAGAATCTAATACGACTTACATAATGTTCATATCACGAGCCACGTCTACAAGCGTATTCAGGAGCGGCGTGTCAACCGCAATGGAGCCACTAATAACAGCAGAGTCCCCATCCATCATTCGGTCTGCTTTAGCGGCTACAGCCGCTGTAACACCTACTGCAAACACCACTGATAATATAGTTGAGCAGCATGGGCCGCTTCACAATAACTCAATCTATATATGCCTCCCTATCTTCTGTGCGGTTGTAGCCAGTCTGTACATTTCAGTATGGGTTTGGAGTTGTCATCGATCGTGGCATCGAGAACACAGAGAAGCCAAGAAGCGTTTAGATCACTGGCGAAACCATATGCTTCTAACAAGAGTAAGCACACGGTTGAGTAAGCATCTCCATGAAATCAAGTGGCCATCCCAACATGCGCTCCCAAAGTGGCGAAAGGAACGGCCGGATTCTACCTATGGTGTTCGGCGAGACACATACATGAAGGAGGATGGCAAAGCTGACTACTCACTGTATGGTGGAGATACCATATCTGTCGAGTTGCCGTCTTCATCTACTTTTAACCACATTCCATTTTCCCCTTTACGGCATCACAAGTCACTCAATGCCAAAACGCACCGTTCTCCCAAAAGTTCGCATAGACGAGCTTGGAGATCTCATGATTTACGCAACTTCAATCCTGTAACCTTCCGCATTCCAACCGAACATAGCTGGATAGCTTCATCTACCTCTTCTATTTCAGTTGCTGGCACAGCCTGTTCCGGTACAACAACCATTTTCGAGCGAGCAGGTAGCGACACGAATAGCATACAATACCCAAATGAAAAAGTATAGAATTTCGCTGTGTCCTCTTAAACCAGAATTACAATTGTAATAGCTGCATGCAAATTGACGTCCGCTAAAGAAAAATAAAGTATACATTTTGCAAATAGTTTGATCGTCAACGTTCAACATTCAGTGTCTGGCAAATTATGCATAGGTACAAGGCTAGGCAACTAAAGAAAACAAATTGGTTGTAGGTGGATGTATATTATGAAACAAGTTTAAACCCTATCATACTTCCATACATCAAATGAAGAGAAAGCTTCTAGTCATTTTTGCATGGACTAAGATGTGGAAGGCAACGGCTGTAGATATTCTTGGAAATCCGACAATGGCCGATTACTCCTTTCATTTAAGGGGTCAACTACTTGTCCGTAAAGCAATTCATGATACTGCTTGTATCTTTGCTTGTGAATCTCTAGATCTTCATGAACCTCCACCACTCTGCCAGTAGCCCGTAGTAATGAATCATGTTGCAGTCGCATGGTGTCCGTAACATCTATACAGGGGTCGTGTGCTGTTATGAGTACCATGGCTCACAACGGACAAGGTGTACAGTAATCAATTCTCATACCTTTGGGTCCAACGTTCTTATGTCTTGACATTGATGTTATGGTAGCCTCAATATCCTATAGGCAGCATGGTTAAGACTAAAAAATATCCCAAGCAATGCAGAAAAACTAAAAGCAAATAAATTGTGCAACTCAGCTTACCACAATGTTTTGTCGGTAACGTTCCAGCCTGATTTCAAAATTTCGCGCTAACAAGGCGAAATAGCTACCCAAGCAATAAAAATTAACATATGTCGCCCTTTCGATGTTGACATGTAAGGAAGAACAAATGACACCTACTTATTATGAACACCATATCCAAAAGCCCATCGACTTTGGTGATTCAGCTTCTTGTAGTTATCGACGATTTCACTCGCTTGAACCACGTTTCGATGTTGGTAGTCCACCCCATTCCAAAGTTGTTCGATAATCTCCAAATGACCTTTCAGTCGACTATGCAGACCCTCCATTTGCTAAAAAGGAATAAATTGAAGGATTCAGTACAAACAAAGCCCAACTCTTGCAGAAAGTTACCCGTTACCTACTTTAGTCATGTTCTCAGTATCCTTCTTAACTCGTTGAATCTGCTCAGCCTTGCTGACCATCTTGTTCTTTGTCAGAAAGTCGCACACCTGCATTTCTGATTTCATGTACTTTTCAACTTCATCTAGCTGATTCCTAGCATCATCTGGCAGTTCAGAGTGTCTTGTTATAGGCTCAATCTTGTCAAAGGGAAATGTCGTGGATTGTAGAATCATCGCTTGCTGACCACTTGTTTCGAACATCATAAATTAGTGGCCATCATCGGGAAATGTACTTGATTAAACAGTTTTACTTACATCATCTTTCCAGGCATGCCAGCATTAGCCAAAGAAAATTGAATTTCTTGTGGCATTGATATAGAAGTAACTTTCATTTGTTCTAATATTTTGTCGAATGAAAACTCTGATGGTTGAGCGGGTACTTGAATTGTAGGTATAGCAGGTGCAGCGCTTGCTGAAGTAGTGGCCGCACCAGTAGTTGTAGCAGAGTCAGCCTTTTTTTCAGATGTAGAAGGCCCAAAGCTAAACTTAGGTGCTGTGCTGGTTGCTGTGGTTGTCGTGCTGGGAGTAGTTGCAGTGCTCGTTCCGAACGTAAAGGTCTTCGCGGCGGATCCACCATCGGCCGGCTTACTAGTAAGCAGCGAAGGAGTCTGATCTGCTTTGGAAGTACTAGTACTACTGAAGGAAAATGTTGGCGCTGCGGATGATGTAGAAGTGGTAGTGGCGGCAGTGGATGGTTCAGATTTGAGGAAACTAAATGAGCTACTTTCAGTTTTTTTCGGTTCAGAGGTGGGGGTAGTAGCTGGAGTTGCTTTTGTATCTGATTCTGCAGGTTTCGTGAAAGAAAAAAATGGCTTGGAGGCCGCAGAGCTAGTGGCAGAAGGTGTGCTTGGCGCGCCGAACGAAAATCCTCCAATTGCTTTTGGTGGCTCGGTCTTCGTTGGAGTCGATGCCGGAGAGCTGGCTCCAAAGGAGAACCCGGAGGTTGATGCGTTTATAGCTGGAGACGCTGGTGTAGCAGAGCTCGCTCCAAAAGAAAACCCTGAAGTTGAGGCAGTTGGCATCGCTGAAGTAGCAGGCGCAGCAGTAGCATTTATGCCAGACGATGCACTACCAAACGAAAAAGATGTTGCAGAAGGAGCAGCGGGCGCTACAGATGGAGGCATTGTAGCTGATGGTGTACTGGTAGCAGCCATTCCTCCAAAAACGTTTCCGCTTGCAAATGTGGGCTTATTAAGTGGGGAGTTTTGGTTTAATCCGCTCACATCGGATACCGCTCGTCGTAATGGAGATTGGAGCGCGTTATTGGACGCTGCGCCAAATGGAGATGATGCAGCTTGGTTACTACCAAAGGCGAACTGTGAAGTTGGCACGGAGGATGTCGGTGTCGTGGTGGAAGCAGGCTTGTCAAAAGGCGATGCTACGGCTGGCGGATTGCTGGCTCCAAATGAAAATGCATTGTTTTGCACTGCTTGACCAAAGGTTCCGGTTGGTGTACTCGGTTGTGCGCCGAACGGACTTGCCTGTGGAGGAGCACCAAATACCGACGTATTTTGAGCAGTATTATTTGTACCAAAGCCTAGCGGTGATGGTTTGGCGGGTTGTGATGAAAAGTTAAACGAGGGTTGCTGGTTGGTTGGAGTGGGAGGCTGAGGAGCAGCTCCAAACGTAGATGAAGGATTTCCAAATGCTGGAGTGGGAGTTGCCGTATTCGCACCAAAATTGAAGGATGAGGTCGCAGTTGGCGTAGTAGGAGGAGCAAAGTTGAAGCCTCCAGGTGTAGAGGTGCCTCCGCCTGGGAGTTGAAAAACAAAATTCACCTGAGGATCTTTGGTATTCTTGGCTGATCCGCCCGCTCCAAAGCGAAAAACAGGTTTACGGCCACTAGAAAGAGATCATCGACACATAGAGTTAGTCATGTACGTAACGTACGATGGTAGGCGAGTATAGCTAGCAATGTAGGTTACCTCATAGCGCATGCAAGCAGAATTCCCAATTCACGCGCTTCCACAAAACACACATATCAAGTTTTGTGACTGCCAGAAAAATTAGATTTTACTAATTGAAAAGATGACATGTACAAGTTTCAGCGTGAGGCAGGAAGTTCGCCGCAGCTGGGTAACTGGAGGCAAGAAGCGCAACCGCAGTATCGTTCTCTTTTGATTTCCATCTCACAGAATGGTAAGCCAATGGATGCATCGACTATCAATCCATCCATCCATCCAGCTACTAACTCATCCATCAGGGTAAAGTACACGGTTCCCTCGCTCGTGCTGGTAAGGTCAAGTCTCAGTGCCCCAAGGTCGCTAAGCAAGAAAAGAAGAAGCCCGTTGTTGGCCGCGCAAAGAAGAGAATCATCTACAAGTAAGTAAAATTGTTTTTGCAATGAACAGAAACTGGCAGGTCAAACAACAACAATAGCACAGAGCGACAATATAATATACCATCATTGAATTGGCAGACTGTGTGCTTTGCAGCATTCGAACGATTCACTACCCATCAACAAAATTATGTCGATTTCGAGCAATACAAATGCAATGCCTTCCGACAGTGGGAAGCAAAATCAATGCTCATAGCTATAAACCACGCTATTTGTTACGACATGTCACCAGTAGACAACGCATGTCATTGTCATCGATGAGAACGGAACTTTCATCTTCGCATCTTCGCAACTTGACCTGCCACAGTTCCCATACCTATCTTAACTACTTGCTGACATCTCACCAATTTCTTGCAGCCGCCGCTTCGTTAACGTTACCACTGCTTTCGGTGGCAAGCGCAAGATGAACCCTGCTCCTACCGCTGGCCCATAAATGCATTAGGGCTCATACTACTGTATTTTGTTTATAGTTAGCAGTGAAGTCTTTTTTTTTTCCTTAAAGAAAAAATATACAAAGCGAGCAATGTACACCTCGATTCAAAAACACTATATCGCCTGCGTCTGAATAGTAATTCGTTTGACTTTTGGTTGCATTCGTGAATACCTTTACTCCGTAACTTTGGGCAAAATGTCAGATCCTGAAAGCGCTGACTTATTATAAAGTGAAGGCATTGTAGATAGCATGACTCTATAACACAGTTATACTACCACATGGTCCAACGACATGCACGCGGCGTCAACGCAGCTCTTACCGTGTCAGTGAAAACTTTAATATCTTTTGAGGCAAGCTGTCAAACAAATTTTCATCGTTGATCAAATTTCTTATTCCGTGTGCGTTCCACATTCTAGTATTTGTATCGTAATGCGCCGATGATGTACGGTGCTTAAACTCCTCTGATTCGCTTGACTGTCTTGAAGGGATGAGTAAAGCTGCGGACTACAATCCTTTTTTTTTGGCTATGGATTACCGAATCTTTTCCAATTCGTGACTCCGCTGATTTTCACCACCTTGCGCGCTGTCGGATGATCTTTACCCATTTCGCTTTTAGAATTCACAGTTGTATGGGGGCGATGGGGGCAATTAACCATTTACGAATGACGTAGATAAAGTTCTGGAATAAAGTATTGCTCTCAAATCTACGTATAGAATATTCCATTTCGACCGTGCTCAAAGGCACTCATACCTCCATTAAGTATCACGAAAAGGAGTTGTGCATAATAACAGACCCCGCCGATCTCTGTTGGGCTAGAGCGTCCTCGAACACCCATGGACCACCCTCTAGCCAAGTTACAATGTAGTAGATTATATAATCACTTGATATGCCAGAAAACCAAGGTATACAGACTGAAGGCGGAGAACACAGCGTGAATCGAAGGCGTGGACTTGTAGTTACCGTCATTTTTGAGTCGGTGCTTCGAAAAATTCTCATCGTTACTGCCACGAAGATACTTGATATCGTTTCAGGCAAATGATTTAACTTTGCATCTATTGAACCACGTGTAACATTGAGAGTTTAATATATTCGGGTAGACAGCATGCTTTCTTTTCGATAACAAATAGCGGCCCCACACACGTAATAACGTATGGTCCTCCTGGGAGAACCTCAACACAGCCGTTGATGCTTTACTTCAATTACCTAATATAGAAATTAAATACGTCATCCAATGACGAATTTAACCCGATATAGTAAACATCAAAGCTTCAGGGACAAGGTCCGGGGGGTCAGTCCATCAAGATAGAGTGGTTCACCGTGATCAAGGCATTCTTTTAATTTTACTGTGTGATTGCTGAGGCATTAAGAAATAAATGTAAATCTGGGAGAATCAGGTCAAAGAAAATTAAAAAGGTCATATAGACATTCAGTATATACATTTGATTGATTGCAGTTGAAATCGTTCGTTTTTCACCATCTTCCCCACCGCCGGGGTGGAATGGCAGAAGATGAAGTGACAGATGACGAACACGTAAGCTTTTCCATACTTCGGGTGTATGTTTTGCTTAGCATGACTCCTTTCTTATGGCTAGAATCGATCCAACTTGATGTATTATTATCGATCTGGGCATGCTCAGTAAATAGGCATATGATCGCTGTCCCTGCTTCGCTTCATTTCCTTGTCATTAGCAGGGTGGTCCGATTGACTTTGCAAAACCATTAGCTGGGCTCGAAGCCGTTCATTATCATCGTATACTTGTTGAAGGCGCTTTTGTAAATCAACATTGACTTCGGTTAACAGAGAAATCTCGCTTGACATTTGTGATATTTGAGATTGTTTTTTTGCTCGGTATTTTGCGCTGGCTGCCTTATTACGTTTCCTTCGTTCATCCAGTGACATAGGTTCATGCGAGAGCGAGTATCCGCTTTGATTTCCATAGCTGCTCCCGCTACTGCTGTTAGGATCTGCCGGTGACGCTTGGCGATTCAAATCTTTCCTGACGCTGTCCAATGTGTACATTGAATTGGGGTACCTTGACATTTGTACTTCATAGTGTGTTGGTGATAGGCAGGACGCGGCGGAAGATGACGAGGTGGGTGAATCAAATGATTTTATGGATGGAGATCCTCCGTAACCGTCATTGGAGGCGGAATGTAATGAAGGCTTTGGTGGAGGTTTATAGAGTGGAGAATCAGTCGTACATGTCAAAGAGGTTATGGACAAATGTTCGCGAGACATTTTGGACATTAACAGTGCATATGTTTGTTTTCTTGTTGATAAGAAAGAACAGAAAACTATGTAATTAAAGAAAAACGCAGGCTACAAATTGATGAAGAAGAAAACAAATGGAAAGAGAAGAGAGATTGGATCTTTTGCTCGTAAAACGGTCTGTGGATATTTATGATCCGGAGTTTCAAGTGGGAAAAAAAGAGTTTGGGGGGGGGACGAAAGAGGAGTGCGGGATGACTTCACAGGACATATCTGGGTTATTCCCGATTTGGGAATCTTCTTGAAAACTCCATTGTTACTCTCTATCGGTCCTGGCCTCGTTGATTAAATCAGCTATGGCTGGGTGAGCATATCCAAAGTACTCTGGCCCAGACACCGAACAGCTTAGATGGCCCCTTCCTCTTATTCGATTAGCTTGCCTTACGACATTTCCCCACGCTCCCGTAGCCGTGGAAGCTTCTATAGGATGATCTGTATCATCCTCAGCCACAATTCGAAACTAATAAGCTCTTGCAGGTTAAAACAATGACTATGAACCATGCCGGCATGAATTGCGGTTGCCTACCTTGGGGGCCTCTCCATCCTCTTCTATAGTACAGGTATAGTCGGTGTTTTCATGCTTGTTTTTCATACTCATGTAGTTCCTAGAGAGACGAGTCAGATATTTAAGATTCGCACGTCCACACCTCTGATCGGCACGCTTTATACCTTTTAATACAATAGCCCACTGGCCATATATAACGTTCATTATAATAGCCATCGCGTAACTCCACTTTACCGATACTAATGAGTTGAAACGAGCCGATTTGAATTGGAAGAATTGGTTTGCCATCTTCGTCCTTTGGAATCTCCACCACTTTTCTCATTCGCTTTGACAGATTGCCTTTCTTGACTGGTGGGGGTGGTCGTCGTTTTGGTGTAGCACGTATGTTGAAAACTAAGTCAATGATATGCAAAGTGCAGAGGATGAAAAGGTTAAATACGCATGAATGAGAGATATGCTGGCTTTGTCCAGCAGGAGCCGATCAGAAGGAAACAACTCACTGGGTAGAACGGGTTCGTCTTCTTCACTGCTTGAACTATCGCTATGGTCACTGATGTTTTCATCTTCCTCCCAACCTTCAGGCTCTGTAGCTTGAATATCGGTCGTAGCCTCTGCATCACGAACCTTGACCAGCAAGTCGCTAGAAAATAATATTTAGTCACATGTTATCTGGATGCCATGTTGATTGCTTCAAACATACCTCTTGCGTTTCTGAATACGTGCAATTTTAGCGAAAATCACTTCCAAATCTTGATTTAAAGCTTCATTTTCCTTATGAATGTTATGTGAGGGGCAGATTGTCAGATATCAAGTAAGCATGCGAAATGCAGACGATGATAGAAACAGCTTCAGCTTAGTTCGTGTACTCACTTCTGTTATGCGTTTAGCCCTTAGTTTCATGTGGACAAATTTTTCAAAGGTTGGCTTTTTCTTAGAATCCACCGTGGTCTCTGTTGATTCCATTTTGACACTGTCTGCCGCGACCATAAGGTTCTGCTCTTCAGCATTGGCGTCTATACCGGCATTCTCCTTGTTAGCAACAGATTCAGAATCACTCATTGTAGATGACGGCGTTAATGCAGATGGACGCGATCCCATTTACTGAAATCTTTGTTTCGCGTTGCCCCTATTTTGCGAGTTTTACCATTTTTTTTCCCTGCCAAAATTAAAAAATAAATAAATACTTGCACAAGTCACGACCAAATGCAGCCACAGCGCCAGTCAAAAGGCAAAGATCACACCGCCAGCCAACTCGCGAGCTTGTCGTTAGTATCAGAGCACGGACTACAGAATGGAAGACAGTGATAACGGTATGGACTTTCTTGTATACATATTAAACGCAGAAACAACCTTTTCCCAATGTGAACATACATTCATTAGCTTTCATTTTCTAATCACCTCTCTCAGGCTCCACCATCACGAAATCATCTCTCACGTCCGTGGATTCCTGGATTACCTATTTTTGCTCACTAGCTGGCCATGAACTGTACGCTGAGGTTCCAGAGGACTACATTGAAGATGAATTCAACCTGACCGGCCTCTCTGCTATAGTACCATATTACGAACTGGCTCTGGATATAATATTGAATGTCGATATTGACGAGATGGTGGAAAGTGATTCTGATGGTATGAGTAATGATCTCGACCCATCGGATGAAGAAGGCAGCGACGGTCTATGGAAGGAAACTCCACTAAAGGTTCCCAAAAATGCTCAAAGGCCAGATGTGATGGCTCTAGAACGATATGCTGGCATGCTCTATGGGTTGATCCATCAGCGCTACATTCTGTCGAGAAATGGACTTAGGCAAATGGTAAGGACCACAGCTTGTGCTGAAAAGCAAAACGTTGCGCCTCTCTGGTTAATTCAGGCTCTGTGTACCCATTTTTTACAGGCAGAGAAATACAACTCAGGTCACTTTGGCTACTGTCCTCGAGTATATTGCTATCGATGCCCTGTCCTTCCGTGCGGGCGCTCAGATCAACCTGGCACGGAGGCAGTTCGATTTTTCTGCCCTTGTTGTCTCGATGTCTATTCACCCCAAACTACCCGACATAGTACAATTGATGGTAAATGACTTAAACCATTCTTACCACCAGCTTTTGTTCTCATCTCAAGTACTTTTGAAATCCTACAGGAGCTCATTTTGGTTCCACCTTCCCACATCTCTTATTATTCACATATCCCGACCTCGCACCTGACGGACGAACACAAATTTATAAACCCAAGATCTTTGGATTCAGAGTCAATGAACGATCAGTTGTTGGACCGCGGCTACCATGGTTACGATTACGACCAGACGATCACACATCCACAGAAGAGCTCAGCATGGAATTCGACGGTGGAGGAGGCGGTGGAAGTGACCCAAGATACCAAAAAGGTCGAGACGACGAAAGCAGCCTTGCAGGCAAAGTAAGTAGTCTTAGTAGAACACCGAGTCAAAAGTTTTATAACTGGGTTGCCATCTAAAAAGACGTACTGTTAGCTTGATGCTGTTAGCATTGATCGATTAAATTGGCAAAGTGAATCGCATAAACTCAGTGAAGAAATTGCTCGAGTCAAGCGGAAGGATCCAAGCAGTGGAGGAGGATTTCATATCAAGGAAGCTATACGGAGGTGGCTTGAATAGGAGATTTTTACATCGGCTTGGCTATTACACACTTTGATGGTTCTTTTTTTAGTTTGTACTTTTTTTTATCTCTCATTTTTCTTTCTGTTCGAGGTAAACGTTTATTACTATATTGTCGCTAATGGTTTATATATATGATTTGGAGACATTTTCAATTGAATTGTTCACAAGAAGAGAGAGTGCTGGTAATATGCTTGCGGAAAGGAGACGCACTTACATCGTTTTGAAAGTGCGCAACTCAATAAATTTGGCTCGGTGACCTGCCAAATTAGCATAGAGTGAGGCTAGTGCTGATAATAAAAAAATTTATATGTGATTTTTTCATTTCTTTAGCTTTTCTTCCCAATTCCTTTTTCGATGACCCCATGGACAATACCGTCATAATCTGTGTGGTGACAATTGTCATATCACTTTCAATCGTTATAGCAGCTACACTATTAGTGCGCAGATACAGACAGCAGCACTCCTCATCCCAAATATACAACTCTGATTTCGAAAGCTGCCGGCCAGCTCAAAAACGACACTGGTTGTCAATGGTTTTTAGAACAAAAGAGAAACAAGCACAAAATGACAACATGTATTCGCACAATTTTCACGCTCTCAGTGAACCTTGCAGTCTTCCTCCAGCTTACCTTTCATGGTCCACTTCGACCGCCAGTCCAACTCAACATATCTTGGAAGGTTACGAAACACCACGTAACACAATGGAGGAGAGCATGGATCCCATCCAATTTTCGCTGGCGAAACAAGATGAGGCTGACCGAATATGGTTCCATAGCGATTCATCCAGTATTTTCCATCCCAATCCTACCAAGAGATTAAGTGACCCTTTGGTCCGCTCTTCTTTTGAATACCACGTCTGGTGAAAACATTCAGTATACCGTAGTAAATAAATCATCCATTTGCATATCCACTTTTATTTATAAACAAGACATTTTATTTTTGTCGTTGCGCATTGGGTTAATGGAACGACGGCGCGATTCAAGAGTCGGGCCCAGCGTCGGGATGGGAAAGGGTATCAGCCTGGATATGGATGAAATCGAGCGGTTTTAACGACGAATCCAATTTTGAAGGTGGTCACGGCCAACAGTACTTACAGTCAAGGAAATCAGCAGCCATTAAGGTTTCTAATGCGAGCTCTGGCTCTATCACGAATTCAGGGATCTCTGTAGTTGAACCCTCATTTTGCCATTTGTAGTACAAATATCTGCATGCCGTCTCTAGTACAATGGCTCTGAAAAGAATTCAGGTTAGTCTCCACTATGTGGACAATCAAACATTCAGAGAGACATACTTGATATCACGGAAAGTTACTTGATTCTCCAGTGATTCCGTGAAATTAGCTACCAATCACCAATTAGTAAAAGTTTAATGCTTTATGCAAAAACGGTGTTGAATTCAGTACCAGCTCCAGAAAGCATGTTCTTCATTGTACCGGATCTCATTGCAGCTTCTCTGTGAATAATGAATTCGAAGCCATCGCTGCTAATGAGTTTAACGTATTCCGATTCTTGCTCTGCCATGGTTTTCAAGTAACGTTCAGTGGACGAAGATGGACAAACGGGTGGTCACGCAATTTGACGGTCACGCCTTTCGAAACAGGCTTTCCTTTCTTCCCTCAGTTTCTCATTGATATTTCGCATGGCAGATCTGAAAGCAGCGGCCATAGCAGGCAACAAGTCTGCACTTGAAAAGCCTCAGGCTGGGGATTCCGTAGACAATGATACGCATTACAGTAGCAATGGCAATGAAGCCTCGCAGCTTGACGATGCGAACAAACAAGAAGCGGAAACGACCGACATTCCGCAAGGTTCTCGTTCTGTAGAGAGCGAGGATGAGGAATCCGACGATGCAGAGGCTCAAAATAATGCTGAAGAACCTGTTCTAACGGCAGAAACGGCTGACCAGCCACCTGAAGAGCAATCTTGGGTTCCAACATGGGATGAAGAATCACAGGCATACTACTGGTGGAATACAGTCACCAACGAAACCACATGGGATAACCCATATCCTGATCTAGCTCAGGATCAGGCACCAGAAGACGGTAATGCGGAAGGCTATTATGAAGAAAACCAAGGGTACTATTACCCAGGCTATGCAGATAGTTACCCTACCGAGAGCAACCCATTGGATGCTGTATTGAACAAAATCGACACCGAAGTCCGCACACAATTAGATAACACTACTGAAACCTCCAGGCCATTCCAGTCTTATAATGAATTATTCGACCCTTCAGAAGCTACATCACAAGCTGCGATGGATTCTTACAACTCTGTTGCTCACTTCAATTCGCGAACTGGTAAATTCACGAGCTCGAAGGAAGCTGATACATATAATCCCGACTACATGAGCTTGGAAAGTCGAGCTAAACGACAAATGCAATTTTATTTTGATGTGGATGCATACCAGGAGCAGATCAATAGAGAACGGCTGGCTAATCCTGCTGGCAAAAAGCGACCATTGACCAAACAAGAAGTGGAAAAGTTTAAACGTCAAAAACAAGAAAAGAAGGAGAAACGAAAACGGGACTGGCTATCCAAGGATCATGACTAGAATAGATAACTTGCCCACCCCTCGCATGTACTAGGAGAGATAAAATTTGGTAAATGTACATAATAAATATAGCAAACATTGGCAGTCTATTTTCCAAAAAGTTAAACGGGGCAAACTACATACTGGTGACATCTAGGCACGGTTTAACAGCTTCAAACTGATTTTCCTCGCTATGAGAGTCCTTTTATCCGTGGCACTTGGTGTCATGTCACGACTTTTTAGATAGTGTCTCAAAGCTTGTACAGTGGCTCTAGCAGCAGCCTCCGTTTTATCCATGGGCATGTGTTGCTGCATATCCTTATCGATAGTTTGATAGCCATGTCGACAGAGCTGAGTATTCGCAGTATAAATGGCATGCTCAATATCATTATCTGACCATTTAAATTGCGTGAGCAACCAAGTGATGCACGCGACTCTGAAGTATTTTGCAGCTTGCACGACAAGGGAGCCAGATCTCGCAATACCAGTAGTGGAGTCTAATAACAATCCGTTGATATAGGGTGAAGCACCGTTTGTGACCAACCACTCCAGTTCTTTTGCGTAGTCTCCATTAGCGAGCAAACAGAACACTGGTGTTTTGAGATTTAAATCTTGTGCGTTCACTTTTGCTCCATGTCGTACGAGAAGGCGCATGGCTTCCAAAGGCTGTTTCGTAAATCGCACAACATAGTGAAGTGGTGTCCAATAATCGCCGTCAGCCACATTAACATTAGCTCCATAGTGTATCAGTAACTGAAGATATTCTACTGGATCTGGGCAATATAATGGAACAGTATGTATGGGGAGAACGTTGTGTCCAGAGTAAATGTCGACTTCAGCTCCATAAAACAATAAAAGGCGTGACACATTGATAGAATTTTCCTGGCTCATGATAGCAGAGTGTAACAGGGTGTAGCCTTGGTCGGCGTCTATCAAGTTGGACTGTCGCTGAGCATTGTCGGCAGTAGCCAAATGATAATTCACTGCCTGCAAGTCTCCCGTTTGAACGGCTTCCCACATTGAAAGGCTCGTGGCATGCTGCGGAAGATTTTCAATCAAGGCAAGAGTTAAGTCTTGTTGATTTTTTTGGTCTTTCTTTTGCTGGATTTGCTTTTTAAACGGATGATAGTGAACCCAAGGCATAATAGTGAAGGTCAATAGAAGAACAAACGAGCATCATAGCCGGTTGGCTGAATTAATAGACATGGAGATATTATAGATGAAAATAGAGGACGATGAAGTCAATTGAGAGTGGTATCATCATTTATTACAAGGTTGCAAATTGGGCCACTTTATGGAATAATTTCCAGGACAAGTCGTCCCCCGAATTGGCTCATGTAAATTATTGTGTAACCTTGGGGATTTTTTTTTCAAGTGCCAGTGTCAGGGCACCACGGGGAAACCTGGCTCTCACCTACCATTATGGACGCGTCCACCTTGATGGACTGGCGAAATGCCGTCATCGCCATAGATTTGAAACGTATTTCCGCCATTCTGACCATCAATCAGACCATAGTCTCTGCGCCTTTAATGGATATCCCAAGCGATATACAAATTCCTGTGAAACTGGGAAGCCCATCAGAGATGTCAGCCCTACAATACACTTTGCTGACAATGTGGTCATACAACACCAGCATGTCTCCAAACGAGAAGCAATTGACTAAAGCTCGCAAACAGTTAGTTGATCTCTTGTTGCAGGTACGTTCCATATCTATATTCTTTATAGCACTAGTCTTCACACAACGGAAAAAATATCGTCAGCCAGGAAACACCGCCCCCCAGTCCATACTAAAACCCCTATCTAATTGCCTCTCCCGATAGACCTCACTGGCATCAGATCTGGACTATCAGAACGATCATGGAGATACTATTTTGCACTTTGCAGCAGCTTTGGACTTGGCTGATACGGCTGCTTCTATCGTAGCCAGAGGTGCTTCTACTGATCTGAAAAATAGAGACAACGCAACCCCTGAAAATCTCGTCGCTTCAGCTAATACTAGGTCTGTTTTGGAGGCAGCTATCAAACAACGGCCTGCCATCAAGGCATTGCGACAAAATTCCTTGGTATCCAACAGTGTTTTCAAACAAAACCTTCAAAATACAGGCAACAACCGTATGGCTAAAACCAGGATACCTGAGTACTCTTCAAAGGATCGATTCACTGAGTTACGGAGATTGGCAGAATCATCTGCTACTGGGTCGGACCAGCGTGTTGTTACCAAGAAGGATATCAGCAATTACATTCAACCTGGTATGCTGGAGCAGAAAAAGAAGGGCTTATCTATGGAAGAGGTGCAACGAGAAGAGCGCATACGACAAGCTAAAAGAAGAGCTGAAGTGGAACAGTTGGTGACCAAGAAGGTGGTCAACACGAGCCGATTTGTTACCGAGCGATCAAAGTCCACACCGTATGTTGCTCCTGTCGCGGCTGATCAACATGTTTCACCTTCTACATCTCCTGCCATTGGAACTGAACGGAAATTTTCAGCACTTAAGGAAAAGTCTTATGTCTCTACCAGTGTTTTCCGACAGCAGTCAGCAGAATCGGATGATGCGGAAGAGCGTAGTCCCACCAGCAACTTCCAGGATGCAGACGATGCTATTCATGACGAGCAGGTGGTTCATTTGAAAATCGGTGATCAACACATTTATGAAGCAAGCTCGAACGCCATGTCTGAAGATCTAGGCGAAGAAGACGAATACGAAGAGGCTGCTATAGCTGAGGAGCCTGAAGCGTATTATAACGAGGAGGAAGATATGAATGAAGATTATGTATCTACGGAAGAATATGAAACTGTAGCTGATCAAGAAGAGAATGACGATGCAGTCGATATTGGGGAAGATAATGTCACTGAAGACATTCACACCCATAGCGATAGCTTGGACGACGATACCAAAGAGGAAGCTGAGGAAGTTGAACCATCTGTCACCGAGCCGGTAGAAGACACTATGGTAGATTTACCAGAAGAAGATGAAGATTTCCGGCAGCCCAAAATTACCGAAAGGAATATAAGAGACTCGGTACCATACCCTATCAAATTACTGGGTCTAGACGACAACGACCCAGAAGCTCTCAATGCAGCTTTTCAGAGGATTGTCATTACCCCAGCACAAGACATCGCAGATGAGACTGATCGTTTCGATCATGAAACCACCCTATTGCGACCAAGAAGCAATAGTAATTCAAGTGCGGTCTCGAATAACTCGATCGTTCACGATGTTGAACCTGCAGTTTCAGACACAGCTACCCATTGGGACACTGGTGTAATGACGCTGGAATCTACAATGACTAAGGTTGATCAACAGGACAACAAATTTCATTCGGCCGGTAACGATGATGACGACCAGTTCATTTCTGATACGGCGTCAATATTGGATATCAGCTTTCCATCTTCTCGTCTCAATTTCGATGACGACGTTATATCATTCAGATCTTTTGATGACCAACCAAAGTCAAGCAATAGCTTACTAGATAAGACCTTACCGCAAAAGCCAGAACGCGATTACTTCGGAAGTATATCGGTAGCTAGAACCAGCACATACTCCAGGAAAGCGTCCACTGACTCTGACCGGCCCAGCTTAGCGTCGCTAGAGACCAAAAGCACAGTTCAATCTGGCGCTGGTGCGTCTCCATCCGGTAGTGATTTACGCATCGATACCGGAAGCATTACATTTTCCAAAAGCACCGGATTGACCAATCTACCTATCTCACAATCCATTCGACGTAAGCCGATTGGTCTCGTACCAGAGAAGACCAAGAGTGAAGTCATCCCTCGTTCACAAGAGAGATCTACATCCAGACAAGGCAATTACCTCATTGACGACGACGACGTCCCTCTTTCCGCTACAAGTAAATCGCCACCTGCGCTTAAAAACCACGAAGGCAAAACATCACTACGTTCGGTGCGACCTCAAGTGTCTCATCTGAGAGGAAAGCTTCTTGTGCGTATTTGTAGATTCAACGTCGAGCCAACCTTAATCATGCCAAAGGAACCATTTCATCTCCGGTGTATTTTAACGGATGGCAAAAACGAATACCAATCGCAATATACCCAACTTGGCAATGAGATCGATATCAACCAAGGGTGCCTCATCTCTGCGTTTCCAGACATGAAATTCCGACTTAGCTTGCAGGCAAGGTCGGATGCATATGTCAAGCCTAAGAAGCAACTGACCCGTCTACTGAGCACTGCAGCGCGGAAGCAATCCAACACAGTGCTTAATCTGGTCAACAAGGATGATGGCCATTTCGGACAAACTCGTATCCAGCTTCGATCTATTGCTCACTTGTGTCGAAACAGCCTTTATACTGCTGCTTTTGATTGCTATAATAATTGGAGTGCAATTTCCAAAGCTGGCTCAAAGGCAAATGTCGTGCGAGATAACTTGGTAGTGGTTGGTAACTTAGTGCTTCAACTCTACTTTATTCCCCATGTCGATGGCGTTCGAGTAAGTGATTCAATCTCATTTTCAAAGTTAGCGGGTGGGCAGCACATGCGTAGTGGGTTATGATGATCGCTGAACTTACCACCCAACCATTCTTTCATCATTTAGCTCCCAAATACTGTCAAAGAGTGTGAGGCTGGACTAGACATCAAGCGATGGTATAACACAAGTTGGTTATCTGGTGAGATCTGTGTATTGAAGCCAGAGCGGGATGAGGTATGATACACAAATATCATCTAATGTTATGGTGAACCAAAACTGACCCACTGTTGTCTTACTTAGACTTGGCGTAAGCGCTACGCCAGATTGATTGGGGCTCACTTGTACATCCATAGGGATATTCATGACAGTCAGCAGGAATGCATTGATTTAACAACCGTCAAAGTAGTGACGGCTGACCGGCAAGTGATCGCTAAAGCGACTCGCAAGCCTGAAACAACAGCAGGCAAGAGGTCATCGAGACTAGCCGACTTCATCACCAGCGAGGATATTATAGATGAAGAGGATGATCAATTGTACTGCGACGACCCACTGGCGTTCCGATGTACATTCAAGGATGATACAACCATAGACATTCTCTGTGATGTCAGTATGGCTCGCGATCGTTGGCTGAAGGCCATTAAAGGCGTAATGAACAAGGCTCCGTCAATACCAGGTTGGTTAGCCCAAGACCTTTCTAGCATCTAACGCAACAGACTTGTAAAAAGAAAAAAAAAAACATAGCTGTTGATCTTTGTAAAATCAGAACACAAATAAACAAATAACAATCTATAATAATCACTTAGTGTAGAGTAAAGCCCAATGAAAAAAAGGCTTCTCCATGAAACAGATTTTATTTACATTGTCTTTCGGCGAATTGGAGAACCGCCATATCGGGTCAACAATACTTTCATCTTGTTGTAAGCCTTTTGTACAGCTGGTGGGATCTTCTTGTTTGCTTGTGGTGGCAAGATTAGCTTGTCAAGGCGGTCGCTAATAGAGGCGAATACATTACGGGTTTGTTCACTCATATGATAGCGGAGTCTTAAAAAGTGGGCAAAGAGCAAGACAGAAAACGCAGACGATTGAAAGCTGACGGAGTGTGTTTTGGTTAGATGGGATGGATGCTTTTCCCGTCAATAGAATACCTAGACTTACGTTATAGCGCCTAAAATCAACCTTGCCATCACTCCATAGATTTCGACTTCTGCCGCCAACAGCATAGCTCTGGAGTAGTACTTTTCGTTCTGGTCTTTGAGCATGCGCTGAGTTTCAGGCTTATGATGGAGAAGATGCACGCGCGCATACTCCGCAATATGGAAGGCGGAATAGATGGCATACGGAGCGAGTGTAACTATATTTAAGACAAAGCATAAAACGTCAATAAGAACCTCCTGGAACTATTTCGTCATAACATCCACTTACTGGCGATCGGTTTGGTGATGATCCAGTACATTGCCAAGAACATATAGATAGCATTTTCATCGAGGAGGAGTCGAGACAGATATGGCTTGTGTTCCTTAGGAAGCTATAGCGAGGAAGACTTTTAGATCACGTAAGGAAGTCATAGGCATGGCTTGGCGAGCACACTTACTCCAAACGCTCTGTAAACAATCACGGCGTAAGACGTAATGATGCCCAAATAAGCAATCACATAGAACAGTCTGTTGGAGCGGAAGAGAACCACAGAGAGGAGATAGAGGAGGGTACCAACGATAGTTATTGCATGGCCGGCAAACCATACCCACTTTAGAGTCTAAAAGCAAGAAACATATTAGTTGAGCCGGGTCAATCGAAACTGAGTTATTGCTCGAAGTCTCACCTTGTCTATAGCGGGAGAAGGTTCATCCTCGACAGTTGCGGTAGGAATAGAGCTATTTTCTGGAGGCGGGGTCACCTTTTTCTCAGCGGCTGTTGCCATAACGTGAAAGAAGAAGTGTGGGTGGTGAAGTGAGGAAAACAAGAAACGGAGAGTTGGCCCGATTCTTCAACGTTTCAAAGGAGGAGATTATTACGTGACTGTTTATTTTGGCCACACAAGCGACACGAGGTTTTTTTTTTTTTGGGACTCTCAGTTCACCTTCACCAATCCACACAGCATGATCATTCCAGTTCGCTGCTTCTCGTGTGGTAAAGTCATTGGCAACAAATGGGACAACTATTTGTCACTTCTTCAAGCCGACTACACAGAAGGGTATGTGCATTTGAGCTCATAATTCGATTCCGCAGTCGAATAAGTCAAAATGTGATTTCTAATGCCGTGATTCATTACACAGTGAAGCGTTGGATGCGCTTGGTCTTAAGCGTTATTGCTGCCGACGAATGGTTTTGACTCATGTTGATTTGATCGAGAAGCTTCTTCATTACAATCGTACGTACTCTCACAATGGCATTCAACCTCACCCCCTTTAGCCTGATTCTAATGACCTGGATCAATTTTAGCTCTCGAACGCAACCGTGGTATTGATCGACGTTAATTCCCAGACATCAAGTGCACACACCATTCCTTCCTTCACGTTTTTAATCAACCTACACTCCATCATTTTGTAAATGAAATATATACTTTTCTTCTTTTGAAAAATCGCAAAGTGCCTGCCTTGTTTTATTTTAGTGGGAAGGGTGAGTTTACCAACTACTACAGTAACCTCAAGTATTTGTACATCATGCTTGTAAATCGATTAGTTGGGTGATGAAAACGCAAAAGATAGGGTTCAACATAGAAGCTGCACCTCCGTGGTATGGTTAATTTTTGAAAGAAACGTATGGAATCGCCCGCCAGATGTACCAAAGTACCATTGTGAACAGGTTAATTTACAATATGTGATTTCCAATTGTAGTGTTCAATTTGGTGAAGAAGACTCTTGCAGATTTTCTTTCACAAACTGTGGGATATCTCCAAAGTCTTCAAAATCGGGTATTCGACGCTTGCTCATTTCTATTGCTGCATGTAACATGTCCTGGGCAACGACACCTGTATAATGGCAGAGATCCAGTTTTGATCAGTTCATACTTTCAAGAAATATAATGGAGCCAGCTCAAACCATTCATAATTACGAATAAAAAACGCTGTCAAATGGTGTTCTTGACTTACCAGTGTCACCAATTGAGGATGTTGACAGCTCAAGGTATTTAAAAATTTCTGCCAGAGAAGCTCGATGTCCTAATTTTTGAGACATGACTTCGTACATTTCTCGTAAGCAGAACATATCAGTCTCAACACTACCGTCAGGTTTGGTCCATAGCCGTGACCATCCGTGGTGCTTAAGAGCAAGGAGACACCTGGGAAGATCGTGTGCCAAAAGCGCTACACTTTTATCCCTGTTGGCGGCCCATGTAATATCCTTTTCCAATAATTTGAGTGCTTGCTCCGTACTCACCATTACAGATGACTTTGGTCTTATAACATCTTTCGAATCCTTTGTAATTGATTCCCTTGAGGCATTGGCCGTAATGTAGTGTTGATCCAGAACCCGCTGATATTTTGTGTCGAACATCGTCCATGCTATCTCGGTTATGGATTTTGTATCGGACATGTTGATAGAAATGCTAAATATGACGATTTGCCGCGCTTTCAGTATTTTTCTCAGCTTGAAGCAGCTGCCGATTTGATACATTAACCAGCGAACTCTACTGTTGATTTTCCGTAACTCTGAGATCGTCCCAAAGTAGGCGCTCCGACTTTTGAAAATAACCTGTTGTACATTTCTGTACGTCTTGCCAATACCCCGTGGTGCTAGAGGGGGTGAAGACGACAATGTGTTGGAGCGGCTGACAAGTAGCATATGCATGCAGTGTCGTATTGCTGGTAAGAAGTCGTCAGGTACTAGTACATAATAGAAATTATCCACAGAGCTGACTCCTATCAATACAAAACGTTGAGATCTGAGACATAGAGAGATGAACGCTAGTCTATATGGTAGAATATGGAGACTGACCAATATAAAAAACGAAGTTTGACATTTCAGACCCTGCTGTGAACATAACTTCAGGTGACAAGGCTCCTTCAATAGCAAGCTCTGACTCTTTGCTTGTACTATATTGTTTCCGCCATTGCCGTTGCAACTGTAACCATGGATGATACTTTCGGTCGGGATCTTCTTCCACTGCCATTAACAGTGAATGCAAGCTGTTCAACCAAAATGTTTTTTTGACTTATAAAGTTTTTATGATAAAAGCAACGAGGATACAGCAGTGAAAAAAAAGGAGGTGGCGGAAAGGGAGGTAGTCGCAAATCTTGGATTTTTTTGATAATACATGCCCCATTTTTGACTCCTTCCACTATTTTAAACCCACACGTCGACTGGATGAATGTGTAGATGCGGTCCTAACCACTTCGCCAATAGAGGGGCGGAAAGGAGTGCAGTAAAGGCCAATAAGGTAGCTAAGAACAACAGACCGTAGGTAACAGCGATGCGCCGTCGTTGTTTTCTTTGGCTCCAAGACATGATCGGTCGTCGGATTTGCTTTCTTGGTCTCAACCAAAAGAGCATCATGGAATGAAGTTGGTCAATACATGGGACCAGAGTAAATGGTGAGAGAACAAAGAGAACCATATGGCCGATGATAAAATCGGTGGTGAACATTGACATTTCTACAATTTTGCATATAAATTCTCGGAAAGGTTGTGTAAACGCTGGAGACACATGACATTAGTGCATGAAATATATATTCAAGAACTCATTAGTGGGATACTTACCATGGCGACCCAGCTGAGCATGATAGAAAATGAGGAAAACTCTGGTTAATGCAAGTATTTCCGGTCATAAACCGCCTGTCCGTTTAACTTACGTTTCTTCCTCTCCAGTTGCCTGTCCACCATCCTCGATTTGTTCCGTCATGGCCAATTTCTCGTGAAAGGAAAATGGCAATGAGTAATTTGAATACTAGCCGTTGAAGAGAAAACGACGCGATCAGTCCCAAGACCACGCGATCAAAGCGCCAATCTTCCAGCATCCAAAACACTTCGAAGAAGCCACAGAAAGTGACGACTGATAACAAGTGCGCAAGACCAGCCATGAACGATCCAAACTTAGTAAATCTTGATCCTGAAAGACAACCCACGACCAGAGATGCTAGGAAGATGGCCAGCAGCGTAACAGCATTGCAAACAATAGGTCCTATTGCCATTAAAATGATACGAAGCAATGCACCAGGCTCAGTAGCGGTTTGCGATCTTTCAGCTGGGTCGAAACTCTTGACGAACAGATATGCAATACAGCAGAAAACAGCTTGGAGGAAAGGTGCGAAGATCTCGGAAAAGAATATCACAGCCAAGTGCGCTCTGGGGCTGTCAGTTGATGTCTTGCTATCACTAGGGTCTCCAAGCTTCTTTCGTTTGTACCCTGTGATCCGAGTTCTAGACAAACGGCAATAAGCAATCCAGGAATTGGCATGCGGCTTGGAATTTCCTCTAGATAACCATCGCAGGAATTCACGGTAGTCGATGATGAAGTCGGTGAATGCAAATTGATGTGGATTGAACACGAATGGCGACACAATCAAGGCAATAACGGAGAACCAGAAGTAAATCAAATGTGGCATCCAAAGTGTCATGGTCACAAAGAGTAGCATCACCAATGTTCGGGCTCCAAAGTACATACTTGGTCCAGCAAATCTTGAGTAAAGGATTGAAAATGGAATTCTTGTTGTTGCAAATCCACGACCTGTCGCAATGTATCTGGCACCACCAAAGTTCAAGTTGCTGAGCACAGCATTAGAGTATATTTGTGTGACAAAGACTTCAAACAGTGGCGAGAGCGACATAAAATGACGAGCCAGCCTGCTTATGCTTCGGGTGAACCCTTTTTCTGTCAGTTCTTGCAGGAATAGTGGTAAGAAGGAGATAAAGAACACCATGAAGATAGACAGAATACAGCGCGTAATCCAATCATAAACCGGCATCAAATTGTAGCAGCCTATTGGAATCAACGGCCCGTTTGGTCTTGCAGGATCGCGATGACATTGAGGTAAGGAGGATACCATGGCACCTACCATGAGCATACAGAACATGAATATCTGGACTGCAAACATGATCAAGATGTTATTGATGTGAAAGCCAGGATGTGCGTAGTAGAATGTCAAGAACCGATCAAGCGGTAAGCGAGTGCCTAGATAGTAGTATTCACGAGAGAGCATTTGTTCACCCATTCCAGTGCCAATTTTTGTAGTGAAGTTGAGGATAGAACCAAATCCTAAGTCTCTGCCTTTTCCACATTGGAAGTACTCAGTGTGCTTGATGCGACCACCACGAAGGAAAGCATTCATTCCAGCGTAAATATCCTCATTGAGATGAAGTCCTTTTTGTCCTTTGCTGACACCTCCTCTGGTAGTCATGAAGGTTGCATTTAAGAAATCCGGGTGACCGTAATGCAATCGGCCACCGACTTTAGCCATAATTCGTTGAGTCAAAGTTCCAAATGTCTGTTCCTTTCCAGCAGCAACATCGCCGAGTACGCCAATGTTTTCGGAAAAGATATATTCACGCGCACCAACAATGGCAACAGGATGCTGAGCGGTTGTACTACTGTAGGGATTTTGAAGTGGCTTCTGTTCCTCAAATTCACCAAAGATGCTGCGAATCTTGAAGCATTCTTCCAAGTAGTTATCTTGGTTTGCATCAACAAGTTGAAGGTATTCTCCACGATAGAAGATCAAGGCGTGATTCTGGTTATCAGATTTACCGTCACCCAAGATGGGATTTCCAGGAAGCCGAATGCGGTACTTTGGAGCACGTTTTCCATTTTCCATAATATCGCAGCGGCCATCCACCAATACAGAGTAGTATACAGTCTCTTCACCAGGAATTTTGGGAGGCTCTTCATCAATGTAGGCAATCTGTAAATCAGGGTAGACACTCAAGAGGTATTCTGCATTCTCAGCTTCTTCTTGGTTGAACTTTGCGTATCGTTGCATGGCAATGACGAAACGAAATTTGCGTTGCGCAATCAAGTCTAGCTCATGCTCTTGCTTATCGAAGTCTTCATCGAAAAGTTTGGCCATTTCTGGGTTTTCAACACGATGCAAGATTTTCAAGGCTTTTGCGTAGTTCATGAACCCAGCAACTGTGCGGTATAAGGTCTGTGCTCTAAGAGATGCCCAAATTCTTGTACGAAGTGTGTATTCTGGAGCTGATGACTTGAAGCCAATGCAATAGAATGGGAGATCATCCTTTTCATCAGAACTTCGTCGAGAAGGGTTGTTATCGTCTGCTGCTTGATCGGAATTGGCAGTTTCTTCCGCAAGAATCTTGGTGTCCTTGACAAAGTTTTCCCATTCCACACTGTGCAACTGTTTGAGGTACTCCAATAGCGTAACGCGTGTGTTTTGGTCTTCCTCGCGGATAATCTCGCGAAGAGAAAGCAAGATTTTTTCCCCGTAATGTGGTACTAAAACTGTGAAAGTAGGTAACTCGGTGACCGGCGGAGGATTTGGCATTGAGGTGCTTGTCAAACTTTGAGCGAAGAACGCCATTCTGCGTTGGGCTTCACTATTTTTTGGCAGAAAGGCATTTTCCTTGTAAGCGGAGAAGAAGGTCGGTGGTTTCAGGACAGGCTGTGCATCCTTTTCCTCTGCTTCCAGTGTTTTGTAAACCAGCATATGAACATGGTCAATGGATAACAGATGTTCACGATACATGGCAATGATCACGGCATTCCAAATCTGAGAGCACAAGACTTTAGGAGCATATCCAACGTCAGTTGTACAGGATGACAAGATCTTGGAATAAATATTCTTAGGAAGCCTTGAATATATGTTTCGCCAAGGGACCCATATTGAAATTCCCATGTGGAATAGCTGCGATACGGAAAAGACGGTATTCCAGATGATGTACCATAGGTAAGTGTCCAGGAAATAGAGTGTCATATCCATAACAAACATGAGAAAGATAGTGAATTCAGGCATACGAGAACACAACCAGTTTCCCAGGATCCTATCAGAGCAGTTCTTGATGGTCATACTACTCATAGAACGAAGAGGATCCTTGAATGAGAGAGTCAAGAAAAAGTATGATTCGAGGAACTTGCAGAGAAATACGCAGATCCATAGAGCAATAGATGTAAGCCTATCACTTCTTGAAAGAGGAGCAAAGCTTGCAGCAAACGTCTTTTCAGGCAGGGTTGTTCTTGAATTGGCATACAAGGGCTCAAATATACTCGAAGATGGGATAATCGCAAAGATAAGCGTGGTAACAATACCAAGAGCTAATTGAACGAGAGACAACATCAAAGACACTGTACCGGTACGCTGCTTATATGCAATAAACACGGTAGGTGCAACGTTAATACAGAATATCAGGACAAGAATGGCTATTCTTCTCAGGAGCTTCCACATGTTGCTAATAGTGGATGGTAAATAGAGGAACTCAGCAAATCCACCTATGAGCATAAATCCTGTTGAAACAGCTCCACCTAATGCAACCACGGAGATACGGACTGGCATTTCTTTGGCGGCGACTAGCGGGTCCTTGCTGAGATAGAGGAAATCAGCGTTGGCAGACATATAATACCAGAACGTCGTAACGTGAATGATCCAAATTCTCATAAAGTTGACTAGAGAGTGAACCCAAGAACGCTTTTCCTTGTAGGTCTTCTGGAACGCTGATTTCCAATTGATAGTTTTAATGGCTGTGTACCTTTGGTCAGGGCGAATGTTGGAAAGCAGTCTGCCATCGTACAATCTGAGGAGCTCGATTGTTTCCTTCCTCCAGAACAACTGGTTAACGTCATCGTATCCAATGATATCTTGATGATCGCGCTCTCTTTTGATGAATTTTCCGTCGACAGTTTCGTAAAGACGTTCTCGCACAAATCGGTATAGTGGTGTGATGACAGTTTCCAAGAAATCGCCTTCTTGGCTCACAATGTCTTGGGAGTAATGTCCTTTACGATAGTCGTCTGCTAATTTGAACAGAAAGCATATACATTCTGATGTGTATCGGACGGTCGCGGCCTCGCCCCACATCAGTAAAAACAAGATCAATTGTTGAGCTCGTTCTTCATTAGGAAGGCTTTCCATTTTGTTTTGCCACAGCTTCTTGGATTCTTCCAACCCAATACCAAGATAACCAGTGGCAGCGTTATCAACATCATCCATTTGAACAGCAAAATACCATTTTGTGTAGTTGGAGTGCGGGCCACCGATGTAGTCAGCATGTAGTGAATGTAGCGCTTGCACAGGAGTCATACGAGAGGAGCGGGAATCCAGCATGGTCATAAAATGGTCATACATATTATTCATGTTGTCTCTTTGGAAACCAAACTTATTGGTCAGGTCAACGAATGATTCCTCTATTTCGTCGGCTGACAATGGTGGGTCGTTTAGATTCCATGCAGGATAGGGTGTCGATCCCATCGGTTGATATGGTGGAATGGTCGCTGCTTTGGAAGGTTTAGTGGTGCTGAATAACAATTGAGACTGACTGCCAGATGCATTTCCTAACAAGGCTAATAACGACTCTGTTGAAGGTGCATACGGCACATATGGACCTTGAAGCGCTGTAGGATCAACTTCAATGCGTGCAACTGATGGCTCTAGATGGCGGCTGGCGCCAGGGCTACCACTTCCTATTTGGGATAACTTAGCGGTTTCTGTGGGAGGCACGGTTTAGAGGTGAAGCAAGTATAAGATTAGCTCGCTTGCAGGAGGAAAGACATCATATTTGACGGCATACCATCGGCTTCATCAGTGATTAAACGGCGTGACCTGTGTAGTCAAAATGAACAACATAAATGTAAAATCCTATAAGCTGATGTTTAGAATTGATGCACGATATCTTACGAGGGATGTTGGGTTGAGTGATTGCTAAGGGTTACTGAGTTAGGTGCGGGTATATTGGTGTTAGAGCTGATTTCGTCCTGGTCGCCCATGATCTACCGAAACGTAATTAAAAACAGGCTACGGCTTTCGAGATGAAGAGGCACGGATGCGTTCATCAATAATGAAACAAAATTAAACAACAACTCATAGTCTACATCACGTTTCTACCATCAAGAATGATCAAATCTGCAAAAGGCTTCATGATAAGTGAAAAATGTTGTGTCCCTGAACTAATACGGAGGCATTTGATTAATTAATATGATGACAAAATTTTTTGCCCAGGCTTAAACAATACACTGACAATATACGGTAAGGAGCCAATCTTTTTTCCAATGCGCTCTATACCGGCGAGAATGAAATTGTTATGGTGACATACCGTTGAAGCCAGGATTGCTCAAAAAGTTCAAAATAATCGTTGACTTGTTTAAATAATGCAAACACTTGATTTTTGGAATATTCGAACTCTTTCTTTTTGGTGTACATAGCCATCTGTTACTTATCACCAAATGAAAAGTATAACACTGATAGCTGCTTCCCTTTTGATATGGTCAGCACAACTCGCCATCGCTGATAAAGCCACAGACAAGAAAGAAACAGCAGATAGTCACACTGTCTATAAGGTGGTCAAGCACATCGATGAAGCGCCTGTTGCTACTTCCACTGCAGAGATACATCCCATTGTTATCAAAGGCTCAAAATTTTTTGATTCGGTTACCAAGGATCAATTTTATGTCAAGGGGTATATATCGAATGATGAAGGTGCAAAGTCATTCTTTTAATTATTTTTACTGACTGTCACTGTAATACAGAATCGCCTATCAACCACGAGGCATGGCTTCTGCAGACACCTTCTCTGACCCTCTTGCTGACCCAGAGATGTGTAAAAAGTCAGTTGAACTCATGAAGCCGCTTGGTATCAACGTCATTCGTGTATATCAGGTAATGTTTGCTACCACGATGTTTAGCTAATTGATAAAGTTTTATTTCTGATCGGAAATCCTTTTCATATACCCTTTCAGGTTGATCCAAAGCAAAACCATGATGAGTGCATGAAGCTTTTCTTCGACGCCGGTATATATTTGCTTTTGGATATCGCCACACCCAAAATGTTCATCAACAGAAATGCACCAGAGTGGACAGTAGACCATTACAAGGCCTATACTGAGACTGTTGACGCTTTCATCGGTTATCAAAATCTGTTTGCATTTTTTGCTGGTAATGAAGTGACTACAAACACTAGTACCACCGAGGCTTCCGCATTTGTAAAGGCGTCCTTGCGCGACATCAAGAAATATATCAAATCGAAGAACACTCGCGAAATACCCGTAGGCTATGCCAATAATGACGACCCGGAGATTCGCGACAATATCAGGGATTATTTTAATTGTGGAGACGATGCAGACGCACGAGTAAGTGGACAAAAAACATATTGTTAACGGATCAATTGCCAGGCTAACATGAAGTCTAGGCTGACTTTTATGGAATCAACATCTACGAGTGGTGCGGAGAATCTAGCTTTGACGAATCTGGTTTCTCAAATCGTACAAAAGAACTTGAGAATTACAGCATACCAGCCATTCTCTCAGAATACGGATGCAATTTGAAAACACCACGACCTTTCAATGAAGTGGAGGCCATTTACGGTCCTGACATGACCGGCGTATGGTCTGGTGGAATTGCATATGAATGGACCGAAGAAGAGAACAACTACGGTTTAGTTAAAATTGAAAACGGTCAAGTCAAGCCCCTAGATGACTATCGTAATTTACTATCATACCTACCATTCGTAACTCCAGAAGTCATCAAGATGGATGCTTACGACGTAAAGCGGTCTCAGCAAAGCTGTCCTGGTATAACAGAGAAATGGAAGTCGCATATTGAATTGCCACCAGCGCCGTCGAGTGGCGCTTGCGAATGTATGGTGAACGCACAAAGCTGTATTACAGCAGAGTCTGCTAATAACGGAAGCAGCATTGGAGCACAAATCGGCATGCTTTGCGGTTTGATGCCTTGCGACATCATTTCAACAAACGCTAGCCAAGGTGTATACGGCAACTACTCATTCTGTTCAGGTGCTGACAAACTCTCTATCCTCTATGGATCGTATGCCGAAGCAGATGCTTCAAAATGTGGATTCGAGGGAAATGCCAAACTAGTTACTCCCTCCCTCATTGGCTCAAAAGATCAATGCGCAAAAATAGCTCCTGGTTCCAATGCACCAAAGGGAGGCGTTGGCAGCAAAGCTATAGTTGAGCAACCAAATGCAGATACATATCTGCTACCCAGTCTGTTTACAGTTTGCGCAATGCTCTCCATTGCAAGCGCGCTACTTCAGATGCATTGATAATATAATGTAAATTTTTGAATTTTAGTCTTGATTCATTATTTGTGTTATATGTGTTATATACAGTTTCTTCATTCAGTTCTCACATACAAAATATGCAAATACAATGCATCCATTAAATGATCCGCATTTACCCCTCTCTATGCATGACTTAACAATCATATTGAAATGGCTCTGTAAATAGCACCGGATTAAGACCAAAGATTTTGCGTCCAGGGCTGTTGATCAGATTGATATTTTTCAGCAGGTCGAACAAATGGCACGGGCAAGCCGTCGCACAGATGTCGGATGTCACTGCCCTTATCGCTTATAGGCAATATAACTCCAAGCTCCCAATTACTACAATGCATGGCGTCAACCAAACACGGCTGCTACATTCGTTATAGAGAAGAAAAGAAGACTTACTTCATGCTTATCTTGGGGCATTTTTTTTCACGAGATACCGTTGCTTTTCCCCAAGCTGCCTGTGTAGCATTGTGACTCCTGTTGGATATTCAGTATCGAATCTATTACCTAAATGAAATCTTTACCAACTCACCCAACGTACACCCAACCAGCGATGTGATTTTTGGGCTGATCTAGTATGGCAACAATGTACTAATTCATTTATCAGATACAGTAGAGACGGCCAGAATTGAAATCAAAGCTTGGAAATTTTGATACCTTGGAATGCATCAGTGTGCCATGGCGATTACTGACAGCATCTCTCATGATGCTGTGGGGAAATGTGGGTTTTTTCCAATTTGCAGTATTAAAACATATTGTACTCGCTCCCTAATGTAGTTAAATAAAGTTCTTACAGATCAGTAACATAAGAGAGCATATAGGGGCGTTTTTACAGCGAAATTACCTCACGCCCAACGTTACTATTGTCGATGGTAAATGTCGATGGATAAACGATGGTGACAGGTGGAATTCCTCCATTTTTCTTATAGCCTTTTTGAATATTGGATCCATCCGGTGTGAACGTATTAATACCACAAAATGATAGGTACAACTCTTGCAAATATGGCACAGTCATCGCTCCTAATGACGAGGTCTTTTTTACGAGGAAAGATAAATAAGATTGTAAGCTCCAGCGAATTATCTGTCTAGTTTCACATCATGACATATACCTGAAGCTCAACCTTCGGCCCATTTGCGACCTGTTCCTGCTGCAATCCGAGTTGTTCAACTACGCTGCACAATCGCGTATGACCAACCTTATACCGCTCGTCTCCTTCATGTGTACCAGACACTGAAGGAACTATATGTGCCTAGAGATGGACTACGATAAGAAATGTAGATCTTGTGTCCTTAACAGGTGATGAATCAAACGTACCTTTGCTTTTGAGAAATCGTAGAACAACAATTCCTTTCTAACGGCCGTAGGAACTCCCATAAGACCCAGCTGCTCGTGAATATCTCCACCAAATTTTGGCAGCTGATCAGCACTTTTTAATGGCCCTTCTTGCAACAATGGGAAATCTTGTATAAACAGAACATTCTCTAGTTCACACCAATCGTAGTCTACCTATTATGAGATGATACGTTAGCAGCGTTCAGCAGTCCCGCCATGGATTGCAAACTTAAGAAATACCTACAAAATTGGCAGATCCAATAACGACCCTTAGAGAAGATTGATGAAAGAGCAACATCAACTTGCTATGGAACACTCCGAAATTTGGGTTACTCATGGGAGGATGTACAACGATTCGTTTAGGGCTGACTTGAAAGGCGGAACCCTGCGAGACCAGCTGAATTAGCACCTACGATGGAGACGACATGCTGTTACGTATGTTATTACCTGTCGGCCATGCATGACAATGCAAACGTTTATATGCTCCGGAAATTGTTCATCAACGAAATCCATGCTGACTACGAAAGCTGTCATCAGTGCTTTTTTAAGATACTTGGCTTCGATAACTTGTTGAATTGTGATATAATCCGCGCCCGTGGTTCCTTTGACGTGCGTGAGTTTGACTACTCCATCTAGATATGTAGGCATGGATGGCTTTCCCGTGTTCTGCTTTTTGAATTCCGTAGCAGCGCTGGTGGAATCGTCCAGTGGTCGCTTTGTCGAGGACCCTAACGTTGCCGCTAGTGTTTCTCGTGCAGTCAGGCTTTCAACGGGTTTTCCAAGGGAAAGAGCGATAGCTTGTCTCAGCTCTTCCTTCTCTTTCTTTTGTTGTTCCAAATCATTTTCAAGCTGTTGTAGCGATTGTTGTATGGCGGCTTCCATGTCATTTTGTTCGTTGTCCGCCATGGTCAGTCGCAAAAGGGTTGGCGAGACAAGAAAGGCGAATTTCGATATTTGTCCGCTTGTCAATTTTTCCCAGCTTTGTCCATCCAGCCGTAATGCTTGTAAGTTGCACTTCGTTCGACTTGAAGTACTTAACGAAATTGGACCTTGACGTAATCTCTTTGCACAGACTGATACTTCTGCGGACTCACCTTCAGAATCATGGAATGTTATTTCGAATGCTGTCAAGAACGCGTTCCTGAATCTCCAGCAACACAATTCCAGTTTTCGTTCAAGGTCACCGGAGAGTAACGCAGGGATTCCAGACCAGGACGAAGACACCTTCTCAGAAAACAGCATTATACCACCAAGTCAAGCAAACTCTCCACATGTGTCAAAAGGCTCTTTTAAGCATAGAAACAACAGCTTCAGTGCTGCAGTGAAAAATCGATCTGTGGAGCGATGGCCATTGATTACAATAGAAAACGACCTTGACGAGAGTATAGAACCTGTCATCGAATATGTTGAAGATCTAATACTTCCGGAACAAGCTGGCTTGTCTCTAGCAAAATACGAAGTTTGCCCTTGCGAGGAAGGCAGTAGTTATAATAACGAAAAACGATTAATATCGTCCGGAGTTGATTTCATTTCTGAATGCGGCCCTTGGTGTGGATGTCGAACGAATTGCCCTAACAGAGTCGTCCAAAAGAAGCGATCGATACCTCTGATATTGCAGCGCATTAAGGACTATGGTGAAATACGGTGGGCTGTAAAAGCTCAAGAAGTGATTCTTAAAGGAACCTTTATAGATCAATACTGTGGAGAGGTTGTCCCTGCAAGAGAAGCCATGAAAAGAGCGATGGCATATAGTGAGGTAAGAGGTTATGTCATGTGCTTATGGTTACTGTTGAGATTCACCCCTGACTCTATGGTCGCTCCATTCATTAGGAGGAAGAGATACTAGTGTTGGACATGTTTGTCGGAATTATTGAAGATGTTCCGCCATTCGCCATAGACGCTGTTACGCATGGAAATATCACAAGGTTCTTCAAGCACAGCAACCAACCAAATACTGCTATATACCCAGTCTTTTATGAATCAAGTGCCTACCACCGCATGGCATTTTTCTCAATCCAAGATATCCAACCTGGAGACGAAATCACTTTTACCAACTGGAATCTGGATGTCTAACCGAAACTTTCTCAATGGCTGATACAGCTATTTGATTACCATTGTCCAGGCACATCTCAAAGCGCTAATGTGAATCATTGTTTGGCGGTTGTGACAAGGAACCTTTTCATTTTGGCTTCTATACCCTTTATTTTGATGATGAATAATAATCATTTACGAAGTTCAGTGCGGTGTGCTATGATGCATATTGGAGGATTTGTATTTAATCTTTGTAGCTGACCACCATGTCTTTCTGGGACCATTTCAAGTTTTGCTTGGTGGTCAGAACAATAGCTGTGCGGCAAGGAATATACACCTGTAGAGTAAATTGTGAGCACAACATTTCGTTCTATCATTTGTACATAAACATATCTTAGGTGGCATTGTAAAAAAAAAACACATACATGAATGTAGTTGGATCGGTTGTTCCAAGGTTCAGGAGTAGTGAACCAGCTTCCATTTTCATCGATTCGGTTATGTCCCATAAAGATAGACGAGTCACTATCTAGTACCAACTTGTACTCTCCTGGTGTTTCCACACCAATGCGGTAATCAGTGAACGACTGCGTTGGATGGAAATTGAAAATGAAGACTAGACCGGCACGCTCGTAAGATACGACTTTATCACCTTCATGTTTCAATGAAACATACGCCTAATGAAATATAAATGAGTACAAACTGGCCAGTAACAAGCTTTCAGCTGAAAATTGAGTTTACCTGGTGAGATGAGAGCCAACCATATGCTGCTTCAGCCAGTTGCATAGCCCGGTCCCACTCGTTCAAGTACTTGTATCTGAGCAAGGGGTCATCAACGACATTCCATTGGCGACGAGCGTGATGGAAGCTTGAGTTGTTACCAGGGCGAGGGAAATCCAGCCACTCAGGATGTCCAAACTCATTGCCCTCAAAATTAAGATAGCCTTCTCCACCAAGACTGTGAGTAATTAATCTAAAACAAGGTGTGAGATTTCAGGTTCTAGTCATCTTTGTGAATTAATAAAAGAACAAACCTGATCATCTTGTGTAAAGCGATACCTCTGTCTATTATTGGGGTGTTTGGTGACAATTTGCTCATAAAGTCGTACATTTCCTTATCCATGAGCCAGAAAGCAAGTGTCTTATCTCCGACTAAAGCCTGGTCGTGCGACTCAGCATACACAATGTTTTTTTCCTATGGCCCAAAGATGTCAGTTTATATTCCTTGACTAGCATAAAAAATTGTAATAGCGGCTTACCAAATGGCGACGGTTTGTCAAGGTGTGAATAACTTCGCCCATTTTCCATTCGTCATCTGATTGTTCCTTCAACATCTTGATCCACATATCTGGAACTGCCATGGCCAGTCTGTAATCAAAGCCTACACCGCCTTCTGGAACAGGGCGACATAACGCAGGCATTCCGGATACATCTAATATGTAAAATAAATGTCAGTCATCGTCAATAGGACAGCAACAACCAGTGTGGTGGTTAGGATAGCTTTACCTTCAGCAATGGTAATAACGTTGGGGTACAGTTGATGAAGCATATCGTTTGCTAACATGAGATACATGACACCTTCTTCATCGACTGATTCATTGAAATACTCGCGATAGTCTCCAGAGAATCCATATCCCATACCGTGATGCTTGTAAAGGATACTGGTTACACCATCGAAACGGAAGCCATCAAATTGAAACTCATTCATCCAGTAGCGGAGATTGGAAAGTAGGAAGCGTAGAGGTTCATATGCTCCATAATTGAACAAACGAGAATCCCACAAGTCGTGGTTTCCTTTACCACCACCATGGAAATACATATGATCTGTTCCGTCAAACATATTGAGTCCATCATGAACATTCTTTGATGCGTGTGAATGCACGACGTCCAAAAGTACGGTGATGCCAAGGCCGTGTGCAGTGTCTATGAGCTCCTTAAGGTCTTCAGGGTCGCCGTATCGAGATGATGAAGCAAAGAAAGATGTCACTTGATAACCGAAAGATGCATAGTAAGCATGCTCCATAATGGCCATCAACTGGATGGTATTATAGCCAAGGTTGGCGATACGAGGTAAAATATTTTGGGTAAACTCCTTGTATGTTCCAACTCTGTACTCGGAGGTTGAGATGCCGACTGTCAAAAAAAAAAAAAAAGCACACTTGTGAGGTCGTGTCCACCTTGTAAACACAGTACCCAAAAGACACTTACCATGAGCTTCATAAACCCGGATACTTTTTGGCTTGGGTGGCTGCTTGTTTTTGAACACGTATTGCTTGCCAGGATTCCAGAACACCGCTTCATAATTGGGATTGACGTTCAAATCTTGAACAACCCTCTTTGACCAAGCAGGTAACCTATCTGCCCTCTCGCCAGAGTTTGGCATGACAAGTGATATCTATATTCAAAATACTGATTGGCAAGGCGTATTTGTTTTAGCGTGAGGGGCAGATTGGCGTACTTACTTTGACCTTGCTATTGTGGGGAATAGCAACACTTCCATCGGACTTTGGCGGCACAACAACGGAGAAAGACCCATAGTCATCTTTCTTCATGACGTTCGCTCCATGGTCCCAGTTATCTGAAAATGACAGCTCAGTATTGACCCATGTATGTATTTTTTATACCTTCTCCGATAACTCACTGAACTCTCCAATAAGGCTAGCGCCTGTTGCATTTGGCGCCCACTCTCTATAAAGCACGCTGTTATCCTTCTGCACATGGAAGCCAAAGTAGTCGTATCCTTTGGTGAAGTTCTCGTAGCCACCGCCAGATTCATTGATCATCTTCTTGTATTTTTGAAACAAGGCATATCGGTGTCTGAGAGCACCAGTAAAAGGCTCCAACCAAGGATCCAGAACGGCCACACCAGTGCCATCGGTTGGCATGGTCAAAACGCGACCAGGTTCAACTTCGGTTTGAAACTTAGATGCATTGCCCGAGCTATGATTTGATTCAGTAAGCATATTGTAATAAGCAACTACGAATGTAAGAGGAAAGGGAGAGCTTTATGATAGTAGATAAAGGGCAAAGCGTATTTTAAACGGATATAATAGCAGTCCTCGTAATCGGCGTTGATCTGAGAAAAAAAAAGAATCTAACAGTTGGGGCCGTTCATGTATTGCCTTGGTGGGTGCCACAAGGCTCGAAACCCCTATCAATGCGATCTGCCAGCAGCGTTCTTTCCGGCTATTCGCCCAAACACCACGCATTCTAATAGCGAGTTCCCTGCTAACCTATTTCTTCCGTGAACCCCACCCGTCACTTCCCCAGCTGCAAAGAAGCCTGTATATTTTGTATTTGTTTGTGTCGTTAGTACCAAACTTGATCTCTTTTTCACGCCTCAGTTACTTCTAGCCCACGGTGACAGCTACTTACCTTTAATAGGAGTGTATTGGTCCTTGTTGGCTTCCTTCAGCACACGCGCTCCGTCGTCAATCATGAGTCCTCCCATAGTATAATGACAACTTGGTGTGACCCTTGCTACCCAGTACGCCATGCTATTGTTCAAAGTGGATGGGAAGACCGATTTACCAAATTGGTCGCTGCCGTTTTTAGCCTCAAGGTCGTACAGGTCAAACTGCTTGCTAAGAACGCTGGGCTCTAACGCCATATACTTGGCCAGTTCCTCAATGCCAGCGAGCTGATGAAAAAGACCTTTGTGCTCGTAGAAGCTAATCGATGCACGGTCGTACTTGTTGACAGCCTCTTCACTCATGATAAGATAGGCGATAGCAAGTGATGGATCATGTCCACTGGTACAGTGTTGGAAAATGTCATTACTGACGACATCTCTTCTGCCAAGTTCGTTGGTAAACCGAAGGCCTTTTGCGTTCATTAAAATACCTCCGGCTGCTCGAAGCGCTTCCGGTGCGAGAAACTTGGTATCAGCTCCGGGATCGTTAGGATCTACAAACCCCGTCGGATGCACTTGCACCTTGTCCTACAACAATCCATATTTGGGTTATAGCCATAAAAAATAGAAATCTCATCGAGTCCGTGCATTAACGTACCATGTCTTTGACAGCAGCACCGACATCTTGGCCAAGTTTTATACCATCTCCTGTTGCCCATGGCCCATTCGTCGTCGCGAGATGGGTCACTTGCGGCGCAAATTCCTTCAACACCATGTTCTCTTTATCTTTTGGTTTTCCAGCATATCCGCCACTAGTCAATATGACCGAGTCCGCTTCGACAAGCTGATTATCTTGAAGTAACACCCCCGTCACTTCGTCTTGATGTGTGACCAGTTTAGCCACGGAGGAGGACAACATCAGTGTGATATTCTCATCTTGAGCCTTCTTTTGCAAAGTGCTCATGATTCCCCAGCCTACTGGAGTTGTTCGTCCATTTGGATCTTGCGCAATACGGTGTGTTCGCGGTCTTGAATGTCCTCCACATTGTGAGACGCTACGCAGAGGCACTCCTTGCTGTTCAATCCAATCAATTGAAGCACTACTTTCTTGCACCAGTGTTTGGACCAGTGTCTCATCACATAAGCCTCCTCCGGACGTCAGCGTATCCTTCATAAAGAGGTCGACACTATCTTCAATATGCAAAGCGAACTGTGGTGCTGTTGGGGCTCCATTCATGCCACTGGATGCTTTGGCTGAGTTACCTCTAAATTTGAAGGCGTAAGCTAATAGAAATGGATATTCGTGTACTTCCAGTAAGAGCTTACCCTAATTTAGCTTCCTTTTCAATAATGGTAACAGCAGCGCCTGCCGCGCGCGCTTCTAGTGCCGCGCACAATCCGGCTAATCCACCACCAATGACGACAACTTTCCTTGACATTTCCTGTTTCTGATTCTTACGGTAAGTCGAACCTATTAAAATGGCAATGACTACAATGACAAGATGCCAGAAACGCATAAAAACGAAAAATTATAGAGATTCAAAAACTGAGTTTATTTGCAGTTGTGGAAGAAAAGATGCAATATCAGCAAACATCCGAAACCTAGGGTGGCATGATTTTTTTCTTCCTTAGGGGTTTATCTAATGTACTGTACAATCTGAGAAGAAGTATTAGCGTGCGTGTAAATAACTTTTTAAATGGTGAGTTGGCGCCGCCTGCCATTAGAGTGCACTATGGGTTGTATTGAACTTCAGCTCTTCCTCTGCATGCTGTACTCGTGCTAGTGTGCGAACAACTTCTGCCTTCCAATTAACGTTCATCAAAAAGACAACTATTCCAGCTCCTGCGATGAACAAAGCGAGTGTCAAGCCAGTCCAAATACCGTGCAAACCCCATCCAAGTTTAAAGGTTAGCACATATGCGATGGGAAGTGCAATCAAGTAGTAGGCGACCAAGTTCAAGATGGCTGCAATCTTCTGTCGTCCGAGTCCACGTACTACACCGCCGCAAACACCTGCTGCACTATCCGCAATTTGGAACAGAGCACACATTGGCAGAATGGAGGCAACGCGACTAACAACATCTGGGTCGGAAGTGAACAGATATCCATAGACATTACGAGTGGCTAGGAAGAAGCAAGAATTGAGCAGACCAAACACAACAGCAAAAACCATAGCCATGCGGGCTGCCTTTTTAGCGTTACTGGCCGCGGCGCAACCCAATAAGTTGCCAACTCGGTTTGACGCAGCAACCGAAATACCGAAGGGAATCACGTAGGTTGATTGAGCAGAGGTCAAAATAATAGACTGTGCCGCTAAGTCCGTCTCGCTTAGGTAAGAGGCTGCTAATGCACTTATTTCCTAGAGAAGAAAAAGTTACGGCGGTCAGCGGTGTGCAGAGCATGACGCAAAGAAATGAAATAACATGACTTACCCAGGACCACCACTCACTGCACACCATGAAAATACCTGGAATGGCCAGCTGAATGAATGGCCACCAATCCTTAAAGGCTTCCGTAGACCAACCTCCCCATGCCTCATGGCCTCTAACGAACTTAATGTAGAGCAATAGCAAAATCAGCTGTAACCAATAAGTGAAGCTGGTAGCAATAGGAGCTCCAATAAAACCTAGGGAGATAGGCTCGTACCAAACCAGGAGATAGTTGTTGAGGGCATTGATGGGGGCTACAATAAGCAAAACCCAGGTTGAGGCATTCATGATGCCTTGAGCTTGGCAGAATTTCTTTACACCTTCGAATGCAATATTGGCTGGTGCGCCAATTAATAGGTATCGCAGGAAAAGTCCTAAGAAAATGGAATGAAGTTCCGTTTAAAACCAATGTACCACATATGCACAGCCGCAATAAGATTTATGATAGGAGTACTAACCGGCATGCTGTGCTAATTGCTCTTCTTGATTCAAAGCTAGCAGAATGTCAGTTGCTCTCCACCACACCATGGAAATTGGTATAAACATGATACCCAAGATGATCAGGGCTCGCTGGAGATGGACACCGACTAAAGTTTTATCTGATGCTCCTGTCCAGGCTTGAGAGAGCATGGTATCTAAAGCGGTAGTTGTGCCTGATGCAAGACTCCACGCTGAAACAGCAGCGAACATATTGGCAAGAGCAGCTGCAGCTAATTCAGTCGGACCCTATAAGTAATAGGTGAGCGTTGCTATTCCAATCGGATCAAAGATAGAGTATAAAAGACAATGGACTTACAATATGTCCAAGAGAGAAGACACTGGCCATTTGCAAGGAGGTCTGAAGCATATAGGTCAAAACAATGGGTAAAGAATTGGTAAAAAGCCAATGAGCTTCTTTCCTATAGGACGTTGGAGACGTCAAACTGTCGTTTGCCTTTGGAACGAGGGGTGTTCTCTCATTTTGAATGGTTGTGACCGAAGAAATCGAGTGGTTTGAAAGTATTGACGACCGGCGACGTCCAGCATTACTAATATCTACCGATGAGGAAGACATGACGTTTAAGCTGTCGAAAGAACCATGACTCACAAAGAAAAAAAAGGATTTGAAGACGGATTTGTAGAAACAGTCCCATGCACGTGCCCGAGCCCCATTTTGCATCTCATCTTGAAATTTCGCCACCAGCTTCTGAGCATTTGAACATTGGGTTTGCGTTGTACTGCCCAAAGCTTGATATGCGAGATAAGAAACAAGCAATGCTGAATAAGAAACCGTGGGTGATTATAATTGCTATTCCCGATTAGAGTATTGGTACCACCTCTTTATGTCCTCCATACAGAAAAAGACCGCATTTGTCACTTTAAACTCTTTACAAATTGTTGTAGACTCCAAATTACATTTAGGGTTTAACAGTTGAAAAATACAGTAACTGGCTGGTTGCCTAACTATTACAAGTCTGCACTTTTAAGTGTCAGGGTTTCGAAAATTTTATCATACTTAATATGCCATTCGAAGCACTCTAGCACATGCATCTATTTCTTCTTTACTGACCCCTATCGTATCACAGCATGCTTGGTATTGTACAGCTTTCTTTCCGCTGCTTATAAGCGAATGAGTCTCCGGCAGGGCATCAATGATGGCCTTGAATAATATCAATGTCACCATATATAGTTCAACGCTGTCCAGCATCCCCATTGCACTGTCAGACAGTTCAAACGTTCGGATGATCTCGAGTATATCCTTCTCTATGGAAATATCCAACCCGATCTGTTGTCGAATCAAACCATAGCTATTCAATGCATTTAAAAGTAAGTACTACTTCAGAGACCGCATGCAATCATCCCAATTCCACTTACGTTTCCATTACTTTTTCGCTGAAAATATGCTTTCTTAGATTATATTCCTCAGAATAGTAGGGTTGTTCAGGATCTGTGGGTGCAGGCGAATCATCTCCATGCCCTTCCAAGTTTCGTATGTATGTTCGAGTCCATCTAGTGCACATCCGGTCGATTAAAGTCCAAATTTTACCGAAGAATGTCATTTGCGGAACAGTGCTTTTCTTAGCCAGTTTGGCATTCTTCTTCCTTGTTTGTTGTACTTTCCGAGCTACCTCCGAGGGAACCACGACGGTAATGATCTGATTGGAATCGTATTCTTCCGATGCTTTGCCCGACGACGTAGATGGCGTCTTTGCCTTGTTCGTCGACGAGGCTTTCTTTGATAGCTGCTTAGACGACGACCTCAGTTCAACAGTAGGCATTGGTATTTCTTCTTTCACCTCTTGACTGGTCATAAGATCAAGTTGGTCCTGACAATTCTCTACTTCATCCAATTTGAGGTCTTTCAACATCATCATGGTTTTCATTGCGTTTTCTGCTATGGCCGCGTCATCTAGCTCCACATTATCAAGAGCAGGAACACTAACTGCCTCGTTTTGTTGCGGCCGTAAAATGAGTGTCGTTGGCTCCTCTGCTGTATCAATAGACGCAGCCTTCTTGCCTTTGAATTGTATTCGGTATCCTTCGATTTCATCATACGCGCCAGACTTGCTCTTGGACGGCGATGCTAAGTCAGGTAAGTTGATGGGTTGAACAGCAGTGGGTTCCTTCTCTACGATTTTAAGCTCCATAGGAGCAGGCGCCATTGCAGATAAAAGATTTTCCACATATGCTTTTCTAAGCTTCGAGCTGTTCTGCTTTGATGATTTGAGGGATTTCTTACTTTTCGCTATTACTTCACTGTCATTGGAGAAAAATTTAAGTACATCAACCACAAAAGGAGGGCTCAGTCGAAATTCATTCTCGTACCTGACGTTTTCATGCATCTCAATAACTTCAACATCAGCCCATCCTATATCTCTTGACCAAATAGGTATGTCGGATAGCTGAGCAGCATAAAATTTGCTTCTTTGTAGACAGTCAATACTACAGAATGTTGAGAGTTCCGTTTGATCGAATACTTTTCGTTCACTCAAGGAGATCTTGTATTTACTGTTCATAATTTGTCGATTGTTTGAGCACATTGGATACCCACACCAATCCTCTATGTTCCTTTCTTCAATTACGTCTTCATAGCCGGCTGGCTGTATATACCTTGCTGCTTCTATCATGGTCGCTTTGTCAACTGTCTTTCTCGAGAATAAAGCCTCTTGCCATTTGAATGACGTATTCTGAGCCTGGAGTCTCTTTTCTGCGCTTTCCCTGACTAGCTTCTGTTTAGCGGTGGGCGGGGTAGCTTGCTTTCCTGGTGATTTACCAGCGCTTTGAGCGACAGCTTTGCCATTCTTACGCTTCGTGGGTGATTTTTTCGACCCTACGGTTGAACTCTTGCTGGAATTGGAAGCATTCTGTGCTGAGTCACTTTGATTAGAGCTTCCAGCTAGTGGTGAAGAAACTGCTGGTGCATGCTGACGATTACTTGGTATTGACATAGTGACATGAATGGTCTGCTGCGAGACGAGGTGACTTTCAATTTTTGCTCAGTTTTTCCTCTGAACAACCTGAGTTGAGTTTCATATTTGGCGACAAGGAAATTCAAAGTAATGCAGAAATTGACGTGGTATGGACTGGTATGATGTACTTAACGAGTACTGATAAAAAATATTCAGTAATTCAACTGTGGCCTATATCTTCAAGCTAGTGTCGGATTGCTATGATATGGTACCGCTTACGAGATTGGGTTGATGGATAGATAAGTCGATAACAATCCCAACTTCAATTATTTCGGTGGAGAGCATCCTATATTATATTGCTTTATGCATCCTGACTATAAAAATAGCACAATACATATCAAAAAATATCAGTCTATTCTAGATAGGCAGCTAACCTCGCAGCATATCTTATGACGATATGACTTGATAAATCATCAGGAGAGCAAGGCTCATTTTCGTCCTGAGTGGCCAAAGCAGCCGTAATCATCACGCATTATATATCATAGTACAGTAATGCGTTATATTACTGACTTTCTATCGTCTCAACTAATTATCGCATGAGCTACATGAAAAGCATATACGCAAATACAGAACCAAAGAAGTGCAATTCAAGCTTCCTGATTGGCTGAATACCATCAATCGATACAAAAAATGGAGGCGTTCATTGGGAAAATTTATAAAAAGCCTGAAGGGAAGAGGTAGATTGGACATCATCTTTCTCGCATAAAGCAAACCAGAACAATGCAAAGCACATCAACTACACCGAAAAGCGAAGACTTGTCATCGGACGGGAATGATATCCATTACATCTTACCAAGCGATGCTTCTGAGACTGAGCGTCTTCGTTTGAACCATTCTATGTGGAAGTATGCGTTGGGAGGGTGAGTAGCTAAACGTTTGGTTGTTTTTCTTCAGATATAACTTCTCTGACCAGCCCTCCACTTAGTTTGCAAACGGCACCATTGCATGAAGATCTCGAAAGAGGAATCAAGGTTCTAGACATAGGATGTGGCCCAGGCTGGTGGTCAATTGACATGGCAAAAAAGTATCCAAACTCTCAGTTCATAGGGATCGATATAACCGCCAATTTTCCTCTGGTTGAAGCACACGATAATATTTCCTTCCAAGTCATCAATGCCGGAACAGGGCTGCCTTTTTCTGATGGCGAATTCGATTATGTTTTCCAACGCTTTCTGGTCATGGGATTCTCTGTGGATCAGTATCGTTTGGTAATCAAGGAAATCAATCGAGTATTGAAACCAGGAGGTACTATTGAAATTTTGGAAATGGTTAGCAAATACAACGATGCTGGACCGTGGTTTCAGAAAATCGGCAACTGGAGTAAGTGTCCATAGTAGTGTCGTTAACAGTTTCCATAACGCTAACTAATCTCCAATATCAGTTGAGAAAGCTTTACATCTGAGTGGCCTTGACCCTACTATCGCTATAAAACTTGCAGGCATGCTACAAGATGCAGGCTTTTCACATGTTACTGATAAATTGAGACGAATTCCAATAGGTGAAGACCACAATAATATTGTTACTGAACTGTTTTTAACTGAACCCCTAACCATTCTGTTACCAACATGATAGGTTCCTGGGGAGGATCTCTGGGCGAGATGTATCTGGCTATTCAAAAATTGGCACTTCCTGCTGTAATGACAATGGTAATCCATTTGGGAGTGACCACAAAAGAAGCATTCCGCGCTGTAATGAACAAAGCTATTGAGGAGTCATCTGAACATAATACATCTGGAGACTTTCATATTGTATGTGCAATTAAGCCCATCTTTTGAGAATATTCTGTAAAATGTTTATAATAAGAACTTTTGCAATAAATACAAGTATTCCTGTGTTTGTCAACAGCGGTATAATTAGGTGAAGCTGGAGAGTCCTCCGTCGCATGCCATGGCTTGTCCAGTTACAGCTCCGGCTTCCACAGAAGTAAGATATGCCACTGTATTAGCCACTTCCTCAACGTCAATGGGCCGATTCATAGGTGATCTCTCTTTGATCCAATCGATCAAACTATTTTGTCCACCACCGCCTGTGAAGCCCGGGCCCCATGCGGTTGTCAATACATGACCAGGTATAACCACATTCACAGTAATGCCTTTTGGAGCTAGCAACCTTGCATATTGTCGCATGTAGTATTCCATAAGTGCCTTTCCAGAGCCCGGCAATAAGTAGCCAGTACGTGGAGGACTATTGGCATTACAGCCTACATAAAGGATGGTAGATCATTAGTTTTGATAGCGAGATGAGCAGAAAAAGCCTTATCACTAACCAGGACTCGATATTCCAACTATTCTTCCAGTGTTATCCATGCGCTTTGCACATCGCTCGATAGCTTGAGCGAAAAACATGCCATACAAATTTTGGTAGTACAGTGCTGCCTCGGACCCCTAACGATTTTTTCACTAAGTATTGAATTGTATGAAAACGTAGTATAATCAAAGCCGTACCTCAACACTATCGATGCCTAACTTTTGAGCTACTTGCTGACCAGGAAGGTACAAGCCTGCATTGTGAACGAATACTGACAATTTGTGATCGGGAAATTTGGAGTCTATATTGTTGAAAATCTCATTCAAAGCCTTTTACATGGGAAAATATGGATCAGTTGTTATTCTACTTTAAACTGTACGAGCCCTTCGTTGAAAGCCACATACATTTTGCGTTTCTGCACAATCCAGCCCAATTTCATAGTAAATTACTGCGTCCGTTCGTACTTTACTGAGTTCGGCTACGCTGTCTTCACTTGGCGCATTGCGACACACGATCATAATATCATGCTTTGCTGCCAACCGCTTCGCTATACTTAAACCTATACCTCGAGAACCACCTGTAACTACTGCTAATGTTGGATTAGGAGTGACCATGGTTGTAATGTTAAGTTTTAAAGCTAGTGAGAAAGGTACAAAAGTTCGTGTAGTTTTGTATTGAGCAGTTGGCACGTGTGTCACAGCAAACCTCAGCCTCAAGAAAATGACGGGGTTCCATCGTTCCCGAGCGGGCCGATGGGAGATATTGGCCAACAAGCTGCCAAACTATTAAGATCTGCCAGATTTCATTTATTGATACTTAATGTGCGTAGATGAAGCTTTTCAAACATTTCGCTATTTCAATCTCGCTGATGGTGCATTAGTTCGCGGGATACTGCAATACTTAGCTAAACAAGGCCAATCCACAATAGCACAAGACTTACGTACTCACAAGTAACTAATTGAACAATATATTGCATTGAATTGTCGAAAATTTAAAACTTTTTTTACCGTTGATTGTACCATCAATCTGGAAGAGAGTATGCGTCATAGTGGACGCGAGAGAAAAGTAGCTTTGCATGAACATGGTCCCACCAATTGTGTGTCTTATGATCCATGGTTTCCCCAATGACCCCTACAGTGACCTCTACAGTGTTTCGTAGAAGCTATTGAACATACGGACGCGTTTGCCTGAGTAATTTTAAGCTGATGGAATTCAATGTTTCATTGAATAAGACAATGCTTTAGCCACACACCTCATGACGTAACAACTTCAAACCTCGGGTGATTACAAAAAAATATCTCGCCAAATCGTTCTCATACAAAGCTTTCCCTTCTCAGCTTTTTCTAACATTGCATTTCTGTCGACATGGAAGACAATGCACCATACCTTATTGTCAGAGAGATAGAAGAAACGGAGTATATCCGATTGTTTGCAACCAATGTTCCTTCAGAAGCAAAATACGAAGAAGACTCAAACTACGAAATAAGCGACGATGAATCATACTCAGAAGAAACCGATTCCGATACTGACTTCGACGTCTATGAGTCGCATTGGTTTCCATCTCTGACGAGGACATCATATATTGAGTTTTTGGATGACAATGCTTTCGATGAAGACGTGGGCAGCTTTGACAGCGCACATCCTCCCTTTCAAAATCTGATTTCTGCTGTTGACGCCATCATTGAAGAACTGGACGACAGCGACTATGATATGGAGGATGCCGATGATTCACTTTCTGGAGTGTCTTCCGGAATCAAGCGGAGCAGTCCGGACAGGAACTGGCCACGTAGACGTAATAAGGCGCAAAGACCAAATTCAGACGCAGACAACGTCGAAATAGAGGTTCACTATGTCCAATTTTGACATAGTGAAGCAGTCCATGTGCACCACGCCAGCAGCACCATGAACGCCTTAAACTACGAAATTAAACTACGAGAAACATATCACTTTCCAAACGATCTCGTCCATGTTGTAGACGAAAGTAGCACACATCAGTTATAGGTTTGCAAAATGGAATATGCCTGAGAAGGCGATTCCTGTCGTATAAATGACCTTGCTATCCCATACTTCAACAATTTCACCTCCCTCCTTCCTTGTACATAATAAATTTGTTTCCCGCAAAGCTTGGTTGCAGCATTTGAAGCGGTCGTCAGCGGAATCAGGTTCGCGCAGTTGGGACTGCGAAAAAAAAATGATTTCAGTTGTATGATTCATTCTGGCGCAGACAGCCCGATCTTCGTTATGGCAACAGGTAGGCACAATTTAACTCGAGCTGTGAACAGTACATTAACAGCTAAACATGGAACACCCTCTATAGAAATAGAAAAGCAAGCCGATTCGGCTCCATTGGATCCCAAACTTTTCAACGCTGTTGAATGCTACCACCGATTCTTGCAAGATCCGGTAAAATTCACGAATTGTCTTTAACAGGCTCATTCCGACTACTATCTAACCATTCAAGTAACAGGATATGTCAACGCCGGTAGCTACATTCAAGGTTTTCACAGAATTCATCAGATGCAGTCAAGGTATAGTTTTAAGCTTCTTCCTTGCTACAAGATTCGGCAATCCATTAATATTTCGTATTCGTATTTAGCACCAACCATGACTGAATTTCTGGAAACCTTGCGCCAGGTCGGCGAGACGATCCAAGATGCTTCAATATATGATTCCAATGAATGGAAATCGCTCAATAACAGCAGAACGCGTAATCCACACAAAGCAACAATCGCTACCCTTGCTGGAATCCATTTATTCAACCAATTTGTGCGTCGAAACTCCAGCGACTTCACGGTAAGCAACCATGAAATGTCAGACAATACAACCTACCTTATAACTGATGATGGTGGATCGTTTAGGAATTGGAGGATCTTAAAGCAACCCTTCTCAACGGATCAGCACGTATTTTGGAAAAGGCTGCTAGCGCTCGTGAACGAGTAGCTGAGACTGGTGCTCAATTTGTGCACGACAATGCTGTCATTCTTGTACACTCTTACTCTCGGACTGTCATGAATGTACTGCAGTATGCTGCCAATGTTCAGAACAAACGATTCAAGGTTTATGTTACGGAAGGAAGACCAACTAGTGATGGGTAAGCAAACATTAGTACAGCTTAGAGAAAGCTTATACATCCGCTGACGAGTATATAATTTAGATTGGTGGCAGTTTCTGAATTGCAAGCTTCCGGGATTCCATGCGCCGCTGTACTCGACTCTGCAGTAGGCTTCATTTTGGACAAGGTGGATATGATATTTGTAGGCGCTGAAGGCGTTGTGGAAAACGGTGGCATTATCAACCAGGTATTATGAGAATGAATAAGCGAACATTAGTATGCCAAACTTAAGATCGGGTATCTAATTTAACCATTGTTTAGATTGGTACCTATCAAATTGCTCTTGTAGCAAAGGCGTTGAGCAAACCTGTCTATGCTATTGCTGAAAGGTATGTTTTTGAAAAATTGTTGACTATGTTCTTCCATTTCGTACTCACGTAGATTTCGCATCTCCTAGTTATAAGTTTGTTCGCCTTTATCCACTGAATCAGTACGACCTTCCTTCGATCGTACCTGATATCGTGTCATTCAGTACTAGACGAAAATCATCATCAAATGCTTTAGACCTCGGTGAAAATCATTCCGTTGATCTTGCTATGTCCAACCCAAGCGTTGATTACACACCCCCTCAATACCTTACGCTGTTGTTGACAGACTTAGGTGTTCTTACCCCTAGTGGTGTTAGCGATGAGCTGATCAAGTTATATTTGTAAAAATACAATAGCCAGTATCTTTTTTTTTGTGTAATACATGTTTTTAGACCATCGATGTGGTTTACAGGAAGTGAGTTGTAAGCGTACATGATTTTCATTACACAGCGTAGTGATGTCTCCCTCACGTGCCCAATATGCCCTAATCACCGCGGGCTTTCCACCCTCTGGACGCGCTCCAAACAAAAAAGCAAATAAAAATGTTTAGTGCGAGTGAGTTTAAGAAACGTCAAAAAAAAAGTACACCAAGTCAGTGAAACATTGAGGGTTATTATTTTGAACAAGGAAGTATTAGCGATAATCAAGCAAAAGATGTCCATATGATGATCGTAATACAACGCAATCAAATACCCCGAGAGGAATATAGGATTTCATTTTAACCGTAATCCTCCCAGCTATCTCCATTTAGCCACCACCAAATCGCACATGTCAAACAGCATCGCTATAGGCATCTCAATACTGCCCGCCATTTGGCCACCAGAACTAAGGTGTTCATCAATGATGCATGTTAATACAGGAACTCCAATGAGATCAACTTCCCCACCAACGTTAAATTAATATCAAAGGATGAAAAGAAAGAGAGACTTCCATGCAGGGCTGCGTGCTGGGTCATGTGGAGAATTCCCAGGCTCATTTGTGGTCTGCTTTTTCATATTGCGGCTAGTGGCAGTGATTTAACTGCGAAGGAAACGGCGGTACCATGAAGGAGGGGTCATTGGGGAGGAGTAATAATTGCTGTACCGTTAGTGGCGCTTTTTCCGTTTGGTCCCAGCTGATGATCACTTTAGTCATCTTTTTGGCAAGGCTACTCTCGTATGAAAAAATTATTCCTCTGTGTATTTCTTTACAACCAAACCATGACATCGTTCTCTTTATATTACTCAGTCCACCTTCGATATTAAAGAGGTAAATGTTATTATGCTTTACATATCACATTGATATCAACAACAACAACATCAAGCGTTCGGTAGTACTAGTATTCCCATTGCAACCAAAACAAAAATTAATTCCACGCACGATCATGAGCGGTCCCGTTCCTCCAAGTAGTACATGTAGCACTTCTCCACCATCGCTTTTCATTTTTCTCATAGGTCTGGGGTAGATTGTGGTACCATGTGGCTAGGTGTGCGACGACGATTTCATTTACACGGTATAATATGAATCATGCAGGATTATGGGAGATAGTAGGTTTTTAATATGGGTGGCCTCCTTGCCAACGTAAATTGTTATGCTTCCTATATATCGATTAAATTGGATAATGACACGTTTAGATAGTTCATGGTACGAAATGAAAAGAGATCTGATTTTCCTTAAACCGCTGATGTGATGCCGCCCACACAGAAAGCTTTTTATTCTCCTTCGTCACGCTCATAAAAAAGAGGGAAACGTTTACCGTACCTGACATTCAATCTAGCCGTTCGCTAAGTGACACAAAAAGGGAAAATTAGTCCCGTTATACAGTACGTTAGATATCCCGTTCTGAACGCTTAGCCATCGAAAACTACCTACATCAATACAGTGAGTTGCACAACATATTGCAATTCGTATATAAAGCCCCAAAGTTTCATTCAGAATAACTCCATACATTGGAGCAATACACACAAATGGTTCTCAAAGCCTGTGCACTTTCACTGTTTCTTTGCGCAACCGCATTTGCTGCCCCAACCAAGCAGCCAGCTCTGGTAGCTCGAGCTGGTACTTCATGCAGCACCACTTTATCACCCTCCGTATTCTCGGGTGAAATGTGGATTGACACCATCGGGCACAACGGTACCGCCGTGTATGGCCCATCAGGCTATACTGTCTATCGTAATGTCATGGATTACGGTTGTAAAGGTGATGGTGTCACTGACGATACCGCCTGTATCAATAGTGCCATCTCTTCTGGCGGTCGCTGTGGCAGTGGCTGCAGTCAATCCACTACCACACCAGCTTTGGTCTACTTCCCGGCCGGAAAGTACTTGATCTCCTCACCCATTGTCTTGTATTACTATACCCAAATGGTTGGAAATGCTCTGAACCCTCCAACTTTGCTCATGGCTCCCGCCTTCAGTGGTATTGGTTTGATTGATAGTGATCCTTATGGTGCTAACGGAAATTGGTATGGCGATACCAATAACTTCTATCGCCAAGTGAGAAACTTCATTATCGATTTGACTAAGACTCCCGCAACTTCCGCTTCTACTGGTATTCATTGGCAAGTTGCCCAGGCAACATCTCTGACCAACATCGTCTTCCAAATGTCTACTGCTTCAAACACTGCTCACCAAGGTGTTTGGATGGAAAATGGTTCTGGAGGTTTCATGTCTGACTTGGTCTTCAACGGAGGAAAGTTCGCCATGTGGGTTGGAAATCAACAGTTCACTTCTAGAAACTTGACCATGAACAACTGTCAAACTGCTGTCTACATGAACTGGAACTGGGCTTGGACCTTCAAGACTCTCAACATTAACAACTGTGCTCTCGGTCTCGATATGACTGCTGGAGGTTCTTCTGCTCAAGCCGTTGGAAGTGTTACTTTGCTCGATGCTACTATCACCAACACTCCCATTGGTGTGCTTACAGGAACCACTTCATCTTCTCAAAACAAAACCTCTGGATCATTGATCCTTGACAACGCTGTCACCTCAAATGTTCCTATTATTGTTAAGGGAAGCACTGGTAACACTATTTTGGCTGGAAGCACTGGTAGCAAGACAGTTGCTTCTTGGGGTCAAGGTAGTTTGTATAGCTCAACATCTGGTACTGGTGCATTTAACCAAAACACTTTGACTGCTCCCACAAAGAGTTCCAGTCTCTTGGCTTCTAATGGAAAATTCTTCGAGCGTCCCCGTCCTCAATATGAGAACTATCCTGTTTCAAGCTTTGTCTCTGTTAAGGGTGGGTATCACAACAGTAAAGGTGGTAATTGACTGTACCGCGGTGACTGACCATTTTTTCTCACACAGCATATTCCGCAAAGGGTGATGGTAGCACTGATGATACTGCCGCCATTCAAAATGTTCTTAATATGTTTGCTGGTTGCAAAATTATTTACTTCCCTGCTGGTTCCTATATCATCTCTAGCACCGTCACTATACCTGCTGGTTCTCGTATTGTCGGTGAAGGCTGGTCTGTCTTGATGGCGTCTGGTTCAGCCTTTTCATCTGCTTCAAACCCACAGCCTATGCTCAAAGTCGGTAACTCTGGAGATACTGGCACTGCTGAACTTACAGACCTTATGTTCTCTACCAAGGGACCTCAGCCTGGTGCTATCCTTGTTCAATGGAATATTCGCGATCCTTCTGGTACCCAAGGTGCCAGTGGAATGTGGGATTGCCACTTCCGTATTGGAGGTGCTGCTGGAACTAACATGCAAAGCGCTCAATGCCCTGCCGGTTCAACTTCCACATCCGCTTGCACAGGCGCTTACATGCAAATGCAACTTACCGCATCATCTTCTGCATACCTGGAAAATGTTTGGGCATGGACCGCTGATCATGACCTTGACGGTGCGAACCAAGTCAGCATTTACACTGGTCGCGGTATTTTGATCGAATCCACCAATGGTCCCGTCTGGTTGTACGGAACTGCATCAGAGCACAATGTAAGAGTAGATATTGATAATGTGCTGCGCATACGATCAGTGGACTAACTTTTTACCTTCAGGTTCTTTACCAATATCAGATCGCATCCGCCAAGAATGTCTTGATGGCTATGATTCAAACTGAAACTCCATACTACCAACCTGCACCACCTGCACCACAGCCTTTCTCCGTAAACTCTGCACTTTCTGATCCAACATTCTCTAACTGCGCTGCTGGTTCCAACACTTGTGCTATGGCCTGGGGATTGCGTATTGTTAATTCCGCTGATGTCTACGTCTATGGTGCTGGACTTTACAACTTCTTCTACAACTACGACCAGTCTTGTCTCGCTACCGGAACCTGCCAGGATGCTATGGTAGATTTGGAGAATAACAGCGGAAACGTCTATTTCTACAATCTTAACACCAAGGCAGCAGTCAACATGGTCACAAGCAATGGTGTTTCCCTTGCTAAGAACAACGATAACTACAATGGATTCTGCTCCACTGTCAACGCTTTCTTGGCTCAGATTTCCACTGGAAACAGCTCAGGTGGCAGCAGCGGAACAACCACTTCAGCATCTTCCACTACCACTACCAAGGCTACCACCACTACTAAGGCTACCACTACTACTACTACAACTACTACTACCAGCGCAGCTACTACTACTGCTGGAACTTGCGGTTGCAGTAGCGGTCTATCATGCTGCGGTTCTCAATGCTACAACCCCAGCCAGTACGTATGCTACGGTACCAACTTGTGTCCCTCCGGATACCAAATCTGCGGTAAGTCATAGAAACATATCTGCTCCTTGCTTGATGCCCTTATATTAACTAAAACATTTTTTTATCGCAATAGGTACCGCCTGCTATTTGACCACTCAATACTCTTGCAGCAACGGAAACTTGGTTCCCGTTTAATTCTGAGTATAGTGCTTAGTTTTGGCTTACCAGCCTATGTTAACTTATTATAGGTGTATCAAATGTAACCCATATATATATATATTTTAAAAGACATGACACTTTTGCCATAAAAATTAAAGAGTTGAAGAACAGTTTCGATACAAGTTACACTTGTATTTCATGCCCAAGTTCATAAGTCATGGTTTATTGCGTGGACCACGTCATTTTAACGAAAACGCTGAAGTTTAGCACTGGGTTGAGAAAACGGTGGAATAACGCCGACATACCCTCGATCGAAAATTGGAACCACTCTCGTTACGCTGCGATAATGTGTATAAAGTCATAAGTTGACGGCCAGTGAAGAGGAATGTTCACAATATCTTCAGCATATGAAACGAGGCAGACGATCTTCATGGATGAAAAAACCTTCACTTGATGCACCTTTCAAGTGATCTATTATCTTCTCGAAGGAGACGGAGTATAACCTGTCAACAAGCTCGTGGACACGGCGGTCGAAAATGCCGACAAAAAGGCTTGTGCACTACGAGCCCGGATATCTTGAGTCGAGCAAGATACGCCGGACTATAGACAGGAAATAACGACTTGGACGCTTCGATCTGCATGGACTGAGCGCGTCCTGAATACAAAAAGCTAGATATAATGCACCAAAAATTGATGCCAAGTATACGAAACTACAAAGCTCTCCTGTTTAGAGAAGTACAGGTGTCACGTTCTCACCCCTCTTCGGTCGGTTTTTTTTATATTCTCTCCTGTATAGATGTAGAGGTAATCCAACATAACGTTTTGGAATGGGAAAGGCGAGATGGATGACAATGTCGAAGAAAATAAGCTATTTTTCTTTTAATCTTATACAATACGCACTAACTTAGCATGTGGGGCCTTCTCATGCATTTGTCACGGTGTGGCAGATAAGGCTTGCTCGTCGCGGAACATCATTCGCTTGATTGGAACGCCGCCGCGCAAATAAAAACCGGCTGTCAAGCGCATTTGCCGGATCAACCACTTTTTCTTTTTACGTTTATTTTACTGTCATGTCTGTCAAGTCTCTACCAAGATTGCAAGGCAAGGTCGCTATCGTCACCGGTGCTGGAGGGTGAGTGACTTTATCTAGTACGATTGAGCGCAGTATATGATGTCCGCCGTATTTGCTCACACCTCGCCGACCTACTCTACCTCATTCTTTTTAAATAGCGGTATCGGACGAGAGTCTGCTATCCTCTTCGCTCGCGAGGGTGCCAAGGTTGTGTGTGCGGATATCAACCTTGAAGGCGCACAGGTTACGGTTGACAAGATTACAGAGCTTTTTGGAGAGGGAAACGCGATTGCATTCAAAGCTAACGTTGCCAAGGAAGAGGAGGTCAAGGCGCTAGTGGATGCTGCTGTTGAAAAGTATGGCAAGTTGAACGTCATGTTCAACAACGCTGGCATCATGCACCCTGCTGACGATAACGCTCTCAACACCGAGCAAAGTATTTGGTATGTGTTATAAATATACGCGTGAGAAAATTGTGTACCTTCGCCATGTGTAGCTGACAGCCCCTTATGATATGTTATGTAGGGATTTAACTATGGATATCAATGTGAAGGGTGTTTGGTTCGGATGCAAGTACGCTATCTTGGCTATGCGCAAGTGTGGTGGTGGTTCCATCATCAACACTGCAAGCTTTGTGGCCATCATGGGTGCCGCAACGCCTCAATTGGCATGTAAGTTGGCTTAGCTATGGAGCATATAGACAGCATTTTGCTGCCGATATCTTACGATTATCCATGTTACCTATAGATACCGCATCCAAGGGTGCTGTTTTAGCCATGACGTGAGTTTGCAGCACTATATGAATCTAGTAATCGGCCCGATGGGACTAACTTCAAACTCCTTCTTAGTCGTGAGTTAGCCATGGTTCACGCGCGAGAAAACATCCGTTTCAATTCTCTATGCCCTGGCCCTATTCGTACTCCTCTCTTGATGGATTTCCTCAATACACCTGAGAAGAAAAACAGACGTTTGGTTCATGTTCCTATGGGAAGATTTGGTAAGTGTGCAACTGTCGACGTTTGACGGTTAGAAGTTAAACTAAGTGACTGTGCAATCGATAGGTGAACCAATTGAGCAGGCTCAAGGCGCACTCTTCCTTGCTTCTGACGAAAGTAGCTTCGTAACCGGTACAGATTTCAAGGTAGATGGTGGACTTTGCGCAGCATATGTTGTAAGTATTTGGTATGCGTGCAGCTGACTTGATCGGTTTATCATCATTCTAACATTTGCGATAGACTCCTGAAGGCGAACCCGTCGGTGAAGCCCCAAAGAACTTTGTTGCATAGATGTGTAGCAACTATAAATTGAAAATAAATGGATAATTACGGATGTTCAATGACACATACTTCAACCTGCTCAGCATAAGTCTCTGGTTGGTGCCCATGGTGTTGGACCAGATCAGTCGTGTCAGTCACGTGCAGCAAGCAACCCAAAAAAGTACGTGGCGAGGTTATGTTTGAAGTCGTGCCTGCCTATACCTTGTCCGACCGAATCTCGGAAAATGGAGACGCCTGTCATATATTATGATAGGGCAGAGTACATAGAAACCGTTAGTACTTTGATTTCAGACCTTATTCACGTTTATCATCCTACTCATTTCCCAAAATTAGGACACTGGCAATAAAGTCAGTCGAAAGTCTGTCATTTGCGGCAGCCAAAATATTATTCTTGGTGGCAAGGTACAATCTGCTTCCTTCTGAGCTCCCAATCTGAAAATGCGAATACTAATCTTCTGTCTTAGACCATTATTCAAACAGGATGTGTTATCAGAGGCGATTTGCGTAGAACCGGCGGAGGACACACGGTGGTTGTGGCTATTGGTCGATACTGCTTGTTAGCACATGGTTCAATAATTCGACCGCCGTACAAGACCTACAAGGGTATATTTAGCTACTATCCTATGAAGATCGGTGACCATGTAACCATTGGAGAAGGAAGCATAGTACAAGCAGCGACTATTGGATCCTATGTTACGATCGGCAAGAATTGTGTAATTGTAAGGCCTCAGGACGCGAAGCCGCCGGTTTACACGAACTTCCGTCGGAAGACTCACTAATCTGGCTTTCCTTTTGCAGGGTCGATTCGCCATCATAAAGGATTGTTGTTGCATTGCAGACAACACAATTATACCACCCAACACTGTTGTACCATCGTTCTCGATTTACGATGGATCACCAGGTGAGCATAGCATTAAGCATAGGCGATTTGCCCCAATTTCAAGTTATTTATACATTTAATTCTACAGGGGCATATAGAGATGAACTTCCAGAGTGCACACAGGAACTATATGAGCTGAAGACAAAGGACTATTATGCAAAATTTACACCTAGAGACTGATAATTAATCATAGTATACCAGCCCACTGTCACGATGTAAATTATTTCCAGATGCCAATTGTAAAAAAGATCAGAAAAGCACCAAGAGGCGAACGCATTATGATTGCTGAAAAGAGCATCTCAGATTGGACGTGAAACGTTATTACCTTTGATCACTCGGTAAAGTCGGGCCTCAGCGGACTTTCTATCCGCTGCGCAAACCCGTCCTCATTGTACTGATTTTCATCTGCTGTGAACCCTAAGGGCGTTGAAAAAGCACTTGCAATTGGATAATGATCTATTTTGAAGCGAAAAAGCTTAAATTCGATTTTCGTCGTCTTTATAAAGATTATGGCGTCTCTGTTTTTAGTAAACCGCCTCAACTTGTGCGATGTAGTGTGGCTCAGGTTGAAGCTGTTATATTTAGGAAACGATGCACCTTCCACGCTGCTAGCTTTTACCGAGTATTGGTCTATTACTTACTTTATTACCTTTTGTCTCATTGTATTTCCTTGGTCGCCAATTCAAGTCATGTCTAGTCCTAAAGGATCACCGCAGCAGATTCCTCTGATACAATCCCAACGCACAGACGAGGCACCATTCCATTCCATCAACATACCCACTACTCCAGGAGAGCGTTCAAGGACCGGCACTTTTGATCAAAAAGACTGCAGGATTTGTCTGATGTTGAGCAACGAAAACGACCATCAAACCACGGCATTTGACCCACTTATCCGGCCATGTCTGTGCAAAGGATCAATGGCTTACGTACACTTGCAATGCTTGCAACGCTGGCGAAAAGAAAGTCTTAAAAACCAATTCACCTGCGAAGTGTGTCATTACCAGTACAACTTACAACGACCTTTCTGGGCAAATGTGATAGGCTCATCTTTCCTGAAGATTTTCATCACCATTGTGCTTGTCCTCGCCATTATAGTTGTGCTCTCGTACCTCGTCAAGGTCATTGATGTGTATGCAGTTCACCACTACCCCAACCCTCAAGATCCCAACTGGCTTAGTTGGCACGGGACGATAGTCATAATGTGGCTGGATAGGTTTTACGTTTTCGTCGGTGTGTGCCTGACCGCTTTCCTCGGCTTAGTCTACATGATCGTATCGATTGTGACAAAGCCTAGTGGCAGCTTACCGACGACCATGCCATTTTGTGGGTGTTTTGGACCAATGGATTATGGAGCTGCCGCCATCATATTCATCGTTCTATTTGGAATCATGGCTGCTGCTACCGGTGTTTTCCAATTAGTACATAACTTGCTATCAAAATTGTTGAACCGAGCCCAGGAGCGTATTCTTGAGGTGACAGAGGCTTGAGCTTACCTGGAGTAGGCGTTGGATCTTTGTCAAACAGCAATCTGCCATATACATATGCATACAAATATCTCAGTCAGCGACAGAACGATCACATCGTTATCGTTCTTGGTGTGAAGGAGACATTGCAAAAACTACACTGGAAGTCATTAAGTGCATGTTACAAAAGTGCATTTTAATTCGATAATACTCTATAAACAACTCCCGAGTACGGGTAATAAAAAAAGGAAATGAAAAAAGTAAAATATTGGATTCCATATTTAAGCCAAAGTGCCGAGCACCAAAGCAAGAAGAGCCATTCTAACGTAAAGTCCGTAACGCATTTGACGGAAGTAAGCGGCTCTTTGATCGAAATCAACTTCAGGGTCAATTTCATTGACACGGGGCAAAGGATGCATGAGAATCATTTGAGACTTGGCCTTGGACAAGACGTTGTTGTTGATGATGTATGCATCCTTGACGCGATTGTACTCCTCTTCGTTGGTGAATCGTTCCTTCTGAACACGAGTCATGTAGAGAACATCAGTCTCACCAATGACATCATCCAAGCTAGTGTACTCGTTCATCTTGACACCAGAGCGGGAGAGCTCAGTCTTGACATCGTCGGGCAAACGAAGAGATTCGGGAGCAACGAAGTTCAAGGTGACTTGGTAGTAAGCCAAGATGCGAACAAGAGAGTGAACAGTACGTCCGTTCTTCAAGTCACCAACAAGAGTGATAGTCAAACCATTGACAGTACCCAATTCTTCACGAATGGTGAAGACATCCAAGAAAGCTTGAGTAGGGTGTTCGCCAATACCGTCACCAGCATTGATGATAGGAACCTTGCTGTACTTGGCAGCGACGTCAGCAGAACCAGGTTGAGGATGACGAAGGACAATGAGATCACCATAGCAACCAAGAGTGCGGACAGTATCAGCCAAGGATTCACCCTTTTGAACAGATGAAGTGGTACCACTGACAGAAACAACTTGACCTCCGAGACGAAGCATAGCAGCTTCGAAAGATGAAGAGGTGCGAGTGGAAGCTTCGAAGAACATGGTGGTCATAACACGGCCTTGCATCAAGTTGATAGATCCATATCGTTGAACCAAAGTTCTCATCTCAGCAGCAACACCAAAGAGCATGTGCAAATCATTGCGGTCGAATTGCTTAGAGCGAAGGATATGCTTGCGGTAGAAGGGAGATCGGCTAACCAAGCGAGCCAAGGAAGCAGAGATCTCATAACTATCAGCGCTCTGGTAAGGAACGAGTTGATCATCGCTGGCCTTGAGGGGCTCGTTGTCAGCTTGAGGACCAACAACGTCAGACTTCTCGCGCTTAACATCCTTAGGAGCTCTGACGGGAGTCTTGGAGGACTTGAGGCTGTGGGAAAGAGCAGAAACGTTGCGACCTTCCTTGCCTTGAGAGATGTTGGATCCATCCAAGAAGAGAGTGGTACCACGGAGAACAACACGATGGACTGATCCGCTCATGGGCTTTCCAGCAAATGGAGACCAAACCTTGTTGTCAACAGGAGTGACATGGACACGGTCGATTTCAACCTCGATGTAAGTATCGGGTTGAGGAGACAATCCAAAGATGCGGCTTGGGTTGTCATGCATGCGCTCCTCAATGTCTTGAAGAGTGAGCTTGCCTTGGCTGACAGCAGTAAGCAAAAGAGGAAGAGCATCAGCGACACCAGTGGTGGCAGAAGCAGACTTTCCGAGCTCCTTAGCAAGGTTATAAGGCAAAGAGCCAACAGAGAAACAGTCAATGCTGCTGAGGTTCTTCCAGATGGCGGCTTGGTCACGCTCAGTTGGCAACAACTTGGAGCCAGTCTCCTCAGCGGTCAAAAAGAGCGAGTAGACGGCAACATCACAAGTAATAGCCAGACCCTTTTCCTTACTCATGCGAATCAAACCAAGATCATCCTTGTTGGTGACGTTGGAAACGTGGACAGGACGGCTGTGCAAGCTGGCAAGCAACAAGATAGAGGCGAGATCGGTACCCTTGGCATCAGTGACAATAGGGCTGCCAGATGGCCATGAGGTGAACAGAGAATCAACAACAGAGATCTTTCCAGATCCAATCTTCTCGGTAAGAGCATAGAGAGCGGAAGCTTGATCATCATTAGATGTGAGCTCCTCAGCGTTCTCAGCAGTACCAGCAATGTTCAACAAGTAGTCGATATGAGCCTTATCACGGACATATGCGGTAACATCAGCCAAAGTCTTGGTAGAGTCAACACCGTCAGGAATGGCAGAAATGGTGGTGAAACCGCCATCAACAGAAGCCTTGGTGACATCTTCGAAGTCTTCCTTAGCAGGGACAAAGGCACCAACGTTGAAAAGACCAGGCAAGATAGCACTGGTGTGGCTAGTCTTGTAATCAACACTGCTAATCTCGAAAGGCTTCTTGCGAGCAAGTGCCTCAATGAAGAGCTTGGCGCACTTGACGTTAGTGAGAAGAGGAATGGAGTAGTCAACAGCCATACGACGAGACTTGTAACCCTTAGACATGTAAGAGGCAGGACGACGGAATCTGTTGCGAGATGGCAAGTTGATGTACATATCAATCAAGTTGTTGGATAAATGCTGTTGAAGAGAGTATTCGGCCTTCATCTTGTCATCACCGGCACCTTCCAAAGTCTCAAGATACTTGACAGGGATCTCATGCTCCTGAATAAAATCGGCAGTACCAGAAGTGGCAAAAATGTTGTAACCCATCTCGTGGAGTTTCTTGATAGAAGGCAACATCTCTTGCTTCTCCTTGAAGGAACCAATAGAAAGAAGGATGTTCTTCTTGGGAAGAGTGAAGCCAGTAGCAAGAAGAGACTTGAGGTAAGCATCATACTTATCAGTACCGAAACAGGCAACTTCACCAGTAGAAGCCATCTCAACACCAAGGACAGGATCAGCACCAGAAAGACGGCTGAAAGAGAACTGAGGAACCTTGATACCAACATAGTTCTTGGGAATGACAACCTTGGGATAAGGAGTAACCGGCAGGCCAAGCATGGCGTGGGTAGCCATCTCGATCAAGTCAACATCAAGAACCTTGGAGACGAAAGGAGTGGAACGAGCGGCACGAACGTTACATTCGATGACCTTAATTTCGTTGTTCTTGGCAATGAACTGAATGTTGAAAGGACCGGTGACGTTCAAAGCTTGACCAATCTTAGCAGTGGCAACTTCAATCTTGCGGACAGTCTCTTCATCCAAATCCTGAGGGGGAAGGACGAGAGTGGCATCACCAGAGTGAACACCAGCGTTTTCAACGTGCTCAGAGATGACATGCATGACCATCTTTCCTCCAATAGCAACAGCATCCATTTCAATTTCCTTGGCTTCCTCAATGTACTTGGAAATGACAACAGGGTATTCTCTAGAGACAGCAGCAGCCTCCTTAAGGTAGGCGTGAAGATCATCCTTGGAGAACACAACGTTCATAGCAGCACCAGACAAGACGTAAGATGGACGAACAAGGACTGGGTAACCAACGTTCTCACAGAAAGAATCAGCCTCAGTGTAACTAGTAAGTTCCTTCCAAAGGGGCTGATCAACACCAATCTTGTCACAGAGACGAGAGAACTTGTATCTGTTTTCAGCACTGTCAATCATTTCGGGAGAAGTACCAAGGATCTTGACGTTCTGGCGGAACAAAGGCAAAGCGATGTTGTTGGGAGTTTGACCACCCATGGACATGATCACACCAGCGGAGTTTTCAATCTCGTAGATATCCAAGACACGTTCAAGGTTGATGTTCTCGAAGTACAGACGATCAGCTTCATCGTAATCAGTGGAAACAGTTTCAGGGTTGTAGTTAACCATGATGGTCTTGATACCCTTTTCACGGAGAGTACGGATGGCGCGGACAGCACACCAATCGAATTCGACGGAAGAACCAATACGGTAGACACCGGAACCGAGCACCATGATACCATTATCGTTGAATTCAATATCGTGCTCAACAGCGTTGTAAGTGATATACAAGTAGTTGGTGTAAGCAGGGAATTCAGCAGCAACTATAAGAAAGTGTAAATATGAGGGGTGATTTTGTAACATTTCAAACCGCCATTGAATAAATTAGCTTACCAGTATCGATCTGCTTAACGAAAGGAGTAACTCCATATTCTTGACGAATTCTGCGAACGGCAAATTCATTGCTGTTGATTTGGTTGGCAATCTGGCGATCAGAGAAACCAAGTTGCTTGGCAGCACGGAGCATGTTACCGGGAATGTTGTTAGCAGCAAATCCTCCAAGACGGTTCTCGAGATCAACAATGTGCTTCAACTTGTTCAAGAACCACTTGTCAATCTTGGTGAGTTCCCAAATACGGTCAACGGTATAACCCTTGTGCATAGCATTAGCAATAGCGAACAAACGTTGATCAGAGGGGTTGCTCAACTCGTAGTCGATGTTCTCGTCATCAATGAAGTCATTGGCAGAGAAACCAACAAGATGGTAATCAATAGCACGGATAGCCTTTTGGATGGTTTCCTCAAATGTTCTACCAACAGCCATAACCTCACCAACAGACTTCATGGAAGAAGAAAGGGCAGTGCTGACACGGTTGAACTTCTTCAAATCCCAACGAGGAATCTTGACAACGACGTAATCGAGAGAAGGCTCGAAGCAAGCACAGGTCTTCTTGGTGACACTGTTCTTAATTTCGTTCAAGGGAATACCGAGACCCAACTTGGCGGCAACGAAGGCAAGAGGGTAGCCAGTAGCCTTGGAGGCAAGAGCGGAAGAACGAGAGAGACGAGCGTTGACTTCAATGATGCAGTATTCCTTGGAGAAGGGGTTAAGAGCATACTGAATGTTACATTCACCGACAACACCAAGATGACGAATGACATTGACAGCAGTGGTACGGAGCATGTTGTAGTCTTCATCAGAAAGGGTTTGGGAAGGAGCAACGACAATGGAGTCACCAGTGTGGATACCCAAAGGATCAAAGTTCTCCATGTTACAGACAGTGATACAGTTGTCTTGGCAATCTCTGACAACTTCGTACTCAATTTCTTTCCAGCCCTTCATTGACTTTTCGATCAAAACTTGAGGAGAGGTGGCAAAGGCCTTGTTGCAGAGAGCAACAAGTTCAGGCTCATTGTTAGCGAAACCGGAACCAAGACCACCGAGAGCATAAGCAGCACGGCAAATAACGGGGTAGCCGATATTCTTGGCAGCAGCCAAAGCTTCGGGAACAGTGACAGCAGAGGCAGAGGGAGCACACTTCTCGTCAATCTCATACAAGGCTTGAGCGAAAAGATCACGATCCTCAGTAGTGATGATAGTGTCGATTTGAGTACCAAGAACCTTGACACCAAGACCTTCGAACTCATCCTTCAACTTGATACCGACGTTCAAAGCGGTCTGACCACCAAAAGTGACGTAGATACCTTCGGGCTTCTCGTATTCAATGACCTTACGGACGAAATCAGGAGTGACAGGAAGGAAGTAAACCTTGTCAGCAAGACCCTTGGAGGTTTGAATGGTGGCAATATTAGGATTGATCAAAATGGTGTAAATGCCTTCCTCCTTCAAAGCCTTGATAGCTTGAGAACCAGAGTAATCGAATTCACCAGCTTGACCGATGGAAAGACCACCGGAACCGAGAACAAGAACCTTCTTGACATAAACTCTGGGGTTACGAGCGTAGTTATCAGCCTTCAAGCCACCAGGCATGGTGACAGGAACAAGCTTGCCTTGATCAGCGCACTCCTTGGTAGTGTTGATGAAGACATCGAACAAGAATTCAGTATCTCTGGGACCGGGAGTGGATTCTGGATGGAACTGAACGGAGAAGAAGGGCAAAGTCTTGTGCATGATACCTTCGTTGGAACCATCGTTGGCATTGACAAAGAGCTCTTGGAAATCACCAGTCAAAGTGGTAGCATCAACGGCATAACCGTGGTTTTGGGAAGTGATATAGCAGCGTCCGGAGATCATGTCTGTGCATGGAATGTTGTGACCACGGTTACCGTACTTCATCTTGAGAGTCTTTGCGCCAGAGGCAAGAGCAAGAAGTTGGTGACCCAAACAGATACCAAAGATGGGCTTCTTAGCCTCCTTCAACATGGTACGAATGTGAGCAATGGTGCCTTCCACCATAGTAGGATCACCAGGACCGTTGGACAAGAACAAACCATCAAAGGTGTCAGTAGGCTCAGTAGTGAAGTCATAATCCCATGGCACGACCTTGAGTTCGACACCGCGGTTGACAAAGCAGCGGATTTGGTTGTACTTCATACCGACATCAACAGCAAGAATACGAAGAGTACGGCCACTAGCGGTCTTGACAGCCTTGGAAGGTTCAGGGCAATACAACTTTGGCTCCTTCAAAGAAACTTCAGCGACCAAGTTGCGAGTATTGGGATCAACCCATTCAACATCCTGAAGCTTGTCTGCCCAAGATGCTTGATCATCTGAAGTGGAAATACCGAAAGCAGAAGCAGCATTGTCCAAAACGGAGCTAGACTTGGGGAACAAGATCTTGGAGAGGAGAACACCTTGAGTTCTGATCTTCTTGGTCAATGCACGAGTATCAAGGCCATAGAGAGCTGGGATATCGTTCTCCTTCAACCAGGTTGCCAAGGAGGAGTGAGCCAAGTAGTGAGAGTAATCCTTTGCGTAATTACCAACAATAAGACCAGCAATGTGGATTTGGTTTGACTCAAAGTACTTTGGAATATCTTTGAGGAGATCGTCCATTTCTTCACGGGAGGGAACACCATAGTTACCAACAAGAGGGAAGGTGATGACCAAGATTTGTCCTCTGTAGGAAGGATCCGTCAAAGACTCTGGGTAGCCGACCATACCTGATTTTTATCATGTTTGAGTTTCAACATCTTTACGTCAAAGAGCCCAAAAAAAAAAAAATTTTTTTTTGGTGTGTCCGAATTTTTTGACTCACCAGTTTGGAAGACCATTTCACCAGAAATGCTTTTCTTCTCGGAACCAAAGGAGATACCTTGGTAATAAGAGCCATCTTGCAGAGCAAGTGTGGCAATGGTGAGATCCTTCTCTTCACCAGTGAATGCAGTCACGGGCTTGTGGGGTCCAGCAGGGGTCTTAGGGGTGTTACGTTGAAGAACCCGAGAGTTAGCAGCAGGAGCAGGAATGCTGTTGGCAGCAGCGGTAGCATGGGCAGTTCCAGCAGCTTCAGTAGGGGGAACAGCGAAGGACATGGTGTTGTATATGTGTATGTATAAAGATGAGATGCGAAAAGTCTAAAACAATGAAGAATGAAGGATAGTTCCTTTGTAAATTGGAGTGCAAGGTGTCTCGTAGGATGGGATAACACGAAATGACAATTGCTGCTTTTTAATAAGTAGTGAGGGTTAGTTTAGGCAATGGTACGAGGCATAACATGAAAAGGCAGGCAGGCATACTTTGTGTCTTGAGATTGAGAAGACGACGAACAGTTATTTATTTCGCAAGTAAAGCTGTCAGTCGAAGAAGGATCGAACTGAGCAGATCCGTTGTAACCCCAAAGGCGTCTACAATTTATACTTCTCTAGTCAAGAAAAAAAAAATTGTGACTGCTATGATTCACCAAGATCGCATTTTTTTTCCATCTCAACTCCGCACCCGTCAGTCACGGCCTTTTCAAACTCACTGCGGTCATAATCCCGTTGGCTTTCCACTTGATTGGGTCGGCAGTCGAACTACTACTCCAATGACGAACTGGTACCATGATAAACAGGTCAATAGGTTGCTTGCCAAACGAACTGAAAGAAATCGACTACCATACCATTTAACAAAAAAATTTTATGGGGTGTAATCCAGGCTTAGCCGGTTCAATTGAGCCACGGATGGTCCGGTAACCACATTAGATGGCATCGCGCTCTTTCATTTGTTGACCTTCCACATCTCTACGTTTATGCCACTGTGGAGCGATACCATCTATGAAATCAATATCGCGCGTGGTATACAGCATTGCATAGTTACGGCAGATGTAATTCTCGTCCCTTTCGTGTTATTACCATACAAAAATCAGTAGCCACTGGGCAATAGAAGCCTTCAGAACCCATCGCGGTTGTCTAACTCCGCTGGTCTTGATCAAATTGTTATGTTTTTGCAAATTCTTCGATTTCTTCCGTAAATGCCGTTGAAACCTGGAAATGTGATATGAAGCTCCCTCTATGCACAATGTAAATTATGTTCCGAAATGGTTATCAACAGCACATTTCAGCAGCCTAAAGTTCATTCTGTATAACCTGTATATTGTGTCGATCCATAAGAGTAGACCAAAATGTTTACTGTCGGTGCGACGAATATTGCCGGCAAATGAAAAACATTTGTCCAGATGAAAAATAATGGTCGCAAAATTCCTGAGCTTTTTTTATTTTTGCTTGAATATATCTTATTGTTTTTGGTTTGAGTCATGTAAAGGTCTATATATTACGATGATAGGCGCTATAACCTGTACGACGAGAAAGGTACGGAAGTTTATGGTTCAATGGAGGGTGTTTTAACTGAGACAATCAATCCTAATGTAGTTCTTGAAGTAAAACCGATCAAAGCATATGTAGAAAATCAAAACCGCCTGAGAAGATTGATGAAGACTAAACCCACATTGTCGGTGGACATTGGAAATTGGAAGAAAAGCTGGACATAGTCCAGTTCCTCCCGTCATATACTCAGCCGTTGGATATATGGCAAATTAGTTTATTGTTTCTTGTGCCCATCTTATATATGCATCCCGTCCTCACACTGACAAAAATAACTCAAACACATGCCGAGGCAGCTTGTTTTTTGGATGAAAGTTTCGATCTATGAAATGAACTCCAATGTGCGAGCGGAAAGTCGACGCAATGCTCCATGTTGAGCTTCGATATATAATGAACATATCTACAATACCTTTTCTGGTGGTCAGAAACCACGTCAAAGTCTTTTCCACCTCGATACTAACTATACCGCCGTGGTAATAGTAAAGAAATAAAATTTACCATATATAAGCAACCAACTTATACCTCAGTGTTTTTGAATTCTATTTATTCCCTGACATTTTATATTTAATAACTAACATCGCAGCTTTTAGATCATAATCCTCCAGCTTAAAAAAGTCTGTCAACAGCAATTTTTTCATCATTAATTGTCCTCATAATGAGACAGCCTATGAAAACAATGAAGTGTCTTCAAAGGATATTTCTAACATAACAAGGCAATATACGACTCTACATAAGTAAAATAGGACTAGAGCGTTTACTCAATTTGCAGCAAAAAAAAAAAGTGGGGCATATTAAAAAGGCTCAGAAACTATGAAGACGTGTAGACTCATGTCGTTGAATTGATCGAGAAGACCTTATAGGCCGCTTTCCTGGACATATTCAATCGTTCTGTCTATAATCTCCTCTTATTGCTTATTACTGTACTTTCTGTATTCTCTCTTTGCAGGTTTAATTAGCATTACTTTAGCTATCCTTTCTACAGCAGATTTCTCAGGCAGTGTTGATTTTCTCCCAAATGCTTTGGTCGGTTGGTCTTTTCAAGAACCACATTAGGATCGATTACCTCGGTTATAACTCTTTCCGTTGGATAATGAACTTCCGTACCTTTCTGATCATACATGTCATAGCGCCTATTTTCGTAATAAATAGATCTTTCCATGATTCAAACCAAAAAACAGCAAAGGATATTGAGTAAATCGCAACCACGACAATTTTAAGCTAATCTCAGGTTTTTCAAACCTCACGTTGCCGACAAATTGGTTTTTAAATGGCGACAATCTTCCATCCTTCCTGCTGCAATTACCAATCAAAAGAGGAAAAAAAAAAGCACTAACAAGCGGACATTCATAAGGACATCTTGTAAGTGCAAGTCTTCTGTAAGCCGGATATCATTCATTGGATCAGTATTTTCAAGTAGTTTTGGTGGAATAATATTAACAAGTACTTTTGGTTATAACATTGTAAGTTTGGCCAAAGGGTAAACTTAGCCTCAACAAGACTGCCCTTTGATCTGCATTTCAAATTCCGCTCAAATTTTCAAGGTACCATTGAAGTCTGGGCAAAGGTTCACAACGTTGCATGCGGTAATCTCTAAATCAATAGCACAATGGATCCTAGTGATCACGAATTCGGATCCTTTCTGGCCAGCTATGAAGAATCTGATACAGAGGAAGCCCCACGACCGATATCGGTCAACCCCAACAACCCTTATCGTCAAAGCAACTTCATGTCATTCTCAGCTCATGCTGTTCAGCCCCAAGACACAGCCATCCGCCGCCGTCAGACGCAGACTCGTCCAGTCAATGTGCAAGACTTTGAGCAATCGTTTCAGAATGACCAAAAGTCTCATGAATATTTGGGGTATTCACATGACTCACCTCGATCGACATCGCCTGGACGAGACATAGATGGTCAGCTAGGTAGTCCTACTGCGCAAACTCCAGGTTCTCCTCCATTCCTCACGAGACATGTCAGTTTCAGTCGACAACAAAGCTATCGAAATCCATCTGTAACATCATTTTCAGGGTTTTCGACGCTTGATAGAGAAGATACTTTGGATGATTCAGACACAGCTCGCTTGACCACTAATGCGGCAGGCGCTATGCCCATCCAAGCCCCATCACCAGTACATTATCCACAGACACCGAATTATGTTGAAAGTAACCCATTTGGACGATCCGAATCCATATCGGTGCCGACTATTTACCATTCAAGGTCTCTCCACGGTATATCCAAGATGATACGGAGGGTATCAACTCGAGTAGTCAATTTGCAAAACCGACGAAGTCGAAGTGATTTAGAAGAGGATCGTATATTACAGCAGGAGCCATTGACTGGCCTTCTCACTGCAAACGAAAGAAGACGATTGGATGATGATATTGAAATGACACCAGTTCCAGAACGACAGCTCACTCCAGATTACGATTATCGAAAAGACAAAAAGAGTGCTCAATCCATAGGAAGCGAAGCGTCACAATCCGTTAAGCAAATCCTATTAGCAGGAAAGAGTTGTCATATATTCAATCCAGACAATTCATTACGTGTTGCATTAGCCCGAATTCTGGCATGGAGGTAAGGCTATCTGAGTTTGGCTGTAGACACAGCATGACCCTTAGAGCTAACAACCTGGGTATTCAGTTGGTTAGAAACACTCATCATGGTCATCATTGCCTTACACGCTATTATTCTCTTCATTGTGTTTTGGGGTTCTAATCAGAACCCAACCCCACCGACGTCTTTTGGCGAGACTTGGGATCAGTATGCTATTATGGCGATATTTTGCTTTTATACGTAAGTGACATGAAGATAGGATATTTGGCCCTACAAAATTTAACTTAACGCAATGCTTGTTTTAGTCTTGAAATGGTGTGCCGAATAATAGTGTATGGATTTTTCTTCAATCCACCACTGGTAGCTGTGGCGAAGGAAGCAGGTGAAGGGGATGATGTGGTGGATGAGAAGGATGCTGCAAATCGAACGGATAACCCAGATAATACCACGACGTACATCAAACCTCCCAATGCCTATCTGCGACACAGCTGGAATCGTGTCGACTTTCTCTCAGTCATTGGTTACTGGGTAGATTTGATCCTTCTATTATCGCACCAAGAGATTGCCGGAGACTCACAGCGCATCCTAGTGTTTAAAATGCTGTCAGCCATTCGTCTGTTACGACTGCTTAACATTACAAATGGCAACAAGATCATTTTACATAGCTTGAAGAAATCCGCCCCTCTTCTGGTTAACGTCATGTTCTTTGTGTGCTTCTTTTTCGTCATATTTGGGTGAGCGCTTGATCTACTTAGTGACGGTATGGCTTTCGTAAATGATTCCTAATAACTCCTTTTGTAGTATCATTGGAGTTCAGGCATTTCGTGGATCTTTTTTGAGACATTGTGTTTGGACAGGTAAGTTATTTTTCCAACTAGCACTCTCCAATTTTTCGCCAGGCTTTAATGTCTCTGTCGTAGATCCAACAAATGCAACCAATGTGCAGGTTCTTCAACAGTACTGTGGAGGCTACATGGATAATGGCACTATAATGCCTTTCATTCAAAAGGATGGAACTCCAGGTTTATGGTCCAAAGGCTTTATTTGTTCGCAAGGCCTTCAATGCAGGGTAAGTAAAGGGCTTATTTAACATATGTGTTCGGTCACACTAATTGACATTGCTATGCTCAGGAAACCGAGAATGCATTTGGCAACACTGTCAGCTTCGACAATATATTTGAATCCATGGAAATTGTTTTAATCATTGCCGGAGGTAAGTAAGGCTACCGTCGGGTGGGCAAATTTTGTTGACATAGAATGTTATTGACGCCAATGACTGCTCTAGTTCAAAGTTGGACGGATCGTATGTACGATATGTGCGATGCGGAGTATCTTGTGGCCAGTTTATACTTTATTGTCATTGTCATCATTATGAACTTTTGGTTGATCAACCTTTTCGTTGCTGTCATTAACGAAATGTTTGCGAAAGTTCGTGAAGATTCAAAACACTCGGCATTTACAAGCTCAAGAGCTAAACCTGTGTTGAATGACAATGAAGAAGGCTGGTCTTTCCGAGAGCAAGGTCAAGCTGCGAAGAAACCCAAGAGAGCGACCTGGCTGCAACAATTTGTTAAAGTATCATCTCCGATTTGGGTCGTTCTAGTTGCAATTGATCTTATTGTTATGGGCTGTAAGAATTTTGGAATGTCAGCGGACGAATTAGCACTTTTAGGTAAGATTTTTCGACCATCCGAGTCTCCACATGAGACGAATCCATGTATACAGTTATGTCTTAACACCTCCTCCGTCACGCACAACAGATCGAATTGAACTTGGTTTCACTCTTGCTTTCATGGTAGAAGCTTTGATTCGCTTTGCCAGCTACTTTCCAGAGTGGAGATCCTTCTTCAATGAGACAAGAAACAGGACAGATATGTTAATTGCTGTGGTTACTTGCATCATCCAATTACCACCTATTCATGGGAACTCCATCGCGTACTCTTGGCTCACGGGATTCCAAATCATTCGAATATACCGTGTATTGGTAGCTTTTCCAAGGATGCGAGCCATCATATCTCGCATCCTGGGTAGTGTCTATGGTTTAATGAACTTGGTGTTCTTTGTGGTTCTCGTTACTCTTATCTGTGGTATGGTGGTAAGTTTATCCCCCATCCTTATACCCCCCCCTTCGTATTTCGCTTTAACATGGGTCTTCTGGCAATAGGCAATACAACTCTTGGAAGGGTCAATGAATGACAGTGGCGACGAAATGAGATTCTACTCAGTGTATAACGCATTTGCTGGCCTATATCAGGTGAGCTTATGAAGACGATCTATGTTTCTACAGTCATGTCGAAGGCTAACACACATATTAAGCTATTCTCGGGAGAAAATTGGACGGATGTATTGTATGCATCCATGGAAGCAGGCTATCCGACTAACAATAGCGCGGTCAATGCTATTTTCCTGTGCATTTGGTTTTGTTTCTCCAACTGTAAGTGCGTCACTTTAAGTTGTATATTTTAGTCCTTTATGGAGTTCTGCGAACCCCCTTGCTGTTTGATTTTATTCATATTGATGGCCTTTATTTCATATAGTCGTGCTCGTCAATATGTTCATTGCGATTATTATGGAAAACTTTGAGACAGCTGAAGAGGAAAAACGACAACGTCAAGTGCAAGATTATCTTAACAAGAATGATACCATGATATTGGAAGATGCACCTATTGCCAGTCGGTGGAATCTCTTCCGATATCTCAAACCCAAACCCAAAGGTCTTGCTCTCGATAATATGCCTAGTGGCCTAGTGCTTTCGACTCAAAAAGAATATGTGCGAGAATTTTTGGTGGATTCCAGTAGAGGCAATGCAATTCCTATTGAACAGGTTAGTTCGTTGAAACCCTATTGAAGTAACTTGATTCAGAGTAACGAACTGACCACATTGATTGTGGCAGCCATATATCAAAATCACCGCCGATGATCAGTCCTCTGTATACCAAGCTGAGAGTAAAAGTTCCTTCAGTAATGCCTGGCACGGTTTCAAGAAGTATTTCAATGTCGAAAAAAGCTATGCTGCTTATCCGCTAAAAAACATACGCAAAAGCATGACATTCGATGCTTTGAATCCGTTGGAAATCCTGAATAATAACAAAAACAAAGACGAGTTTCAATCAACGGCTAATGCTCTTCAAAGACTTCAAGTCGATCCTTCTGTCTTGGAAGCATTTGTCGTGCGCAAGGTGGAAAATGCCAGGGATGATGTTATCGAAAGACAGGCGCAAAAAAGAGAATTCATTATGGCTCATCCAATGTACGATAAATCATTATGGATCTTTTCACCTAGCAACAGAATTCGTCGATGGTGTCAATTGATTGTGCCCTCACCAAGAGGTCAACGAACTTTTGGAACACAACCCTCAGAATGGTACAGCACCTTCGTATCTTCCTTCATCTTCCTTTGTGTTGCTGTCAATGTCGTCTTGACGATTTATAACACCCCTGTATACCAACTCTCTCAGCAAGACAACCCTGGACGGCTCAAGCTGTTCATGTATCTCGACTGGGGATTCACCTTCTTTTTCACTCTGGAATTCCTCATTCGAATTATTGCCGACGGATTTCTATTGACTCCCAATGCTTACCTTCTTAACGGATGGAACGTACTGGATTTCTTCGTGTTGATTACATTGTACATGGCCAACTTTGGAACTTTTGCATTGACTAGCTGGTTGTCCCGCGCGTTCCGTGCATTCAAAGCGCTTCGAGCTCTACGATTGATTAACCTGCTTCCGTCCGCCAAAGAAACTTTCAGTGCTATTTTATTCACCGGTCTACCTCGCATTCTGGATGCTGCAGCCTTAGGATTATGTCTCATTGTCCCCTTTGCACTGTATGGCCAAAATATCTTTCAAGGCTTATTCTACAGCTGCAATGATAGCGGTGCATCAGACAAAATTTCGTGTATGTTTGAAAGTTCCCTAGGCATGCAAGCTCCTATGCCTGATGGTGCCTCAATCTATATGCCACGCGTATGGCAGAATCCATATGTTTATAGCTTCGATTCCTTTTGGAGTGGGTTGCTGATCCTGTTCGAAATTTGCAGTGGAGAAGGATGGATCAATGTACTGATCACAAGCATGTCCATTGTCGGCCCTAATCAGAATAGTCAAACGGATGCCAGCCAAATGTGGGGCATCTTCTTTATGGCCTACAACCTGGCAGGTTCTATCTTCGTTATTTCCTTGTTCCTTGGTGTCGTTATTGAAAACTTTTCAAAGCGAAATGGAACCGCCTATCTTACATCCGATCAAAGACGCTGGCTGGATTTGAAGAAGCTTCTTAGTCAAATTCGGCCCGCCAAGCGTCCAAAGGTCCCCCCTGTCAATCGTATGCGACGATGGTGCTTTGATTTGGTCGTGGATAAGACTGGACAATTCTACAAGATCATGACTTGGGTCATTACCATCAACATCCTAGTTTTATGTACAGATTCGGTTCTCGATGATGAGATCCAAGCACTTTCCGTGGCAAAGCGTACGTAACTATTGCAAAATTCTCTTCTTTGAAATATGGCATTCAATTAACCAACGTTGACTTAACAGGTTTTATCTATCTTGGTTTCATTGTGGTGTACCTCTTCGAAATCAGTGTTAAACTGCTTGGCTTGGGTTGGTATTCTTTCCGTCAAAATCTGTGGAACTTGTATGATCTGGTCGTCGTTTTTGGAGCGGCCATTACCCTTATTGTTACATTAAGCTTCAGCGAGCTTCAACTCAATGTTGAAGCACAAAAGCTTTTTATGACGGCTATTTGTTTTAAGCTCGTCCAACGAAGTGATAGCTTGAATCAACTTTTCACAACTATGGCGTAAGTAGTGCTAATGTTGTAAAATTTTCTTTGTATCATGTGCTAATTTCTCTAATCACCAATCATTATATTCAGGGCTTCTGCGTATCAAATCTTGAACGTTTTGGCGGTTTGGTTGATTGTTATGATATCCTACGCCATCATGTTTATGGAGATCTTTGGTCTTACAAGATATGGTAGTCAAGCCACTACTGAACATGTCAACTTCAGAGGCTTTGCAAATGCAATGGTCTCGTTGGTGCGGTATTCCACAGGGTAAAGTATTCCAAGACCAACCTTTCTGGCATTAATTCAAATTAACTCTAACTGGCAATTACAGTGAAGGATGGAACACCGTTATGCATGACTTTGCAATAGAGGCACCGAACTGTGTGGACGCAGAAAACTTTTTGGAATCGGATTGTGGATCGCTCGCATGGTCGTACTTTCTCTTTCTCTCCTTTAACATTATATCCATGTACATATTTACGGGTATTCTAGTTGCCGTCGTATCCGACAACTTCGCCTACGTATACCAAATTGCAGCCAATTTCTCATTGGTTAACCGAGAAGAAATTCGAAAATTCAAGAACGCTTGGGCTGAGGTTGATGTTGAACGTACGGGTTATATTCAGCAAAATGACTATGTTCGCTTTTGGCAGGTAACGTGAAAGAGTATAATAGGCTTGCTACAACTGGATTCGCATGACTAACCTGTATTCTTACAGAAACTGAGCGGCATGTTTGATTTGAAAACTTATAGCGAAGAATTCAGCATAAAAAACTTAATGCAAGAGTGCAGAAGCGTAGATTCTCCTTCGTTTGTGATTGATGACCCGTACAAACTCAAGGTGGATGTTGCAGTTCTGAATCAGAAACTACAGCAGATCGATAAACGCGAAGTACATCAGCGGAGACGACTTCTCAATCGACTATTTTGGGTATGTATCCCTACCTCCTAACTTTGCATACTGCCATCAACCAAACCTGACTCTATATTTTGAACATTATAGGAGAGTGTGGCATCCGAGTCGTCCAAAGGCATATCGTTCAACAACATGCTACTTATGCTTGCTCAATATAAGCTGATTGTACCAGAAAATGCTCTAGTGTAAGTACATGTCATTTCTTTGAGTAGGTGGACATACAACGTCTTTCCCAGTGACTGACTACCGAATTTGCAGCTTGGAGGATCTTTTACAGAATGCCAAAAAGCAGGAGACTGTCGAGGTTCTTGTCAATATTGAGCGTGTTCGAGGTCTCATATGGACGGTTGTTCAGCGCAAAAAGTTCCTTCAACATTTGGAAGCAAAGAAAACTATGGAGAAGCGAGCTAGGACTGCTTTATGTAAGTACCACTACCTCTGGAGTTCATCCATGTCCAAAAGAAAACAAAAAATAATAATTATTTGGTACTGACTGCATCCCATTTACAGTGCCTGCTATCCTAGTTGACAATATTCACGACACCATGCCTTCATATGAAGGGGCTTCAAACAACAGTCCCGTTTCTGGATCTTCTGTTGCTATCATGAGCGGTCTTGCGTCCCCAGTATCGCCAACAAACGATAGTGCGTTGTTGGATTATTTCTGGCACCGCGACTTTGTCGACCCCACCATCACAGCGAGGTAAGCCCTACTAGCCTGTTTTTTTTTATCGCATGTTGGGAAATGTTGGTTTGCTAAATCGATATACAACCACTACAGCACCAATAGCCTGAGTGACCAGGAGGACCAGTCCGATGGAGCACGCGAATCAGAAGACCACTTTGGACCTAATAATCATTGGCAAGGTGAGTATTTTTCAAGAAAGGTACTTGGTTTTTGACGCTGAAGTCAATGCTAACGTCAATATAATAAGACCTTTTGAAGGAAGCCGAAAATGATCCATAACAGAGTCTAGCATCACCTTTTTATTTCATCTATAACCAATATTTTTAGAGCCTGCATTCCTCATCATCAGCTATGATTCCCCTGTATTATAAAATTTCCATACCCGTTGACGCTCATACTCACAGTAAAAGGAATCATTTCTACATATCCGAAATCTTTCCAATTTCGCTTAGAGATAATACTGCTCGATGTACTGATGTCTCTTGTAATTTGACTGTTTACAGCAGTCCGTTAAAGTATCTGCTTCTTACCCGCAGTAGCATGGTGATCGCATACGGCGAAGCCTAAAGTGAAGTTCCTAGAGGAGGTGGAACAGGAGAAATCAGTCTGATCCCGCTTTATCAATATAATGAGGAGTACGAGCTGATTTGGCCGTTGGCTTTTTCTCCCGTTCTTTAATTCCAATGCTTCATTATACTCTCATAATATTTTTCATATTCTCCCTTACGCCGGGTATATTTTCTAAACCTCGCCGGGTCGCACACCGATCTATAGCTTGCATGCCAGACAGTAAGATTCGTGCTGCCTTACTATCAGAAATTTTGCTATGTCCATTGACTTACTCTTTCGCAATAAAGTATGTTCAGCCAACACCTACTCATGCCCAGCCCCTAACCGTGATCTCGGGCCAGGATGCTATAAAGTAAAAACAGGCTTTTGCAATTGCTGTGAGGAGATATTTTGTCCCAGTACTGATTGTGCTGGTATTTCCTGCGCGCAGCAGAAACTGGCAGGTAAGAAGAGTATATGCTGTTATGAGCACCAACCATTATTTAACGCGGACACATCATTTTTCAGTTGCTTATAAGGGACGACCCCCCACATTAGCAACGTACTGCTGTCGATAGATGTAGATCACCAAACGTGACTTATCTCATATGAACCGCAAAATGTAAATGTCTTCTGCCTTGGTCCTCTCGTCGCTGTCGAAAAAACTAAGAAGCAAACGTTATTCTTGAGGATGCTACTCTACAAATAGTTTATTCGTACATGTGTATTATTTTCAGTGCTGTGGTATAATAAAAAGCCGGCCTATTTCCTATTTAAAAACCAAACTACGGATACACTCTATATCCAATACTTTCATATTACTGGTATTATGGGAATATTTACAGAAGTTATAAAAAACCATTCTGAGTTCACTGCTCTCATCTCAGCATGGATAGCTTGAGGTGACCCATTTCAACTCAAGAAAGAGATTGTGACAAAGACAGAGAGAGGTCGAAGGAAAAGCTTGAGTGAGGCGGTCACACACGCTGTGATAATCCCATAAAGTGTCTCAATTCTTGCGCATACGTAACTGATCTCCACTTCATTCTCATCAATTTTTGGGCCAGTCGAACACCATTTTATTAACATCCGTTCCTCGCAAAACAGCCTGCTTGTGTCCGCCCATGACAGTTTGCAAGTTGTCGACCCTGAAACGGTTGCATTCGGCGTCAGTTGAAACTAGGGTTCCTTTCACTTGTGCTCCTTGATACAGATCCGCTTCCATAAGAGGTTGCTTCTGAGCTACATTGAGCCAAAATTGTAAAGATTGTTTGCGTAGAATGTCTGAAGCTTCTGACATGTTGGGATGAGCAGGTGTTTGCGGAAGCAGCAGTATTGAGGATATCACATTTGAAAGGCCGAATGGCAACTTTGCATTTTGTGACTTCGTTGAGGCTTGGGCAACAGCAGGGAAATTTCATAAAAAAAAAAAAAGTTGCTGTCAGATACCACACTGCTAATTCATAGGGCATAAATTATGGCCATGACCAAGTCAAAAGGAGTAAAGCAGCCGAATAAGCAGCACAAGTTCAACAAAAAACCTAGAGAAGAAGATAACCAGAAAACCGAGCCAGCAGTCCAAAATGGAAAAAGTAACGAAAACGATCTGTTGAAAGAGATCATCACCTTGGGCGGTTCCAAAGACGATCTCAAACTTATCGAAAGTATTGATGACAACGACTCTGAAGAATTAGTAGAGGATTCAGAAGCTCCTCAGGTAAAGATTTCTTCGGCATAAAAGGCTCAATGTGCCTCGCATTCTCATTTTAAGCATATTTCAAAAACAGGCTGGATTTGTCAAAGAACTCCAAAACTTTATGAAAGGCATGGATTTCGGCAAATTTAATGAAGACTCTGAGTATGTTACTGTCGAAGAAGAGGAAGAGGAGGAAGAAGACGAGGAGGATGAGGAATTCGACGATGCAGATCAAGTCGATGACGAAGAAGGCGACGAAGAAGATGTGTCAGAACATAAGCCAAAAGCCGGCAAGCTGGTAATTACATTCATCACAATTGATTTAAATTAGACATGCAATGGTCACTAACCTGTTCTCTCGCGTAGCTCATTGAACCAGTACCACATTGGCACGCAATCCAACTACCACCATTGAAGGGTACACCACTTCCTTCCGTTCCAATGTCCGATACCCAGGTTTCGGCCAAGTACCAGCATGCTAGAGAGTTACTGGACAAAGAAAATTCAGCTGCAGAATCACACCCTTCATTATCCAGCTCAGATCGATCCTTCTTGTCCGATATTCTAAAGTCTGGTACTCTTAACGATAAAGTATCTGCTTTGACGCTTCTCGTCCAAGAATCACCTATCCACGGTCTCCGCACTATGGATACACTTATGGGCATGAGCAAAAAGAAGAGCAGAAAAGAAGCTGTTCAGGCCATCACAAGTTTGAAGGATTTGTTCATTGGTAGTGTTCTTCCTGATCGCAAATTGATCTACTTCCGAGATCGACCTTTGTGGGACAAGGGTATCAAAGATGAACATTTGATTGTATGGGCATATGAAGACTTTTTGAAGAAGTACTACTTTGAGTTCTTACAAACTGTCGAGGTAAGTTTTCTTGGTGCTAAAATGGGATAGAATCAAGAGTGTGTCTAATCACTATTTCGCAACTGCAGGCGTTGTCCCACGATACCCTTTTGCATGTCCGTCACAACATGGTTACCTGCATGCATGATCTTCTGGCTGGAAAACCAGAGCAGGAACAGAATTTGCTCAAGTTGTTGGTCAATAAGTTGGGAGACTCAGAAAACAAAGTAGCCGCTAAGGTATCGCATTTGATCATTCAACTCTTCCAAGAACACCCAGCTATGAAGATCTTTGTTATCCGAGAAATTGAGCAGCTATTGTTGCGACCCAACATTTCTGAAAGAGCTCAATATTACGCTGTCGTCACTGTCAATCAAACCATTTTGACTTCCAAGGACGAAGAAGTTGCTAATAAGCTCGTTGATATTTACTTTGTATTTTTCCGCCGCCTACTCAAGGTCAGCGAAAAGCTAGACAAGGAAGAGAAATCTGGTTTGGACGAAGAAGAGCCAAAGCAGAACGGCAAAAAAGACAGCAAAAAGGACGACAAAAAGGGCGGCGGCAAAAAGGGTAAAGGAGGAAAGGGCAAAAAGGAAGAGGAACCAGTTGAAGATGACAACTCCAAACTGGTAGGCGCTTGTCTCACTGGTATCAACCGAGCCTTCCCCTACTCCAAACTAGACGACAAAGTATTTGAAAGCAACATGGACATCCTGTTCCGCATTACCCACACAAGTACTTTCAACACTTCCATTCAAGCTCTCATGCTCATTTTCCAAGTGTGCACGGCCAAGGAATTTGTCAACGACCGTTTCTATCGTACCTTATACGAATCGCTTCTGGATCCTCGCTTGGTGACTAGTTCCAAGCAAGCCATGTACATGAACTTATTGTACAAAGCACTCCGAGCTGACGATGACTTAAAGCGCGTCAAAGCTTTTGTCAAGCGTATTGTTCAAGTTGCGGCTTATCATCAGCCCACCTTTATCTGCGGTATATTTTACCTTATAGACAAGGTGAGTTTTTTTGTCTGTCCGGTCCGGACATTAGTTTACCAGTGAAACCCAATGTTTCTCGTTACTTAATGAACAAAATGGTCTCATATTTTTGTTTCACAGCTCGCCACAGCGAAACCAGGTTTGCGGGGCCTAATCACTCAACCTGAAGAAGATGACGACGAGGAACATTTTGAAGATGCGCCCGACAGCGATGATGAAGATGCCAACAAGAAACCCAAAGCCGCAGCAGCAAGTGCTTCCAGCCATGGTACTAAATATGATGGACGTAAACGAGACCCTCGTTTTGCCAATGCTGACAAAACCTGTTTGTGGGAACTGGTAGGTTTACTGACACTTTTAAAATGAAATCTTTCGGAGAGCCATCTGGATTTAATGTCATTTCCATTACTAGATACGTTTCACACGCCACTATCACCCATCTGTTTGTAAATTTGCTGAAACCATGTTGAAGGGGGAATCCATCCAAAGTGCTCCCGATCTCCGCCTCCATACATTGATGCATTTCTTAGATAGATTTGTGTACCGCAATGCAAAGAAGAAGGCAGGAACCAAGGGCAGCTCCATTATGCAACCTATAGCCGACCAAACGGGACCCGATGTCGCTGTATCATTGCAACGTGGTGCCGGTGGACTTAACCAGGTCACTGTCAATTCTGAAGAATTCTGGAGAAGAAAGGTCGAAGATGTCCCTGTCGATGAACTTTTCTTCCACAAGTACTTCAATCAAAAAATGGCAGGTGTTTCCACCAAGGCCAATAAGAAAAATAAGAAGGCAGCCACTGAAGAAGAGAGTGATCACGAAGAAGATGAAGTATGGAGAGCCATGGTCAACTCTATGCCTGGTGAAGGACCTGGCGATGATGAAGATGAAGATATTGATGAAGACGATAGCGAAGATGACGAAGAAATGCAAGCTTTATTAATGGATAGTGAAGACGATGAGATTGATGATGATGAAGAAGGTAGCCAAGTGGATCTTGGGGATCAAGATTTCGATGATATGGATGACTGGGAAGATGAAGCGGAAGATAGCCAAAAACGAAAAGCGGCAGATGATGTCGATGACGAAGTTGAGGAGGAAGGCGCTAAAAAGAAGCGAACCAAGAAACCTCGACTGCCTACTTTCGCATCCTTCGAGGACTATGCAGCTATGCTGGACGACTAGTAAACATAGTGTTTTAAACCAAAATCATATCTCATCCTCATCTTATCGGTTTAACTACCATAATACAACAGTTTTCGCATTTTGTACCATAACACAAATCAACCCTAAAAAGAAAAACCCAGTTCTAACAATGCCTCGTTTGATGGTGGCGTCTGCCCTTTTTTCTTCTTTTTTTCGTTTTTGAAGTCATTGCTGCGTGTCTGCATTCACGCGTATGTCTCTATGTTTGTTGTGCAGAGAGACGAGCCATAGCTTAGCTTTTGGCAGATCGGATGCAGGGCGGCTGTTTCTTTCGTCCGACTGTTTCATGAAACTCTTTCGGTTTGCAATTCAATGCCCGTTAGTGGGGATGAACTATCAAGTCCGTCACGGCGGAGTGAATGGGGACCGTCGGGATATTGTTGCTGACATCCGTCGAATTATACAACCAGTCGCAACGAGTCCGACGTCTAAATTATCAGGCGTTTGCTTGACAATCCAAGATTTCCAAAGTATCCGTATTCAAATCGTGATAGAAAGCCACCAGGATTACAGAGTCCAATAAAAATAATCTAATCCAAACAGTGTGTTACACGCAGCTTATGACATGCGCATATGTAAGACGACCCAACCCAGGCACTTTAATGCATATTAGATTTTATTGTGTGCCCGTCTGGAGGGAATAAAGTTGGCTTCAATCTGACTTTGATTGGGGATTTTGAAGTACAGGTTGGTACCCGACGGGGAGTATTAAAATAATTAAAAAATCAACCTATACAGAGAAATAAAGGTGGAAAAAGGCAGAAAACCCCTTTTCTATAGAAGAAGCTGCTTAGCTAATGTGTCTACCTACTTGGTAGCAGGCTACAAGGTGATTTGTTTCTTAGCAACGTTAGGATTTAGAAGGGTCCAATGAGCATAGTGCTAATTTTGAAACAAGTCTCGAATTCTAAGAGGCTAGCTAACAGCCGAAGCGGACCATCGTTCCGTTTCAGAGCAGACTCGCGTTCCATCACGACGGAGTAGCTATCCGACGTTTGGTTTGTATGAAAAGCGCAACACAATAAACATAGTCGAACGTAAGCTCACATCGTATAGCGTGGGTGGCACACGACCCCCACCATGCGTCGCCGCTGCTTGTGGACGGGTATTCTATGTATGGGTATCACTGTGGATTTGCTTGTGTTTGATTGATTTTGAAACATTTCAACCGCCGCCCTACTGGTTAACACTAACCCGTTCTCCCCGATGACTTCCACTTCCATTTCAGAAACGATCCGGTCGCTGCTATCCAGTAAGATCAACAACATCGATGTAAACAAATAGACCCCTCTCAACCGCACTTGCCACACGATAGGGTAGTCAAAGGGCCATTCCCCGTAAGAAGCTGTCCAGGTTGGCGGTTTGCCTGTCTGAAACCAACCATGGTTTCCCGATTTTACGCGGCGCTTGATTATGGCCCATTCGTACCGAACCAGTTTCACGATCCGTATTGTAAAATATATACACAAGAGCGGACAATTCACTGACTGGTCTGTACCACCACACTATTTCCACCTTAAATAAATGGACTCTCGATTTCCTTTTGACACTTTACAACCGCAACTCACATTATACTTCTTCATTTTTTATATCATTATTATCCCTACTCATATCATCATCATAAACTTACATCATGCCATCCACCACCATTGAATACTCTACCTTGCGTCGATTGAGCATGCTCAATATCCCAAAGCAAGAGATCGATTTTGAGTAAGTAGCCCTAGCCCACTCACTTTCAAAAGTCTGCAGTGGTATTCATTCTTTCTCTCTCTCGTAGTGTCTACAATTTCCAAACAGAATTACGCCGAGGTTCACTGGCTGAACTTCCTTTTGAAAGCAGAGAACTTGAAGCTTCGTTCTGCAAGAACTTCTCCTGTTGCGGCCTCGTCTTGCAAGACTTGCACGATCTTTTGCAGCATTATGAAGAGAGCCACGTTCGTTTTGAAGAAGATGAGAATGCTTCTTTTGATGAAGACGAAGATACTTGGTCTTGCTCTTCTTTGAATGAGAACTCCTTGTCTGTTCCCAATAGCCCTCAAGTTCTTAGCCGTCAATTATCTTCTCAGACTTACCAAATTAATGCTTTGAAGCGAAAGGCTGCAGCCACTATGAGCGACTTTGATCTTTACCCTGAAGAAGAGGAAGAGATTGAGGATAATGAAACCGCAGCTTTTGACACTTCAGTCCTTCGCTCCATCTCTGGCTCCCCTGCTACTGCTTCTCCATCTGCCATCGTCACTCCCAGAGCCTCACCTGAACCTGCTGCTAAGAAGCAAAAGACATCTCCTGCCATGGACATGCTTTTGGCTCAATCAGCCAAGAAGCTGGCTTCTCTCCCTCCCTCCACCGTTGCCGCCGTAGCTGCTGCCGCCTCTTCCAATGGCGCCGCTTCCCCTGCCTCCTTTTCTGATCTGCCATTGACTCCATCCCTTAGTGATGAAGACTTCTTGGCTCAAGCTGGTGCTTTGTTTGCCATCACCGCCGCCGCTTCTGGCCCTAACCAAAATGCCGATAAGCCTTACAAGTGCCCAGTGGCTGGATGCGACAAGGCATATAAGAACCCTAATGGCTTGAAGTATCACAATCAACATGGTCACTGCAACTTGGTTTCATCGGAGGATGGCGACCGTTTCAGTTCCAAGCCTTACCAATGCACTATTGGTGAATGCGGCAAGCGCTACAAAAATCTTAACGGTCTCAAATATCATATCGAACATTCCCACATGGCGGCTCTCAATAATACCTTGGCTATGATGGCTCAGCAGTCTACCCCCGCTAGCTCTCCTGTCATGTCCAACAACAACGTTGCCGCCTTGATCTAAGATATCAAAATTCAAGCAGGTCTTCATGGCATCTTTATTTTTCCCTTCTTTTGCTTTATTTCATTTGTAAATCTCTATTCCATCTGTACACATTCGAACAACTAGAGTGTTCTTTTGCATCCAGGATTATACACTATCCTTCTTGTCATTTTTAAAACAATCTCCCTCCCCACCTTCACAACCTACCTCGTCCAAAAGTATCAACCTCATGAAAATTCATACTTCGCACTATTCTCAAAAGTTATCTTTTTCTAGTCATTGCCCTATTCTCATCGCTTGTATATTTACATTCCAATTCTCCATTTCCGAAAAAAAAAATGTTTTTATTAAAATCAAAAAGTTCGTAATTTCAATAACCCTGTTGCCGCTGTGATTTTCCTAAAGTATCTACAAAGTCTGATCCGTGTTTCATCAAAGCGGTAGAAGATGACACCTGCACATTAAAAAAGAAGAATACACAAACAGTTTGAAAATCAGTGTTGTGTTCGGCCATAGCGGTTGATTGTAACTGTACTAACCCTAACGTATACCGGGAGCCAACACGTTTAGGCAATAGCGATAATGTCATTGTCTCATCATTCCGCTTGACAACGACCTCAACTCGAACCTAATAGATAATGTTAGAATCTTTTTTTTTTTTAGGGTTTCGATCAAAGTTTCCCGCAATGACTTTGTGGCGTGTATATTTACCCCTTGAGAAACAACGTCATTTAAAGCTTGCAACATGCGGTGATTTCCAGCATGAACTGATCCGAACCGGATAATAAGATCGTCCTTGATCAACCCCTATACAAAAAACATACATCAACCTATCCATGTACTGATGTCAAATGCACATGACGATGTTACTCACTGCTTCTTTCGCAGGAGAATCCGGTGCAACGGCATTCACTCTCGCAAATGGTTCTGACGGCTGCTCTTGCGAAGTGATAGGTTGGGCTGCGGTGGTGGCATTGAACGTTCGTGGTGTAGATTTATTGTCTTGATGCAATCCAAGAATGGCTTGTTCAATTTCTTTCATCAATTGCTTGTGGTCGTTTGTCAGTTCTATTGGAGCGGTTAGAGTTCAGCATAGAATTAAAATAGACTATGGGTGAGTACGTGTCCTTGATTGGACACACTTACCAATGATGCTACGTCGCGCCGTTCTGACCGCCACAACATCGATATCATTACGAGGAAACCCTTGACGGTCCACCAGGGGCTGATCCATACCGACTCCTTGCTATTCATTCTGTTAATCAGAGGCAACCCCACTTGTCTTAGTCATGACCAACTTACTGTTTGAAGATTCGCCTGTAATTCTCGAATCTCAGCTTCGATGCTGTCCTTTTTGGCGATCAAAGCCTTTGCGTTTTCCATTGCTGACGACGATTCTGCCATGTCTGCTATTTGAAGTCCCATGCGTCAATCTCGGTCAAACTTAAAATGATTGGGTGGTTTACGTGTGCGTGTGTGCAAAAGTTATAGAGAGCGGAGTCGTTTACGTAACGTTTATTTTATATTATTCCACAACCCCCATTTCGCTTGCCAAAAACTGACGCTGGTTCGTTCACTTACCATGACCACCAACCCACGCCCTGCTACATTCTTCGGACAGCAGTCATTGCCATTGCTCAGCGCATTGCTTTCAAGTTCTTGCTGTGTCATTCAGCTTGTCCTCAATCTTTTTTCCTTTTCATGTGCAGGATTCTCAATACTGACGTCATACCGACCATACTTGGTTGCGCTTACAGCCGTGAGCTTGTCCTATACACTATTTTCGCGAGGACTTAACTCCAAAACTCTGGGTATCGTCCTTCTGTGCCTGCTGCTTATGGTATCTCCGGATGCCGTCGACTACTATAATCGAACTGGATATTCTAAAAGCGATACGGCGGCTATCACTCATTATTTAATGGGGATTGAAGGTATGTCATGCATGGCGTGTGCGAACCGAGTGAAGCAAACTTTGGAGTCCTCGCCCCTCGTTGAAGAGGCCAAGATCTTTTTCCAGAACGCCAGTGCCATTGTCACCGTCGCCATCACGTCCAGCACAGACAATCACGCTAAGCATATCGTTGAACTTGTACATAATTTGCACGACAAGTACTCTGCTGTAATTTTGGATTCGTGGTAAATAGCTGACTGCAGACATATACCCGGGTTTTCTTGATTTTTCCCGCGGTATCGTCTTGGCTGTAACATAGGACTTGGCTATAGCATCGACTTGGCAGTTAACAGGACTTGGCAGTTAACTTGGCATTAACATAAGGGATCATCTACACTAAATAAAATATATAGAGGCATTGATCAACATAATTGAGTCCCTAGCGAGCGTGAAGATCTAGTCGACCATGTTTCAGCAGCAAGGCTACCTTTAATTTACCAAGCAATATTGTTTTGGGATTAAACACTGCGATATCTCCCCGCCTGTTTCCAAGGTTTGAGCCGTATTTGGCCGCAGTCATTCCAAACCCAAGTTCAAAGCTCCGTATAATAAAAATTATATAAACCCTATTATGTCGGTACAGCATACCTCTTTATAGCTATTTCACTATACTATGTACGAAAAAGATCTCGGTAATGGACTCCTTCTGAGATGGGTCAAACCGCAAGATGTCGAAAAGATTGCAAAGGGTATGGTCGACGTGTTCTCACCACCTGACAAACGCTTTGAAGCCATAGGAGGATGGTTCCTTCGCTATGCTAACGGCATGGGTGGCTTCATGAAGAGCAGCGACGCCGTTGTGATTGTCGATACCAAGAAGGAAGGGCAGCCCGTGGTTGGCTTCACATGTTATTGGCAGGAGACCCATATCTTTGAAGGAATTCCTTATACAGCTGGTAAGGACAAACCGATTGATCTTTCATGATTCTGTAATTCCCACGGCGGCTATGATGGCAACTCCCTTACACCATGTTTGCATTCATAGCCAGACCAGAGTTTGTTGGTGTCGTACCTGACCCTGAATATAGAGGACAACGTTTACAACAACATATCATGGACGCGCTTCATGCCAGAGCCAATGATGAAAATCATTTAGTTCAAGTCATCAATGGTATTAATTGGGTAAGTGCATGCAAATACGATAAGCTAGCATTGAAGTAATACCGACTCAACTGGTATTTGTTCTCTTAAAGTATTATAGACAGTTTGGATACGAATATGCTCTAGAGTTCGGCGAGAGATCAAAAGTTTGGCTAAACGCCATTCCAGAATTAAAGGAAGGTGAACAGGAATTTATCAAGTACCGCCGAGCCGTCTTGGACGATATCGACACAATCCAGGAAATCGACATGGCTCAAGTGAAGGATGGTGCCGTCTACATACCTTTGTCAAAGGAGTGGCTTGCCACCCAAATCAATGACCATTACCAAAAGGTTGACAATCCTAAGCACGTTGTCCTGCGAGAAGTTTTGATACTTGAAGATTGTGACGATAATATTGTTGGATACGTGGTCCTCCCTAATCTCGACGCTGAGATGACTGAGAAAGGATCCCTTGGTGTTTATAGTATGGGCCTCATCCGTGGCATCGACACAAAGACTGCACTCTTCTCCACTATGCGACAACTGATTGAGTTCGCCAAAAGCGCTTTTAAGCAAGAAAGCGTTTCTGGCATTAAATCCTTGGCATGGTACATGTCTCAATGGCACCCTGTTGTAGAGGCTATTCCACCCACCATGCGCAATTTTGCCCGACTTCGATTTGAATCGCTTTCTTATTATGTACGAGTCCCTGATCTGGCCAAATTCCTTCAACACATCCTCCCTGCTCTGAACCGTCGTCTCGAGCAATCGCTCACTCACAATAATTACACCGGCGTTGTCAAGATCAGTAACTATACGCCAAGATATCCTGGAGTTGAGCTTAAGTTTGAAAAGGGTGTTATCGTTGATATTGCTCAGTACATCAAGAAGGATCAGTCTAAAGACGCTTCTGTGGCATTTTTCCCGCCACATAGCTTTTTGCAAGTCCTCTTTGGAAAGCGAAGCATCAAAGAACTCATGTCATTTTTGCCTGATGTTTATATGGAGCTTGACGTTCAAGAAGTCTTGGAAGTGGTTTTCCCAAAGAGAGAGAGTGTTCTTGCTCATTTAATGTAGGCTTACTCCCCCCCCCCCGCATTTCTGCTAAAATGTAACAATAAATATATGTACGCTTTAAAGCCACAATGCTGCTAATGTTGATATCAAATATACCGATCGTACAGGAACATAAAGCCTAAACTATGCTGCCCCAAGCGTTTTGTAGTTATGACGATATGAAATGTCACAATCAATATGCCAATTTCATACTGGAATCAATGGCCTAAACTATTTTGCCAGAATATGAGACCATACCATGTTTGAAGTTTATGTTATTATTGACCAATCACGTTGCTTTGTCGCGGAGGTCGGCTTTAGACAAACTTGCAGCGTCCAGGCTTAAAAACTACATATAGATCAAGTTGAACAGAGCGTTGAGAACCTACTGACTAGTAAAAGAACCTACATTCAATAATTTTTAGTGCAAACTTACAGGAGACATGACGATTTGGTCATCAGAACCGTTAGCCAATTAGAAGTCACGGAAGATAGTAGACCCCCAGGCGTCACTATAAATTGTCAAACCTCCTTCAATGCCAGCCTCAAATCGAACTTCTTTTGTATCCCAAAATGTCACTTCAAACCACTATCCCAAGGAAACTTGAGGCCCTACGAAATCTTCCACGAGAAGAGCAGTATATTGGAGTAGCTGTCGCTGTCGCTGTTATAGCTGCTGCTGTTTACACGTCAAAGTCTGCCAAAAAGGTTGACATAGCTTATACGATATGCCACACTCTACATGCATGATCCGACCGTACTGACTTTTCAACTTTTCGTCATTTGTAGAACACAGCTCCATTTGTATCTGGATCCACTCCTGCTGGTAGGTGAAGATCCACGTAAAGTAGAAGGTAAAGGCGACATGTCAGTAATAGGGACTCAAATTAGCAGGTAACGTCACCTATGACCAAGATCCCCGCGCATGGACTGAGTACTACGCCAAGTTATATGGCGGAACATTTAGAACCGATGTTTTCCCCAGGGTAAGAGTATACACTTGAACACTGCGTAACATGTATGAACAGCAGATTCCTGATCTGATCCCAAAAACTTGTGCACAATAGATCGGTACCGTCGTAGGAAGGGAACAAGTTCGAGAAATTATGCTGAGCGACGACTTCAGTCTTACCAGCGCTAGCGAAGATTTCTTCGATGTCAGCCACATGATAGGCATCCAGGATAAAGACAAATATACAGGGGCTATCACTGTTGTTTCAAAGTTTTTAAATCCCAATCTGAAATATTACACGCCACGAGTCAACCATCAGGTAAGGTCGATTTATCATCCTTGCCATGCTTTTGATGGTTATGCTTTATACTAATATATTGCAAAGCTGACTTATGTCACTGATAAATGGCTAGGTGATTTAAAGGGTAAGTGGTCTCAATAGAAGTGAAGCTAGCGATTGTCAAGTTATTCAACTCAGTCTTGGTGTATGTAGAACCCAAGGTCATTCCCCATCTATTCCCTTTCGTACAATCCATGGTAGCAAAAGCTAGCGTTAGCGTTTTCCTTGGTGAGGTAAGTTATCTAATTTCTCAAAGTTATCCACAATGGCACATTTTTTGATCCTGAAATCACTGCAAAAGGTACTTGCCCAAAACGACAGTCTCTGCGAAAGTTTAGGAAGCATCACCAGTGAGGTTGGCGCAAATTTAAGACAAAACTGGCTCATGAAAACCTTCCCTACGTTCAATAGCTTATATCAACGGTATGCATCATTTCATCCTCTATATCCTTTTGAATTTATCTTACTGATGTGTCGCTCTAGATATATTTTCCCTCACAAAAAATTCGTAAGCCATCATCGCATGAATGCCAAGAAATACATCATACCTGAAGTCGAAAGGAGATTGAGAGAACAGAATACCCCCGGCTATGAACGTCCGGTAAGTCATCATCATATTGAGTATTTGGACCAATCAAGTCATCGCATATATTGAATCGAATGAAACTATAGAACGATATGTTACAAAATCTCATGGAAATGTATCCTGCTGATGGAGACTATGGTGTTCCCTACGAAGATTATGTGATTAACTGGACCTTCCTGCTCGTTTTTGCATCCATCCACACTACAACCGAAAATACCACCATGGTTTTGTATTGGTTGATGAAATACCCCCAGTATATTGATGAGCTATTGGAGGAGCAGAAGGAGGCTATTGAAAGCGAAGGCACTAAAGGTCAAGATCCCGAGCTGTCGTTTGATGTGATCAAGAAGCTCGTCAAGCTTGATAGTTTTGTACGAGAGGTACTTCGACAGCGAACGGTCGGTTTAAGCTTGCAACACAAAAATATCAACAAGCAGGATATCGAGTTGAGCAACGGTATCATTATCCCAAGTGGCGAGCATATTTACTTCAATTCTTGGGATGTCTCTCGTGCGACTGATCTGCAGGGCGAGGATGCGGAAGATTTCCAACCTTGGCGATTTGTTCAATCTAACAAGCAGGCTGTGCGAATTGGTGAGGATCATATCACCTTCGGCATGGGAAAGTAAGTGTTTACAAATGCGTGATATTTGAATGGCTTTGCATGCATTGGCATACTAATTATCATTTTGAATAGACACGCCTGTCCAGGACGCTTCTTTGCCGTTCAAGAAATTAAGACGATAACATCCTTGCTAATCTCAAGATATAAGATGAGCCCTGTTACTGATATATCACTGCCATCTACACTACGCGGCATGCCTATGGGAGCCATCAAGTTTGAAAATCGTGATAATTAGTACTGAAACCTTTTTTTATAATATGATGCTACAAATACAGAAATATTGCCAAATTTATACAAGGGCTTAAGGCCCAACTATTTTGCCTGAATATGTAACCATACCAAGATTGTTAGAATGTATATGGTTACTGACAAGTTACACTATCGCGAAGGTCAACTTCAGGTAGACTTTACATATTTTCAGGCTCAAGATGCACAATACCTCGTTTTAGAGTAGAGCATCTATTGTGACTGCAAGAGCCTACGTGCCATTAACTTCAAAAGCAGAGTTATAGAAAACTTAACGATATGGGTAAAAGACCGCCTAGCCAATGATAGGCCAAGCAATCTATGTAACCCAGGCGTAACTATAAACTGTCCAACTTCCCATTGCCGACGACAAAACGGATTTCTTCCGTATTCTATAATGTCGCTTCAGACCACTATCCCAAGGAAACTTGAATCCCTACGAAATCTTTCAAGAGAAGATCAGTATATTGGAGTAGCCGTCGCCGTCGCTGTTATAGCTGCTGCGGTTTACACGTCGAAGTATCCGAAAAAGGTGGGCTAGCCATTCCACATACGTTTTACAACTCTCTGCGCATGAACTGACCGTATTGACATACACCTTTCATCCCTCACAGAACACAGCTCCTTTCGTATCAGGATCCACTCCTGCCGGTAGGTTGAAAATCACATAGAAGCAGAAGTTAAAGCGACGTATTAGTAATAAGAATTTCAATTGGCAGGTAACATCACCTACGCGCAAGATCCTCGCGCATGGACTGAGTACTACGCAAAGCTTTACGGTGGAACATTTAGAACTGATGTATTTCACAGGGTAAGAGTAATTCCTTGAACTCCGCGTAGCATGTATGACCGTGTTACTGATGTGATCACAACAAACTGTGCGCAACAGATCGGCACAGTTGTGTCAAGGGACCATGTTAGAGAAGTTATGCTGAGCGAAGACTTCAGTCTCATCATGGCTACCGAAGACTTTTTCAATGTTGCCCACATGATGGGCATCCATCAAAAAGATAAATATTCAGGTTCCATCACTATTGTTTCCAAGTATCTAAATCCCAACCTGAAGTACTTCACACCACGAGTCACTCATCAGGTAGGATCCATTGATGGCACATTGTCATATCGTTGATAATTCTGTGCATAGTATTGATATATTGCGAAGCTTTCGTATGTTGCTGATAAATGGCTAGGTGATCTGAAGGGTAAGTGACCGTACTTCAAGATAATCTAGCAAATCGTCAACTGATTAACATTGATCATGTTGCATGTAGAACCCAAGGTTTTCCCCCATCTATTCCCTTTTATGCAATCCATGATAGCAAAGGCTAGTGTTAGCGTTTTTCTCGGTGAGGTAAGTCATCGCATGATCTTAAAACTATCCGCAACGGCACATTTTTGATTCTGTATCATTGCAAAAGGTACTCGCTCAAAACGACAGCCTTTGCGAAAGCTTAGGAAGTGTTACCGCTGAGGTTGGCGTGAATTTACGACCAAACTGGCTCATGAAAACCTTCCCTACGTTCAATAGCATGTACCAAAAGTATGTACCATTATGTCCTTCCGTGTCGGTATGACTAATCTAACTGACATGTCGCCCCAGATATATTTTCCCTCGCAAGCAATTTGTTAATCATCATCGCATGAATGCCAAGAAATACATCATACCTGAAGTCGAAAGGAGATTGAGAGAACAGAATACCCCCGGCTATGAACGTCCCGTAAGTCACCATGTTGTACATTACGTCCAATCAAAACTTCGCATATACTGAACCTAATTGAATTATAGAATGACATGTTACAGAGTCTAATGGAAATGTATCCTGCTGATGGAGACTATGAAATCCCATACGAAGATTATGTGGTTAACTGGACTTTCATGCTCGTTTTTGCATCCATCCACACTACAACCGAAAATACCACCATGGTTTTGTATTGGTTGATGAAATACCCCCAGTATATTGATGAGCTATTGGAGGAGCAGAAGGAGGCTATTGAAAGCGAAGGCACTAAAGGTCAAGATCCCGAGCTGTCGTTTGATGTGATCAAGAAGCTCGTCAAGCTTGATAGTTTTGTACGAGAGGTACTGCGACAGAGAACGGTAGGTTTAAGCTTGCAACACAAAAATATCAACAAGCAGGATATCGAGTTGAGCAACGGTATCGTTATCCCAAGTGGCGAAATTGTCTATTTCAATTCTTGGGATGTCTCTCGTGCGACTGATCTGCAGGGCGAGGATGCGGAAGACTTCCAACCTTGGCGGTTTGTTCAATCTAAAAAGCAGGCCGTGCGCATTGGAGAGGACCATATCTTTTTCGGCATGGGAAAGTAAGTATTTGCCAAAAGGCACGGTCCTTGAATGGTCTTTGCATGCATTGGCATACTAATTACCTTTTTGAATAGACACGCCTGCCCAGGACGCTTCTTTGCCGTTCAAGAAATTAAGACGATAACATCTTTGCTAATTTCAAGATATAAGATGACTGCTGCAAGTGATATAACTCTTCCCTATACGCACCGCGGCATGCCTACGGGCGCAATCAAGTTTGAAAAGCGTGATAACTAGATATCAAAAGTCAAATATCCATCTTCAATCTCATAACATATTATATAAACAAACTCTCTTCGCAGTAAACACCTATTCGTTGTTTACCAGTATTTCTGTTAGAGAGCAGCCTGATATGTTCAACCTACAAAAGATCCATTTCTCGCGCACAGAACTTTGCACGTGATTTGATCAAGTTGCCCTTTTTGCCATGTGCCGATTGAAAAGTCGGACTTTATAACGTCCGCCGGCGCATCTTGCCAGTGCGGTGGTGATCCGCCGAAATTCGCTCAGTCAATTTGCGTGCAAATCAGATGGAGATTGAAATACTTGTAGGCTTTGCAAAGGTATATAAACCGATCCGTATTTAATCAGATCCAAGCATAGATTTAAATCATACATTACAATTGATAATCCATGGAGTAAGTATGCCATATGGTTTTCCTATCCTTGAGCTGCTACTGACGTTCCCGTTTGTTCTTTATTTTTGACAGGAAACCAACTCTCGCTAGTTCTGAATCAAACTTACCATCCACAATGGATACCCTATCCATGACAGAAAAAATCCAAGATACAGAAAAATCTCCATCCCAGGACATAGAAAAGGACCCATCCCCTGAAGATGAAGACAATGATCCCGCGTACCTGAGTACCAAAGTCTTGCTCTCTCTGATGCTAGCACTTGGTTTATCCATGTTTATGGCGTCCCTAGATCAAACCGTGGTTAGTGTAGCTATACCTACTATCGCTGCCGAGTTCCAGTCTCTTCAAGATGTCTCATGGGTTGGTGCCGCTTACTTTCTAACATGGACCGCTTTCCAAGGTGTCTATGGAAAATGTTCATCCATCTTTGGCTACAAGATCATGATTCTTTTTGCTCTATTCTTTTTCCTCCTGGGAAGCTTGATTTGTGCTCTTGCCAATAGCATGATTATGCTGATCATTGGAAGAGCTATTGCTGGTATTGGAGGTGCTGGTATTCAATCATTGACTCAAATCATTATCACCGTCGTCTGCCCCGTGCGACGAAGAGGTAAGCTTTATTCTCTTTGACTGAGAAAGTGACATCGTTTCAATGCAGTCATTTTAATATTATTTGCATATCGCCAGGTATGTACCAGGGACTTGCTGGTCTATTTTACATGATTGGCACAGCCATTGGCCCATTGATCGGAGGCGCATTTACTGACCACCTCAGCTGGTAAGATACTATCTTTTTATGAATCCCTATTTCATTGGAACAACGCCTTTAACCTTTCACAATTTTTTTTTTTTTTGAAAACTTATAGGAGATGGGCATTCTACATTAATCTCCCATTAGGAGCAGGTAATATCATCCCACTTTGAACGTTTTTTAATTTTTTCGATCACATTTAACCTTTAAATAATTCATCTTATAGTTTCTGCTCTCGCTGTTGTTCTGGTACTCCGAAATCAGCCTGCACCCGGAACCACCTGGAAAGAACGATTCAGCCGCGTAGATTACCTTGGTCTCGTGCTTTTGCTTGCCTGGGTCATTATTCTGTTGCTTCCCTTGTCGTGGGGAGGCAGCAAGTACAGCTGGAATTCGCCCGTCATCATTGTTCTATTTTGCCTATTCGCTGTTCTCCTAGCCATATTCTTGTGGGTCCAATGGAGGGTGGCAAAAGAACCTCTCATGCCATTGAGCGTGTTCACAGTTCATCGAAACCCTGGATTGATTTTTATGGCAAACATTTTCATGGGAATGTGTTTGACCGGCTTCATTTACTACGTCCCTATAATTTATCAGCAAGGCATGGGCAACTCTGCCACCACTTCCGGTGTGAAGTTCATCCCCTACATGGTCTCAACCATCCTTTGTGCTATCGTATGCGGCATCCTGATCTCTGTCACTTTGAGATATCGTCCATTTGCAGCTATGGGACCCTTCATTGCTTCTATTGGAACGGGATTAGTTACTACCTGGACTATGTCAGCCTCAACTGGCTTGCAAGTCGGCTGCCTTATCCTTTCCGGTGCTGGAACTGGAGCTTTCGTCGTTAGTGCTTTATTTAGCGCTCAAGCTCCCACCAAAAAAGAAGATCTTCCAGTTACTACCAGTCTTGTCAGCTTCTTCCGCTCTCTAGGAGGAGTTATCGGCGTGACCGTGTTCGGAACCATCTTTAACAATACTTTGCCAAACCTCATCGCCCAAGCTATACCAAATATCGATCCTGCTTCCATGACTGCCATTCTTGAGGGTGATAAGACTGTTATATCCGGCTTCGACCAAGCAACTCAACTGCTTATACGCGAGGCATCCATTGAGGCACTAAAGCCAGTTTTCTACACCACAACTGCCCTCTTTTGCCTTTCAGGTCTGCTCGTCCTTGCAACCGCTCATGTACCTTTGTCAAAGGAAGACCTTAAGAAGCTAAAGGAAGCAAAAGACTAACTCTCAAGAAATTGAGATGTATGAAATACCTTTAAAATATGCACATTATAATTTTATCGTCATGTCAATATGTCAAATCTTTCTTTACATTCGAAGTCATATCTTTTGAAACTGTACTTTGAAAATAATAAAATAATTATAGAATATGTTATCTGTCTTTGTACTTGGGGCTTTGGCGTTTTTCTGTGTATAGATCCTGTAAGTTTCATTACGGTGTTTTGATCCGTAGGCTTCTAGCAGGTTTGACAGAAAAAGTATAAGAAGTTGGCTAAGAAACGAACTAGCAAAATGCTGTTACTTATACGCATGTCAATCCCAGTAGCATATTCCACTTCGTATTTACTTTCGCTTTTTAGTTTTAATTCTTTTTTTTTGCTTCAAACTTTTGATACAATCGCATTAACCATGCCGTTTTGTAATATAGGTGCTAGAAGGTCATTCTGTTATGCTGTATTTTTCTTGCCTTAAGCGCGGATCTTCATACAAAGACGCTGCACTCACTGATTTTTTTTTGAAACTCCATTTGTGCCTGTTTCTACCTCAATTTTTTTTTTTTTGCTGGCAGACCCTTCCTGAATCGCGCAGTCTCTTGATCAATGGCTACCGCAGAGATCGCAACCCTGATTCAGAAATCAGTTCCAGAAGCTGACGATGCCGTTGTAGAATATATTACCGGTTATCTCGAGGGAACCGATTTTGCCGACGACGATGAGGATGGAATCACAGAGTTCGTTCGACCCATGTTGCTGGACGTTGGAGGAAAGGAAGGCGAGATCGACAGACTTTGCGACCAGCTCATCAAGCTTTTGAGCGCCAAAACGAACAACGTCGCTCAACCTAAAGCAGGTCTCAACAAGCTAGCACAGCCAATCAACATGGCCAGCCAATCCAACATCTCAGCAACTGTCAGTTTGATGAAGGAAAATGTAGATCTTCAGTCGGTTCGTGGTCGTACCATCCAGTCTCAAGTCGACGCTTCAAAGTTAAAGAAGGCTGAAGCTAAAATTGCTGCAAAAATGGCAAAACGTCAAGCTAAATCTAACATGGCAATTGATTATGAAGCTTCCAAGTTGATTCATGACAGCGAACAGAAGGCGCTCGCTGAGGCTTACAAAATGTACAACCCCATTATGGATTACACATCCACCAAAGGAAAGTCAAAGGATATTAAACTTGAAAACTTTGATATCTCATTTGGCGGAAAACGTATCCTTACAGATGCCAATGTTACCCTTGCTTTTGGTCGTCGCTATGGTCTTGTTGGCAAGAACGGTATCGGTAAATCCACTCTGCTCAAGGCTATGGCAAGACGTGAGCTTAACGTCCCTACACATATTTCATTGCTCTACGTCGAGCAGGAAGTTATTGGTGACGACACCCCTGCTTTAGAAATGGTCTTGAAGGCTGACGTCTGGCGTACGCATCTTTTGAATGAAGAAAGGCGTCTGACAGCCGAGATCAATGTATTAGATGCAGAGGACGCAGAAGAAGGTGCAACAGAAGAGTCTAGAGATGCTGCAGACAAACTCAAGGAGAGTCTCAACTCCAAGTTGAGAGAAGTTTACCAAAAGTTGGAGGACATTGAAAGCAACAAGGCTGAAGCAAGGTAATGTTATAGACAGTCGAGCACAGGTTTGAGGCATATGGTATTCACATAGATTTTTACTTTCAGAGCGTCAGCCATTTTGTCTGGTCTTGGTTTTGACACCGAACAGCAGAGACGACCTACCAGGGAATTCTCTGGTGGTTGGCGTATGAGAATTTCTCTTGCAAGAGCTTTGTTCTGTAAACCCGATTGTTTGATGCTTGATGAACCGGATAACATGTTGGATGTAAGCTGGGACTACCTACAGATCAATTTGAACTGGAATTTGCGCAAGTGTGGTACTGACTGATGTTATTTTTCAGATTCCCGCCATTGTCTGGCTTGAAAACTATTTGCAAACTTGGCCAAATACATTGCTTGTCGTTTCTCACGACAGAGGTAGAGTATCTTTCATGCTGACGTATTATAAATCTGGTGGAGCAAGGCATATTTATATACATATTTTATTTTCTCTTAAAAGAATTCTTGGATGAGGTTGCCACGGATATTCTCCATCAGCATTCCGAAAAACTCGACCATTATAAGGGCAATTATGCTCAGTTTGATGCCACACGCGAAGAGCGACAGAGACAACAGTTGCGAGAATACCAGTCGCAGATGGAATTCCGTCAACATCTTCAAGATTTCATAGACAGATGGCGTTACAACGCCAAGAGAGCACCACAAGCGCAATCGAAAATCAAGATATTAGAAAAACTTCCTATCCTAGAAGCACCTGAAGAAGAGAGACTTGTCACATTCAAATTTGCAGACCCCGATGCACTCTCTGCACCTATATTACAAATGGACAACGTCAAATTTGGCTATTCTCCCGACAAAATTATTATCAACGACATCTATCTTGACATGCGCTTAGACTCTAGAATTGCAGTTGTTGGACCTAACGGAGCTGGTAAGCAAAAGCGGTAAAAATTTAACATGCAATAAATCGTCTAAAATAATTCGTCATTTTGCCCAGGTAAATCCACTATGCTTAAGGTTCTTACTGGCGACCTTAGACCCCAAAGTGGTCTCGTTAACCGTAACGGCCGTCTACGCATTGCTTACTTTACGCAACATCATATTGATCAGCTCGATTTGACGAAATCCCCTGTTGGTTTCATGGCTGATAAGTTCCCCGGCAAGAGTGAAGAAGAATATCGTCGACATCTTGGTGCATTTGGTATCACTGGTATGGTTGGTTTGCAGGTCATGAAGACTCTTTCCGGTGGTCAGAAGTCTCGTGTAGCCTTTGCCTGCCTCAGTTTGGTCAACCCACATATCCTTGTTCTCGATGAACCTACCAATCACTTGGATCTTCATTCTATCGATGCTCTTCAGACTGCTCTTGCTCAATTCAAGGGTGGTGTCGTAATTGTTTCTCACGACGAACGTTTCATTAACACCGTTTGTAATGAGATCTGGATTTGTGAAGGCAAAAAGCTTCACAAATTTTCTGGTACTATCAAGGACTACAAGGTACGGTATACGTAGAGCTTGCTATGATGTATTTATGAATTATTCTAATTATCGCTTTGCTTTCTCCTCCAGAAATTGATCTGTCCCAAGGAGACCCCATGAAGTTAATAAACTCCATTGTATTTGCTTGACATGTCCTTTTTCTCCTTCTTCTTCTTTGAGTTTTGTTTACATGTGTTTAATGGATTCGTATAAATAAGATGGTGCGGAAGGAATTGATATTATGCCGGTTCTTGCCTTTGCGCGACCAAAGGCAATTATGTTAGAAGGCGATACAGATGACTCAATGCCGCTGCGGTTTGTGCAATATATCACTGCGCCATATATCAGTCAGAATTGCGTGGTAGCCCAACTCCTCAAGATACCTTTACTTCTATGATAAATACAAGAGATTTACATGGTCATGAAATAATCATAACCAAAGCATTGCACACTACAGATTGTACGGCACGGTGTCCTGACAGAACTCAAGGGTAGCCCACGTCGGTCAGTCGTGGCACAGCAGTCACGTAACAAAATCGCCCGCGCCACTCTACCAGCACCTATTAAAAGAGGGCAAGCCAAATTTTGCGTTTACCAACCCAAACGCGACATGTCAGATCAGTCGACTGAATCGACAACTTCCCAAATTGTCAATGAGCTTTATGAAATTTCCAACAGCGTAGAGAGGAAGAAAGCAAAGACCGTCCGACACAAAGACTTTGTTTTGCCATTGTCAGGTGTGAGGTTGACCAGCTGGACTATGCTTGAATCAGAATACAAAAAGGATCCCTGTCCCTTTCCTGTCATGGCCCGAGGACTCTTCACTCGCAAGGTAGACGACAAAACCTATCAGGTTGCTGTCCGGGGTTACGACAAGTTTTTTAATTTGGGAGAAACCAAGTTCACTCAGGTACTGACTGACTGGCTTTCATTTCTAACCTTGGCTCCACTTTCTAACCCGCAATTGCTTTTCAACCAGTGGACATGGATTGAGGAGAATACAATTGGCCCTTACGAAGTCACATCGAAAGAAAATGGGTGTATTATTTTCATCTCTGCGGTATCTGAAAATGAGGTGGTGGTTACATCAAAACACAGTATGGCTGACCCTATAGACGATCAGGCTCACCATGCTGGTGTAGCGTACACATGGCTTTTGAAACACTTGGATTCAGCTGGGCGTTCCATTTCTGAGCTTTCATTATGGATTCACAAACATAACGTCACAATGGTCGCAGAGGTATGTGGTTTAACAATTTCCAATTTATAATGGCGAGTGTATAGTTAACAGTCATGCAGCTTTGTGACGACAATTTTGAACAGCACGTTCTAGAGTATCCACCAGAAACCAGTGGTCTGTACCTTCATGGCATTAACTACAACGAAATCCACCTACATACCATGCCCAGTGACGAGGTTCGCGAGATTGGACGAGAGTGGGGTTTGAGAGTGGCACCATTTACAGTTTTGCCGGATGTTCAATCTATTAAAGACGTTGAAGCGTCACTCCGCCACGAGGATGAATTCGAAAACAGACAAGTGGAGGGTGTAGTTATTCGTTGTAGGACCAACGCCAAGTTACCGTTCTTTTTCAAAATTAAGAACGACACCTACAACGAATGGCGGGAGTGGCGGGAAATTACCAAGGCGATACTCTCAGACAAGAATTATCGGTGCCGATTCGAAAGAAGTATCTATTACGCGCAGTGGGTGAAGGAAAGACTGAAGGACCATCCGGAATGGTTCAGCCAATACAAGCATTCGAAGAATATAACATTTATCCGTGATGAGTTCGAAAAGTACTGGGAAGCAGGCAATTTGCTGGAGATTGGAGACCCATGTACCGGAGTTACCAGAGGCTGATTTTTTTTTTTTTTTTGGGTGGTTTCGGAAACAGACTTCTGCCGCTATACCGTTCGTGACCGCTTCATAATATTTTTTGGCGGGGGCAGCTGCGCTCATAATTATAGTCAGTTGAGCTCTCCACCCTTTGTAATCTAGTAGAACTCCCTTCCCCTTTGTACATGCCCATCACCATTCATAAAAATCGACCCAAGCGGTCAACAACAGACCCTATTCCAGGAAAAGAAAAGGGCGTACCTACCAATGGCTTAGCAAAGTCTATGCCTTCGCTGCGCCCTAACACTCTACGAGCTATTAGTCGTTTGGGCTCCTCATTTCAGAATCTTGGTGTATCATCTTCAGGTTCTGGCTCCAGCTCGGAAGCGTCTGTTGAAAAGGACGAGAATTTGAACGAGGAGATAGCCCAAGTGCGACATGCCATGGACCTCTTTTTGAACTCCCGTATCAAAGAAGCCGAAAGTCTGATAATGCCAAACAAGGAAACGTCCTTGTATTGGAGTCTCGGATACGCCTTCATTAGTTTTTTAAAAGCCATGATGACATTCCAGAACGCGGATTTTGATACTGCTTCAGAAGCCATCAAGCAATGCATTCATATTGCCACCAACGCCAGGAAGCGAGATGCTGGCTTTGTCGATAGTTTAACAAGTTGGGTGAAAGGTAGTACCGGACTTGCCACTGTGAAGGCCATGACCAAATTACAAAGACACGCAGTATGTAATTTTTTCTTTTGAAACATTTTTCATCAGTGACCAATGATGGGCTTATGTCAATGCGTTTTCTCATATCATTAGGAACTCGTATATGCAGAGTCTTATCTCATGAAGGCTGTTTTAAGCATTGTGCATGATGAAAGCTACATATCGTTTTTACGCGAGGGCCTCAACATCCGAAACAGTTACAATATTTATCGCACGTTACAAAAGTTTCTTCATTTCATTGAAGATGAAATTGCCGCTGGCAACGACGTTTCAGCCTACGAGATTGACGATCATTTAACATCAGGAGTGGCTCTTGGCATTGGTTGCTTCAACTTGATGTTATCCCTCCTTCCACCTAATGTGTTAAAGGTGGTCGAATTCATCGGGTTTACTAGTAATAGGGAGTATGGATTGAAACAGCTAGAATCCATCGGCGGGTGGGAGCCTTATCACAAAGACGCCAATTTACCTCTACCCGAAAAGCAAGGCCCTGACGAAGGCTTACGAAGACAGTTTTGTGACATGGCTCTCATATTATATCATGTTGTTATTGCTGCTGCCATACCGGTAGCCGACGGCGATATTAGCTTTGCTGAGGACATTCTCAATTACAATCTCGAGATATATCCTGACGGAGTTTTGTTCTTGTACTTTTCTGGAAAACTCAACTGCAGTCAAGGCAAAATTGATAGTGGAATACAACAATACCAACAGGCAATTGCAACACAAAAGGAATGGAAGCAATTGCATCACATTTGCTACTGGGAACTGGGCCTTAACTATATGATAAAGTGTGATTGGACCAACTCACACAGCTGCTTTTCTATTTTACAAAGAGAAAGTAATTGGAGTCGATCAGTATACACCTACATGACAGCTGTGGCTCTGTTTTGCTCCCTGGATGATGTCAAGGACGCACAAGAAAAGAAGCAAAAGATGGATGAGGTGGTCCGGTTGATGAAAGAGGTTCCAAAGTTGACACAAAAAATCGCTGGCCGTTCTCTACCCGTAGAGGTACATGTTATTGACCGGCATTTTTGAGTTTGCTACATGACTTGACTGACCAATCGTTTTTTTCTTTTTCACAACAGAAATATGTATCCAGAAAGACTCGCAAGTTTTTTATGCAATCTAACTATTTATTGCTCCCCGATTTGGAGATTCTTTGCTTTACCAATTCCTACGAGTCACTACCTACTGATATCCTCCATGTGAAACTACAAGTACTCAATGCAACCATCAAAGATCTGGAGGACAAGTTAAAGACTTCAGACGAACCGTACGAAAACATTTACGACGATTACTGCCTTGCACAGTACGTCCGAGGCATCATTACTCGTATGATTGCGTGTTCACCATCCGTCGAAGAGAAGCAAGATATGCTGGCCCTGCATGAAGTATCGATGCAAGCGTGTTTTGATAAAGCTGACAAGGTGCAATGGGATCACTGGGTATATTATTATTGTCGATACGAACGAGCATGTACGTTTATCAAGGAAGGCCAATTCGACGAAGCCAAGAGCGATTTACAAATGGTCCTCAAGGCAGCGGAAAAAGGATACGGCGTTGGGTCCGGTCCTGGTGCCAAACACAAATACAGTATGGAGAACGCACTTCTCTTCAAGTGCCATAATGCACTACATGATATTGAACGACAATCAAACCCCAAGTAGAAAGGGACACGGCCCGACGTAGATCTCTGCCTCAATTATCTCTTTTTTTATAGCAATGTATAGTCTTTGATAGTGTTTTATTTTTTCGAGTTTGTACAGATATAACTTGCAATTGTCAATGTTTTTGTTTAGAGAAGGACATACAAAAGAAAAAAGATGGGACAGTAACGTATAACAAACCATTAAATTATTAAGTAACCGTGTTCTAGCGCACGGCTTCCGACTTACAATGTTAAAAAATTCTCGTTTGTTAATTGCTCTCCAATTTTGATACGTTAAACTCATCAAATGCGGTCCAATTTCCGCTTTCATCTTTCACCAGATAGCCATCCTTATTAAATTGGCAGCCTTCTTTTTCAAGCTTGGCCTTCTTGTTACGCATATTTCCTCCTGCTCCCCATTGACCATTGAACCCTCCGATAAACCCATCACTAGCAACCACTCGATGGCATGGCACAGGTAGTGGGCAGAATGGGTTGATTCGCATGACACCTCCTATAGCGCGTGGACTAGAGCTCAATGCATCCGCCATTTTCTTGTACGTTGTGACCCGGCCCTTTGGTATCTGGGCACATAAATCCAACACCTTGAATTGAAAACTGGTCAACTTGCGATTCGTCTTGGGGCTAATATACTGTGCTCGCTCCTCGGCTGTCTCAGGAAATGGCCTTTTCTCTGTTGGTGGAGAAGGTTAGCTTGAATAGAGGGAATTGGATCAGTAGTCTGTGTATTACCTTCAATATCGTCGTCAAAAGGCACGTCTGCTCTTTCGTCAGGAATTTTGCCGATCCGGGATCGAGCAGCCTTTTTGTGTAATGACGGTTGAAGTTTCTTGATAGTAGGAGACAGGGTCTTTGCTTTGGCCATGGTGGAAAATGTTGAAATGAAGTGAAGATAATTCAGAGACTGCGCGACGCGAGCTCTATTCAAATAGGCGTTTTTTCAACATTGCTGTCAATGTTTCTTTTTGGTAACGCGCCACCGCGAAAATGATGTGGCACGGCAATCTCCAATTTGTCATCAATCTCAGACATTTTCATGGACCCCTCGGCAAAGTCAGTGGTATCACCAAGTCTTTTTTTAAAAGCAACAATCAACAATTAGACTTGTTAAAAGCATTTGATGGAATAATAAGAATGTTACAACGGAAAGCTGACAAAAATGAAAAGAATGAAGAGCAAATTGGTGGGAGAAAGTTGTGTTATACCAGGTGAACAAGAGAGAAAAAAAGGGCAGTATGATATGATAAATCAGATAAATCAATGCGTATAAAAAAAAGAGAGATTAAGCGTTAAATGTAATGATGTGCCGATTAGTTAGGACCAGTGATAATGTGGTCCTATTACCATTTGTAAGTTAGATGCTGGAGTGTGGGGGTTCATGAATGGATGATGCCGACTTACCTGGAATACAAAATTAGGATCCATTTGACAGAAAGGATGACTTAACAATACCGTAGCAGTTGGTCGCAACGCTGGTTCACTAATAAAAAAATTTTCAGTTAGCTAAACTTAATAACTTTGATATATGGCATTGAGGTGTTCACTCACATTATGAAGCACAGACGGAGGAAATCCTTTCCTTCTTCTGACATATTTTCGGGTATAGGCGGTGATTTACATGTTCCAATCTAGTATAGATGTGAATACAATGGGTGACAAAGGGATAAATAGTCATGCGTGTATGCCAACTTACACTGTATACAGCTGCTAGGGCAGTCATGTCCAGCCATGGTCGTTTACCAGTATACATTTCAATGACCGTACAGCCTAAACTCCAGATGTCGACCTTTGCACTATAAGGCTCATTTTTGACCACTTCAGGAGCCATCCAAAAGATGGATCCTTGCAAAGACATCTTGGAATTTTGGTCATAGACTTCATCCTGGTCATTCAATTTGGACAGTCCGAAATCCGATATTTTGCAAGTACCGTCTTCCTGTACAAGAATGTTGCCACCTTTGATATCCTAGAGAGATGACAAAGATGAATACCCCATTATAGCGTCTAGAACAAACCAAACATCCACCACTTACTCTATGTAAAATATGCTTGTTGTGCAAATATTTCAAACCTTGTAGAATTTGCCGCGTAAAGTGTCTAACCAGAGGTTCTTTGAACGGACCAAATTTGGTCAGACAGCTAGTAATACTGCCACCAGCGACATACTCGAGGAAAATATTGAGGTGTCCCTCAGCCTCGTTACTGTCGTATCCAAGATATTGCACAATATTCTCGTGATCCAACCCTTCAAGCAAGGAAATTTCGTGATACAGAGCTTCTATAGAGGCTCGTTGATGCTCATTCATCAAATCAGATTTGGTGGTAGGAATTTCAACTTGCTTAACAGCAATGACTTCGACAGGTTCGGCATTCAAGTTGACGGCGTGATACACTCGTCCAAATGAACCCTTGCCGATAAGTTTACCCATCATGTAGTGAATCTTCGTGGGTGCTACAGATAACAACAGAGAAATTAGATACTACGATGGCATATTTGTACACAACAACTGTGTGTCCTACATACCTGGAAGATTGGTAACCTCTGTCTTCTCTTCCTTGATTGGAGTGGCTGCCTGATCGATGGACATGCCAGGCTTGACCTGCACAACCTTTTGACCCCACATCTTTGTACTTTTCCTTCGTAAAATATTGTTGGCGCGAAGTACATTATGCGCTTGTTGCCATCTATTTGGCTTATGGGTTTCTTGAATTTTGATACGAACAGATTTGCGAGACACAAGGTTAGCTCCGCCACGACGATTATTTGTTGAAGATGGTGGTGCTGGTGCATCAACAATAATCTCACGATCGAGATTCTGCTCATCGAAGTATCTATCTGGATTCTGAGCAATGACTTCCAAGGGAGGGCGTTCACCCCAGAATTCATTTTCATTGGTCGGTGGAGGCCTCAAATGGCCCTCGGACCGATCAGGTTGGAAAGGATCATACGTTGTAGCTGATGATTCGGATGAGGAGCTTCGTCTGGCTTGACGTGTTGGCGTTGACGATCCCAAGTAGGGTGATTGTCTAGGTGAATAGTCCCTCTTCGATGTTTCCGATTGGACGGACGTGTTGGCTACAATCGAAGGAATCTGGATCTGCAGTTTCTTATCCTTTCGTGGACTCTTCAACGATAAACTTTCCACAGCCGCCTCTACCGTTGACGACTGCTCCATTCCATTAGCAGATAATCCATTGCCATTCATCGTTGCGTTCATACCGCCAGCAGACATGGGGAATATTTCATCATCTGAGCGCTTGTCCGAGTAGGATGAAGAGGGAGGAGTCGCCCAGAAGCTGACTGGTTTGCCTGGTGTTGGTGGACCATCCATTGGCCTTGGAGAATCACCCGACCCACTCCTAGTGCCAAGTGATGAAGGCTCGCTTGACGGTGGTGTAGCCCACAGAGATGTACTGACAGACTTTTTGGGTTGAATAGCCCATAAGGATGGTGTAGGTACGGAGGGCGATTTAGCGGAGTTGACATAATTATCAGAGTTGGTTCGTTGATGCGCCCCATTAGGAGAGCTTGGGCTGATGGCCCACAGCTCATTGCTCGAAATTGCGAATTGTCCGCCAACGGGGCTTGCTATAATGTCTTGATTTGCTTGAGAAGTCAGTGCTCTGACCAATATCCGATTGGACGCACTTCTATCTGCCATCCGGCATAGGTGGGTAAGTTCTGCATCAGATAAGGGTGAATCTACAATTGAATATTCATTAGTCATAATTATGTGCAAATTTTTCCACAAGATGTTAGTTCGAAAAAAAATCCACATACCCGGGTATGGTCCATTTTCATGAATATATTCAAAAGGTCCTTCCATTGGATTGATGTTTAGCCTTGCAAGTATAGCTTCTTTGATAGTAACCGGATCAAGCAAATCATTGACTATTAGACTGAACCATGTGTCCGCATCAGTAGTGACTTGTATCCGTCGCTCCAGTGACTTCTCCTGCTAAAGTTACGATATCCTAGAGTTTAAAAAAGGCGATGCTTTCTACCTTCACTCTCAATAACACCATAAATAACTTACCTGTTGAGGTACAGGACGTCGAACTTGACGATATTTTAACCTATCCATCCAATCCGGCGGACTCGTATGGCTGCTAGCTCCAAATTGGTTTATGGATCGTTCATCTGGGTTGGTGAAGGCTGAATTGTTATTTTCCGCCATGTTATATGATCCCCCTCCGAGCAGATGTTGTAAATTTCGAGCTGCAGCGCGTTCTATAGTGTCGGGTACACGGCGTTGTGGGAGATTGTAATTGAGTTTTTCCAGAAAATGGTGTATATGTTGAGGTGTTGAGGTCGTTCGCTCCGGTATATAGTCTTTTATACGATTAAAATCGGGATCTGCAGAGTCTGCCCTCCCAAATGTTCGTGGGGCATACTGACGAGGGCTAGTTGCATTTTGAGACGAAGAGATAGTGGGCGGGAACGTTGTATTAACTTTGTGGTTGGTTGGGCGTTGACGAAGCGTTTGAGAGCCAGCATATCCATAGGGGTCGTGCGATATTGGGAATTCAGGAGAACTGTTGGATCTGGAGGTTTCAAACTCATTGTAGGACATGTTCCTAGTTGAAGTTGGCGAACCTCGAGATTGATACTGTCCTGTCGTCGAAAGGTTTTCGGCCTTTAACATATGTCAGTCTCATGCCATTGAGAAAATCAAACATTTTGAATCAGTATTAGCTCTCTACTCACAGACATATTGCTGGTGTCGCTATGTAATATGGATTTGATGCTATAAAGTAACTTTCGTTTGTCACCTAACGAAAGCCTTAAACCAGAGCTGGCGAGTTCCTGGAGGTCGGCTATCGACAAGGAGAAGAATCGTTTTCCGCAAATGCCTTTCTCTGTAAAGTGCATCAAGCTATGTTAGTAGGATCCTCAAATTTCCAGTAATAAAAGGTTCGCATAGCAGCTGTGCTGGGATTATACGGTACAGGGACCGTGACCATTTACCTTCGAAAATTGGAGACACTTGGGACCAACCATTGGCATCGAGCCAAAGTGTCACACGGGCTTGCGTATATTCTGCCATCTGGTCTTCAAGACAAGTAGGATGAGCGGGCAAATGAGGTAGCTCCTTCATGTTGCCATTTTCATGCATCATCCAAGGTTCCTACAACACCGCAGAGGACCTCTCGTTTCAAAATTTACCTTGCCCGCAGGGCGCTATCCAATCATACGCCGTTTTAAACCATGAGCCAATGGCTGTGTTCGTTTATCTGCTTGAAATTGGTGGCGCCCTGAAAATCTTATGCTCAATGACCCTCGCCATACACATCATGCTGTCACCTGCAGCATCGACGTCTTCAATAAACCCTTCGAAAGTACTTGTTCATTCATTAAGGAGGTAGATCGTTTTCATGCATGGCCTCGTGGTCATTATCCCCCTTCCTTTCCAGCTCTCGTTGCGGCTTATATCCCAGATAATCCCTTGACATGAAACGGTTCAGGTGATATTGGATGTTTTGGAACTGTCTGATGTGACAAAACAAGATCAGCTTAAAGCACCAGTAGCTATTTTGCATAAATACAGGGCTAATGTGTAATATTCGCCTCAGTTCTTTTTTAACATAATCATAAGTCTGCAGGTTTATTTGCCCTTGATACTGTGTGCAAATCCTAGGTAACATCCACTCTGATGAGTTTAATGGTAGCCACAGTAAATACTAGTCTATGGGTTGATGGCTGTAACTTTTATCGGTTGGTATGCCCTCTGGATTTAAGTTATACTTTGAACACAATAGTGGCAATCACTCAGAATGTTACACTGAACACACGTCAAAGCTGACCTAGAACCGCTGACGGTAACTTTATTCATTCCAACCAAGAGAAGAGAAAATTGATAAGCGTAATGTCTCATCATGCAGCTGTATTAAAACGAACCTCCACATCACTCAGCCTCCGCCACAAGGATCAGTGTATCAGATTAAGCCCCACAGAAACGTGAGAAGGAAGGAAAATGGTCACTTGGAAACATAGAGGTCTTGAGCACAGTTGTATAATACCCCCTAATCTTATGGCATGGCATTTAACTTGATAGTATAATAGCTCTCGGTCCATTTCGATTTCATTATTGCCATCGATTGCAGCAACCGCAAGGTGGAACAACAAGGACGCACGTGAGGATTTATGATTTGATAGCCCAAGGTTTTGGAAAATCCTCGAGGATGATGTTGCCTGCCAAACAGTGCTTTTAATCAAGGTTTTTTAAGATATCAACAGCGATACTGAACGCCGATCTTTTTGTGGCGGTTGTCGGGATCTGCTAAGCTTTGGTGATCGTGTGCCTTAGCTATTAGCTTTATTTTGGAGGTGCCAAAAATCTTCAACATTGCCGTAGTGAAGCACACACAATGGTTTGCTATGGTTAAAAAATGATTTATTGCAGCTTGTAGAGTTGCTGCTTTCATGCATGGAAAGGGTGTATCCAGCTTTATGTCCGCTCTAGCTTGTTAACTTTCAATGATGTCAAAACAGCCTGTCGTTGGATGACCTCTTTGCCCATGAAACGACAAGAAAAAAAATGAAATAAATAGTGTTAATGACTATGTTAGTTTGAGACAGTTATACGATCTCAAGTGAAGAAGTTGTGATCGGTGGACTTTGATTATGCCTTTGCTATATCTCTTGTCAATGCTGCCTTGCAATCATTTGTAGAGAGCAATAATTTATTCATAAGATTCTTTTCATTTCCAAATGAAAGATGTGCAAAAGGTCTCTGACATACCGTTGTTGCTCAATACAATAGTCATATTATAAGGGTGACTGGAAAGCAGCCTGCTCAATGAAACAAATTTTTGTCACAAAAAAATAGGCGACACTGGTACGCGAAGTGTGACTGTCCGTAAAAAAAATACATATCAATTTCAGGACGCGTCAGTTGGTGTTCTCAAAGTGAATCAAACCCTTACCATGGCAGAACAAACTCCTGACGAAATTAGCCAAGCTTTCGTCGATTTCTTGGAAGATGAGGTGATTATTCTTATAATGTCATTGCAGTCGATAAGCCATTCACACTTTTTCTGCAGTCGCAAGAGCACAACTACAAAGCCATCATCGGCTCTGTCATTGACAGTAAGCAACGCAGACTAATTGTCAGCGTAGATCATTTGCGACGATACGATGAGAACTTTACAGAAAGGTGAGTTAAGTCGACGAAAGTAGGTATATCAAGATAAATTACTGACCAGCTCTATACAACCGAAAGACTCTTCGCTCGTCCTGGTTACTACCTGCCTAGTATGGACAAGGCGCTTCAGGATATGATCAAAAGTGTGAGACCCGATGCTCCATCACAGGAAGAGAGTCCTTTCTATATTGGTTTCCGTGGTAGCTTCGGAGAAAACCATGTTAGTCCAAGAACGATTCGAGCAAAACACGTTGGCAAGCTCATTTGTTTAGAGGGTATTGTCACCAAATGTAAGTAATGGGCAGGGAGGAATTACAGTAAGACGTATCAGAAAGTGCATTGTTGTTGACATTTTGCTTCAAATGTTAGGCTCTCTGGTTCGACCTAAGGTGGTTAAATCCATTCACTACGCCGACAAATCTGGTATTCACTACGCACGCGAATATCGTGATAGCACAACCTTAGGCAATGTTATCCCCACTGGTTCAGTCTACCCTACAGAAGACCCCGAAGGAAATCCGCTCAGTACAGAGTTTGGATACTGCGTGTATCGTGATCATCAAGTTATCAGCATTCAGGAAATGCCTGAGAGAGCTCCTGCTGGTCAATTGCCTAGATCCATTGATGTTGTACTTGATGACGATTTGGTCGACAAGATGAAGCCAGGAGATCGTGTTAGCATTGTTGGTATTTACACATCTCTTGGAAACAGAAATGCAAACCAAACCAGCGCCAACTTCAGGTAAGAGCAGCAACGGTTCCATTATCTTTGGGTGACTTTTGCTAAGAATGCCTGCGTGATTTTAGAACGGTCATCCTTTGCAACAACATCAATCTTCTCAGCACTAAGGCTGACGGTGGCATCTCTTCGCCCATCATCACTGATAAAGATATTGCCAACATCAATATGATATCTAAGCAAAAAAATGTGTTCGATCAACTATCACAATCTCTAGCACCCTCTATTTGGGGCCATGACTACATCAAGAAGGCTGTTTTGCTAATGCTCTTGGGAGGCATGGAAAAGAATTTGGACAACGGTACTCATATCAGAGGGTATGTCACTGTTATTGTATGGTCAATGTTAATATGGTCATTCGCTAAACGTCGATTCTACCCATAGAGATATCAATATGATGATGGTTGGAGATCCATCAACGGCAAAGTCACAGATCCTTCGATTTGTACTCAACATTGCTCCACTTGCCATCGCAACAACTGGTAGAGGTTCATCAGGTGTCGGTTTAACGGCTGCTGTTACAACAGACAAAGAAACTGGAGATCGACGACTTGAAGCTGGTGCTATGGTCCTTGCTGATCGCGGTGTTGTCTGCATTGATGAGTTCGACAAAATGAGTGAAGTTGATCGTGTTGCCATTCACGAAGTTATGGAACAGCAAACTGTTACTGTTGCGAAGGCCGGTATTCATACTTCTTTGAACGCTCGCTGCAGTGTTATTGCTGCTGCCAATCCTGTTTACGGCCAATACGACTTGACAAAGGATCCCGCCAAGAATATTGCACTGCCTGATTCCCTTCTATCTCGTTTCGATTTGCTGTTTGTCGTAGTTGACGATATCGAAGACAATCGAGACAGAATGATTTCCGAGCATGTTTTGAATATGCACCGTTACATTCCCCCCGGTGTAGAAGAAGGTAAATTACTCGATCTTCATTTTGACATGCATTCAACGTTGATATGGCTCTAACGCATCCTTGCAGGTGGTCCTATTCCCGAGCGAAGCGTTGATAACCTTGCTGTTGGTGAAACCGAAGAGGAAGACACAGAGGAAAAGGAGACCGGTATTTATGAGAAGTTCAATTCATTCCTGCATGCAGGCATGGCCGCATCTTCGACTACAACTCCCAAGGTCATCAGAAACAGCTTCATTAAGAAGTATATATACTATGCCAAAAACAGAGTCAAGCCTACTTTGAGCAAACGGGCAACTGAATTCATTGTAAACGAGTATACTTCACTAAGAAACGACAAGGAGGATGATCATAGAAAGAAGGTAAAGGATTGATTGTGTATTGTCATATTTGCCAGGATGATTTTCTAAAGAATCCATTTTAGACCACCCCGGTTACTGCTCGTACGCTCGAAACTCTCATTCGTTTGGCGACAGCTCACGCTAAATGCCGTCTTAGCCAAAAGGTTGAAGAAAAGGATGCCAAGGCTGCTTCTGATATATTGAGATTTGCCATGTTCAAAGAGGTTATTGATAAAAACGAGCAAGCTAAGCGACGGAAAGTTATGGCTTCAGATTCTGAAGACGAAAATAGCGAGGAAGAATCGGATAACGATACCTATGTTGCACGCCCATCGAGATCAAGAAGCGCTCACTCTCAAACTCCACGACGATCCACTCAGCCACGCTCATCTACGGTCGACGACGCATCACAAACCTCCCTTGCTGGCATGCAGTATTTGGATGTCTCGTCGTCATCTGCAGCCATGGACGAAGATGTTGATATGGATGCCGATGCATCATCTTCCAGGTAAGAAAGCAACATAGGACTCGGGAATTTGATATTGTGGCCATACTTACATCTTCCATTTTCAGACTACAACTCTTCCGTCAACGAATCAGTAAGTTGCGAAGCGAAAACTACTTCTTCGAGGATAAATGTGAAATCGATGCTCTGTATGCTGGCATCAATCAAGGCATCTCTGAGCCATTCTCACAGCAAGAAGCCGAGCAGTTCCTGGAAACTATGGCAATAGATAATCAACTCATGTATAGTGACGGCACAGTGTACATGATTTAAGCCAACATTCATATTTAACAATAATAATCCATTTGTGCCATTACAATTCATTTCAAAACTTCGACTGTGTATCTGTTTATGTACTTAAGAAAAGAAAGAATGAGTAATTATTGTTGACGCGGTTGAAAGTGTCGATGGAAAGCTGTGTTATCAGACATTTCCCTCTCCGTTGGCATAGGAGTAATATGTTTCGCTCAACTCGTTTAGTCAAAGGCCCGCCAAATCGATGGGAAAGAGCAGTCTCTCGCAGCTGCCAAAAAAAGCGCCAAATGATTTCCCAACCCACGGTATTCGTTTCTCATTCTTCTGCAATGTCACAAACTGTCCCCACATTCCAAGAAGAAATAGAGCCCGGTAGGTTCTTGACCATGCCAGAGGATGGTAGTGGTGTCGCTGTCATAGACCCTTGGTTAGAGCCCTTCAAACCAGCGCTACAGTCCAGGTAAGCGACATAGCAATAGATCGTTAACCTATACCAAGATCTCGAAGTAAGACCCTAAATACTTCGTTTCACCTCACTCCAGATACAAGCGATTCCAGTCATGGGTAGCAAAGATCAATGAATCTGGTAATGGATACGACAACTTCACCAAGGGATACGAGTACTTTGGATTCAACGTCCAACCAGACAACTCGATTACGTATCGTGAATGGGCCCCCAACGCAACAAGCGCGAGTCTGATTGGAGAATTCAGTAAGCAATCTATTAATCAGTGCATACGATGTTTGCTTGAAAAGAAGTGGAATTTTTGAGCCTTATTTGATCTAGACAATTGGCAGCATGACGCACATCCTATGAAAAAGGACGACTTCGGAGTTTTCCATTTGTCCATTCCGCCTACTGCCGACGGTAAACCAGCTATACCGCACAATTCCAAAGTGAAGGTAACTGGAAAGCCTGAATTATTCTTAATTTTAAGCGATGTCATCGGCATGATACTGAACACATCAATTATGGTATTGTAGATATCAATGAAAATCCCACAATCAAACGATCGTATCGATCGCTTACCGGCTTGGATAACGCGAGTCACACAAGATCTTAACGTGAGCCCGATTTATGACGCTGTCTTCTGGAACCCTCCTCAAAAGTATGTGTTCAAGAACTCTAGGCCCAAGAAGCCAACTAGTGTTAAGGTGTATGAAGCTCATGGTAAGAAAAAATGACCGGGCGGTGACATGCTGAACAATACAGAATCAACTTACTAATTTTTGGGATGATGTATCAATAGTCGGTATCTCATCTCAAGAACCCAGAGTGGGTACCTACAAAGAGTTTACAAGCAATATCTTGCCTCGAATTGCTCATTTGGGATACAACACCATTCAGCTAATGGCTGTTATGGAGCATGCTTACTATGCATCCTTTGGATACCAAGTTACTTCTTACTTTGCTGCTTCGTCTCGCTACGGTACCCCTGAAGATTTGATGGAGCTTATAGACACAGCTCACGGCTACGGAATCACAGTGTTGCTGGATGTAGTCCATTCTCATGCTTGCAAGAATGTGTTGGATGGATTGAATGAATTCGATGGCACCGATCACTGTTATTTCCATGAAGGAGCCCGTGGTCGTCATGAGCTTTGGGATTCACGCTTATTCAACTACGGTGCTTTTGAACCTTTACGCTTCCTCATGTCCAATCTTCGCTATTGGATGGATTGTTACCAGTTCGACGGGTTCCGTTTTGATGGTGTCACCAGCATGCTCTACAAGCACCATGGCTTGTCTTATGGTTTCTCAGGCGGTTATCATGAATACTTTAACGAAGGCGTTGATGAAGAGGCCGTGACTTATCTTATGCTTGCGAACGACTTTTTGAACAAGCAATATCCAGATGTCATTACTATCGCTGAAGGTACGGTTTGAATTTAATTATGGTACTATCGCCATAGGATATTTGTCGACTCACAATTCAACTTATTTGGATTACAGACGTATCTGGTATGCCGGCGCTGTGCAGACCTGTACGAGAGGGTGGTATTGGCTTCGACTATCGTCTTGCTATGGCTGTTCCAGACACATGGATTAAGATGCTAAAGGAGCAGAATGATGACGAATGGGAGATGGGCAATATTGTTTATGTGCTGACAAATAGAAGACATCTGGTAAGCCAAAGTCTTAATGCTTACAGACTGCAAGATGTCTGTTCAAAATATATACTGTTGGTGGTACTCATTTCTTTAAATTCTCTTGTAGGAAAAAAATATCGCATATGCAGAATCGCACGATCAAGCTCTCGTAGGAGACAAGACGCTTGCTTTCTGGCTAATGGATAAAGAAATGTATACAAACATGAGTGATCTCACTCCTCTGACCTCGATCATCGATCGTGGTATGGCACTTCACAAGATGATCCGGTAAAGGCAGCCACATCCTGTTTATATCCCTCATTTTTTTTTTTATCGAAACTGACCACTCCACTCTCTAGATTCATTACTCATGCTCTTGGAGGAGAAGGTTATTTGAACTTTGAAGGCAATGAATTCGGTCATCCTGAATGGCTTGATTTCCCTCGCGCTGGAAACAACGCAAGTTTCCATTACGCACGTAGACAGTGGAATGTAGTGGATGATAAGTTATTGCGTTACAAATATCTCAACGAGTGGGACAGAGCTATGCAAGTAGCCGAGTCGCACTATCATTGGCTCAGTTCTCCCCAGGTAAAATATGCCGACCTTCATAATATCGGTTCCCACACTCTATCGTACTGATAGACCTCTATGATTCTAGGCATTCGTGTCGCGTAAACACGAAGGGGACAAAATCATCGCATTTGAGAGAGCTGGACTTATATTTATCTTCAACTTCCATGCTACCCAATCCTTTTCAGATTATTGCATTGGAACTCATAATCCTGGCGAATACCGTGTAGTCCTGGATAGCGACGATAAAAAATTCCTCGGACATGGCCGCATTCAACATAACACAAGCTATTTCACCAATCCTGGACACTACGATGGTTGTGACCATCATTTGAAGGTAAAAATTCCAGAAAGATAAGCTTGGTGGCCTTAGTGTGTGAAATGCAAATGATTTTCCATCGTATCATTTCTTCGCCGCTTGTACCTTGGTTAACGAGATTTTTATGTGCAGGTATATATTCCTTCTCGTACCGTCATTGCTCTTCGCTCCAAGGACAGTTTGGAGTGGACCCAGGACAATATGGAAGTGCCTTATCAATATGGTTCAAATTAAAGTCGTTTTGTAAAGACATGTGCATGTGGGGGAGAGGCGTCACATGGCCCTCTACCCCGCATTTTTGGTAATAAAATCTTGTTTGAACCCTCATTCCTTTACTTTGACTTTACATTGGTCATGACATCTACCGCACCCGACTCCATTCCACTGGTCATTCTCGAAAACAAAGTTCTCTTGCCCTTTGTTGTGACTAAAGTTATCGTTCGAGGTAGAGAGGCCAGTACTTTAACTAGGAAAATCCAAACATGGCAAGACAGGCGTCAGGACGCATATATAGGTTGCGTACCGCTAATGAATTCAACTTCTGGTAGAAGTGATCCTTCTGCTGTGGAAGACGGTCCGAGTGAACCGTCCACCGCTCCTCAAATGCCAATGCCTCCTCAAAGTGGGTCGACAGACCGATCAACTCCGTCCGACAGTCTGTTTCAGTTTGGCTGTTTGGCCAAGGTCTTGCGAGTAGAACGAGTCGGCTTTGGAGGCTACGCTATCTTTGCTGAAGGAGTATCAAGGTTTCGAGTGCAGGCCATGCTTCAGGATAAACCACATCTTCTAGCCAAGGTAGAACATTTTGTGGAACAGGTGGAGGATGTGAATTCCCGAGATGGTGACCTGCTTACACAAATCACCGCTTTCCGAGAACTAAGCAAATCCTTCATATCAAAAATGCGAGACCTGCAACTCCCAGACCCTCTCATTGCACAACTCTCAAAGCTTATGGATAATTCTAAATCTGGCGTTTTGGCAAATATACTCGTGAGTGTCATCGAGACCACCTACGAAGAAAAACTCGAATATCTCTCGACAACCACTTTGAAAGCCCGACTGATCATGGCAAATGAATGGATGACTCGCCAGCTTCATGTAAGTTTTAAAAGCTGTAACAGGTTGGGATATAGGATATGAATGACTGGCTAATGAAGTGCTTAAAGGTTCTCAAAATATCGCAACAAATCCATAGCAACATTGAAGGAAAGCTGAGCAAGAAGCAACGTGAGTACTATCTACGACAACAGGTAAGAGACATAGGCGACTGGGAATGCTTTGCACTAGTCCTTTTACTAATACATCTATTTTAATAGCTCAATGCTATCAAAACTGAACTTGGGGAGAAAGATGAGCAAACGCAAGGCGGGAGTGCTGGTAGTGCCGAGGATGAAGAGATGTCTGAACTGAAGCGCCGAATTATAGCTGCTCGGATGCCAAAAGAAGCTGAAGCTGTTGCCATGCGAGAGTTTAAACGTTTGAAAAAACTCCATCCTTCTTCCGCAGAGTGGTCGGTGTCCAGAACATATCTGGATGTTGTAGCTGATCTTCCTTGGTCTAAGCACACACAAGATGTACTGGATATAAGTAAAGCCCGCTCTCAGCTAGATGGCGATCACTTTGGGTAAGTACCGGCATATTTCACCTTTATTGCTTGAAAAAAAGAACAACCCCTAATTGATACAATGGAAAACAATTAGCCTGGATAATGTCAAGCGTCGAGTGCTAGAATATCTTTCAGTCATCAAGGTGAAAGGTGACCTTAAAGCCCCCATCATCTGCTTCGTTGGCCCTGTAAGTGCTATGCAATTCAAAAGTACTTGGTGGTCAATATATGCTAAATTATGTTTCATTATGCAGCCTGGTGTCGGAAAAACATCCCTTGGAAAATCGATAGCATCTGCTATGCATCGTGAATTTCATCGCATATCCTTGGGTGGCGTTCGAGACGAAGCGGACATTCGCGGACATCGTAGAACTTACGTTGGAGCACTTCCTGGGCTGATTATGCATGGAATGCGAAAAGCTTCTGTCAATAATCCAGTCATATTATTAGGTATGGTTTACACGCTTGTGGTGGATATGCATTAATATCACGGGATTCATAGGTGCTAACACCATCCATCTCAATAGATGAAATTGATAAAACAGTGCAATCGTCTTACTATGGTGATCCATGTGAGTGATAGTGGCCAGCGACTTTTTGTAATTGGCGCTTATGTTAATTTGCGTGTATTAATCTGTTCTAACTCTCCATTTCTCTTACAGCGGCTGCTCTGCTTGAAGTTCTTGATCCTGAACAAAACAATACGTTTACGGACCACTACGTCAACATGCCTTTCGATCTTTCCAAAGTCTTGTTCATTGCTACTGCAAACAGCGTAGACACTATACCCGCACCTTTGCTAGATCGCATGGAGGTCATTCAAATCCCAGGATATACCTTTGAAGAAAAGCTGCATATTGCTAGACAGCATTTGCTGCCAAAGCAGATCAAAGCACATGGACTAGAGGTCGATCAAGTCCAAATTTCCGATGAGACACTATTGAAGCTGGCTGAAAACTATACCCGAGAAAGTGGTGTGCGCAACTTCGAAAGAAAGATAGCTAGCGTAGTACGCGCCAAATGTGTCGAATGGGCAGAATTTAAGGAATCTGGAAACATAGACAACTACAACCAACATGTTACTGAAAAAGACTTGGAAACGATTTTAGGGGTAAGTTCTAATTTATAGTCAGTTCTAGGTCTTTTGGATCTCTTTTTTTTTTTAACCTAATCACCCGCCGTCTTTACACCAGCTTCAAACATACGAAAAGGAAATCGCCCAGAACGATGCTGAGGCTGGCGTGGTCACCGGATTGGCTTACTCTGGAAGTGGCAATGGTGATATTCTCATGATTGAAGCGACTTATATGCCAGGCGACGGCAAGCTACAGCTGACTGGATCGTTAGGAGACGTCATTCGAGAGTCTGCCCAAATTGCTTTGACGTGGGTGAAGGCGCAGGCTTATGAACTCAAGCTAACACGTTCACCAAACGTTAATTTGGTAGAACATCGTGATGTTCATATCCACTTTCCCGCTGGAGCGGTGGCAAAGGATGGACCTTCAGCTGGCATTGCCCTGGCAACTTCCATTGTGTCTTTATTCTCTGGCAAACGGGTTCCAACTACCACTGCTATGACCGGCGAGATATCATTGCGCGGACGTGTGCTGCCTGTTGGTGGCATCAAGGAGAAAGTCTTGGCGGCCCATCGAGCAGGCATCAAGACGATCATTTTACCTGCGCGGAACCGAAAGGACGTTACAGGCGACGTGCCAGAGACCATCCGAAATAGTATTGAGTTTGTCTATGTACAGACCATCAGTGATGTACTGCAAGCTGCTCTCATTATTGACGAACGTGGCATGGAAGTTTCGTCCCACTGGATTCCCAGCCGTCTCGAGAGCCACCTGTAAGACTCACCAATAGGTGCCTTCAACCTTATTTTGGGATTTTCTCATGAGGCTTATACCATATAAGGCGAGATGAGATAGATGGTAGAGGCTATTAGTCAAGATAAAGCAAAAAGATAAAGTTGTCATTTTCTTTCCATGTTTTCAAGTCTGCCTTCGTGAGTGAGGGAAAATATATTTATTGCAAGGTACTACTACTCATTGGTGCAATTTTCTTTTTACCTCCGGCCATCCTTGTGGTTCGGGACTTCAAAAAATAAGTTTTGGGGATAGAATTCAGAGAAAAAAATAAGTGCATTGTTGTTGTTTGGATATGTGTGATTTAGGAAAGACCGTATAAATTATAAAGAATATACGATGCGCGTGCAGTTGGTTAAGAAAAGAAAGAGAGAAAAAAGTTCATAATAAAAAGTATGTACATCATGAAAGAATGCTATCAAAAAGTCCGTGGCCAATGATGCTCTCAATATGGCCTTTGAGACAGACAGACTTGACAAAATCTCGAACTCCATCGGTGGAAGCCCCAGCAATGCGAACTAGAACACCATTTGGAATAGGCTGCATGTTCCACCGCAAACGGGGATCATTCGTATTTGGGAGAGCACGAATGGCGGTAACACCAGCTTGCAAGGAGTCAGTCGCATCTGGGCTAGCGATGACGATCAAAGTGGCAAAGCATTGAGGCCCTCTGCTTCCTGGAAGTGGGTCTGTAATCAACATGTTGTCTCGTACTATAGGAGTGTGGTCCATAAAGATATCCAGTTGGCTTGAATGCCACATATCATCTCTTGAAATGGCCGTCCGCCAATCAAGTAAAACCAGTTGTGACGTGGCTCGGCCTTCGCTTTGTAAGTAATAGGATTGATGGGAAAAATGAGAAGCATCTCTGAAATGAGTGGCTGAGGGCAAGACAATAAGGGTTGATGTGGGGGTGAGAGTTGCCTTGATAGTTTGTGATGAACCTTTGAGATTGAAAGTTTCAATATCGGCATCATTTGCCTCTGTGGCATCCAGTGGTGGAGATGGTGGAGGTGCAGCAGTGCTAGTACATCCACTAGGTTTATTGCTTCCCCTTGTCAGTAGCAACAAATTGGTATTCTCTTGAAGTTCGACGTTGATGTCCAAATGATCTCCAGAAGTGGTGCCGTTGCTCAACATATGGGCTACTGCGATCTTTTCATGATGTCCCTTTGAAGGTACGAATTTGAGTGGATATTGCGCGGTTATCCTTGAAAACTTTGTTTTGCTTCCATAATTGTGGCAGACGATAGAACCTTTGCCAGGTGAGCTATGGTGAGTAGCTTGAGCTAAGACAGACATGGTCAAAAAGAAAAAAGGATGAAAGAGGTGTGGAACAAGAGCTATAAAAAGAGGGGTAGAAAAATTCCCACATTGCACTCAGGTAAGCCAATTTTCACAGGCAGTCACGCAATAGTACACGGTCTAGTTTCCGTTTTAGTCAGTACATGGTATATCCAATTGGCTCTGTCATACCCTGGGGGTCACTTATTCCACCGTTCTTTCTTTTGCCATACGCTCTTAAGCTCAATCGACTTTTCATCCACTTTTGCAAGTGCTGCCACCCACTTATCTACGCAGAAAAAAACGTCGTGTGTTTCAAAGTGATCTCATCGCCTGTAGGAGTTTGGCAAAAAGTCATTTAGCGTATACTATATTTTTTAAAGGCCCGTTGCCAGCTATGGTAGGTGTATATACATATTACCTTGACGATTGTTTTTAACGACAAACAAACACTATGTAAAGAGCGCAAGGAGAATGAGCCATTCGATAGCATTACAAATTTCAAAGGTTCCCAATGCTGAATGTTACTAGGATTTGATGAAACTGAGACAACGGCGATCTGAGCTTGGCAAGTAACCAGTCAACACTGGATTGGATATTTCAGATGCCGCTATGACTCGACCGTTTGGCTTTTAAAAAAACACGGTGAACCATCAAAGTTATTACATACCAAGTTCAAATAAAAAGCTTCACGCAGGGTCTACCGATGGCATTGCAAGTCCGATATCATTCCTTTCTTTTTTATGGCATTTATCTTTTCGAGATGGGGGTTTATACAAAGCGTTCGCTGGACTGATTGAGCAAAGCGTAATTACGAAATAGCAAACAAAATATCAAACGCTCTATCTATTTGGTCTTGATGTTTCTCAGCTTTCCTGCAGAGTACTTGAAGTTGTCAGCATACGACTTCTTAATAAACTTGACCTCCTTGGGTTCTTGGACATAGTAGTTCCATCCTAATCAAAATAGCCATTAGTCACTAATACCATCCACCCACCCATTTTGAAGCCACCTGAACTTACCTTGCTTTTCGGCAAATGAGATAGCTTGATCTTTCTCAGCGAACTTCATGGTCAAGGCCTGTTGGTAATCGGAACTGGAGGCCCATCCAATAAGAGGGTTTTCCCAGCGTGCACCGTCGGGCAAGATATCGAAATCAATCTTCCAGAGTTTGGCACCTTGCTTGCCGGATTGAGTTGCGGTTCTAGCTGGGCGGTAGATACGAACAGTGCGCTCACGAAGGGCCTCTGTAACCGAGCAAAATAAGATGGTAGGTTGTTGTGGATGGTTGTAATGAAAATGCGATAACCATGTCAATGCCATTCGAGGAACATATAAAAAAAACAAAAGCGAATTCAAGATGAAACGAAAGAGTATTGCGTTATTATTCTGGTAAACAATATCTTCGTATCTCTGTTGGTTAGTTCTTCAAACAATACTGACCAGGTGCTCCAGAGACGGCATCAGCGGGATAAACATCTGTATCAATGGTACCATGTTGAATCTCTTTGCCGGATGACGCGAAACGGCGAGCAACAGTGCTGACGGTTGCCAACTTCATTCCGTTGCGCATTGAAGGTGCAGCGGTCTTAACAATAAGTGATGCCATGGCGACTTTGTAGTAAGCGAGTCAGGAATCCTATGTTTCGTTTCCAGGTTGCTTGATGGTAGAGACCGCCTAGGCAAAAATCGGGGGTGATGACATCACCCAGTCAAAGCCACAATGCTTGCCTGGCCATTGAGCAAAAATTTCCACCATGCAGCGTAACGCTTTTTCTCCTCAAACGACTTAAATGTGCATTATAATATATTCATTCTCTACAGGGGAGCGTAGTATTGGAACAAAAATAGGGAGAAGGGTTAAGGAAATCTATTCTATTGGATAGAAATGATTTGTGGAAGGGTTGGTAGCTGTATATGAGGTACACTGTCTAAATCAGGCGTACCATCCTCGGTCAAATTTTGTACGGATAAGCGCCATCGATTAACATCGTAAATACCGGCTTGTTGGAAACAAGCATGTGCTGTTAGTTCTACGGTTTCGTTTGGCTTCAAGGTGTTGTTTTGCAGTGTTGATCCCGACCAGTGAAATTGATTGAGGCCCTGTGCTGGTTTGACCGCCGCACTAGTACGAGAAAGAAACGTCAATTAAATCATTCACTGTTTCGTACACCTCATCGCAAACCTACCCTTTGCCAGATTGTAAAGATTGCCAATCAGTCGATGAAAGCAGCTCTAAAGTGTACACAACCGTTTTACTCCAAGAACAGTTCTTCAGTAATACTGTAATAGGGATGGTGACCAGGCTGCAAAACCATACCGGGTCAGATGAACGGATTTCTTTTTGAAACAGAATGAATACAAGAGACACTCACCCTTCCTGAATAAAGTCGTGTTTGTGATAGTCATGGCACTTCACCATAATTTTGACTGGACTCTCATCCTTGAAAGCTCGGTTTCGTGTCAAGCTGTTGACAAGTTGTAACCGCTCTTTAGCAGTCGCTTCAAACATTACACGAGGCGTCGGTTTAGATAGTAGCTTTCCTTGGAATGGGTTCTGCGGAACAGCCAGATTAATGCCTATAATATAGTGATGACCTCTTCGGATAGGCACAGCTGAATCCACTCGTTTAGGAATCTCCCAGAACAGTGAGAGGTCAATGTCATTGGTTTCGTACATTGTAAATGTCGTTTTCTGTTGCTTGCTTAAAATACTAGGAAATTGAGTGGCAAGGGTATTGGTACGCCATAGCATACGCGATGTGGAAGAGAAACTGTGGAGAGGTTCAACATCATAAGGTATCAATTGTTTTCTCTGAGAAACATTGTTAGGAAAAAATGCGATCAAGTTGATGAACTGGGCAGGACGCAGTAACTTACAAACGACAAATTTGTAACGTGCAAATCCACTGGTGGTGGGTGCTCATTTTTCTGGCTATTTGTTAGTAAGCCTTCGAGGGCATTTGATGTCCAACGCTCTGGAGAGATGGCTTCGGCATTTTCAGAATGGCTAGCACGATGGATTTTGTAGTATGTGAAGGTGGTTTGTCGAGGTGGGATGAATGCTTTGGATTGCATATCGTCGCTACATGCGTAACGTTAATCTACTTGTTCTTTCTAAACGTTCAGTTTTATGGGTTTTGTAACTTACCTTGAATCCAAATCGATATTCAAAGGTGTGATGGTCCAGCCTGGGCTAGCAGCTGTAAGTTGGTTGAGCTGGAATTCAGCTACGGTTTGCAAGTTTTCAGTCTAATGAAGAGAAACAGAAGAAGTCAATTGAATGAATCTCATTATGGATATGCAGTGGACATAGTCTTACCTCAATACCAAGGATGAACTCATTAAGTGACTTTGTACTGGGTCTTGTAAACGCATTAATCTTCAGAGATGGTAGAACCTGAGTGCTAATAGTATATCGTAAATTACGATGGGCAATGGCTTTGTTTTCGTTCTTCAGATATATGGGTTAGTCACTGTTCATCGATTGCCCATTGCATCACCTGCAAGGATCCTCAACTTACCACCGACTGATATGTGAATAAAAATTTGTGAAGATGTTTGCCAATACGATCGCCACGTATCCATAAAGGTATTAAAGTGGTGGTGCCAGGCTCCAATATACGAGCACCGTTATCGTTAGCAGGAAGTTCGATTGGTAATACACTTGTATTATACAACTCATTGCGCTGTTGGCTTAGGACTTGCTCAGTCCTTGCTTCAGTGGTATCGCTTGACACTAAGTTAGGGTATAACATATTAGTATAGTAGATCACATCAGAATGAATAGAAACTGGGGTAACGTACTATAGACATCCTTGTCGCTATCTGAACTGGGGCCGATGGAAAAGAAGCACGGGTGACTAGTCATAACTCGTAGAGCAGTCAAGCCGACATTACCCTTGTTGCTGATCTCAAGCATGATCTGACACACTTCTCCGGAAAGAAGTAGCTCTGGACATTTGTGGAAAGCAACATCCAATAACGGCATTGGCGAAGTAACATGAATATCCAACGATTTGTCTGGGCCATAAAACGTCCCCATTTGATGCTCCTTTGTATCATTAAGTCGTCTTCCTTTCTTCTCAAACTTGTGGAACGTGTGTACAAGATTGTTGAGGGTATAGTGGAGGCCGACAATGCGGATGGACCCTTCCTTCCTTGGTATGACTCCAAGAGTAATCTAAAGTTTGGGCGGGCGATAGTAAGTAAACATTGTCATGAAAAAAAAAAAAGCATGTTTTTCAAATAATAAGAAACACAGACCGTTCTCCTCTCAAGAGGTTCTAAAACCAATTCGTCTATCTTCTGTAGCTCAAAGGATTCGAACGCATACATGTCTGTTTCCTTGTCGTGAGCGCCAAAAATCATATCGTGAGAAAAGGAAGATTCGTCTTCGGCAGAGGAAACCTCAGCATCAGTGGACATGCACCCGAGCATGATGTCGGAAAATGAGATAGAAATTTGAAGTGGGTTAAACAAATGAATGTGGACTGTTGCTGGTTCTATATGTTATCCAAAAAGCAATACATTACTACCAAGAACAATACCGTTACTCGCAAATTTCGTAAAACCTACCACCAACGGCACAGACAAGTCTTGCATCGTCATGCTGTCGAAGAGCCAGCGCCTTTCGTCGTCCGGTAATAACACCAGCCGATATATCCTCGTCCAACATATCTTTTTCCATGCTCAACCAAACATCTTCATTTTCGCTCGATTCTTGTTCATTGGAAAGGCCAACGCGCACGCTTCTATCATCGAATACTGGTAGAGGTAGGCCATCCAAAGATTGTACTAGTGGGTCGATTCCAACTTGCGCTGCATATTGCTATAACATAATCACAGGAGAGATTAGAACACTTTTGTACATCGTCAATCGAAAAGATGATCAAATCCTGACCAACCCTACCTTGTAAATAAATAAGAATTCTCTTAGATAAGCGACTTGTTGAGCAGGAGGTTGCTGGCTGTTCTTCAAGAGTTTGGTAAAGTAGCTAACAGCAGTCTCAAGGTCACCCAAGTGGAATGCATGCTTTCCTAGAGCAAAATTAATGTGATCTTCAGCAAGAGTCCAACCATGGTCGGCGAACATTTTGTATGACAGAGTGTAACAACGGAAAGCATGCTGACGCTAATTGGGGACGATCATCATGTCAGTTCAAGTTGTATCAGTAACGAAAACATCACTACGATAGTAAACACACTCACTTGCACCGCTTTTCCAAATCGATGGCCAGCCATTATCAAGTGGAACCCATACTTTCGAACCATAGGCCGAGGTGTTCGTAAAAAGCAATGTGCCGCTTGTTCCAGGAACAATGCACTACGCAAATCCGAATCCTCACCAGTCATCCTCACCAATGCAGTTGGTACCTCTCTCCACATTCTTCTTGATTTGAGTAATTCATAATAGATGACAGTGGAACGAGTGGCAAAGAATGATGACATGCAACGTGTCAGATATTGCTGTACGGCCTTCTCATAAGCTTGATCAACCTCGTTCTTGCTAGGTAATGGCTGGTTGGCCAAAAGCAAGCAGGTACCGATCATTTCTTGTACACCTGCATGATGTTTCCAAGCTTTGTCTGTAGCATAATCTCGCTTCACAGCCTCGTAAATATTGAGGGCAAACTTGTAGTCGCGTAGCATAAAAGCAAAATCAGCAAGTTTTCGCATCTGAGCCTCTGGAGCATTATGAGGATATATGGTCACAGTCGTTGTTCCAATAGGTATGTTAGGCCCAAATGCAGGTATAGATTGAACAGAGTGTGGGTTTGGCGACCGAGCTGAAGATCCAAACAATCGCCTGCTAGCGCCGAAAAAGCGGCCACTAAGTCCTCTTCGAGCAGCAGCAACTTGTTCATTCCACAATTGCATGTTCCTTTCCATGAACGGAATCAAGCTCTGTACAACCATCTCTCGGACAAACACTTTGATTCCCATAATATCTTCAGTCGTCAAGTACTTTCCATAATCTAGATCTGGAGGCGAGCTATCGGTAGTGATCAAACCAAGGCCTTGTAAGCTTTGAGAGATGGGTGTGTTCCATACTTCACTTCCAGTCCCTGCTTGTTCAAAGGAACTGAACTCTGTACTAGGGGTTTGCGGGCCAGATTGGAGTGGAGCATGAACGTTGTGAGCAACCTGGGCAAGATTGGACGAGACTGATGTAGAACGAGATAAGTTTGGCACGGAAGGAGATGAAGGAGCTGATGGAATGTTGGCTGGCGTGAAGACAGTATCTTGTGACTGAGGAACCCCCTCTGAATAGGCACGAAGTCGGGATTCAATGTCATACTTTTCGGTCAAGAAATCTGACCATATTTGTTGTCGAGCGGCATATTCGACGGTTTGCTGTGGTGGTGCGTCTTGATTGAAGGTATGTTCACCGGATAACAAATCGCCGGTAGGTACATCTCGAGGTCGTGTATTGAGTTTCAATAAATGGCAATGCAATCCAAATTGTCTTTTCATTTTATCAAGCACCTCATTAGAGCTAAACATAGCAGGATTGAGAATATCAGTACGAAAACCAACATTTCTGTGACAACAAACAAAGCAAGTCTCCTATCCACTTACGTATCAATACTGGCTACATGTCCATCATGGATCAGGACATAGTACCGTAAGATATTTGGGTCTATGAATCCTCGCTCCGAGCCAGGCACAATGCTGTGTGAATCAACCAGCTCCATCATAGTCGCCATCGGGTCAGGGGTAGATGAGCTGACAGCATATACGATAGCGACTGGATGGTCAAACGTCTCATGCTCGGAGATTCCCTTGATCGAAAGAATAAGGTGTCTAAATTCAGCGTACCAAGGCGTCATTTCATCCATGTTTTCTAGCAACATAAAACGACGTAAGCTTTACTCAACCCAACTTTTCCAGTAACAGACTTAAGATTGCTTACTTCCAAGATAGTCGTCTCCAATATCTGCTGCCTTTTCAATGTTCTTAAGGTCCTGATCCATAACTCCTGTTGTACAATTCTTGACATAATCATCAATGACTCTGAATACTGCTCTATGATCTTTGGCGCCAAGATTATTGAAGTCTTCAAATCGAATATTAAAGTTTTCTATCGGATTCGGCAATCCTTGAGAGTCTCTCGGAGATACTGTTGGAAAAAATTCAAAATGATGAGAATAAGTTCAGATGGTGCTTGCATTGCAAAGAGCGGGGTAGTTGAAGGTGTTATGTAAAACTTATTCGAGCCTATCTAAGGTCGCTAATACTGAGGTGAGGGAATAGCAGAGACAAGACAATGGACATTACCTCTGCCTTCAATGAGATCACCAAAAGGTTGTATTAGATCTATAAACGTTCCCAGATTGTTGGCTTTGGCTGCATCGTTTGCATCTGAACTGGCAGCAACGGCTACTACAGGACAAAACGATCGCGAAATGGTGTCGCGCGGAGTCTGCTGAAACAGCGATGGCGACATGGTGGGTGATCTCGAAATAGGAACAGGGGATCCTGGGGGAAGACCTGGAAGAGGTCTACTGCCAGCGTCTGTCATGGAGCCGTCGTTAACCTTTCAGCTGGGTGTGCAACTTCACAAGTCAGCGAAAGTGCGGACGATGTAAGGCCACCTTTAAAAGGGAAGTCACGTGAATTACAGCACAACCTTGGGATTTCAAAGCGTAATGTTTGCCTTATCACCCAGAGAGTGTTTATTATAGCTTAAGTGATTGTAATTTCTTTTGATTTGATTGGTGGTGCATGATCAATAAATACAGTGAATATATCCGCCGTTAAAAAATCTAAACGGAAAAGTCATCTAGTGCAAGGCCGCAAACGTCGACTGAGTCCGACATATCTTGGGTAAACGTAGCACGGATTCCCTTGATACCGGCTTCAGTAGATGGACAATGGAAGCTGAATGAAATTTGGTTTACGTGACTACTGTGGACGACTTGCGACTGACAAGGAATCTAAAAGAGCATGAAAGATTTGGTCAATAACAGAGAGCAATGTGGTATACTTGACAAAAACACTAACCCATTCTTCGCTTGCTACACCAATGGCAGATAAAGACAGCGCATTTTCAAAAGCGGTGCTGTCTTTGGAAAATGTGATGGTAAAGGTATTTGCTTTCGTATTTCGTACGAACCGTAACCCAAAATTGTCGCCTTTAGAAGGTTCTATATAGGTCGGGTTTGTTTGGTATATGTCAGTTTCTCACATCCACAAAATATATTTTTTTTCCTCGATACTTACTTCTGTAGCTATTCCAGCATGTGTTGGGATTACCATCAACGGCCTTGTGGTAAGCATGCTCATCCCAGAATGTGTTACTGGGGAAGTCCAAAGTATTAAAGATAGCTTCTTGATCTTTAACATGAGTGATGTTAACATTGTCAAACGCAACGCTTTCAGGAGCAGGGAAAGGCTCCATGCTGGTAATAAAGAGACATCTATCATTATAGCAAGGGGCACTACGTGGGGAAAGAGCTTGGATTAGATTTGCAAGACATACCCAGCGACGATGCATGATTGTTGAACTTACCGAACATCTCTGTCTGCCGCCTTTGGTTCTTCTTCATCTCGCATAAAATAGTCATTTCTGGTCAAGACAGCGTTTGCTTCTAATGCTGTATAGAGTCGAGATGCTGCATCATACTGTAAACGAGGCATGGAAAGCAAAAAAATTAAGCATTTTTTCTGAAAACGGTTAGATCTTGCAACGTAGCACATACCACATTCTGATAGACAATAGCCCATTGATCGACACCATCACTCCAGCCTTCGTTCTGATCCAACGGATTAAGCGGATTGGATAATTGCCATGGATATTGATTTGTCCATATGGAGAAGTACATGTCTGCCAAGCGGAGACGATCTTTTCCAAGTCCTGCTGAGCCTAATTGAGCAAGGAAATTTTGGACTTTCCATCTCGGAACAAATGCTCCACAACCAAGCCAAGTAAAACCAGTGTGCATATTGATTTCTTTTTGAACGACGGTTAGCATCATGTGGCGAACATTCAATGCAGGTATGTAATGTCTTACCAGGGTTGGTGAACTGCCATCGCTTGTGTTCAAGGTGAATGATGGGCATGGTGTTGGAATGAATGAGATCCGGATAACGCAAAAAGTTAGTATACATGCTGTCCATGTACACATTTAACCAGTCGTCGTCTTGAAAGTAACAAAATTCATATTGGGCCATGGAGCATGTGGTGTATTTTGCGGTATCGTGCAAGTTTTCATATGAATTAAAGACTCTAACTTCAACATGCATTGATTGAGCAACATCCAAATCAAAGTCCTACAAGTGGCAAGAGCATAAGTTGTCTGACAAAAAAGCACTACAGTTAGCTTTAATACTTACAGCAATATTGAGTCTGGTATCCAAGTTGTTGTTCCAAATGATGATTTCTTTGATAAAAGGATATCTTGTAAGATATTGGATGACAAACTTCAAAGACTCGAAGCGCTTCCATCCCAGGAGGACAGCGGTGACAGGCTTTAGACCATTGTGCTTGAGTTGCTCGGGAGTGAACATTTGGGGGGTGTAAATACTTCGTCTATTCAGGATGTCCGTACTCAAGCTCTCCTTGGACCAGTCTGGTTTGCTTATTGGATTATTTTTGATCTCGTCCGGCGAGATGACTTGATCTGAAAACATAGAATTGCTATGTGCTACTGGTCGTGTAGTAGCGTATAGTAGCATGGTAATGAGGAATCCAGCTATGATGACTTTGTAGAGTAGGTTTCGCCGTGATGTGACCAGTCTGGCATAGTGCGCTAAGGAACGATTACCAGATCTGCTATGCAGAGGTAAGAAGTCTTGAGATCTTGCCATGTTGGCACTTTGTGAATTGGAAGAGCGGATGAACGAGTAGCAAGATGAAGCTGGTGAGAGGGATACCTTCCAAAAAAAAAGTTGTTCGGAGACCCAAAAACCGTGAAAATGGAAATTAACATGTCAGGTGATCAATGATCATCATGTAGCGGGTAAAAATGCATCCCTGTGAGTCCACTTTGCAACCAACATTGCAAGCAAATCGGGAGCAAGATGGGCTTATATGCTAAGCGAGATGTCATACGGTCTCTCGACTTTTTACTGTATTGCCAGTTTGCATACATATATTTACTGGATGCCAGCTTACTGGTCTTGCTCTTTCGGATACTGATCCAGTTGGTAAGGTCTTTTCTGGATGCTTCGCGAGAGCACGTAGTACGGATGGTGTTTTGATTTAAACTTGCATTTCTAGTTTTTATCTCCAAGATCGATTGCCCGAACATTGAGAACGGCACTTGGTATTGCACTGGGAGGATTTATACTTTGTCTGCTATTGCACGCAACATCGGAGCCTGCGCAATATGGTCTTTTGATTGACTTCGTCGGTCGTGGTAAGTATAGAGTGCCCAACTACGCTATATGACGTTGGTGTTTATGAAATGCCTCTTCATATTTATCAGAAATGTGCTAAACATTTGCTTATGATTCCAGTTTACAAGCCATCAAAGTTACGACTCATAGTCTTGGATTTCATTATTTTATGTTTTCAAGTAATTCTGATTTTTACATCATCAAGCCTGACATCGGCGTTACTGCAAAGAGTCACTACAACCGCAGCCAATGTAGCAGCAGCAGCAGGCAATGACACATCTAGCAGTAACCATGAACGGATAGAGGAGGAGAGCGCGGAAATCCAAGAACCACCGATTGGATATGAACATGAGCTGGTGGTCGATGTGAATTTACGAGCGTCTATTCGTAACGTGTTTTACGCCGAAATGGACATTACCCAATTGCGAGAGCAACGTGAAAGAACTCTTTTGGTTTAAAAATCATATCTCTCATTTGCTGTTTCTGCCTGTAATAGTATTATCTCCCATGCCCTTACCATCACTACCAAAAAAACCCCCCCCCATTGTCTTAGACGCTGAATACAGCGATACATTGAGATGTAAATACCATTATTCCACTTTTACACCCGAAGAAAAGTATGACCCAGTTGCCCTTTGTTTTTTGTTTTTTTAATATGCAGGCTACCGCGATATATAAAAAGATGCTCTTTTATATAGATTGAAGATAGAAGAAAGAAGAAGCAATTACATAGGAGAAGAAAAAAGAAAGAGATAAGAGAGGAAATAAAAAAAAAATTTATAAGGTATCTTCACAAAGAAACAGCAAAACTAGGTGCAGCGAGTAACAAACAACGGCGTGCTCAAAATACAAGAGTAGAATATAAGAAAGTTGAAAAATTCCCCTTTTTTTGTGGTTTTCTTTTGATAAGGATGGTGTTTTTGGTACTGATTGTTGGCGTGTTAGTCTATGCATTTTCATCCCATTCAGGTGGGTGAACTCGTTTTCTACTCGCCGCGCTACTCCCTGGCATTTGCTGTTGCTGTAGGTTTGGATCAAGGCCAGTAAATCCACCAAGATCTTGACCACCACTTCCAAATGAAAAGTCTCCATATCCTTCGGGTCCGTTACCCACCACGGGTGTACCATAGAAAAGAGCGCTCATGGTAGCTGGATCCATGTTCATTTGATCAAAGAAGTTACCGGTGTCTCCTCCAACAAAACCTGTGCCACTTGGCGACTGCTGATCACCATGTTCACCTTGTATGCCAAGCTGTGTTTGTTGTCCAGCGAAAGGAGGTCGTCCCATCATTGAGCTGGCAAAAGGTTGTGGTGATGTTTGTTGAGCTTGTGATTGCTGTTGCTGCTGTTGCTGCTGCATATTTTGGAATAGGTTATGAGCTCCTAGGTATTGTTGATATTGCTGAGCATTGGCATTGGGTCGAGATTGATCAAAATAATTAGGGCCAGCAGTAGAAGTAGGTACATTAGACTGATTGAATGAAGCGCTGGGAGTGGGGGTTCGTGAAGAAGGAGCAAAATTTTGTTGACCAGCTTGCGGTGACATGAAGGCATTTGAATTTGGATGTTCAAAAGGTGAACTCATGGGTTGGAAAAGATGCTGAGCATTTTGCAAATTGCCAGACGGATCAACAAGATTGACCCCAACGTTGCGGAACAACAATTGACTCATATCGGTATTTCCATTATCATTGCTGCCATCGATGTTGAAGCCACTGACTAGACCTGGGTCATTGAATAGCTGCATGTTGGAATCCAGCAAAACGCTATCGGCCGAATTCTGGTTATCAAGTTGACCAGGATTTTGCATTTGAGGTGCAATAAATGACCCTGAAGGCATGGACATACTGGTCATCATATTTTGCATACCCGCATTGGTTGGCATACCAGTGTTGTTTTGTTGCTGCTGTTGGAAAGAGCCACTTTGCATTCGAACGCCTTGTTGATTGGGTATACGTTGCTGGCCTCCTGGTACCTTGGGTTGTTGTTGCTGCTGCTGCTGCTTTTGCGGTGCTTGGCCCATACCTGGCATACCAGGACTCATCATAGACGGTGGCTGGTGACTGGCTTGCGGGGACTTCATTTGACCAAACTGATTGAGCGAACCTGAGTTGGGGGAAGCTTTTGGCTTTGGTGAAGTTTCAAAGATGGCAGGATGGAAAACAGACGAAATGGATTGCTGATTGACGGAATTCTCACTGACAGCGGGAAGTTGATTCAAATCAGTTGGGAAGTTGTTCTTACGCATGTAATCGTCAATACTGTCAATAATCTCATTGATCTTCTCCATATATACCAAAGGTGAATCACGAAGTACGTTGGAAGTGATGATCAGATTACGCTTTGCCAGCAAAGCAACCTCTTTCTCGCTAGACTGAGCATTCACTTGATGTATACCGACACTAGCAATGATACCGTCCATGTTATGGAAGAATTGACACCAACTGAGGTTATTGGCGTAGATGTCAAGCATTCGCGTAATGAAATTGGCGGACTTGGTGCAAATGTTCAATGATAATAGCGCCACTGGAGTAGCGGTCTGATCTTGTTTGGGAAGGAAGAATTGATGAAGCATGATCCAGGTGGTTTGGTATTGAATGTTCAATATCAGTCTAGCCTCATCACAGAAGGTGCCGGTTTTTTGCAAAGTTTCATCTTGTTCGAAATGAAGATATTGAGGCAGTTCATTTAACCAGTTGGTCAATGAATTTTCAAGTTTAGAAATGGCGGAGAGCAGCGACTGACCAGATTGCTCAGAAGGTAAATGCTTGGTGATGTCTTTGCGAATCTTCATCAACTTGATGGAATGCACACAGAAATCAATACGGTAACCAGTTTCATCATCTTCTGAATCCAATTTAACTGGATAATCAATATCACAATCTTTGTCATCCACCATAGTGGGTCTGTTGGATTCTAAAGCAGCACACAGGTCAAGCCAGTAAGCGGACCACCAAAGTCGCTTGCTTGTTTCGCGTTGCTTTGGGTCTGCAGGAACGTAATCCTTCTTGTGATACTTGAGATCTTGAGCCATACGAATAGCAAGACCAATATAAAGATAGGCCAAGCTAGAGCGTTCACTACTGAGCTGATACATGTAAAGATTGAGTAACGCATGAATAGTGGTAGGAGAGCTGACATCAAAGCACTTTTTAAGCAGTTGTCGAGCATTCTTGAAATATGGATCGCCCATGGTAGTAGGATCTCGATCTGAGTTTACATTATGATAAATACATCCATGTTTAGATGCCCAAGCATAGATGGAGTTCAACAACAGAGGGTCCAGGCCTTGCACAGATGAATATTGCTCCATGAAAGTTTCTTTGTCAACGATTTCGTAGGCCATAAAGCAGCGATGATAGGTGTTGTGCATGAGGTGATCAAGTGTATGCTGCGGTACTCCTTCCGACTCGTTTTTCTGTCTAATACGCTCTTGCTGAATAGCACGGGCTTCACGATCATCGACCTCCCACAGTCTGCCTTGTGCATTGCCTGTTGTGGAATCGGGCGCCACTCCGACAGGAGGGCTTGCTTTGGTATCACCAGCAACGCCAGCAGGGCCTGCGGTCTCAATAGCTTTTGAAGCTTTCTTGTTCCAGCCCTTTGAGCGTGACTTGCTACCTTCACCACGAATGGAGTCCGTACTGAACAAATTAGTAGAATCGGTATTGATGTTCAACTGGGAGATACCATTCAACAGAATTCGGTATAAATCGGCCACACTAGCGATATTGGTATCGATGCGGAGACCAGATGGAGATAAAGATAGCTTCCAAGTGACTGGTTGTTGTTGGGCAGGAGGCATTTGAGGCGGAGGGGCAATCAAACTCATGCTATTGCGTGGGTTAAATTGGTGTTGACTGAGAGGATCGAAATTAGGGCTATAGCGATTGTCTTCTTCCTCGGTTTGATTTGAGCCAGAGGCATTAGAAGAAGAGGGATTGAAAGGATGCAGATTGTTCTTCATTTTGGCCAACTCTGACTGCATTTTTTGCATCCTTTCTTTCAATTCCTCAACGTGGTTACCAAGTTGATCGAAGGCATGGCCATCTACACGTCGAGGTGGAGTAGCATAACTACAAGGAAGTCCAGCAATTGAACAACGGCCACATGTAGGCTGGACAAAATCACATTTGACCTTCTTCTTTCGACACCGAATACACTATCAAGGGCATAGAGAAAAATATAGACAAAATGAGTTTCGGCATGAGCGGGAAGACTACACCAAGGGGGTTATGAATCCACTTACAGCCAAGCTTGAACGTGGTCTCTTCGGCCGAGATTGATCTGGTTTTTGTTGAGATGGTTGACCTGCGCCAGAACCCGCATGTTGGTCTTGTACGAACATTGATGACATTTATAGAATGTGAGAAAGTAAGCGTTGACACATATATCGAGGTGAGGAGGGAAGAGTGATATAATATATATCCCAGATAATATATACTATATAGGCTCAAAGATAGATGCTGGCTTGGGTTAAAGGGATGTTGTTTCGAAGCTTGGAAAGAAAGAAACCAGAATTACTGCCAGAGAACCACAAGGTTGACCGAAGAGTGCTGCTGGGTGTGGGTGTGTGTGGCTGCTGCGTTTGTTGGGTTAGGGTTACATGTGGGTCGAGACGATGGCTTGGAACCGCCTTTATTGATGAAGGACTGTCATTTTTTTACATACTTCTTTATTATCTATTCTATTATGCCAGTGTCTTCTTTATTGACGTGGATTTGGTCGCTTTTTTTTCAAGGCTTTGGATTCGTGCTCTCCTCTTTTGCTTTGAGGCTGCGGTTCACCTATCCGCCAGCCTTCACTCTCCGCTCTTTTCTTTTTTTTTTTTTTTAGGTGTTTGTCTGCTTTGCAGATTAACCAATCAAATTCCACTAATTGTCCGCTACAAAGAATTTTTTTTGTGATGAAAAATTAGTTCCTTCTCTTTTCCTCTCCCTAACATTAGCTCGACAAACATGTCTGCCGAAAACACTTACGAGGGCGCCATTGGTATTGGTATGTACAGCAGTAACTAGTAGTCTTACCAAGATCACTGCAATCAATCTAACTTGCTTTCATTACCTACAAGATTTGGGTACTACTTACTCCTGCGTCGGTGTTTGGGAATCCGAACGTGTTGAAATCATTGCCAACGAGCAAGGTAACCGCACCACCCCTTCGTATGTTGCCTTCTCTGACAACGAGCGCTTGGTCGGTGATGCTGCCAAGAACCAGGCTGCTATGAACCCCAAGAACACCGTCTTCGATGCCAAGCGTCTTATCGGTCGTCGTTTCGATGACCAAGAAGTCAAGGCCGATATGAAGAACTGGCCCTTCACCGTTGTTGAGAAGGAGACCAACCCTTTCATTCAAGTCGAATTCGAAGGTGAAACCAAGACCTACTCTCCTCAAGGTAAAAAAATTTGTTATTTTTTTTTAGTTGGGACTACTTTGACATAATTTGGTGGCTTGGTCACTAACTCCATGCTCCGACTCATACAATAGAGATCTCCTCCATGGTCTTGATCAAGATGAAGGAAATCGCTGAGGCCAAGCTCGGCAAGAAGGTTGCCAAGGCTGTCATTACTGTCCCTGCCTACTTCAACGACTCTCAACGTCAGGCTACCAAGGATGCCGGTACCATTTCTGGTATGGAAGTTCTCCGTATCATTAACGAGCCTACTGCTGCTGCCATTGCCTACGGTCTTGATGCTAGCGACAAGAAGGAGAAGAACGTTCTCATCTTCGATTTGGGTGGTGGTACTTTCGATGTCTCCCTCTTGACCATCTCCGGTGGTGTTTTCGCCGTTAAGGCCACCGCTGGTGACACCCATCTTGGTGGTGAAGATTTCGATAACACCCTCGTCAACCACTTTGTCCAAGAATTCAAGCGTAAGCAGAAGAAGGACATCTCTGGTGATGCTCGTGCTCTCCGTCGTCTCCGCACCGCTTCCGAGCGTGCTAAGCGTACCTTGTCTTCCCTCACCCAGACCACTGTTGAGGTCGACTCTCTTTTCGATGGTGTCGATTTCCAGGCCAACATCACCCGTGCCAAGTTCGAGGAGATCAACTCCGCTCACTTCAACGGTACCATTGACCCTGTTGCCCGTGTCCTCAAGGACTCCAAGATCGACAAGAAGGATGTCCACGAAGTTGTTCTTGTTGGTGGTTCCACCCGTATCCCCAAGATTCAATCTCTTCTCCAAGATTTCTTCGACGGAAAGGAGCTTAACAAGAGCATCAACCCTGATGAAGCTGTTGCTTACGGTGCTGCCGTTCAAGCTGCTGTCTTGACCAACCAAGCCGGTAACCAGAAGACCCAAGATCTTCTTCTTTTGGATGTTGTTCCCCTTTCTCTCGGTATTGAGATGCAAGGTGGTATCATGGCCACTGTTGTTCCCCGTAACACCCCCATCCCTACCCAAAAGTCCAAGGTCTTCACCACCGCTGCTGATAACCAGACCCAAGTTACATTCCCCGTCTACGAAGGTGAGCGTCTCATGACCAAGGAGAACAACCTTCTCGGTGAGTTCGAACTCTCTGGCCTTATCCCCGCTCCCCGTGGTGTTCCTGAGCTTTTGTGTACCTTCGACATTGATGCCAACGGTATCTTGAAGGTTTCCGCTCAAGACAAGGCTACTGGCCGCAAGGCTAACGTCACCATCTCCAACTCTACCCGTCTCTCCGCTGCTGACATCGACCGTATGGTCAACGATGCTGCCAAGAACGCTGAGAGCGATAAGGAACGTGAGGCTGTTATCTCTGCCAAGCAAGATCTCGAGAGCTATGTCTACCAGGTCGAGAACAACATCACCGACCCCAACATTTCTCTCAAGATCCGTCGTGGTGACCGCGAGACCATTGAGACCGCTCTTCAAGAGGCTATGGAGCTTATGGACTTGAACGCTGATGAGGCTAACGTTGATGACCTCAAGGCTGCTCACCAGAAGCTCAAGCGTGCTGCTACCCGCGGTTTCGCCCACGTCTACAGCTCCCGCCGTTAAATTCACACGGGAGTATGAACTACACTTTTCATGAGCGTGTCTCTTTTCCCGTATCACACACCCCTAAAAAAACAGTCTGGCCATTTTTCTGTATAATTCTTTCATCCACAATAAAATGAAACCGTAGAGCGATTGCGAATCGAACAAAAAATAATAATAGTGTAGGAGTGATTCGATGGAAAGTTTTTCTGAATGCAAGTTTGATTTGGGTATGTTACAATATGATCTTTCTTGACCAGAGGTATATGCTACGCTATGAACCGTAAGCTACAAGCCGTTACCAGAACGACCAGAAAGCTCAACAACTCGCATCTCCAAATTTCGCGCTACCTGTTTCCAAGCATCTCTTTCTTCTCGTAAACGTCGTATTTGTCGCTTGGCATCATCGGAGGGTGGTATAAAAAGAGGCTCCTGCGAAGCATCATAGCTATCTTGAGTGCTAGTTTCACTGTCAATTTGACCCACATGACGTCCGAACAGCTGTGCTATCAAATCGTCTCGTTGATCCAAGTCGTGTCGTAGTTGATCCATTTCATTCAACATCAATTTAGTCGCATTCATGACGCCTTTATCCGCTACTAATGACTGCTTCTGTTTGGTCACCAGCCGTAGCTGCGCATGAAGATCTTCGTTGATGCGAGACCAGGACCGTTGCGTTGCCTGGTGAACGTTTTTTAATTCATCTAGTTCATTCTGGATTTTCTCATTTTCAGCCTTTTCTTTTTCCAGCTGCTTTAAAATTTGTTGCCGCTCATCGGACAATCTAGCATTTTGGCGTATCCATATTAAAGATTCTTCGAGATGGCCAGTAAACTTGTTTGGTCTCTCGTCTTCTTCATGTGAGTTTGCCACAGTTGCTGGAAATTGGGAAGCAAGACTTTCAGGTAAGGCGTCTGTGCCATTCCGGTGAGAAGGCATCGGTATGTCCTCTTCAGTATGTATGCTGGATGATTCTTGGTCATTTTGAAGGTAAGAAGTTCCCTGTAGATAGATGGTTAGTATCAGATAAACTTACCCCCATTCTACTACACAAGTTAAAAAATAATTTTATACCTGCGGTCGTGGATCAGCCGGGGGAGAGGGTAAACTCATGTCTCCAAAAGAAGACGTAAGGCTGTATATTCATTAGTCTCATGATCATATCAAAAACCACCAATGAAAATACAATACCCACTTGTCTTCTTGTACAGTGGTGAGATGGATACTCCCAACACTTGATACAGTCAAGGTAGGCGATAATAACGACGACGCGCCATAGGAGCTGGATCGACTGTGTTTTAGACTGTTGCTCCGACGAGCTATAACTATGCGAGAAGGCAGAGAGTGTCTGCCTTGGGAATCAGATAACTTGAGAGATGTACTCTCGGTAGGCTGTGGGGCACCATGACCGATGCCCTGATCTACAGAATATCGCCGTTGCTGTTTCAGACTTTGTCTCCGTTGGAAATTCCTGAGCTGCAAAGGACATTCAAAAAAATAAAATAAGCATTAGGATGCTCAGAAATAAACTTTCACTGAACCAAAGTGACCAACCTTTTGTCTTCCAGCGTTCAAAAGTTCATCTCGAGATAAACCGTCAGTCATAGATGAGGAAACTCTTTAGAAGATGCACCAGCAAACAGGACAGTCTCGTTCGCCGAGGGAACACAGGCACCTCGAAATGAGCCTAGCCGGAGATTAAAAAGTGACTGTGTTAGTAACGCTCCAGCCCATTCAGTTTTTTTGACACCCTTGCATTTTTGTTCGGGTTCGTTTCTTTACTTTCTTACAACTAACCATGTTCTCTGCTCGTTTGACTACTCGCCTTGGTAAGGAAATGGTCAAGTCGTCACCATTGGAGAAAATGTTACTAACATATTGATGCATAGCTGCTCGCACCGCTTCTAGCGCCTTGAAGGGTAAGTGGGAACGTGACGTTGCAACAAAAATACAATCGATAGTACCTGTACATTGACAAGGGACCACCTGTATCTTGCCACTTTTCTTAGCTCGCGCCTTCTCCACTGGCGCTGGTGCTCCTGCTGCTGGTGCTCGCAAGTCTCTCTTTGCTGGTGCTGCTGTTGCTGCCACTGCTGGTGTTGCTTACTACCAAAGTACAGTATATTGATCAGCATGAAATTTCCGCGGTTAAATTGCTGACGACTTCACTCGCATTTAGCCACCCAGAGCCCTATCCTTGCTGACTCCAAGGGCGTTGCCGGTGTCAAGGGTACTGACTCCGAGCGTACTTTCATCATGATCAAGCCCGATGGTATGTCCTTATGCCACCTCAACTTTTCAGTTAACTTGACATTAATGTGATGACATGCAGGTGTTCAGCGTGGTTTGATTGGTAAGATCATCAACCGATTTGAGGAACGTGGCTATAAGCTTGTTGCCTTGAAGACCGTTGCTCCATCCAAGGAGATGGCTGAGAGACATTATGCCGATCTCAAGAACAAGCCCTTCTTCCCCTCTTTGGTCGAATACATGAGCAATGGCGCTGCCCCTGTTGTTGGTAAGTGATTATTGCCTGTGAATGCTTTATAATGGAAGCGATTTTTAACATCTTTTCCCTTAGCTATGGTGTGTACAATATGCCCCCTGCGCTTGGTTATGAGATATGGAGATTTTCTAACCTTACTTTTTGTTTTAGGTCTGGGAAGGTTCTGATGTCATCCGTCAAGGACGTGCTATGCTCGGTGCCACTTCTCCTCTTGATGCTGCCAGTGGAACCCTCCGTGGTCAATACTGTGTCTCCATCGGTCGTAATGCCATCCACGGTTCCGACAGCTTCGAATCTGCCGAAAAGGAAATCGGAATGTGGTTCCCTCAAGCTGGTGAACTCATCTCATGGACTCCTGCTATCTGGAACTGGGTTATGAGCAACAACTAAATTGTCGTACTCCTACTGGCTGCATTACCTGTGACTCCAGTAAGATTTGCTTAGGGACCAAACGGTAAAATGTACATTTGTCAAGCAGCAATAGTCAGTTGTGTAAAGTTCAGAATACATAAACACACATTTTTATAAACGATTGAGCATGTATTGAGGCGTAATAATGGTGTTGCTTGAAAGTGGGAGTAGTGTTAAATGCTTTAAAGATGGTTGGGTACTATGCTTTCTGCTTGCTAAAGGTACGGTCATTGCATGCCGACGACTGCTGCTCCGAGATCCAGTGAAGCCATATCGCCGGGTACAGATTGATCATCGTTTTGATTGTTTCCAGATGATCCACTTGACATTGACCTCGAGTCCCTACCGCCATTGACTCCTGCTGTAGCCGTATGAATATTGGGGAACAACTGTGGGCTGATAGGTAATATAGGACTCATGGGGGCCTGGGTTGCAAAGATTAGTGAGAGGTGGGCAAATAATATATCTCAAGTCATATCGCAAAGTGAACCTACAGTAACAATCTCACCGCTAGCACCAGCATTGGTACTGCGAGAATTTATACCGATACTCGTGGGTGTTAGATGGCTTGAGCTACTGCTGCTAGATTTTGGCTTCGGTCGATGCGTATCTACTGCAGCAATGTTCACTAGAATATAGCTGTTAATTCATTTTCCCTTCTATCGTCTGATGTCACTATTTGCAATGAGGTTACTCACATGGGTATCGTTTCTCTTCACAAGCGTATGCTCGGGGAGTTAATTCGATCAGAGTATGCAATGGAATTTTGATATACGGCAGCTCTTCATGTTTATCGTGGAAGAAATACGCATGTAAGCAACGAAGAATGGCTTGATGCCCAACAATGAGAATATTCTCTTGACGCTCGAGTTCCATGACAACAGGTTCCAGTCGCAATACTACGTCCCGATATGACTCTCCACCTCGATATCTACATGATAAATGATAATTGAGGGACGTATATCAGACTACGTAGAGTACAACGCAATTATTACCTATAGTTGAATTTGTCTTCATCACGATTTGCAAAGTCTTCAGGATATTTTTCCTGCAATATACTTTTTTAGTAAAGGAGCTCTTACATTACTGTAGCCATAAGCTTCATTTCAACGTACCTGGATTTCCTCATAGGTCATTCCGTCACATACACCTGCATCCAATTCATCCAATGCCTTCCAGGTTTTTTTGGGGTATCTCAGATTCTTGGCTGTTGCAATAGTGCGCTTCATGGTCGAAGTCCAAACGGTTAAATTCTGGTTGCCCAAATGCTTTCGCACCAGCTCCGGTAGTTGCTGTGCGTACATTTGGCCGCGAGGAGATAATTCCGAGTCACCGCCAAGCTTTCCATCCACATTGTACATTGATTCACCATGCTAGCATTGGAAATAAGAAATTTTTCAATTATCCGTGATGGTTCGGATGCTCGTGTGAGTCAAAAGTATTGCCATATCCAGGAGCCCCTCCCCATCATCATACGCTCTCAATACTGACCCTACTTAAATAAATCTTGCGTGGAACAATGTGCAGGTTCATCAAGAACTGAATCACCTTGGACTCCAGATATCCTCGTATCATATTGATAATAAATTGGTGACCAACATTGATGAGCTTTATGTAGGATATATCCTTTTCCTCTTCTTCGCTTATAGGCTCATAGCGTTCCCGATAATGCTCAATTCTGGCTTTGAAATCTTCGGCAGCAACTTCGGGATCAACGTGAACGTAATCGGGTGACAATAACTTGACCTCCCGAATATTGCGCATGATGATTTCGTCTTCCTGGCAAATGGATTCAATAAACAGAACATCGACATCGTGCTTGGTCAATGTCTCAAGGATCCACTTGCGCCGTTTCAAGGTGCTGTTGGTGGCATCATAAAGGGCCACAATACCCCCATCCTTTTCAAAGAATCGTATCATGTCCTGGAGAGCTTGATCAGCAGCTTCTTGACGTTGCGCCTCACCAGTTGAATTGTGTGGGTCAAAAAAAGTGTGTGGGACGTGACTTCCCGCAAGCTTACGGCGGTAGTCTCCAACATTGAACACTTTTGTATGGATGCCAATCCTGTGAAAAATTTCCCACAAATTTCAGCACATGTTCCATCAATATAAGTCGAATATGGAAAGGCAGGAGGCAAGATATTTACCAGGAAAGATATCTCCAGACTAGAAGAAGAAAAAATTGCGAAATCAACGCAAAACACATTAACAAGCGGTTTCATTCAACCTCGCAGGGGATTTTCAGGTCAATACCACCAACCTTTTTGTGCGATGTAGGTCTTGCCACGAGCCGGTAGTCCCACTGTCTGAAAAATATGTAGGTTGTTTTTGATTTAGTAAAGCGATGCCATTTTGTATGAAGACCAATGATACTATTTCATATAGCGTCAGATATACAAGCATGTCTCGTTGTTGAACTGGACTGAGTTGAGGATAGAGTAGGGGTGTTTCAAAAATATGGCGGTACTTACGACGCAGGCGATTCTCAAATCTGAAGAATATAGCGAGCAATGAGCGTCAACATAGCAATGGGCTACAAATGCAAATGAAGATTTTCTTACTGGAATTCATTTTTTAATTGTGTTTGAAAAAGAGGTTGAGAATGTTCAAGAGAAACCGATCAAAGAGAGGCAACAAGGCTTAATTTTTTGCCCATAAAAGTGGATACGATCGGACTCAAAATCCAGGCCTGTTCCTTTTCCCAACTTCTGATTCTGAATCTCAGTCTTTTTCATCCCCAATGTCGAAATCTCAAACCAAAGCCAAGGCTGATCATCCAAAGGTACTATCTACATACTCTTCCACAGCTTCCACTTTTTTTTCTTGTTGTCTTTAACTAACCTACCTTTCCTTTCTTTCTATCACTTCTGACTTTATTTTTCTTTCTGCCCTGTGCTTTCTCCGCTTGTCTCCGCTGAACATACTGGGAAATGGCATTTTTTACGTGCTTTTCCGTTTGTGATATGAAATAGTATGAGGATATGATCAAAGGTACCATCTCATATCCGAATTGCACGCTATTTACCGCGTTATTCACGCTTTGCTCTTATGATATCCCTTGTCTTGTTGTTCCATAGCCGCTATTGTTGCTCTCAAAGATCGCACTGGTTCAAGTCGTCAAGCTATCAAGAAGTACTTATTGGCAAACTACAAGCTTACTCCTGGAAACCACTTCGATGCCCAAGTTAATAATGCCATCAAGAAAGGGTAAGTTTTATTTTTTATCTTCATTTATTGGGTGGTCCATGGTTAGGATCGCACTCCACCCCTCTTAGTATCAATGCTCATAACAACTCCTTGCGTAGTGCAGAGAAGGGTGTCTTTAATCTTCCCAAAGGTAAGTCTAAAATCCCCACTTCAGTCCATTTTCTGGACACTAGTATTGCTATCGACCACCTTACTCATATGACCTGATCCCATGATCGTAGGAATCAGCGGTAGTGTCAAGCTTGCTAAACCAGTAGCTAAAAAGCCAGCTGAAGGTAAATCCACAACCAAGAAGACAGCTGTGAAGAAGGCTCCTGCTGCCAAGAAAGCTCCTGCCGCCAAAAAGACTGCCACTACAAAGAAAGCACCAACGGCTGCCAAGGCTACCAAGGTAGAGACAGAAAGAAAGTGCATGATCTCGATCGTGTGACACATAATTTGAGACACTCATCACCACCTCTCTCCCCTAGGCTAAACCAACCACTGCTCAAAAGAAGAAGGTTGCAACTGCTATCAAACGAGAAGCTACTGCAAAGAAGCCCGCTGCAAAGAAGGCAACTGCTACTACTACCAAGAAACCTGCTGCTAAGAAGTCTGCAACCACCAAAGCCGCCCCTGCAACAAAGAAGACTACCACCATGAAGAAAGCTCCTTCTACCAAGCGTGCCTCCAAGAAGTAGAAATGACGTGCCTATGTGCTTTGTTATTTGCTATTTTTTTTTCCAGTTCTTGGCCATTTTCTGGTCTTATTCAATCTTTTCAATGTGTCCTTGTCAGTTTTTTGTTTCCTATGCCTTCCCATGGTTTATGCCTACGTGTTTAATCAGTCTCCATCTGGGAATACAGAAATAAGTATAGCTAAAGAAGTTTTAATTATTGTTATATTCGTGGATTCGCTGTCCTTGTTACATACATCTTGAAATCGTTATGGGGACATCATACAGTTTAAACCCACGCAGCCATACATTGTTGGTTTCTTCTTCCAACCTTTCTACCCGACTGCAGCGAATGGCGGGATTTGACCAACGGTGAACACACTCGTCCTTCCAGCCATTCTTCCGACCCTCAACCAAGCGACCTAGAATTCTTACGTTGAATGAGCAGTAGACGTCTCGAACATAAGCGACTTCACATCATCTTTCTCTAGTTCAGATCAGCGCCTCTACATAAAAATCACAATGTCTGTTTGGTGACATGCCTTTCTTTTTTTTTACTGCGTTTTACTTTATTGCTTCAACAACAAGGTCGCATTGAAAACCCAAATCTGTAGGTATAATATGCCGAATCAATGCTTAAAAAAGGATGTATGTCGCGAGTAAGGCTGATCATGCCAATTGCCGCTATTCGGATGTTGCTCGGTCTTCAACTTTTTCATGCTGTACAGAGGCCCATTTGACTGGGTTGCGGTTGTAGAATGGCCATGGTGGTAACGTAACCTAAATAATACGTATCAGTATGCTCTATTTAGTCATTGTTTCATTCACTTGCCAGTCTACTCACCAACAAGGTAATGGCAAAGCCTATACCAAATATCATGATGGTGGCTTCCAATGATTGCTGGACATATCCATATAGAAAACCAACGATCTACAGTACAGTTTCCATTTGAAATGAATTTTGTTAAGTTTTGGTGATCTTCTGGTATACTTTACCACTTTATGCGAAAGAATTAGACGTCTTACCGCCGATATAGTCAAGATGACTTGTGAGATCAGTTCCGCCAACCGTTGTCCTTCAAAGTCCTATGTTTTCCAAACCGTTAAGTCAGCAACCTGTTCTCACGTTGCAAATGCGTTCGGAAGCATGACTTACAATATTGCACTCCAAGTAATCTGCGAGAGACATTATAGCTGCCAGGTACAGGACACGTTTCCAACCTCAGTTGGATGAGCCGTTTTAAGCGCACAAAAGCCGATTCAAAAACCGACAATGTCGATAGTTTGAATTTTCTCTTTGAAAATCAAGTCAAGATGGCCGCCATAAGCCACGCACGATCAATCAGAGTGAATCACCGTGACAGCCTGTCACTTTTTGATAAAAATCCCCAAAGTCCCGACAAACCTCCCAGCTACTTTATATTTTCCCTCCCAAAATGACTGGATTGTATATGCTTGATTATGGCGCCGGAAACGTCCGTAGTTTGGTTAATGCCGTAGAGAAACTCGGTTACAGCATCACCTTTGTCAAGGATCCAGCCGACTTGAAAAAAGCAGACGTAAGTGTGTAGACACGTTGGTGAATGGAATGCCTCGAAGACTAATGCCCTTGCAGAAACTTATCTTCCCAGGTGTTGGTGCTTTTGGTCACGCCATGGACGCTCTGCAAGCCAAAGGCTTTGTCGAGCCCCTCAAGGAATATATCGCTTCCGGAAAGCCTTACATGGGTATCTGTGTAGGAATGCAAACACTTTTCGAAGGCTCGGAAGAGAGTCGCACTAAGGGTCTTGGCATCATTCCCGGTATCGTCAAACACTTTTCCACTGCAGACAAAGCCGTACCCCACATGGGCTGGAACGCAACTCAACTCGTCAAGGAACAAACCGAAGTCGGTGGTCAAGCTGTGAACTACGGTATTGACCAAGACTCGGTCTACTATTTTGTTCACTCCTACGCTGTTCCGTACGCAGACAATCTTAAGGAATGGACTTTGGCTACAACTCAATACGGTGATGAAATTTTCGTCAGTGCAGTTCAAAAGGGCAATGTCTGCTGCACACAATTCCATCCTGAAAAGAGTGGCTTTGCTGGTATCAAGCTCCTTCGTTCATTTTTGGAAGGCACAGGCGTCGTGGATGATAGCAAGGTCAAGATTTTCGACCCACGTCCCAAGTCTAGAGATTTGTTCACAAAGCGTATCATTGCTTGTCTCGACGTTCGCGCCAATGATCAGGGCGATCTTGTGGTGACCAAAGGCGATCAATACGATGTTCGTGAAAAGTCTGAAGCTGGTGGCGACGTACGAAATCTCGGAAAGCCAGTTGAATTGGCCAAGCGATACTTTGATGAAGGTGCCGACGAAATTGCCTTTCTCAATATCACCAGTTTCCGCAACTGCCCCATGGCTGATCTTCCCATGTTGGAGGTTTTGAAACTCGCATCTCAGACCGTCTTCGTTCCTCTTACTATCGGTGGTGGTATCCGCGATGTCACCGATCCTGATGGCAAGGTACACTCTGCTTTAGATGTTGCTGGCGAATATTTCCGTTCAGGAGCCGACAAGGTCTCAATTGGTAGCGATGCTGTCTATGCTGCTGAACAGTTTTATGCTAATGACGGTGTACCGGATGGCACCACTGCCATTGAAACCATTGCAAAGGCTTATGGTGCTCAAGCTGTTGTCATCTCCGTTGATCCCAAGCGTGTCTACGTCAAGGACCCATCCGAAACCAACCACCATGTCATTAAAACGCCCTACACTGGTCCCAACGGCGAGACTTACTGCTGGTACCAATGTACTGTCAAGGGTGGCAGAGAAGGCCGTGATCTTGATGTGCGACAACTGGTGACGGCATGTCAACGCCTTGGAGCCGGTGAAATTCTTTTGAACTGTATGGACAAGGATGGAACCAATTCTGGATATGACATTGAACTTATCAAGGATGTCAAGTCGGCTGTTACCATTCCAGTTGTTGCCTCAAGTGGTGCCGGAAACCCATCTCACTTTTCTCAAGTGTTCAATGAAACCAACGTTGAATCTGCTTTGGCTGCTGGTATCTTCCATCGACGAGAAGTCCCTATTGAAACCGTCAAAAACCACTTGAAAGAATCAGGAATTCTTGTCCGTGAGGACCATACCAAGCTTTAAATTTTTTGTTAGACTTTGTATAAACTTATTCCCCCTCCATCCCATATAGAGAGACTTTACTCGTGTGCTAATAAAGCAGTGTCGCAAATCTTTGTGTCTTCCCCCCCCCACAGTTTCTGAGCACGCTACCTGTTTGCAGTCGTGATACTATTTTATCCATTGCCATATGTTAAGCTAAGTTGAAAAATGCCCTGTTCAATGTAAACTTTCCAGAATAACAAAACTTTTTGTTTTAATTTCATTTAGTATTTATCATGAAAATTACTTACCATTGTTAACAAAAATTCCTTATCCGCTATATGAGCGACAACCGTTTTTCCCATTGTTCGATAGACTGTTTGATTTTATTAGAGTACGGTCCCTTTCATCGCTTCCACCTATGAAAATGCATAACAGACGAGGAACGAAATAATAAAATAAAAATACGCATACTTTTTCCAACACAGACAACATTTTCGACATGGCCCTTTCACTGCAGCGTTTGTGTCATTAACATATTCGTCAATATATGCAGTGAAAACCTGTAACATTCTTTTCTTGAGAGCGGCACATATAAGTGCACAAGCACATTATAAGAATGCAGCTTAGCATTCATGGATTAGTCTGGAGAGATATAATTGGAGGCAAACGCATAATACCATGCATATAAAAATGGGGTTTGTTTTGTGAGGTGTTTATAGAAAACGAAGAACAACCGAATGGGACAATACTTCCATTAACACCAACCAACATATGGACCATTACTTCTCAGAATAATCCATCTGCAAACAGCGCGATGAAATCCACGTATTACCGAACCTGCGTCGGCATGCATTGTTCTAAACAAAGGAAAAATGCTGACAACACACACCCAAGCAATTCCCATTGTAGCCGTTTTTTTTATATAGGCCCACCGTACTGTGAATCTGGTAAAAATTATATTTTGAGCAGGAAGAAAATAAAGCGTTACTGAATACTGCTTTAAAAAAAAGGGGGGGGGATCCAAAATGGGCGTCAAACTACCGTACTAGGTATGGATGGCAGAAATGTTGGCGCGGTCATATGAAGATGGGTGAGTAATTAAAAATTGCGATGATTTTTGCGTCATTTGTTCGGTTCGCCTTCACACGTTTAAAGGAGAAGAGCAGCAGCACCGGCAGCGAGACCAGCGCCAACAAGGCTAGCCTTGAGAGAGTTGCTTCCAGACTTGGAGGTGGTGGCTGGGGCAGCAGAGGAGGAGGCAGCGGCAGAGGAGGCAGCGGCGCTAGTGGCAGCAGCAGATGTAGTGGCAGCAGCGCTATTCAATTCAATGAAGTTAGTAAGACCCAAAAATATAAAATACTCGAATTGTTACGGGATGTCTAACCTGGTGGTGGCGGGCATGGAGGAGGAAGTAGCAGGTGAAGAGGACATGGCAGCGGAGGAGGAAGCACCGGAAGCAGAAGCAGATCCGCTGGAAGCAGCGCCAGAACCGGCTTGAATGGTCAAGGTTCCGGTGTAGCTGATGTTAGGGCTGACACCAGCAGTGATGGCGTCTGAAAACGATGTACAAAGGTGAGTAAAAGACCGTCACTTTGGCTTCACCTAACCCGGAGATTGTCCGAGCACCCTGTTTACACGCTTCCCAAACCGGGTCCTCGGCAAACTGAGTTCATAGGTGTATACGTTGTCGTAGATAAGGACTTACAGTCAGTTCCTGCAGGAAGAGTAGCGGGAATGTTCCAGGTGTATGGAGTAGAAGAGACGGGAACGTTGACACCTACGAAGCCATAAATCAGTTAGTTTATGCGAAAACCTTTGCTCACGCTGTCAATGAAAACCTTAGAAAACAGGACTCACCAATGTTCAAAACAAGTTGAAGAGCGGAAGAAGGTCCTTGCTTAAGATCAATGGAAGGGATGGTGGTAACGCTGGAATCATCGGAAGTCCTGAATGAGAAAAGAATTGATTAGATGATGTGCAGGATAGTTGGCATAAAGGGGTACGAAATGAATTCGATTGTGTTCACTTACCAGGTAAGAATACCAGTGCTACCGGCAGTCCAGACGGTCTGTAACAGAGAGATTCAGCGAGAAAAAGGTGAGTTTTAAGGTGGCGAGCCAAGTATGCTAACGACGCCGTTTAAAGCACTTACACCGGTGAGAGGAGAGTTGAAGAGGATACCAGCATCGGCAGCAGAGGCGACGGAGGCGGCAAAGGCGAGAAGAGCAGCAGCAGAGATGAACTTCATATCGAGGATGCGAACGGAAGAAGAAAGAGATACAAACGACAGGGGATGAGAGAAATCGTGGGTTGAGAATTTTAAAAACTGGATGGGTACAAGTCTGCTCCCAAAGTAGCAAGTGGTACGAAAGGTAATCGGAAAATGAAATACGGGGGCGCTCAGTAAAAAAAAAAAAAAAAAAACCAAAAAAAACTCGATGGTTCATACAACAGACATGACTGGAAACTTCTGGATCCAATCACAATACACATACTGATACGCTCCGAGGAGAGTGCTTCAATAGCTTGTTCATATAAACATGATACCATGGGCATCGGGTCAGCCTTGTTTTTATGTGGTGGCACGGATTTATGTGGAAAGATTTATTTTACGCATCGCTTAAACAGACAGGGGAAAATGGGCTTCTGTCGTTTCAACAATGCGAGACAGTAATCCAGAAAAAACAAAAATAGATTTGGGTCGCAACATGCCCAATGCTCATGTGGTTCGCGATAGTCAGCACGGAACAATTGCATTCAGCCCAAATCCAATGCAACCAACATTTCATCATATGCGCCAAACTCAAAAGTGGTGTGTACATTTGGTTCTTTGCCCGCTTTGTTTTTCCACCTTCTCACTGAAAAGCCTAGGTACCAAAAACCATTCAGGTGGAACGAGGGGGGGGGGCGGTAGTTGCGTAAAAATAATATCAGTGTCAAATCGCCAGTACCTTTACCCTGTTGCCGGCACTCCGCGCTGCCGGTATTCAGGCAAGTCCTCTATCCTGTTGGGGGAGGGTAGTTATTTTTTTCCATCAGACTGGCAATGATTGTAACACATTGGTTGTACTGGATAAATGGAAGAGATATTAGGCACGAGACGATTCGATGGGACGATATGGATAGGCAACTATTTTTTTTTTATTTGCTTTGGCCCAGCTTTTCCCTATCTTGCTGCCTTTGAAATAAGTGAAACCAGTTAATATTTTATCGACCAGCTGCTTGAATTTTTCTACTCGCGCTGACGTGAAGACATTGTCATCGGCTCTATCGTATAAATTCAAAAACAGCAATGGCTTGATTCGCCGAATAGCCATATTTGAGTTTGTGTTCAGCGCGAAAAAATTTCTTACACCTTGAAAGGCTATTGGACAGTCGATGGGTCGTGCTTGTCATTTCATCTATCGGTGGGTAAGGTTCCCATATGGCCAAACGGGATGGTCATACATGAACCCCTTAGATACCTTGGTTTCGATCAGTGTTTAGCGGTTTGGTCACGATTGGAACTGTCTCCCTTGTCTCTGACGTCGGGCATGATGTAAACTTGAAATTTGCCTGGGAGTGCATACGGTGACGACGAACAGCTAACAAAACGGAAAAACAGTTCTTGCAGTTTCCCATTGCTTTTCTGCATATGCTGTTGGGAGTTCCTATTTTGGTATGACCTCATTTTCCATCGCTATTCCACAATAGTGCTAAACGGCCGCTGAAAAGAAGTAGGTTAAACCCTTCAATGCATGTTGTCAATATTGCTTCGCTCTCCGAAATTCCCCACCAAGAGATGCAAGCTCATGCAAGATTGGTATAGCCATGGAAGATTCATTTTCCTATCCATCAATTAGGTTTTTGGGCGTACAGGAACGGACCATGTATGCCAAGACGACATGGAAAGAAAGAGAAAGAATTCTTAGAACTCCCATGTCAGAGTAGCCTTGAAAGGTTGAAAATCCGCTGGATTAATATTAATCTCCCCTTTTGAGTTTTACATCTTCTAAACATTGTAGTTTGAAATCACAACGGGTTAGCATGATGCTGTTAATAATGAGGAATCTACCAAAACGAAGCTTTGCCAGATGTCTGGTTTCCATAGTTGATTTTTGCTATGCACCCTCCTGGCCATGGCTACACAAGGTTTTCTCAGCCCGCTACTCATGGAAGATATTAAAGTTTGAACCAATCAGAAGAAAACAATGGGATCCATTGTCAAACGGCTTGGCTGTAAAGGAATAGTAAGTAATAAGAACAAATGTAATTTGATATTGGTAGTTGCGAATTTCCATCCGAATTAACCGAGTAAAAACGAAAGAGTCCAAACGTTCCTGCAAATCATGATCAAGTACGCCAGCCGCAAGAACAGCATTTGATGTTTGTATGTCTTTAGGATGGTCCGTGCAGTCAGTGTTGGTGTGCAACGTTCGCGTAATGTGCCCCTTTGAAGAAGCAGGATTTGGCTGTTTATGGATATTTTGGCTGGAGCAGGTCAAAAAATGCAAGGTGATATTTTAGCTTTAGGTGAGGTCAATCGGCGTATCATTAAAGGGGTGTGTTTACTCTGGAAGGAGTGGCAATGATGTTGGGTGTGGTGGAGTCTCGAGGCTTTTGTGTTGTTTCTGGTATATGTGACATCTGTTAATTCATTGTCGACCAATTGCGGTATAGACAATAAGAGGCAAGTATAAAATGCGATTCAGCAGTGACTAAGGTCATGGGGTATACTTTGCCGTTTGCAAGGCAATAAATTATACCTCGGTGTGTCATGGGGGCTACGATAATGCCAGATTTTGCGATGTGGAGACACGTATAGGCAACCAGGTCATGAACAGTGATTTATATATGGCAAGTGAAAGCCGATAGTGGAAGGTAGAGTAAATAGAAAATGTCCCATTCAGGGTTCTAAGCGACCATCAAAAAATCTGACGCTACCTGATGTTCCCTTGGACCGACGCGAAATGTCGTGTGGATATAGAAAGGAGAACATTCAGGTACGAAAGTACTATTTCTATCCCGTATGTTTCAGACCATCGGCATAATTGAAAGACTGACTCGCTCATTGGCACTCGGTGAATGATACATGTGTGCTATTTTGAGTTCGCATGAAAGATGGTTCTGGAGCTATGACTGTTCGTCACATCGACAAGCTACGCACTCCATACAGAAGGATTCGTAGAAATTCACTCATCAGAAAAAGTTTTAAATGACCTCATAAACAAATACATACTATGCCAGAATATGCAAAAGATTTTATTGTGGCAATCCATAGAGAAAAACTATGACTGTAGCCAAGGGATAGTAAGGACACATTGCCTATTAGCCTGAAATAGCCCTTCCCTGGTTCTCTAGCAGTAAGGAGACCTCGGCTACAAATATGACGTTTACTCAATTCACCCACCTCAGGCTATTTAATTCGAGTGAGCTGTTTCGTACATCTCCAAAAATATCGGTAATGTTTCAGGAACACATGAGGAAATGTGAGCGCATCCACATCGAGTACTGTCAATTTCAATTGGAAGTGTCAACCTGGACGGTCTTTCCACATATTGGAAAAATCGGAAACAAATGAGAAACGGCTACTCAGGCACAAGACTCTGGATTTAACTCTGGTGATAACATTGCCTATATGATTTGCCTGCCACCACTGTTACTTCCGGTTGTTAAGGTTTCTCTCTTTTCTTTGCTGCAAGCCGAGGGATGGGCGGAGAAGTGTGCTATCAGCAGGATAGGAACTAAATGTTGATTAGCACCAAAATACTGTCAATCAAACAAGTTATAGCATCATAAAAGGGACGCACCGTTTGTAGCGCATGTCGATATTGTGGTTTTCTGCAATATTAAATATCAAGACAGAATTCATGGCTTTAGCAGGTTTATCTTCAGTACTAGCTACCGACGTGGTCGATCAAAAGAGATTCAAAGGATTTCGTCGGAATGCAGCCCTTGCTTCCGTAGATTGACTCGCTATTATTGAGATTCCGTTTATCAAACAGAATGGGCATCTATCAAAATTGAATAACTTGATTTCAAGAACTACCAAAAAAAAAAAAAACTTGATTTCAAGAGCGCTCAAGCAAGCCGACAAGCACATCACTAGCGAAATAGAAAAAAGGAGAGCAGGAGGCACATCCCAAAACCAGAGAAAAAAAAATTGATCTGTTACTGTTTTCCCTGCAGGAGTCAGACCAAGGGCTAGAGAAGACGAGGAAACCGAACCGCAATATATCATAACGCGTGGATATTCACCGAAAGTGATACCATCCAAAAAATACGTATCAACCACTGCGTTTCTGAGCACCACGCTTGCTACATTGTCACTGCCGAAATGAAGCATGGTAATTATTTTGAGCGGATGCTGCCTCGACTAGAAGCACTTGGGTAGCCTCCACGAATGGAACATCCAAGATACCCAAAAACAACATAGTTCAAGCAGTGACACCGGCTTACTATCAGTCGGTCGTCATTCCAGTGTACTGCTCTACCGCACACCACTCGATGGCCAACTTCGGCAATGACAAACGTTTTGTAAGATGCCCGGTTTGGCAGGACTGTCGTTTGATTGGCCAAAATTAATTCAACATAATATAGCTTTCAGGTCCCGGCGGCCCGCGACCCTTAACCCCCCTATTCTTTTCACGCCGCTGCCTTCATTTCACTCCTTCATGCGGAAACGGCTCGATCAAATCAGCTTACTGGGGCTGGCATTGGCCTCATTGCTGGGTTCAGTGGCCTCATCCGTTGATACATCTCATATACCCGGGTTGGATTTGTCCGCCTTTCAACAACTCGGAATCGTTGGCGATTTTGCAGGCTTGTCTCGATTCAGCAACCCACACCAATTTGAATCTCTATACGTCAATTCAGCTACAATACTATCAAAGAGCAGCAACGATACCTTTGAAAGCATAATATCAACTCCTGGAACGCTCAATGCGGCTTGCAAACTACCACAAGGAGGCACCAACAACGCATACGATGTATATTTCGCGGGATCCTTCACCACTATAAATAACACTGTAACAAATAATATTGCAAAACTGGATACACAAACAGGCAACATAGTCTCCCTGCAGTCAGGATTGGATGGCCCTGTATACGCCCTATACTGTGATCCAGCATCATCGACTGTTTATGTAGGAGGTGCATTCAATACAAGTGTCATGATGTGGCGGTCTGGCACCTGGACGCCAATGCCATGGAAAGCACTGGATGGTCCGGTTTACTCCATTACTCCCAACCCAGTGACCAACACCATTTTTTTTGCTGGCCAATTTCAAAGCACTATGGATGGCGTATACGGCAATACCACTATTAGTCAACCTGTACCCCTTAGCCCACCATCGGTAAGATCAAGCGAAGCGTAGCAAAGCAAATGTTATTTTATTTATTCCCAAATTTGGGCCCACTCATCTTATTTTCCCCCCGTAGTCTGTAGGTAGCGGAAACACTGCCTCAAATCCAACGAGGAACGACCCTACTTCCATAACGTGTCCCACCAGCACATCCAATGTACATAATCACACTTGGCTCTTGGAAGACGATACACCAGGTTATTGGGAAGCCAATTTTGGAGAGACTGTGACCCCGCAGACATTCCGCCTGGCTAATACGTTTTACGATGGAAGAGGCACAGACAATTTTGGGTTAGTAAGAAACCGCAGCCATCATGAAGCCTGCACCTGTATATTAACCCTCCGTCGAATTTCAGCGTCCTTGCTCTAGGTTCCAATACATATTATGAGTTATCATATACAGATCCAGCAACTCAACAAACTGTCACTTGTACTCAAAATTGCTCACTATCACACAACAAGTCGATTTCATATCAAGATTTCCAAGTGGTCAACTCTTTTCCTACACAGGGCTTGCGAATCGAAATATTTTCATGGTTTGGTTGCGGCGGTGGCCTTTCTTTTGTCGAAATTTTTACATCAGGTTGGTTTTTAGCTAATCTTATGATTGGTTTTACTGGCTTCCATTTTATCGCACCCCGACTCATATTTATTAAATTAACTCCCTTTCAGATAACATACTTCACGCAAGTAACGGCGCCAGTTCTTCCAATTGTTCTGATACGCCACAGGGTGTGACCGTCACCACAGGAAATTGGAAAGAATGCTTTGTTCAAGGTTCCTACCAATACGCCCTTACCAGCACTTTCCCAGCCAGCGAATTGACGACAGCCAATGCATCCATCTTATTCCAACCATACGTTTCCAGTATGGGTCTATACCAGCTTTTTGTCACCACGCCAGGCTGCGTGGGTACCAGTACATGTGGTCAACGCACACAAGTTGACTTGACTTTAACACTATCGCCAGGAAACACTTCAGTTGTCACTCTAGATCAAAACAATACAGCTGATGCGCGCCAAATGATTTATTCCGGCATGATATCGCCTACATCTGATTTGTTTCGCCCGAGCATCTTGTTATCAGTAGCCAAAAATGCCGTTGCCCCAACAGGCGGTACTGTCAGCATCGTTGCGGATTCAATCGAGGTGGTGAAGAACAGCACTGGCTCTACGCTTGTCAGTATTCTGGAATTCAGTATGGCCAATTATACCAGCAATACGACTTCGTATAAACCTCTTGCCAGTATGTGCCTTCTCTCTTTGAAAATTTTACCTTGCTACTAGACGCCTATACTAATCTGACAATTTCCCATCCCCTTCCCAGACCAACTTGCTGCAGGTTCGATTGTGAGAGCCATGTATGCCAGCCAGGGTGATCTGTATATCGGCGGCACACTTTCTCAAAACGGTAGCAACCTCGTCAAATATCAATATGCAACTGCTCAGTATAGCAATCTTGGCAATATTCAGTCCAACAATTCAATCTCGTCACTTGTTGTCAGTGGGTCATCCCTTTTTGCTGGTGGCAATTTCACTACCGTTGCAAATGGTACGACGCCAGCGATAAACTACTTTGGAAAATACGATTTGCAAGGAAATACCTGGTCGGCTGTTCCACCTGTAAGTCTTTGGAACGGCTATATATGCTATATCATACCGTCATCATCTCTTGCTAATATTCCTTCTTAGGGTGTGAACGGACCAGTAACAGCACTGACTCTCTCAGGCGATAATCAGACTTTGTCAGTATCTGGGCAATTTAGAGATGTCACTACCAATGCTGTTCAATACGATAACATGCATTTCAACATCACTTCGGGGACCTGGTTTGAGCCATCCTATTTATTACTTGGTAGTATCATCGACGGTTTGTCTAAATCCGATAGCGATATTTATCTTGGAAATTTCCTGGGAGCCCAGTCAATCCAAACTTCAGACTATGCAGCTTTAGCCACCAATGGAACCATCACTGCATCACCCTCCAATTTGTTTGCCAACTCAAATGCCGTTGTGAACACTGGAGTTATTTGGGACCAAGGCTCAGGGGAAGTCATTGCTGCTGGTGGATCATTCTCTTTGAATGGAAGTATTCAAAACGTTGCCCTCCTCTCGAATGGTGCATGGAAAGCTATCAATGTTCCTATCCAAGGCCAAGTTTTATCGTTAGCCGCCATGAACGATCTTCTTTTCATTGGTGGAACTTTCAACGCTTCATTAAGCTCGGGTTCATCCAGCAGCTTTTTGGTTTACAATGTTGCACAACAAAAGGCAGTGGCAACTGGTGGATTCTCAGGTGAGATATAAATCGATTTTTGGTCGAATGCCATACCGTTGACTAATGTTAGATTGTCAGTGAGCAATGGCGATACACCTGCTGTCAACGTCATCAAGGTCAACCCAACTGATAACAACACGATAGTTGCTGCTGGACGATTTGACACTGCTGGATCGCTTGGCTGCGTCAACATTTGTTCTTGGAACGTCCAAGCTGCACAATGGCAGTCATTGGGATCAGGGGTTCAGGGCAAGATCAGTGATTTTACTTATTACAATGTAAGTATTTAGTTAGCGATGCTGTACAATTGAGGCGTAGGTTGAATTGTGTGTGTTTGCTCACTTCAACTAATACCATCCTTCATCAGTCAAACTGGATTGCCGTAGGCAACCTTACTTTGAATGGAGTGGCCGTGTACGCTACATCATTCGACTCAGGGTCACAAGTTTGGTCTCCATTCAACGCAAGCTTGCCTGGTCCAGCCACTACCGTCTTCGTCAACGATGTCGCTAATCAGATTTTCTTTGCCGGACAGTAAGTTTACATCTTGCATATAATGATTGCATAGAGCGTGCACTGATGAATTTGACCTTTATAAACTTTTTTCTTTTGGCGTGTTAGAAAATCGGATCTTTCATCCTATATTTGCGTCTACAGCAATAACAACCTGACAGTTTTTGGTAGGTACCACCACGCATACTGAAGGGATATTGAAATAGCAGCTAACGAACTCTATTGACAGACACTCAACTTGGGCCATCTACCCAAATACACCAAATTTTTGCTGTTCCAATGCAATCGCCCAATGATCAAAGCTTCCTTTCTGCATCTCAAACTATGCTCATGGTCAATGGTCAACTAGAGCTGGTCGGATTCGGCAACGTTAGCAGTGCGCTATTTGATGGAGCTACCTGGTACCCTACTATTCTTTCTACCACTCAAACTGGCAAGCCCGGTACTATCAAGCAAATATTTTACAAAGCCCAATCAATCAATTATACCACTACCCGTAAGTACCCTTGACCATCTGTCATACCTGTTTCTGATATCCTTGCGGAACCATTGACTTACTCAATATCAACATCCACACCAGATCATACTCCCGCGCCATTGGTTATCTTGGTAGCCATCGCAGGATCGTTGGGGCTCATTTTTGTAGGCGTAGGTGCAGGCATGGGAGTTCTTTATTTCCGTCAACAAGGCATATTTTAAATGATATGATAGGCTTGCAAATCCTATGCAGCCACTCTGCCCCACGTAATTACTGTATTTCGCCTACCCCTTTCTTTTAATTCTAGTAAATAGTATCATTGCATGTATTACTCGTCCCAAGTGGTGTATTCCTTTCAAAAATCAGCATAGATTATGTACCATTTTCATTCAGTGTTTCAGCACAGTTCTCATTTTCAACAAGACGAGATCTTTTTGGACCCAATTCCCAACATTAAAACCATACATATATCCCTAAATTGATTTCAGCAGTTATGCAGTGTGCAAACACGGCATTGCCGGCCACAAAAGACCGTTGCTATGAGTTACACATCCAATTTTTTCATGTTGCACAGTACTACCATAGCAGCACGGTAGGCTTTTTCTTTTTTTACCTGGAAATGTTCAAGAGGAAAATAGTTCCCTGTTTCGAACATTTCTTTTTCTTCTTTGCATGTATTTCCCATGAAACCTTCAACCTTGTTCATTTTTTCGCTGATATACATCCTGTCTCTGGTATACCAAGTGAAGGCTGGCAGCTTTGCGGCCTGCTTTGGCCGAAACGGAACCAGCTGTTTCAAACATAGCTGCGAGCCATTCAACTGCTGTAACTTCTTTGCTGATATCAAGAATCTCATGCAGAGCGGTTGGGTCGACGACGAAGCTGGATGTATATTTTACTTCAACAGTGGATGCGTCGGTGCAACATACAACATGAACAGCACTTACATTGAAGACTTGTCGGATGCTTTATTTATGAATCAAGCTGCTGTCCGGTGCCAATATTAAAACGCTCTCTGTTCGAGCCCATCCCACCACCGACTGCCTATTCCTTCCTATTCTGCATAGGTCAAACTAAACATCGTGACCTCTATACCACCAGAGATATTAAAAAAAAACATCCACACTTATCAATAAAAATGCCTGTATAACATATTCCAACCATGGGTGGCCATCTTATCGGGATTCTGTAGTGTTCATGCATGTTACATCCGTCTAATCAATCCACATCTACATTGTTCTAGGGGACAGAGAAGACACAGAACAGTTGATTTAATGAGCAGAACCATTCCAACACGACCTGAGCCACAACTTCTACCAAATCTAGTCAAGGCCAACAAATGACTTGGAACTAGGTTCCAATGTACGTATAACGTACTCTGTGTCTAATTTCCTTTCCGTGAACTCAAAGTTATCTATGAGGTATAAAGTAGCACATCTACATCGACACATTGCGCCATACAGGAGGTGGCTGGTAATGGTCTTTTCCTTGGTTCGTTCATATTACCGTATCTGACTCTCTTGAAATAAACATTAGTATCGTCGGCTAACATATATTGATGTTCCTCTGCTGCGGCTTATGCGCCCTGCATTAACATAATGTGACATTCATTTGTCCTTGTAACTTGAAGTCAGACTAATTAAACAGACACAAAGCTTGGGAAAGCTGTTATAATCAGAATGCCGATTACAGCCCTTATACTCCATGCCCAAGCAGATGGGCGATCTCCGTCCTTATTTCAAGCTGCGCCACTAAGAAATTCACTGTTGGTAAAAACCAGGGGCAACTGAATAGGTAAAGAAGGGCATATAAGGGTAGGCGAACCTGGCAGCCCTTTCAACATGTTAAGGAGATTTTGGGTGATTTGGGTGTAGCAACACCTTCACACTCCTTTTCAGTGTTGCAATAAGCTCGTGGAGGAGTGTAACAGAAATTAAGTCAAGTTTATTTTTGGATGCAACACAGAATTTAACGATGAAAGATGACAGTGAAAATTATCGCGCCGTGGCAATAATAATAAAAGGTCGCTGAAGAACAAAGAACGGCGAGGTAGATGGAATTTCTTTTTTTATAGGCCAAGGAGAAGTAATCAGATTTGCCTGCTGAAAAGCTCCTTGAATTTTCCATTCAAAAGTCTATCTTTCAAATTTCTGACAAGTGATTTCTTCGCAGCGTGATCCCTGACTGGCGTTAAGCTCCCTGGTCAGACCCAACCACTCCCTTCTTTCATCTGTCATTTCCTTTCCTTAATCCTTTAATTTATACATTGCACCACCGTGCCATTGTACCCATGACGAGTGCTTCCGCTTTAGCAGACGATACCAAAGCTGTTTTAATGGACTTTGGTCCCGAAGTACCCGTATCCTTTTCGAATTTGAACGTGGAAACCATCAAAATAGAACTTGTCAAACAACTAGAAGGAAAAGAACGACTACTCGGCGAGCTCAGTGGAGGAGGAATCAGTCGAAATGTTTTGCAACGTCAAATCAATCAAATTAAAGAACGTCTACACGATCTAGAGCAAATGGACGATCTTGGAGAACTCGACAAGGAGGATCGTATGAAGCTAGAGTCTTTGGAGCGAGAACTCAGTGCTGTCAAGGTAAGATTGGGCTACACTACAGTTTGGGGAATCACCTAGTATGTGTAATGGGCTCATGTTTATTTTCAAAGTCAGTACAAGGCACTCCTCTGCCCACGCCTAGATTCTTCGGCAATAGCTCTACTAGCCTGCTTCCTTCATCTATCAATACGTCAACGCCGACTAAACGAAGATCTAAAGTTCCCGGTGGTAGTAAACGCAATACCGACATCGAGTTTGCTACCGAAATAGGTCAAGGCCTACTCATAGAAGTCCGCAAACTGCAAGCTGCGTTGCAGAATAAGGAAGAAATCATCAAGCAATTGCATATCGTCAAATCAGACGATGAGCGAACTACTGAAATGTTGATGAAGCACTTGAAGCAGAAGGAGGAAAGTGAAGGTGCGTTGTCATCGTTCGTTGACGAAATATCGCGAGATAGTAGCTAATGCCGACTTGGGTTATTTTAGAACGCTACAAGGAGCAAAACTGGGGCTTGGAGGTCACAAACGAGGAGTTACAAACCAGCCTTGCAGAGAGTAACCAGTTTGTCAATAAGTCAAAAATTGAAAATGCTCGATTGACGAAACAGCTGCGATTGATGTCTGAGCAGAATGACGCGTTAAAAACCCAAGCGGAGAAGTGGGCCGTGGCATCGGAAAGTACAAAATTGCGCCATGAGCAAGATATACAGGCTTTGAAAAGAACCATTGCGAATCTTCAGCGAGAGAATATGACTTTCAAGGAGAAAGTCCAATCTCTCGATAGTGAATTGGATATTCAACGCACCAAACTCTCCATACGATCCATCTCCAACGACGGTACCAACCGAGATGAAAAGCCTGGTTTGCACCGTAAACTCCAAGACGTTACGCCTCAGGCTTCAACCTCCACGCCAATCAAAAGCAGCAATCAACAATTAGAGTTGACAACCGCAAAGCAATCATTGACCCATGCTCATCGAATGATCAACAATCTACGTACGTCGTTACAAAAGGAGAAGCAGGAAAAGCACGAATTGACAAAGCTATTATCAGATAGCCAAGAAACTGTGGAAAATCTTCAGCATGAGGTCAGCAATCTCAATGCATTAGGCAAGAGTCGAACGAAAGCTCAAAAGAGAATAGAAAGGAAGACTTCAAAACATACCAAACCAGCAGGTACCAAAACCACAACGATCTCAACCGGTACCGGAGCCGACTTGAATCTAGATGATGTATCGACAGGGCCTTCTAGCAGCCAGGCAGCTGAACCGGACTGGGACGATACAATGGATGATTCCGCATCGGAAAAGTCGTTGGATCCAGACGCAATGGATATCAGTTATATGAATGGCGACAAAGAGATGCAATCGTTAGGATCCGAATTAGCCAATAGTCTGACTTTGCAGGAGCAATTAGCTCCAGCCATCATGACACCTGATAAGCAAACAATGGTACAATCAACAGGTAAACAGTGATTTGATGCCATCAAGGGCTTGCCTTTCAAACTAAACATGTCGATTTTTGTTTACAGAAACAGTCAATGTTCAGGATCAAGCATTACGTGTGGATATTTCTCCTGAAAGGTCATTCAGTACATCTATATTGAAGCCGCTGGGGGCTGCTCCTGCCGAAATGAACAACGCCTATTGTCAAACACCTGTGTCACCTATGCCTCAGAGAACTCTCAGTACTTCCATATTGGAGCCTTTGAATATGCCACCAGCAACAGCATCAGCTTCTCAAACGACAACACAGTTAGTTGATGTTATACCGCCTATCGAAAGTCAAAGGATGTTAGATATGCGTCATCTCCAAGTTCACGAGTTTAACGTGGAACCACGTCAAAGGACACTCAGTGTTTCTAGTGTAGAGCCGCTGGATGTTCCTCCTGTCGAGTATACCACCCCCACACAGCATATTGCTACACAAACAGTCCCCAGGCAAAGAACGCTCAGTACCTCGGCGATGGAACTTATGAATCTTCCTCCCATTGAAGCGAATATTGTCGCTCTTCAAGCTGGCACGCAGACAGGCTCCGCATACGTTACGCAAATGGGTACACAAACTGATGCCCAGAAACTTGAAATGAATATACCGCTCCCGAGACAAAGAACTTTGAGTACGGCAAGTTTAGAACCTCTAAGTGCTGTCCCTGAAGACAAAAGTATGGTCACCCTCCAAAATGGCACGCAAACTGACGCAAATGCTCTTGGTGTGATGATGATGCCGTTCCCAAGACAAAGAACTCTCAGTACCTCAAACATGGTGCCCTTGAGCGCTGTTCCAAGTGAATCGAATGCTGTTACTATGCAAAACGGTACGCAAACTGATGCAAATGCTCTTGGTGTCGTAATGATTCCTAGACAGCGCACTCTCAGTACTTCAAGTATGGAACCGTTGAGCGCAATGCCCATAGAATCGAATAGTGTCGCCATGCAAAATGGTACCCAAACGGATGCACTCGGCGTGATGACCATGCCGCTTCCTAGACAGCGAACTCTCAGTACCTCAACCATGGAGCCATTGAGCGCAGTTCCCACGGAATCGAATGCTGTCACTATGCAAAACGGTACACAAACTGATGCATATACGCTTGGTGTGATAAGCATGCCGAGACAACGTACTCTCAGCACATCAAGCATGGAGCCATTGAGTGCTATGCCCGTCGAATCAATGGCCGTGACTCTGCAAAGTGGTACACAAACTGATGCAGATACTCTTGGTGTCATGATCATGCCAATCTCTCGACAGAGAACGCTCAGTACATCAAGTATGGAGCCATTGAGCGCAGTACCTATAGAATCCCATACTGTCGCTCTGCAAAGTGGCACACAAACCGATGCACAAACTCTTGGCGTGAAGATTGCTGTTCCTAGAGAAAGAGCCCTCAGTACCTCATCCATTGAACCACTGAACATTCCTCCAGCGGAAACCACTATTGTCACTCTCCAAACTGCCATGCAGACTGATATGAAGAGTAGCATGCAGATTGGTACACAAACTAATGCCGAATCTGAGGCTCAAACGAATGTACAAACCCACGACTTGGAACTGCCGTCTCAAAGACAGAGGACGCTCAGCACCTCAAATATGACACCTTTGAGTGCTGCACCTGCAGAAGCAAAAAATGCTGCTCTTCAAACGCATTGGGAAACTCTTGATGTGGCCCACCCGACCCCAAGACAGCGAACGCTGAGTACAACAACTATGGAACCGCTAAGCGCAGTGCCAAGACAAAGAAAGTTGAGCACTTCGGCTTTAGACCCATTGGATGCTCCGCCTGCAGATTCTGGTAGCATAGCGGTTCAAACGAGTGCGCAAGCAAACGCTTTCGATACCATCGCTCAGCAACATATCGACAATCACGGCGAGGTCGCTAATGTCGAATATGGTCAACTAAAGCTGAAAACTACAGCATACAGCATTCACAATGATCGCTCTCTGGATACATCCAGTTTACATGTTGAATCACCCGAAGACATGTTTGGAGCAAGCTCACAGTGGGGCACCACACCTGATCTATCACTTCACATCACACCAGCTGACTCTTTACCAAAAAGATCAGAAATAGACTATAGCGTGGACATTGACATGGAAGATCAGCAAAGTGACAAGGGAGTACTGACGGTGAATGACATGATGGAGACAATGGCCAAAAAAGAAGCCATCAACACTCCCCCGCCTGTAGATGCCAGTGTACAAGTTACTATGGAAGATCATACAAGTAGCGAGTCTACCCCCTTAGCGACGCCAACCGTTGACCTGCATGTTGAAGTAGACACTGTCGACACGGCAACAAGTCCCATAAGCAGCTTCTTCCCCTCCGACATACATTCCACCAACTATGTGGCAGGTCCAAATGGCGAGGATATGGTGACTAGGAAGGAGGCGGAGGCTCTAGCAACAGCCTATCTAGCGAACGCCATGTCAAAAGACAAGGCACAGCACGCATCTCAACGATTGGCCTGGGAACAAAAACGTCTTCTCCAAGGCTCGTCTATGGCATTCCTTAACGCACCGCCACGACCAGAGAGACCACCATCGCCCATGCTCATCGCAAAGACCCAAAAGCCGCCGGTGACTCCGAAGATGCATGTCACCCCTACACCAAAGCCCAGTGTTTCAACCCCCATACCTCTGAAAAACAAGAGCATTCGATCATCTCCCTCAATATCGTCCTTACGTCCATCCGACTCAGTACAAGACTTTGCACAAGAGAAAACGAGGAAAGACGAATATGGTCATGTCATTATTCGCAAAAAATCACTTGTCGATTCATCCAGTAGCAGCATGACATCCTCACGAGTAGAAAGTCTGTCTGAACATTCTTTGCAACGCAAACCGTCTCTGATTTCACAAAGTAGCATGAGCTTATATAATTCACCATCGACTCCTTCAAGTCTGAGCGTTATCACGGCGATCACCAAAACCATGATCGGCGACTGGTTATGGAAATATACTAGACGCACTGTTGGTGGTGGCATCTCTGAGCACCGACATCGGCGATTCTTCTGGGTTCATCCTTATACTCGCACACTCTACTGGAGTGCCATCGAACCAGGTGTTGATGGCAGTGAGGCTCTTGCAAAGAGTGGTAAGTGGAAATAATGCACACACTTATGTTCTGATCATCATGGCCAAACGCTGATGCTTTTTTTTTTTTTTTGTTAGCCTATGTTGAAGCGGTTATGTCTGTTCCTAACCGAGGTGTACTCAACGATACATCCGCGAGTTTACTAATCAAGACACCCAACCGAGAGCTGAAACTCACTGCTCCTGATATGGAAAGACATGCCTTGTGGTATAAGGTATGTGTGGGACTAATATTCACAAAGTAATCAATGTATATTGACACACCATTATTTGTTTCTGCCCAATGTCATATGATATAGTCGCTATCCTACCTTTTGGATCGACCGGCCATAGAGCAACCATCGACGGTTTCATCCATAGAATCTGTACAACGAACACAGTCTACTAGACTGCCAAGGAAGCCAAGCTTCCAGCGAATGCAGTCACTGTTCAGCCGCAGTCGACCAGCAGACGAAGCATCTTTTACACAAGAAGCTCGTCGAGAGGTGAAACCATCTTTAGAGGAAGACCATGAACATTGTGAGTCAGACTGCGAGTCCCATGAAGATGTTCGACAATGCTGTGACGGAAAGCACCACCTACATTCATTATCTCAACGAGCTATGCCACCAATTAAACAGTAGACTGTTTTTTAAATCATGTGTCCAAAGCGATATAAAACTGATATTCTTTGGGAGCGTACATAGTAGCTATTTGCAATAAATGCGCCTTCGATCCAGGTTGGTCCTTGCAAAACCGCCGTGATAAGAAACTGATTGTGTCGTGGACCGCGCTGCTGCTGATCATTGGTGGTGCCAATCCATCATCACATGATGCAAGTCACAATCTTTTCATGAAATTAAAAAGAATGGGTTTGTTACCAACCCCAATCAATTTTAAGCTCTATTCTTTTCTTCCATGGACGCTAAACTTCCCCCATTCGATTCATATTCGGCAGCATTACAGCAACCTCTCGTGCTTGGCACCGCCCTTGTCAGTACCGGTGTATTAGTTGCATGGTATGCCGTATGGCACGTCAAGGGCTGGGCCACCTCCGACAAGCAAAGAGCTTATGTCCTCAGCCTACTCAGTAGTTCAGTTACCACCCTTGGTTCCATACCACTCATTCGTGAAGTATCACAGAATGGTTGGGACTTGGAAGCTATCATACAGGAGCGATGGTGGACAGTTGTATTATCCACTTTCTTCGCCACCTTCCTGTTCCTGGATCTGGCTATCGGAGTAGCCTTTTATCGCAAGCGTATAGACCCTTTGACGGGTTGGATTCATCACACAGTCTACATGTTCACCTTAGCTTGGGTCCTCAAGAATCGATTGGCTTCGCTATTTATCACCATGTGCAGCCTGGAAGCCCCGACATTCCTTCTTGCCCTCGGTTCGATTGACTCTAAACTCAGACATGATTATACCTTTGCATTGTTCTTCGTCAGCACGAGGATACTGTTCCATGCCTATATGATTTTTGCTACCTATCAATGCCCATCAATTACTACTGGAACGACCGTCGCATTATGTGTATTTTTCCCATTGCATTGTTATTGGTTTTATGGTAAGCTCCCACAAAACCATTTTGGGGTTGAGCGAGCGGAGCGACGTGTAATTAAGGAGGTGGGTAACAGGGGAAGAAATGGAAACTGTGACTGATAATACTATCCCATTCTATTCAGGGTTTATCCGACAACAAATCCGTCTGAGCAAGAAGCGAAAGGAAAATCCAGTGGTAAAGACAGAAAAGAGAGAGCCTGTGAACTTCCGGGCTGAAGTAGCAGTGCCACCAGAATTTACTTCACCCTCGACCCGAGTTGCTGCTCGTCTTAGTATGCCACGTTTAAGTAAAGAAGATCAGCTGAGACTTCGACGGCGTCTTGCTGACTTGACTGCTCGTCCACTTCTGAACCACATGCCTGATCGGTTCCGCAACGCTTCTATTGATCATATGGTCGATCGCTTTGCCGGCTCTAGCAATGTGGCGGTACCAGCCTATTAATACCATTCAACAACCTCTTTGTAGTATAGTCATTTCCATTAGTAACACGATCAACCGACCGACCCTTCACCAGAATAATAAACATACCTATCCCTCACAGCAGACTTTTTTTTTTTTTTTTTTGGGTGTCCGCTTGGCTTTCGCGTCAAAGTTCGCGTTGAAAATCTTCGTGTCATTTTTTTTTTGATCGCTCATATGTCCCCATGGCTTCATCGCCGGGCGAGTCAGCAAGTACGAATCCTTGGGATAGCTTTGTGCTCTCTACCACAAGCAGTCAAGAATATGTCGATGAAAAATCTCTACAAACGGTAGCCAGCCACCTTGCTGCCGATCCTAATGCCTTGGAACTACAATGCATCACCAGTGCGGACGACCAAAGCAGTTCCAATGCTTCTACATTCCCACTACTTGGCATTGAAGGTGAGTTAGAGCCATCTAGTAGTGGTAGTATATAATTATGTAAGCGCTACCGCCGTTGTTTTTGATGCCTGACTCCGTTCCCCTACTAGGGCTGGTGCCAGAAACACCACCAGCAGCCTCTCCCGAATGGCAGTATGAGTCGTCTACACCGGACGAGGCGGTTGGAGAAGCACTAATATCTCCAAGTATTGTATTGGACTCTGCATATCTACGATCTGGTCACATCACCATAGACTCTCAACCTATGTCTAACGATGGCACCGCAGATGAAGGGTTAAAGGATAAAACTGTGCCCTTAAACTCGTTTGAAGGGACCAGTGATAGCTCACACCCGGAAAGTGAAAGTCTCGATCCAATGGATATTGTTTTGCTCACCGTCCCTACCCTAGAGGCTCATAATCAACAGATTCCGTTACGGCCAGATTTTTTTGACCGCATCCGTCAACCAACATCATCCGAAATATCTCCTCCTACCATTCTCCATAGCGACATAGAGTCCAATACATTGAATATCAATCGGCAATACGGTGAACGATTATTGCGCAAGCGAAGAGATATACAATTGCATCCGTTCACAATCGAAAAACTACAGTACAAAGCTCAAGTTGGTCACATTCACGACTCTCATCTTTCTCAATCTGAAATTCAAAAACGACGGGATATTAGAGAAAAGTATGTACAGCATGACAAGGAGTTTCTTGAAAGGGCAGCCGCTGCTCAAAAGGCGAAACCAGCGGCGTCTAGGAAGGAACACATTAGGCGTGTTGCACCAAACCAGCGTCGTCAAATACACAAACAAGTTCTACCGATCGCATCGACATCCAAGACGAACACCTTACATTCTCGGACACCTAGAGCAAAAGTGACATACAAAAAAAAGAATGTGATTATATCAGCCAACAACGATGGCAATAAAACAAGTCCTCTCCAGTCCACACAACGCACTGAAGTTTTACCGTCACAAAATGGCGCACGGAGGACAATGCAACAACAGCTGGATCTACTATTTCCTGAATTTTCAATAGACAATGTAGATACGCAAGACAATGATACCCGAGAAAAGAGGAAGAGACGACGAGTCATACAGGATGAAAGCGATACGGATGATGGCAGTGTTCAATACCTAGGTGAAGCGGAGACGATAGCCTCGTCTAGTGCAGAAGAGGACTCACTGGAAGGTCCCAGGAATCGATCTTCCAAAGCTCAAGGGCGGCTTGATGTCCTCAAGGAACGACGAGCTCTCAGAGGAATATTACCAATGTCGTTCACCAAAGTGTTTAGTAAGGAATTGACCGAGGATGAAAAATTGTTACAAGCTCAAAGGAGAGAAAATCAACAACGGAGGCGAAACCGCGCTGGATCAGATAACCTAGCAAAAGAGGTCAGTGGATTGAGTATTGCAACCGACCAAGGTGAACACCAAGGATACGCCAATAATTTCACAGCGGAAGCACTCAATGTGAACGACATATTCACTGATGATGAAGAAGCAGATGGCAACGATGAGCGAAACGACGATGATGTCTGGGATTTGGAGGATTGGCTTGGGCAGGCAAACGACGAAGCACCGATACAGGATGCTGAGGAATCACGCAATCAAGAAACCCCAGCCGTACTGCGTGACAAGGATCCTATCGATAGAATGATAATTCGAAGCACGACTTCAAAGCGTTCTGGAAAGTCGAAATCAGCCCTCATATCAAGGACAAAGTCTTCTTCCACGGATACCAATCGAAATAGGGTGTTGAAGTATTCAAATCGATCTCCTGTTGTGAAGCGAACCAACCAACCTCGAAAACCAGCGAGACAGCAAAAAAGCTCTCGACGTTCAAGGCAGACATCATCTCATGTGGATCGTGGCCGACAGAAGCAGCAGCGGATATGGCGTTTCATGGATGTGAAGAAAGCAAGAACAAGTCCGTCGTCCGCAACTCGCTTGTCTCAGCCCGAATCAACACTCGAGGCAGAGGACCAGCATTTCAAACAAAAAAGAGGGAGTAAAGAGGATCTGCCTGCTTGGGTTCAGGCACTTCTACAAAGTAAAAATAAGTTGAGACCGGATACTGCCCAGGACAATCCTCAAACCGTTCGACCCATCATTCCTTCTGGCGTTGGTCTCTTTTATCAATCCGTTGCTGATGTGACCAAGATCAATTGGTGGCAACGACGAGGCCGAAGACGACCTTTGACAGATACTCTGGAAAACACTGAACCTACCGATGTTCAACTTGAGCAACAGTACTGGGAACATGTAGTCGATCACCGAGATGAATCGTCGCCAAGTAGCATCGATAGTGATATTCAAATCATCAATCCGCAACAACGACCCAAGAAATCCATGTCCTCCAAGAAGAAGCGCAAGGTCCATTCAAAGCAATCCGACTTGTTTGCTCATCATGGATTTTCAAAGGCCTTTGATGACCCTGTTGTTCCCGTCAAAATTCGCTCGGCAGCACCATTGAAAACGCACAATAAGGTTGACACGATATCTTCAAGTCCAAACATCTCTTCTACGCATGGACCGACGGAAACTCAAATGGCGTTTATTCGGTTTTTCAATGATACCCGCGTCTTTCCAACTACGTTCAGTCCCAAAGAACTGGGAATGCAATGGCGCTTACCTAAGGACGGATTTATCATGCGAGGTTTTTTTAAACAAAGCGCCGAATGCAATATCGTGCCGAATGCATCTGTAGACTATAACCAGCTTGTCACAGAGAGTGGAGCATTTAAAGTGTTTGGTCGTTCCTTTAACATCAACAGTGGTGGCTGTCTGCAAGATCTTTTGGATATGATACTAGGGTTCTTTTGGGAAGCCATGAAGAAGTTTCAAGATATGGAGTCTGGTATACTGGAGAGCGACGCGTTCATTGTCGAGTTTGGCGAATTTCTGGCGTTTGTGACCATTTGGTTACGACATTGGGTACCGCTTCTTCCGTCCGAGGAACGAAAACCGTGTGAAGACCTTGTTATCAAGCAATCAGCTTCGTTTCAAAGACGAATTTTACATTCTACCAAATTGCATACTATTCTCAAATCGAGCGATCCCTCTGTGTCACTTTCAGTTTCTGTCACACAGATGCTGCTAATGTGGTTTGTCTTCTCCAACCATTGGGAACAGCAAATTGGACACAACAGCTTTTTACTGCAGTGTAACTCTCAACTGGATCTCATGCAAGCTTTACTATTGTGGCTGGGTCCAGAACCTCTAAGCACTGGAGATGCTATCAGCTCATTTGCTTTGGAGGCATGGATATACTACCTTGATAAATTGGTCACCACGAGTTCGCTTGATAAGTTTTCCACTCTGATGGCCCACATCAAAAAATTCTGCAGGTCGGATGGGTTGGACCCATGGCATACCGCTGAGGTTATATGGCAATGGCTGTTTGTATTGAAGGAGATTGAGCAATACGGCAATCACGAAGATCAAACAAAGGATCACAGTCAGCTCTGGTTCGCGGTGCACGACCTCCTCAAAGATACTCCTGTGTTGAATGCGGAGAGCGAGCTGTCCTACTCTGAGATGCTACATGTGACAAATACTCAGTGCAAGGAACATGTCGATGACTATATTCGAGCTCTGTTCAGTCGTGTGCATCAGCTATGTCGATTATACCCATCACCGACCAGTCGCAAAGCTATTCTTCAGCTGCATTCATTTTATCTCCTTCAACGATTCCAAGATTTGGCCACAGAGCAGGATTCATCGTTTCCAGAGTTCTTCATTGACTTTATTGGCTATATTCCGCACGATGTCTCGCCCGATGATAGCTGTTTTCATATATTTTTGAAAATACTATGTATTACGCTGCAGCAAGAGCAAGATGCCACAAGTCCGGCCATGGAAAAGGAACGCAGACAGCTGAGAAGATTTATATCGCAACTGGTACCCACTCATATCATGACCATACGCAACGGTGATCATGGCAGTTATACAGCATTGGGCAATCACTTCAACTTAAGCATGCTGTTCGCTCACGCGGTATCCAGTGACATCATGCGACGTTCAATTGTCCAAGCCAAGTCGTTTCTCAACTTTCACGAAAGCGATTCGACGGCACGAAAGATGTATTTCGAGGCATTCACACTGTTGGCTAGAATCTATGCGTTTCATGACGACCGTGATGGATTGTGCTGCATTGTTCAGCTGTTGAGCGAACGATTGGGGTCCCTTGTCGAGGAATATGGCAGTATGCAGGCTCGACAGTCGATGGCCAAACAGGGGTTCCTCCCTGTTGATGACTGGCTTGCTGATCTAAACGATCGCCGCGATTTGATTGAAAGCGCCTTCATTTACATATGGAAAATTGTCCGTGATGCTGTCTCTGTAGCGGCCGGATGGTTTGAGCTGACTTCTATAAGTCTTGACCAAGGTATGTGATGGAGCTACGTCAAAGCACGGTCTCCAGTTCTGGGGAAAATAGCGAAAGGCGGCGCGCCTGTAAATCTGACATGTTTATTTTATTTAGCATGGAGTTGTATTTTGGACATCACCACCTCGTATCCTGACGGAACGCGGCTTTATGCAGTCAACTTTATCCGAAGTATCCTTGCTGTTCGTCAACAACGGGTCGCTCGACTCAAAGACCAAACCACTCACAGTACAGCACAAGAGCTGTCATTATCCTTAAAATCAAGTGATAGTCAAGACTTTGACATGTTTGACGACTTTGATTATGAGGCCATCGATATGCAAATTGAAAAAGTTTATTTTGACGATGCTGACCGTCGTTTAGCGCAGGTAAGGAGCTATGCCTGGGGGTTTCCGCGCGCGCTTGTTTATTGACATGTCCTTCTCAACGTGTAGACCATCAAGTCATGGGTGTTGGTGGCGCTTCAGTCGTTACTGCCACATACACCATCTGATAGCGAGCTACAACAGGCCACTCAATTGGCTGTGAATGAATGCCAACAGCTACTGAATGACCATCGTATGTGACACCCTCCCCCCATGTTTATCACAACCCCCTTCGGCCCGACTTGCCGCTGAAGAAAGGGATCTCGCGCCTCCTGTATATAGCAAAAATTGTAACATTACCATGTCTTAGAATCACTATCAAAATGGATCGCACTAGATTAAAGTTACACACAAGTCGCTTAAACTAATATATAAAAAAATGCCATGTATTATAAATTAAATTATTGTGGGTGACAAACTAAAGCTATACAGAAAAAAAAAGAAAAGACACTGGGCTAGTCACCAACCCAACTGCTTCCACGCTTCATCCACTTGCCAAGCAATATGGCAAGATCTCTCACAACAAAGCCGCCAATGACGGTATCCAGCGACTCACAGACTTTTCGTAATTTTTGCAGCATTTTTTCACACTGTGCTTCGGACGTTGTAGACTCTGTTTTGGCGTTTTTGTAATGTGCCAGCCAAGCCTCTGCAAAAAATGGTTAATGCCATGTTGTGTCGCCCTTGGACCCTGACTGCCTCCTCACTGACTTACCAAGAACGTGCGATGCCTGAAACAGTTTCAAAAGGGCATCGATGTATTGTTGATACAAATCCTCTCTGTGTTGGAATTAGTCTTTGAAGCTCCTTGGATAGAATACACTGTTACAACGCTACTTACGATTTGGCGCTAGTGAACGTCATGCTTTTCGATAAGCGCGATCCCCAAGAAGAAAATTGTTTGCGACCAGCAGTGCTAGGTCCACTATCCTTAAGACCAACAATGACGGAATCTCGTTCGACTTTTCGCGGCATGGAATTGGTTTGGAAGTCATCGTAATCGTGACCTTTTTTGAGCTGGCCAAGTTTCTTGGTGAGTGACGTTTGAAGCGAATCTAAAAGTTTAGCCAATGCATCAATTTGTCGCATACTAGCTGGGACGTCAGTCAGGTGAGACCACAGTTCCAATTTTGCCAGCTGTGGCAAAAGCGTTTCTATCGCATTGAGCTTAGGCTCGATGGAGGGTAGTCGAACGTTGGGCTGATGCCTGCCATGATCGAGAAGTAATAGTGGTTGAAAAGAGCGTAAGTAAAGCAATTGGTTACAACGACAAACAGTAGCACCCTCTATTCTTGTGGGTTGGTGCATCTTCTACTGCTTTTCTCCCAATTTTTTTTTGTTTGGTGGCCATCCTCCAAAAATCAAAAAAAAAAACTCCCACTTACCATAGTTTTTTAGGCACATACAACCTTCGCGAAATATAGGCACCCTGGATCATGCTGGATTCGAGAGCCTTGAATAAATGAAGAGGGGTGCCTGGGACAGGCAGGTTAACAGGTTCTGGTAGGGCATTGGTATCGACCAATTGATTCATTTTTTGGTTGGGCGATCCATTGCTACTGGGCTGTCTGCCAAAATACTCTGACATAGGAGCTTTATCTGACGACGGAGTCAAGGAAGGTCGACTAATTTGGCTTGACGTTCGTGTGGGGATGGATCCCTTGCGAATAAGGACGGAATTACTGGACCGACCAAACATGTTAGGAAAGGTTTGTACAGAGGACGTTCGTTGGAGCAAAGGCGATGGGGGGAGATTGGACGATGGGTCTTCTGGATTCTTTTGAGGGATTGGCAACGAGGCACTGTGAATCATGGCTGTATTTTGTAGGGACACCTTCCTTTGCGGCGGAATGATACGAGTTGGCTTCAGTTCTTGTGAACTGGGGGCATCATGGACTGGCGATGTAGGCTGTTGCTGAGGAGATGGGAGTGTGGGCAACGGGGTATGCTGAATGGGCTCTGGGTTCATGTGAATATTTTCTTTCTCTAAAACAGGGGTGGATTGATGGGAGCTAGGCGTTGTGCTGACCTGCAGCGAGTCTATAGAGGAGCAGGAAGATATAGAGCGTGTGTTAGAAGCCGGTAAGACGATCCCTTCTTCCTCTACGATATTGTGGTCTTTCAGTCCCAGTGGCTCCGACTGCGAAACCGGTATGCTGGGAAGTGGTGCTGTAGGTGGGGGGAGGCTCGGCTGAGTTATGAGATGAAGAGCATTGAGTGGTAGTGGATGCTGCGATGGTGAGAAAGACCGCATAGAGCCATGTTGCCTCATGGGAGATGGTGATGGCGATCGAGCTCTTGCCGTGGATGGCTTCCTACGAGGCGGTGGTAATGGGGAGAAGGCCTCTTCCGGCTTGACGACCTGTCGCGTGCTAGGGGTACTTTTCGAATAAGTAGGGGTAGGTGAATCATCCGGCGAATGAAGTGAGCGCGCCGATGGTTGCTTCCTAGGTCTTGCCGTTTCAAATGATGGAGATGCAGCTCTTTGATATGTCTGAGGTGTGGATGGGCTTCGTAACGATCGACTGGAAAACTTTCGATTGGCAGGTCGCGAGAGCCAATCCAAAGGAGTCTGTTGATCATCCACTGGTTCACTGGCCTTAGACGACGGCGTATCCTCAAACGTATGATACAAATCCTGGGAATCTGGCTTGGGTGAAAGTAGATGAAGACTGCGGATCCGGTCTGAATATGTATCGTACTAATTAGGTGGGTTTCCCCACAGAAAAAAAAAAGAAAGAGTGGTGAGGAAAAAAAAAGTTAAAAAGATAACCACACCCCAAAGCTATCTAACCGTCGAATAGCTACATGCAACATTGAAGAAAAAGTGTCCCTATACAAGTCAAAATGAAAGCACTTACAATCTGTTGGATTCTCATCTTGTCCTCATCTCGATCGACTGAGATGAGAACTTGATCCAGTAACAGCAATGCCTCTGTGTAGGCCTCTAATGCCGCGGCATTGTTCTTCTCCTGGTCAGCTAGCACAGCGACATGAGCCTTCTGCAGTGCTGAACGCAAAAGAGCCTTTGCGTCCATAGTACAAGGGAAGGGAAGGGGTAGTATTTGCTCAGTTTCTTTTCAGTCAGGTACCAACCAACCAGCTGAAACGTGCCATTTGTCTGGCACAAAATTTTAAAAAATTGATTTTAGCTGTGTTGCAAATTGATGGGGGGAGGGGTTGCAACACGAAGATTCTGCATTGTAACCAGCAGTCTGTTCAAAAGGGCTCTTGCTCTCTCTCTTGCTCTTCCTTGACACATACAACATAAGCTTCGCTGTCCCCCAAAAGGTTTTTTTATTATTATTTTTTTTTTCTTCTTCTTCTTGCTTTCTCTCTTTTTTTATATTCGCCTGACTCGTTTTATTTTCTCTCTTTTCCTTCTTTCTCGTGGTTGTGCTTCTTCTTCTCTTTCTCATCCCATTGCAACATCAGTGAATGTACCGCCATCATCCGGTAGAACGACCCTCATCCCCTCCACCGCTCGGTGATCCCAACTACCCCTGGCATCCACCGCCATCTTCGACTCAACACCAAGCGTCGCCTAGTGAACCCAGCAGCGTGAACGGGTCACCGACGCCAACCCAGCAGCAAATGTTTATCTCGTCGAATAACCAGACATACCAACCATTCCCTGTACACCATCACTATCATACACAAGTTCCTCCAAGGCCAAAACTGTCTACTACGCTATGGGAGGATGAAGGCACGTTATGCTATCAAGTAGATGCAAAAGGCATCTGTGTTGCCAGGCGTCAGGGTAAGTTGCATGGTCGATCTTCTGAACCGGGAACAGGATACGTCTTTTTGTCAATTTGAGTACTCATCGTCTGGCTGGCTTCTCTTTCCCATTCATCTCATGTTCCTTTTACCCCTTCCTCCACCTCATCCCCCACTCCATGTTTCGTTTGTGCAAAAAAAAATTTTTTTTCTGCTACAACCCATTTTTTATCCGTCTCTCTCCCCGGCCCCTGTCGGCTGTTCCCCTATCTGTCTCACCCCGTCCCCTATTTTAGACAATGACATGGTCAATGGCACCAAGCTTTTGAATGTAGCAGGGATGTCGAGAGGAAAACGCGATGGTATTCTCAAGAATGAAAAAGGTCGTGTTGTGGTCAAGGTTGGCGCAATGCATTTGAAAGGAGTATGGTAAGTAGTTTGAGGCGCGTCTTTTCACGTATCCCTCATTTCCCCCGACTCAACTGATCTTCTCTATTTTATTTTATTCAGGATAACGTTTGCTAGAGCTAAAGTGCTAGCTGTACAATACAAGATCGCCGATGCTTTGTATCCATTATTTGTCGACGATCCCAGTATGTTCTTGTACCCAGCGAATGGAGGAGGAGGACCATCTCGTGTTACCGCTATCTCGGGTGCATTTCGTCCATTTGGTGCGTTCAATGCTAGCGCTCCTTCCCCATCCTCTTTACCTGCCCCACCTGGCGGCAATTGGGATAGACCAGGCGATTACTTGAATCGAGTTTCTACATCACAAGGTAAGTTTCTTTACAATTTGGGGGATGAATCGAAACCTCTCAGCCCATCTGCCAAAAAAAAAAAAACCCTACCTTTTTTTTTTTGGGACTCCCCTCCTCTGCTGACCCAGCCCGCCCATCGTCATTCTCCCTTTTTTCCCCTGTGTTTGACCGAGTTGACTTACCCACACTCTCTCTTTCTCTCTCTCGTTTCTTTTTTTAAACTTAGGATTTCGTCCTCCCACCTATTCACATCATGACCTGCCGTCAAGTGACGAAAACCTTTATCTCGAAAACCACCCGCCTCTCGATTACCGTACCGATGATAATACCGTGGGTGGAATGGTGAGCCAACAACAGCACCCATCGCATGCCTCACACAATTATGGACAAATATATTCTCCATATCAGCAGCATTCGCCTGACAGCCCATTCGTAGACCAGTCTCGATATGCACACCAACGTGAAACGTCGCAAGATATAATGCTTGAACAACGTAGGCGTGATTTCAACAACACTAATAATAACTTCCGCCCCCCTCAACCAAGGCATGTGGATGATATCCCCCCATTCACTTCACCGATTCATATGCCATCTGGAAAACCATCGCAATTTGAAACAACGGGCGGTGGTGTTTACAATGACGAGAATCATAATGTGCTAGAAACCGCCGCCTCATCCAGATCGTCTTCGCCTGGGTCTCGTCACCAATTGCAGCATCATCAGCAGCAGCAAACTCCTTATCAACAACAAGCTGTGAGACTGATTTCTCCTTCGGCTGTCACCATGTCGCCACCTACCCCACGAGCAGATATGCCTTCGCATTACTTTGAAGAGTCGCCCACATCCCCTTACCTTCATCGTCGTGAAAGTGCGATTTTTGATACCCCTCAACGTGTGGCTAGTCCACGACACCATCCGTATGCCCCTAAATCAGCATCTTCTGGAAAAGTATTTCAACAACCCAGTATCGCTAATCGGCTAGATGAGAAGAAGACTTCAGAAGAATTGGTTGAACAACAAATGCCTACTTCATTAAACAATCAAAACGCTATGGAAAACCACCACACTTGGTGAAAGAAAAAAAAAAACAACACAGACTACAACATCCTTTTCAAACTACTCGACCCAGAAACAAAAAAAAAAAAAAGCAGCAACACACATACACACACATACACACACTCTCACACACTCACATTCACATTCTGCTTGTTATATTGATTGTCTTTTTCTCTTTTACTGTTGTGTTCTTTCTATGTTCCTTTCCATTTCTTTTTTTCCTTTTACATATATTACCTCTTCTGTTCCCTTCAACTCACGTACACAAAATACGAAAGCTCGCACGTAACCAAAAAGACACATTGCATCCCCTTCCGGTTTTTCTTTGTCCTGGCTCGTGGAATAGAGCGGTATGCCCTCTGTTGCATAGCCGGGATGGTGGAATCAACCTATCTTTTGCAGTGATATATACCTTCGATCTCTCTTCTTTTTCATTCAGTCTATCCATTGTCTATATGCCACACATGGCCATTTTTCCGGTTTTTTCTCTTTCTTTTTGTTGCTCCAATGTGGTTACTTTATTGTTTTGTGTTTCTTTCATTGTGTTCTATGTTGTTTCCTTTTCTCCTTTTGATTTCTCTAATGTATACCCGAGAGGGGCAGAGAGTGTTTTTATTTTTTCTCAAAATTCAGACACCTTACCCTCACCTATTATTTATCCAGGACGCCCAATAAAAACGATGAATCAAGCGAGCGTCAACATTGAGATGTTTGTGACATGGATATTGTTGTAACAAACGAAATCCCCCAAGGGTCCTCTCACAATGCTGTTGTATTACCAGCGTGAGTCAGTGCATTTCCCCGGCATGGCCCGAGACAATCTGGCACAAAAAGGGGGAGGTTTATCTTTATTAAGGCATACCGGTTGGTTTCTTTCACACTTCCTCACCAATGTTAGCAAGGCAATGCCGCGCGCGGGGCCATTTTTTTTTTAACTTTGCGTAACCCCTCATTGGTTTCATCTCACATGATGCCTGTTCAAACAGGTGTTCTTTTCACAAAAAAAGGTTTTTGGTTTTCGTTAAAACAATGTCATTATGTCTGACGCATCGATCAGACATCGAGCATATATAATCAAAAAAGGGGGATAGTAAGCGAGGGAAAGTAAAGTGATGAATATAAGAGCCAGTGTAGTGTAAATCTTTTCTTTTCTTCGTTTATCAAACAAAAAGAAAGAGGAATAATAAAAAGAAAGTAAATCTCTTAGTGGCCCACTTGTTTAATCGCGGCCTTTGACTCTAGGAGGGGTCTATGAGAGGGGGGAAAAGGTAAGTACGACACATTCTATAGTCGCGACCACGTGCATTTGGCCTACGTCACATTCTAGCGGCTAAGGCGAAAAGACGGGCATACGAGGGCAGGCAGGCACTATGATCTAAGGGCAATATGAAAATTACGTACCATCATCTTGACGAATTCTTCATAGTTAATCAAACCATCACCGTCGACGTCAGCTTCACGGACCATTTCGGATATTTCATGTTCAGTGAACTTTTCATCTGAGAAGGAGTGGTAAGGAAAAAGATGTGGGTGATAACACCAATGACTGAAAAGATTATCCAGCCGGTAAAACTGTTCACTTACTGAATTTGGTCATGCCTTCCTTCAGATCTTCTCCAGACACAAGACCATCATTGTCCTTATCAAAGATCTTGAAGACTTCCAACAAACCTTCTTCAGGATTGTGTTGGTGTTGCTGTAATAAAAATTTGGGAAAATAGAAGGGTCAGGCACGATGGCGGAATAGGCACATGAAAGGTACGAAATACTCACCTTGTCCATGACGGCCAAAAAGTCGTCAAAGTTGACGCGGCCGCTGTGGTGTCTGTCAGCTAGACGGATCTGAAAAGATACTCAGTTAGTATACAAATTGTACAACGCTTCGGCTTGCTGAGAGACAAGCCGGACTTTAACCCCCGCCTTACCTGTTCGGCAATCTCGCTTTCAGAAACGTTGAATCCAATGCGCTTGTAAATTTCACCAAGGGTTTCGGCAGTGATACCTTGACCCTGGTCAAAGAGTCCAAAGGATTCTTTCAGTTCCTTGAGTTCAACTTCATTAAAAGCGTGGTCCTAGCGAACAGAATTTGGTTTTAACATTATGCATTTAGTGTTTTTGGGTTGAATCTCAGCAATAGCTTGAGATGACCGCTAATCTCACTGCTTACCACCATGGTAATAATTCAGAATGGAACAATAAGAAAAAACTTGTTATAAAGAGAGAAAAGAGGGGGTTATGAGTTGTGTGTGAAATTTAAAGGGAGGATTTATAGGAAATTTCCCTCGCATGATCATTGGGCTATTATTTTTTTTAAGACTGTGTGTACCCGGACACCCCCCACCCACTCAATATTTCGTTCTATTATTGAGGTGGGATATCCATCACCGTCAGCGTATTGCCAACCATGATCAAGCTGCCGGTAGATAGCACTTGCGTCTTCTGGCCAAGTCCCGCTTTTTGGCTGAAATCAACCGACCACAAAACGGCTTCCTCCACACTAGCTGCGTAGTGAATATGGTCCTGTGGAAATTCTGGAACAAGTTTCATCCAGGCATCGGCTAGCTCATGTTGTAACGTTAACTTTTCGTCAATGGCCACGGTGAAGTTGGCGCTGTCTGTAGGGGCAACAAGGTTTAAAGTTAATATAGGTAGACGGCTTTGGATCGCTTTCCCCAGCACTGGTCTGGCTGGGTACTGTCCTTTTCGCGACGTGAGGAGGGACTTCTTTTCCAAGGAATTTTCCTTTTTCTTTTCTCACCTGCTGTGTAGCCTTTCTTAAAGGTTACATTTGTGGAGAAAACGGCATGGTCAAATTGGACCACTTTATGGATAGCTGAAATGCTGTGCAGCAGTCGCAAACCATCTCTTCCGTGTGTACAATTAAATACCAAAACACGCTTCGTGTTGTCGTCCTTTTCCTTCACGGTATCTTTGAACCACTCGGCGCACACCTATTCAGAAAAACAGCAATACCCACAAAAGTCAATATCCTAGACATATATATTCCAACCCTCCCTCAATCGGGTAATGAAAACCTTACTTGTAAGCTCTCTGCTGTATGGGCTCCATCTAGGTACCATTTTAAGTCGGTATCAGGTTGGACTTCACTTGCGTACTTGGTATCTTGAACAGGCATAACCTGGCCACGACCTGGCCATTTGACTTCCTTGAGTCCCTTGAAAAAGCTGGCGGGGACAACGCCTTGAGGTTCATCAAACTTCACGCCTTTGCATTTCTCCAACCATATTTTGCACAGCTCAACGGCAACCAATGCGTTGTAGCGTTGGTGAACACCATGAAGTCCTAGTAATGGGTAAATAAGAGGATGGGGCAATCGGGGGCGCGGTTAATTGATACATCCACCAGCAAAATTACCTCAAATATAATATTGGTACTTCATAAAGGCCCCCCCCACCTACCTATTTCAACATTATCAAGAGCTGTGACATTTTCGGGATAGATGATTTGAAGAGGAGCCTAGTTGATCCTGAGCTTAGAACCCATCTTTGCAAACCGTTGTTTCGCCTGTTCCTGATCTCGAAAGCCAATGATCGCTTACCTCCTTTTCAGCAGCTCGCTGCTTGATAACCTCGATGGCTTCAGGCACCTGATTAAATGCTATAGCAGGCACTTTGTTCTGAAAAGTGAGGGTGACACAAAATGAATAAATATGGCGAAAAAAAAAGTGCCATAACCCAGTTTTGCAGAGAGCGCTGTGGAACTTTTTTTTTTACCTTGATGATGCCAGCTTTGTGCCAGGCAATAGAATCAATTGTATTGCCTAGGACAGTGACGTGATCCAAGCCTAACGCAGTGATACCACATACGATGGGGTTTTCGACGATGTTGGTCGAGTCATATTCACCACCTACACCAACTTCGAGAATGGCAACGTCGACCTTCTCCTGCATCATGGCATGAAAAGCCACTAGGGTTAAAAATCGGAAGTAGGCAGGCTTATCGGGATTAGGCAGCTGGTTTTTGATAATCTATGCAGAGATATTCAGACGTGATTAGTAAAGACACATCCACCTCTTTATCACCTCTTTTCTCGTGCTTTTTTTTCTTTTCCACCTGTTTCTGGATAATATTACCTTCTTGGGGTCTTGGCTGTGCTGGAGGTAAGCAGCTTGATCTTTGGTTGCTTCGAGTCTATTCCATACGTCTTCCGTGTACTTTGCAAATAAATCTTCGGAGATGGGGGCACCATCGATACGGATACGCTCACGCATAGCAACCAGATGAGGAGATGTGAAAAGGCCAGTCTTCAATGGCTTTCCATCTGGTGATGTCCAGTTATGAAGGACGGACTGGGTCAAGGCACAGGTTGATCCTTTACCCTTGGTTCCAGTAACATGAATGATATTCATACAGTCCAAGTCCTTGGACTATCCATCGAATAAACGGTTCAATCATCAGGGGTCGCTGATACTGATATCTCCAACATCAACGTACCTCATATCCGATTCTGCGCAAGTAGTCGCGCATCTCGGGAAGACTTTTATCGTTCATTCTTGGACCGGCCTTTCGCAAAGCATCCAAAACGGCTGCATTGGTTTGCAAGCCCACTATCTTTGTTACAGCTTCCTATTTATGAGCAGTGGCCAAAAGCGGCCAAGCCTGTCAGAAAGTGGAAACCAATGTGAAGGCGTTCAAATGGAAAGCCGGGGACATTACCTCGTATGTAAAGGGCATGGTGGATGTGCTCAACAGTCTTCGAAATGGTAGACGGATCGGTGAAAAGAGCTGAGCAATGGTCATGCAGTAGCTGGTTTGCGCTTTATTGGGGTGGGCGGCCTTTTTTTTTTTATTGAATGAGCCAAAAAGTTTATCGCAGTGTGTCACGTGGAGATCTACCGACGTGTTCAAGCGTTCGGGCTATTCTGCGCTTCACCCGTACCGCTCAGTCTCTTGAATACAAAAAGGAATTGTTATTTCTTTTTTTATTTTTTTACAAGCATAATCAATGTTTGGGTAGAATGAAAAATGTGAATTGTTATGCTATACATGAGGTAACCCTCATGCATAAATGTCTATGGCACGCGAGACACTCGCTTGATCATCGCGGGATACTAGGCTACAAGATGAATATTTTATTGTCCACTCTCCGGCAATCAATTAACTACGGACTGTGCTTCCATTGTGCGCCAGATCCATCAACACCTTCATCGTAGTTGGTTTCTGCATCTTTCCTATCTTTTTGGAATTTCTGTGTCAAATATTGGTACTTCTTTTCGTCCTCTCTGTCCAGCTTTTGCTGCTCTTCGGTCCGAGAGGGCCACGAGATACCTGAACCATCAACACCTTCATCATGATCGTCAGGCGGATAGGATGCCTGTGGATTTTCATTGACAGGGTATGAACGACACTCTTCTTTCAGTCGCTCATTCAGACGTTCGGTAGTACCTTCAGCATGACCTCCCTTGCTGATGTTGGATGATTTAGATTGCATAGACATGGGATGGTTGAGACTGTGAAATGGGGGATTAACTTTGGTTGTGTCTTGGCTAAGCAGAACTATAGGGTTTTACCCCACTTATTGGCATGCATTTTAGCTTTTTCAGTCTCAAACAGTTTAAACGTCATGGCTGCTGACACATGGTTCATATTAAATTTTTTTATTATCAAGGCTTGGTGAAATGGAATACTTAGTAGCCTTCTATTTCGATGACTCTTCATCAACAGGCCACCACGATGGAATATAGGGTTTAATACGTATATCACTACCAGCCTCGTCAACAACAAACTGAGCTCCTTCTGCTTCTGCTGCTTCAAGACGCATCAATGCAAGCCCAATATTGTGAATACCAGATCCGAATTTGCCCACTGCTCGCTTCTTTCCCTCCTCTGCTGGTTTTATGTCTGCTTGAATTGAAGGCAGCGTTTGTATATCGTAATTTCGGTCGACTGTCAAAGTTTCCGGTACCCTATGTCCAAATACATTAGCATGTCATCATAGCATTTAGTGTGAGAATAATTTACAACACCTACCCATCCTTCTCCCGGTATATCTGGACTGGGACAATTCGCTTTCGTACTACACCGGTGTGATAAGTACGAATAGTCAATTCCTGCCCGATGTAACATCCTTTACGGAAATCAACTAAGGGGTTTATGGAAGTTAGCCGCCTTCCACATAGCAATTTAAAGATGAAAAAGTCATGTCACTAACCTCCGTTCATATAATCAAAGTTGGATTCCAATGGTAAAGATTGACTCGGCCACAAATCATCTAACCCTTCGGGTATTCCGTGCAAAATGCGTCTTATCGTGTACTCGCTTGAGGGAAGTTCTTTGAAGGAACTTGGCAAAGACAGGCCTTAATTTACACCATGATTAATCACACCTACATTGTAGCGCTCAATTCAGAATGTCCAACTACCCACCTTCATCTCTTTTTGTCACGACTCGTATCCCAAAGTTGGGAACTCTGGGGTCTAGACATCCAATATCTGCAAATCTCGACTCTTTCTTCACGAGACTGCCTGCTGGATGCTTTTCGTGATGTGATGGCTCTTGATGGGTGACGGAGCGAAGATGTGCCGTGCCCTGTCCCCATATACTGAATATAGAATATTCTGATGTGACATCTCTTAGTTTCACCTTAGACCGTAGGATATACCGCTTCAAGTGTTGTGACAAAGGTCCAATTGCTCCACCAGCGCACTCGATGATGAACTTTGGATGCGGGAAGTTGACTCCCACGTTGACAGGATATATAAATGTATCGTACAGAAGGCGTCCCTTTAAATTTATAATAGGTTAGAGATGTTTGATATATCCCACTTACTTCTATTCATTTTTAGTTACCTGTGGTGATAGGAACGCCGTGTAGAAACCATTCCCGCCAGTGGCAATCAATGGCATATGATTTGTAATCAAGCCCTGTAAGAACTTTGACGTATCTACACCTTCAATCTCAATGAGACTTCTGTTTGGAACAAGTGCGTAGCAATCGCCTTCGTGCAAGGGGTCTTTTTCAGCAAATGAGCTTGATGTCGCCGAAGAAGAGCTCCTTTTGCCTTTCAAACGCAGTGACCGTTAGCAAACCGAGGAGAATCTTAAGACTTTGCCTCTAACGCACAATGACTTACAGGACGCAAATGTCAATCCAAGCCGGGCATGGGTAAAGCTCTTGCGAATACTGGCTCTAGCAAGCATGGTTGGGATTACTGTTCAAAAAAAATACCGACAGGCCCACACTCCAGCTCACTCACAATGCCTAGCAATTTGAGAGATGAACCCGTCCACGTGATCGCTGAAATTTCCATCAATTTTATCACAAACAATTTTTTTTTTGAGTCCCCTTCCTTGAAATTCAACATTCGAAATGCACCACGGAAAGCATGTTCGTCGCTTGAACCGAACGTCGGCTCATCGAAAGGCCATGCTTAGAAACATGGTTTCGGCCCTTATAAAACATGAGCGAATCGAAACGACCTTGCCCAAGGCTAAGGAATTGAAGAAAATCGCTGACAAAATGATCACTATTGGCAAGAAGGGAGACTTTAATGCTAAGCGAAGTGCTATGGCGTACTTGCGGGTAAGAGAAAGCTCACTGTGATTGGGATAATATTGCGCTTCCCATAGCAGCTCTAACCAAATTTTTGCTGCTGCATGTCTCGTCTACAGGAACATGGCACTACCATTCCTATTCTGTTCGATACCCTTGCCCCTCGATTCGCCAACCGTAACGGAGGATACACTCGCATTCAGCGTATTGGTCAGCGATATGGTGATAATGCCCCTATGGCTGTCATTGAATACATTGACGGAAAGAACGACTTGAAGAAGGAATTTGTCACCAAGCAGATTGCTCATGCTTTGTCCCCAGCTTCAGGCAAACCTATCCCCAACATGTCCGTGGAAGATATTCTCGCTGGAAAGGGAGAGGTCTTGGGTGGAAACAAGTTCCAGCGTGATCTTAAGAAGTTGCAGAACTCATCTAATGCCGCATCCCTCAAAACTGGTATCGAAGCTGAACTGGCAAAGCTTTCTGAGCAAATGTCAAGCGCAAAGCTTTAGACTTCTCTATACGATCTCTTTCTTCCCTCCCCGCATGCTCGGCTGTTCATCATAGCATGTGGTTTTGTATAGATTTACTTTGAAATTCGGGTTTATGTCCTTCAAGGTTCTCTTTTTTTCTTTTCCAATAAAATGTAGAATAATTTCCATAGAAGAAACAGAGGCAGATGGCATAGGAGCACCATTTCTTAAATGGCCTAATCTATGTGTTTGTGTATGAAAACTTTTTAACATATCACTGTTCTATTTATTCGCAAGATAATCTGTGCTTGAGACAAAAGACTTTAAAGCAATACCATCCAATATTTTGTTGACGGCATTGGAAGGAACATTGAATACTACATGATATTGCCCTTTCGCTTACATAGAGGTTGTAGCTGTTCGCAAAGCAGTCTGATTCGTTCTTCAATGGCTGACCGACTGTCGGGTTGTGTTTCGATCTTGAGAGACGTACTTTCACTTGGAAGCTTTCTTACGGGTATCGATTCAAGTTGACTTGTAACTTTCCCTTTCGGTTGCTGAACCTCCACCCGAGTTGAAAATGAAGAATGAAACTCCTTCATTCCAACATGCCTCATGTTACTTGCATTGTCAAGGATATCCAGTATGCTTGTAGGCAGTGCATCGTACCAGGCATTAAGATCAGATGTTGTGTCGTCACCACCAGCTTCATCATGCTTATGAGTGTGCGGAGCAAGTAATTTGTGAGAGGACGAGTCCTTCTTCGATAATTTGGAACTTCCAATTGATAAATCAGAATCTTCATCATCACTTTCTGTGGGTGCATATTCAGTGAATGTCCCTTCGCTACTTGAGTCAGTGTTCTTATCATGATCAGGAACAATAAAATGCTTGATATCCTCAGGACACTCCTGGCCGCTGGTAACACTATCATCAGATAAACCTGAGCAATACGAAGAGGCGAGAAAGAGCCACTAAACTTACGCAGAATTTAGTATCACATTTTGCTGTCGTTCTGTAAATGTAGGGCACATTACACCGGTTCTAACCATACGAACAACCAGAGCAGGATCGATTGTGATGTAATCTTTGGCAATGTGAGAGCACAAGCACTCTATACCATGTTAATCGGTAATAATTCTGTTCAAATTGACCTGGTAATACCATATACTTGCCGATCGCTAGCTTCAAGCACTCATAGATATGATCTCGTTGTAGAGCTGTCACCAGTTCGGGCTGATACCATGGATATTTGCAGACAATCGACATGATGTTCTCAAATGGTCTTTCAGGGCACTTTCTTGAAAAGTGAATCTATTCCATCCCATTTCATTAATTTAAAGCAACTATATCCTTGATTGTATGTAAAGTATGCTACCTTGTAGTTTCGGCAAATTGTTAAGATTGAATTGATCTCCTGGCGAGTAATGAACGTTTGACCTTGTTTTGGTGATACCGATTGAGCCTCAACAGGGATGGCCATTCCTTTCACAAAATTTCCAGCCCAGCATGGAAATAATGATTTGAGAAGTTCATCCTGGTCGCTAAGGGACACATGAACCAGCCTTCCCTTTAACGGCTTTCGATGGCAGGTGGTAACAGCACGCTGAGCTTCTGAAGGTTCTAGCACTTCGACAAATGCGTTTGATACGGTTTTCCCTGTACTGCGATCGATGATGATCTGCTCTGGTTTAACAGGATACTGCCATAAAGATATCATACAGGAATTAAAATACTTCTTACATGAACAAAGTGAGAGTGCATTTGAGGCGGTGGAAATTTAATGGATTTGAAGAATTGCGTAACTTGAGAAACAGACACGTCCCATGGTATCTTCAACAATGGAGAAATTTGTTCAAGTAAAGGCTCAAATAGGTATCATTTTAGCTAATAAACTCACATTCGATATCTTTATGACCGGCCATTTGATTGATGTTGTCAGGTGTTCGCTTACTTGCTCAGAAGAGGAAAGTCTTCGATAGGATGTTGTATCTGCTAAAGATCGATACACGCCAATCGGTGTAATTGTCCCAATTCGTTTATCATTACAATCGCTGTCATCAGTACTGTCACTCAGTGATTTAAGGTTTTCAACCGTCTATTTCTTGAAAAGATTAGCTGTATATCGTGATGATAGTTTTATATGAGATGAAGTTAACCTTGAAACAAACGTCGCATGTATTGAGTAATTCACCCCCAACGGCATCGAAATCAACTGGTGGCCGGAAACGAATTTGATAGCACAAGTTGCATACATAATGCCGACAAGGAATCAAAGAGAAAGTGGCTTGATGTACGTGACAAGTAGAGCACATTGGACTCCATTGAGTTTCGAATAAGCTCGACGAAAAGTTATGATTGACCTGTTGTTGTATTCCGCCCAACGTGCCATAACAATCATTCACTGTATCGGACAATACCTCTTGTGACGATTGGACGAGATCAAGAAAATATTTTGGCTTCATATCGAAAGAGCTGAACCTTGATGCATTGCTTAAGCTGATTCCCGTTACAGTGCTTGCTGTTTCAACGTCGTCGATATCACTGGCTGACTTGCACTCATCTTTGAGAATATATTAGATGCATACATGATGTGTGCGCTACTATAAAAAATCGGTCGTCGTACCTTGAGACCTTGCATTGATTCTGGGAGGTTTTCCTTTACCTTTGTGAGCACCTTTTTTAGAGTGTCTCAAGGCATCGTACCTTGACGCATGCATTAAAGTCAGAGGTTAAAATTGGAAATGACAATAAAAAAGGCACAAATCCAAATACAATCATCTTTTTTTTTTATAATGAAAAATTCATTTGGTGTGTCTCCGTCACGTTCAGTCTCTTATTTTGAAGCAAGTGTTAAGACGTAATGTCATTGAATCTGATCTACAACAGCATGTAATTTATTCATGTCTTTAACTTGAATTTGTTTCAAATAGTTAAGAAGATGGATAGGCAATACCTCAGAAGAAAGCAGAGAATGGAATCATTGATGGTGTTACAATGAAAATTGAAATATATTAGCAGTGATAGCAACATAGTGTCACATAAAGAAGGTATTTGAAAAGTCATGGTCGACACCAGATATTTGTAGCGACAGCTTGCCCAAACGACATTAGACTTCAGTTATATTGGGGTATTTCAGTGAAATCGCCATTGTGCCTCTTTGCCAGAAAGGAGTCCCCTTAAATTCTGTTCCGTACCTTCAAAATTGAAATCGATGTCATGAATGCAATAGTACTATAGGAAGAGCGTCATTCGCTACATTTAAGAATATCGCCAGGTAACAGAACCCACTTTAAAACTCTGTGTCACCCTATTCTAGTGTGCATCATTTTTGTTCAGTGGTCCTGAAAAACATAAATCACTATTGCAGTATGTCCTGTTTGTGCAGTCATTGACTTTGACTAGGTTTGGTGCTTACGAAACAGCATGTTCTATATACACAAGATACAATGAGATCTTAGGCATACGCTTATGGCAAATTGGTGACTTCGTTAAAACTTCGATATGTATCATGTTTTGGCAATGTGAAAACAGCACTCCACAGTGGATACATCAAAGTCTTCGTAAATTCCGTGTGAAATACATTATTTGACGAACGATATATTCTATCAAGAAAGTAGCTAGATTTTATGACGGGTGGTGGAGTGGAACAGGGTAAATGAAAGCATAGCTGATGCGATCGGGTTATCATTCATTCACCATTTGTGACTGGGGTCGTGTACCTGGCAAAGACATACGATTACGTATATCTGATATAATGGACGAGTCTGATTTGTTGGAATGAGCATATAGTCGTGGAGTACCCAGCAAGATAGCGCCTTCTGTCATATCTGGAGTATCCCGACCACTTTGCTGTCGTAATTGCTCTTGCATGTCAAAAAATCGCTTTACTTTTTCATGTTCCTTCCTTGATTGATATCGATGGAGTAGCCAAAGGGCGACCAGCACTATAATCATAAAGACCAATATGGAAACACCAATTGCTACCCAGGTTGACATAGGTACCTCTTTGAAAGAATCAGGTGGGATACCACAGTAACCAACGCCGCCAGCGCCGTTATTGAAGCAGGAATTGCTGAAACACTCTCTATCTTGTGTACATTGCTCTCCATTCGCTAAACCTTGGACACACAATCCACTGTTGCAATAGGCTCCAACGGTACAATTATCTCTTTGGAACGTTCCTGTCATTTCTTCACCAGTCTGCTCTGAGTATGTGAACTGAGTTCTAAAGATATCGTACACGTGCATAATAAGAGTTAATGGGTTGGCGTAAAGTAAACGAGACTGCACGAGATGTTACATACGATTCCACACCACAGAAGCCGCCGATCGGCACACCTTTGATCACGCAAACATAATTCAGACATATAGCAGATGCTCCACCCACGCACTCGTCGTCTCGATCCAGCTCGCAGCGACCGCCCTGCGCTACTAGTGGCGTACATTGTAGACCATTATCGGGGCAGTATGTTTGATCCATACAACGAGATGGAAACTTATAGGTAGAATTTGACCAACCCCTTATCAAAAAATAAAAATAAGCACAGTTATACTATAAATAATACAAGTTCCAACGACTTACTTTAGATAGTTTGTGTTGACACAGGTTTTGAATGCACAGGTGCTGTTTTCTAACATCGCGATATCATTCTGCATTTTAGACTGACGTTCATTAAAGGTCAGAAATATAAATATAAAATCAACTTACGAGCACAAGCATACATGCCTGTTGGATCATCACTGAAAAGCTCGAGCCATTAGATATGTCAAGGTAAAAGGAGCGAGTTGTCAATAGGGTCAGGGGTTAAGCTCACCAAGCGTCAATATATGTTAGGTATGCGTTGAGGTGACTAGTGGTGGGATCGCAGGGGTCACCAAAGTTAACAGCCAAAATGAAAAGTGGACAAGCCAGTACAATGGCAGCTATTAACAAGTGTTTGATGTTCGGCATTAACCAGAGGCAGTTATGCTGAGATGTTAGGAATTAGAGGAATAGAAGCGAAGTGACAAGACATCCCAGGTAATATCAATTTTTTTTTTTATTTATAGTATCAGCTGCCGTTTATGCTATTCTGATTCCTGATATTTCCAGCCGTTTAGCTTTTCTTGCACTTCGTCACCATACTTCTTGACCTGTTCTTCATCTCTGCCTACAACGCTTACAACTACTCTAACGCCGTTGGAATCCGTACCCCATTTTGGATACGAGCCAATTTTTACTGCAGATGCACGTCCCTGCAGATCTAACAGATATGGGGCAATTTCGCCTTCGTTATGCGAAGTGGCAATTTGTGCGCGGTAAAATTTCGTGTCCTTAAGGCCACGCTTTTCTATCAAATCGAGAATCCGTGGAGTGAGAGAGTGTGCTAGGCTCTCAAATAGTTTGGGAATACCTGGCAATATATGCACATTGCCATTGACGACAACGATCGGAACCCACATATCTTCTCTGGTTCGAACGATTTCGGCGGGATGCGGGAAGATGACCATTCGCTTGCGAGCTTCCGTTAAAGACCAATCATTGATTCTCTTGCTTGAAATGTCGATCATAGACTGACATGTCGCATCATCCAGTTTCAGCTCCAATCCAAAGGCATGAGCAATTGAGCTATATGTTATGTCATCCAACGTAGGCCCTACTATCCAGTTAATACCCTCCACACAAGATTGAAAACGTCATCAAGAAAATAACTCTACCTATACCACCGCTTGTGAAGACCAGATCGTACTTATTCGACATCTTCCGTACCGTTTCGGCAATTTCGTCGCGATCGTCGCTTATAACCTCAATTCGTTTGAGTTCCACTCCAAGGTCAAAAAGCATTTTGGCTAGCAATTATTAGATTTCGATGTGAAGTAATAAGATAGCCAACTGAAAAATCGTGCATACCAAGATAATTAGCGTTGGAATCTCGAGTTTTTCCATTTAATATCTCATCGCTAGGGAACAAAATCCGAGTTAAAAAACATCAGATACAGTTTCAACAAGAATACGTAGTAATAGGCCTACCCAATGATACAGCATGCAGCGGTTACGATTTGAGGTTGACTCATAGTTTCAGTCATTATATATGTACGGAAAAAAGGTCGTAGTGGTCTAACAGAGTGAACTTTTGCCAATGGCTCCTTGCAAAAAGTTGTGTTCAAATGCACAAATGGCCGTGAATAGGGTAATAATGTCCGAAATGTTTTGAGCATTCACACCTATACTCTGGATAAGGGCCATATAAATACTGCTTTAGTATCTAACCTCTTTGTCTTCAAATTGCAAGCATCCTGGCTCTTCATTTACTCACCTGTTGCGACAAAAACCCAGAGACAACGATTTCCGATATGACCGTGAAAATCAAAAGGCAGTCAAGTGATCTTCGCCTTTGCCCCTCAGCTTCTATCTCTTTACTTTATCATTCCGGAAATGTCGGCCAACAGCTTGGTATTTTCTCTTGAAATGGTAACTAGTGTAGCTGTTCTCCATTTCGCTTGGGATGCTGGCAGAATACTAACTTCTTGTGCAGACAGCCGTTTCAAAAAGTTACTTGAAAGACGTATTGCGTGGTAAGTGTGCAATCGCCAACCAATCCAGAAAGCTATAACATCCCAAACAGACGAGAAAATTGAACAGCTTCTCAGCTTTATTACATTCTATATTCTTTCATCGACTACTCATCAACGTAACGCCTCGTGAGGGACACTTTCTGGATACCACTGTGGTAGGTATAATATCAGTTGAATCCCCGCAAAACGACCCTTTAATCGAACCTCGGTGATAGTCAATGACAGGAAACAAGGAGGTAGAAGATTTGATTGAGGAAAAAGTGGTAGAATTTTATATGGGTATGTCAACGGGACAAGCCAAACGGCAAGGAAAGGTATCTAAATGTCATTTTGGAGAGGAATCGCTGTGGTGTCCTTTGCATACTCACACTGAATGATATCAGATAGCAGTACTCTTTTATGAAAAGCGGTTAAAAAACAACTGGTGGCAGTTTTCAAAATCGGAAGAGCTCATATGTTGGGAGCAATGGGCGATTACAATTACGGTCTTGGAGCCGCAGTCTGAGCAAGGTACATTTATACAAATTTACTTTATTACTCATTATGGCGGTGACTATATTCTTTTGATTCACACAACTCATCCCAACTTTAGAAAAACAGAAAATACGGAAATCAACGGAACGTCAGCTGAACCAAAATTTGATGAAAATACTAAATATCATCAATGACCATAAGGAACATATACCCTCTATCACCACCACCGAAGGCAATCCATTTCCATATCAGGTAGGTCTATGCTCCTAGAGTTTGCCTTTGATAACTATGAGCAGTGTATATCCATTTAACATCCATCCTTTGTCGCAGATTGCAATTCTTGGTTCATCAGAATCTTGGGCGGCTATGATCAAGAGACTGATAGTTACTGATGCACCCGTAGATAGTAATGGTGGCGTGACCTCAGGAGGTGGAGGTGGTAATTCTGAAGGCAACACAACTACTGGCAATCGAATCAATAATTGAAAAGTAGGATCAAGTATCTACTAGTCTACCCCCCCCCTTTCACAAACCTTTTTTTGCAAGATCTTTTTCGTTTACATAATCAGATACCATTCCTCTTTTCTATAACTGGGCTTATGTTCGTTGATGCTTTGTAATAGCTGGTCTCGCAGGTCCGTTTAAGAAGCTTTTAGCTTTTCCTATTCCTAAATTCAAAATAGGTTTTCGTCATGTCTATGGCTATGGTTTAACGCATAAGCGGCTAGTAACTATACGCAGAGACATTGATTAACCTGGCTTTCGTTAAGCTACATCTGTAGAGCCTCCGCGCTTTTAATGGCGATAATTTTCATTTTAGTCTTAACGGGTTAAAATAAAATGACCGCTTCCGAACGCCATTCAAATTGAGTGCACAGAATATCATACCGTAAAAATGATGGACAACACGATCTAGCCATGGCCGGGTTCCAGGTGTTCAGGCGGGCATCGTAAGGTTTACAGTTCAGAACATGCAGCTCAGATGACGTGAGGTACGGTCCCGAGTCAAGATGTGCACAACAAGACAATGGACTTTCATGCAAAAAAGGATCTGATAAGCCAGTCAGATCGCTTTCAAAACCTGCATGCGTAACATAAAATGTCGGTGAAAGCGGGTGCGGGTCAGTAATTTCGTTAAGTTGGGGAAATATTAACCACCACTCTGGTTTTGGAGGTGTCGAATGGATTTCCAGGAAGCTAAAAGCTCGAAACCCCGCGACCATGGAGCAACTTGTTGCCAGGGATCAACCAAAACGTTTTAATTTCTACATATTTAACCACTCCTTAAAATTCGTTTCCATGTACAATTGAGCATGCTTTTCTTTCTATTGATGTGTATGTTTGTATCAAAAGAAAAGCATTGATAATGATGGACATGAAGCTTGCTCATTCTAACTGGTATTCCTACCTCAGCAACGGAGTCATCAGATTTATTATCAGATTCTTTTGTCCGCCCCCCACCGTGTTTGAAAATAATAATAAAGATGGTGCGATGGTAAAATAAAAAAAAAAGTTTCGGATCTGATAATTTTTTTTTTTTTCTTTTTCCTTTTTATTTATTTATTCGCCTCTACTTGTTTTTGTTGCCTTGGAAAATTACTCTTGCACCAAAAATGTTTACCAGGGCATTGGTATTATCCAGCTTCTTAACCCTAATACAAGTTGCCAAGACCGTCCTTGCTGACGAACCCATATGCTACTCAGGTTGTCAAGCTGGAGCTACCACCTATTTGTTCTCCAATTGCAGCAGCACAGATCTCTCGCTGGTCGATTTCGCAAGTTGCCAATGTGGAAGTGTTCCCTACTTAGGTTCTATGGCACTTTGCTATGCAAATAACTGCAAAAGTGAGGCTGCAGTCGCATGGGACTATTTGCAACAAGATATTTGTGGCGGCCTTGCTGCAAATACCGAGTACATCTCAACTCTAAATAACGCTACGCACTATATCCTCCCTGGATCTACAATCGACAAAACACAACCTATCTACTCCACAGTGCTATTCAGCCAAGAAGAAATTGAACCTACGTTTCGTACTATCAATGAATACAACAGACAGATATGGCTTGCAAATGTTTACGGAGGAGCTACCAACGTAGTCGTCCTCATATACATTATTCTTGGCGTGATCAACAACATATACCATCACCTTGGTTTGAGAGCAGCAAGAAGTAGAGTATCAAAGAAGAAGTCTATGATTTCCCGATCCAGCCAGTATTTGAGAAAGAAGTTCATCAATCCTGCATTATTCCACAATGGCTTACATAGTCGCCAAGGTCGTCTCCTCGGTGTGCGAGTGACAATCCCTACGCGTATTGAAAGCATTGCCCTTGCCATTTTCTTGATTGTCAACATTGTCATCTTGTTTCCCAACTATCGCCTGTTTACCGACAATACATATTGGCCAGACAACAATCCTTTGCAACTTTGTCGCTATATTGCTGATCGTACTGGCATCGTCTCATTCACACAACTTCCTATGGTGTTTTTATTCTCAAGCAAAAACAACGTCATGCTTTATGTCACTGGCTGGAGTTACGACCGATTTACAGTCGCTCACAAATGGATCAGTCGTACCATGTTCTTCCATGGCTTGGTTCATTCCATCGCATACACGGTATACCCCTATCTCACTATTGGCTACGACGGATGGACTTTATACAAGCTGTATGCTACCGACTTGTACTTTCAATATGGTATCGTCGCTACCATTCTGGGTGCATTCATTTTGGCAATGGCAATGCCGACCTTCCGCACTCGTGCCTACGAATTTTTCCTTGCTACCCACATCTTTATGGTGGTTTTCTTTATGATCGGTTTATGGTACCACGTGGAGTACATCCCGTTAATGGCTTTCATGCCTTGGCTTTATGCTTCCGTAGCTATCTGGTCGTTTGATCGATTTATTCGCCTTGTCAGATTGATTCTGCTAAATATCAAATTAGCCAAAACCGGTTACCAATCCTGTGTTGCCCGAGTACTACCAGAAGATTGCATTCTGCTACAAGTCCCTGCAAACCGCCCTTTCTTGCGAAACATTCGACCTGGTGCATATGTCTACATATATGTTCCTTCTATCTCGCTATGGCAGTCTCATCCTTTTACAATTGCCAAATGGTCCGAGCCATCTAGTCTGGAAGCATCAGTTAATGAAACTCTTCCCGTCCCGGAGACGGATATAGCTAAAACCGAAGGAGACAGAGCATCAGCCTCCGGTTCTTCAACATCTCAAACCTTCAATGGACCTAGCTTTGATCTCTTAATTCGACCCCAACGAGGTCTGACTGCCAAGCTGTACAGAAAGATTTTGGACAACCATAAGCCACTCGAGCTAAATGTTATCATTGAAGGCCCTTATGGACATACCGCACCGATGGATCAATACGACACGGCAGTTTATATCACTGGTGGTGTAGGCATAACTGCCTCATATCCCTATTTACAGAAAGCCATCACCAAGAGCCCTGGAAGGACTAGACATATTATATTTATCTGGATTGTTCGCACTAGTCAAGCCTTGCACTGGGTTCAAGAGGATCTCTGCAAGCTTTTGAAAGAAGCAGACTCTTCACTCGCCATAGACGTGGAGATTTACATTACTAAAGAATCTCAGGCTGAAGACCTACCAAAACCATTGGCCGATTCAATCCACTTTGGAGCACGACCCAACGTGATAAAGCGAATCAACGAAATTGTGACGGTCTCCCCTTCGTCGGTTGCTGTCCTTGCATGCGGTCCTCCTGGCCTGAACGACGAGGTTCGTTGTGCAGTCTCTGAGGAAGGTATTCCATACTACGAGGAATCATTTAGCTGGTAGAAATCTTTCAGCTATAACGTTGAACATATGTACACTTACTATTATGTACCTTTATTTACAAAATCATTCACACTATTTCCCCACTCACTAAAATGCATTCACGGTACTCGATATCTTTGCACCTTCTACTACCATTATGGTTTCTTTTATATGAGGCGTAAATTTTTATAGCGTTTTGCTTGCGATTGCAGTAGTGCGTGGTGCTGATATTTGTACTGATGGTACCATTTGGAGAAGTGCAGTTGAAGAACTTGACAGCGGAGTCGACCACCAGTATACGGTATAGTATTGCCTTATGGGAGTATGATAATCTTTAATGTCATAGCTGCCACATCGCGTGAACTCATTGAAGGAGCATAGTATACATTCTTCCAACCTGTGGTTAAAACAACTCATATGCGCATGTACCGAAGTCGCCCCGGTACACCAGAATAAGAAAAAAAAACTCCGTACAGACTAGGCAAGAAATATCGAAGTTACTGCGCGAATTTCGAATTGAGACGCTCGTGTGACAGGAAATGGGTTTCGACGCTCGATATAATGGTTACGAGATTACAATAGTATCCGACGGGAATAAGGTATTGAATGAAAGCTGCTAGACAGATCAAGATCAAAAACCAAATGAGAGGATGCTGCTGTTGGGGATAGGGAATAACCCATACGTTTTCCTTGGAAACCAAAGTTAAGATGATGTTGCATCAAGCCCGTTTTCACTAGATCAAAGTAACCGGCCTAAGGAGACAGTGATGGATAAGTTGAGTAGCCATCCAAATTGCCATAGCTTATGTAAGAGACCGCAGTCAGATCAGAGTGGGACACAACCGTTAGCCACATCAGACCACGAAGTTTATAGAAGGCCGGAGATCAGTAAATAGAAATAGCCATAGAGAACCATGGGCTAAGAGAGTGAAGGCAATACGACATCACTCAAGACGTTGCGAGAAAAAATAAGAAGCCGAAGACGGTGCTGAGTAAATCGAAACACCATACGAATACATCAGATCGAAAGTTGATACCCGAGGGAAACGCACTGGCTGAACATGGCGGTTTGCTGGACCAAAGCAAAACACGGATGAGGGCACGGTGTTAGTCAGCTCTCATCAACCACGGCACGACATCTTTTTAATATTTGAAATCCGATTATTCACCAAGAAGCGAATTCGACGCCCTCAACCTATAGTTTGTATTGGGTAGCCCTGAAACGATGATTTTTTCTACCCTGTGTTTCGGCAATCGACATGCCGCGATTTTACTGTTGTATCGGAGATTCATTTGTCGAGACCTCACACGGTTACTTAATTATCCGTGGTGAACAATAGTATAAGAAAGGCTTTCGAAAGCTTTCATTGTTGTTAACAGTCTTCTCCGCTGCTTCAAGCTTAAAAGCGTAAATCTTTCTTCCACAGCTATAGCTTCCAGCGTCTCAACTCCAGATCGAACTTCCAACATGTCCAACGCTAACCAATCTACCACAAGTTTCAACAACAATCACGTTGAAAGAATTGCTATTGTCGGAGTAAGTCGATTCAAAAGTAATATGATTTCAAGTCTGTCTGCGTCAGCATGTATTAACAACCTTATCTTCGTAGGCAGGCGGCCAAATCGGTGGCTACATCACTGAAGCGCTCCTAAAGACAGGTAAATTCAAGATCACTGCTATCACTCGCAGCGACAGCACCTCACAAGTTCCCGCCGGTGTCGAGGTAAAGCGCATTGATTATGACAATCAAACATCCATTGTCGAAGCTCTTCAAGGTCAAGAAGTCCTTCTTATCACCATGGGCACCAGAGCACCAAGTGATCAGCAGACAAAGTTGATCGAAGCCGCCGCTGCTGCCAAAGTTCCTTTTATCCTCCCTAATGAGTTCGGTGGCGACAATGCCAACGTGGTAAGTCGCGAGGATGTCTTTGTCAACGCGGCCAAAACTCAATACCGCGATCACATTGAAAAGCTTGGAGTGAGCTCTTGGATCGGTATCTGCACTGGCTTCTGGTACGAATTCAGTCTCGGTCTCGGCAATTACGGAATTGACATCAAGAATCGCTCCGTGACCTTCTTCGACGACGGCAATACTCGTATTACCACCTCTACCTTCCCTCAAGTTGGTCGTGGAGTCGCACAGCTGCTCAGCTTGAAGGTTTCTCCCGATAATGAACAAGATACCACTCCATGCTTGAGTAACTACAAGAATAAGTTTGCCTACATCGGTTCCTTCACCGTCAACCAGAGAGAGATGTTGGATTCCGTTATGCGCGTCACTAACACGACTGAGCAAGATTGGAAGATCCAAAGTCGCCCGATCCAGGACATATACGATGAAGCCTCACAGAAGCTTCAAAAAGGAGATTACTCTGCCTTGGTTACGGTACTCTATTCACGCAGCTTCTTCAAAGACAATGCGGGTAATACTGCATTAACCAGAGGCCTTGATAGCGATAAATTGGCCTTGCCAAAGGAAGATTTGGATGAATTTACCAAGATTGCTGTCGAAAGATCGGAGAAAGGTATTACCTACTAGAAGAATAACCCTGTGAAGAATAGATACCAGTCATGCATGTCTACTCCTAAATGTATAAATAGCTAGCTTTACTCACTGGTAACATATGTCTCACTGTCTTAACAAAAATATAAAATGGACAAAGCTAGAGCCACTCCTGATTTCAACTTTAATCGCGTTGATCGTCTGATGAAACAAGCTTGGGGATTGAGCTTGTTTCAAGCCTTGCACCGAACTTTATCAAAGTGAGTGATTGGCAGTGAGAGGACAGCTAGAATAGCATCATCATTTTATGAGCAGAGGAAAAACATGTAGATGATGTAGCCGTCATGACGTCGAATCGAAGCATTCTATTTGAGGCTATTGAGGATGATCCAGGAGACTTCTTTAATCTGTTGTACAAAGATCATCCAAACACCCTGTCAATATTGTTTTGCCGATGTTTGATAAGTCTATTATCTTAAACTTTAATAACCATTTCACCAGTTGCAGAACCTGCCTGGCGTGTTTACGCTGCTTCTCTTTTCATCTTGTGATGGTTAGAAGTCGAGAGATCATCAATCCGACTGTGAATTCCGATCTGGTGACTCTCGATCTAAACTCAGAAGCCTATCCAGGGATATCCGACTTCTTACAAATATGATGGCGTTCGGCATGCGACCTCCGCCAAAGCTTGCACCATTCATGCACAGACCATCCTTTGTTTAAAACAATGTATTTTCGCATCATAGAGTTAGGGCGAAAGAGCATTTGGGGGGTACGTGACTGTTGCCCATAGACAAAAAAAGGTATGAGTTATACATGTGAAGTGAAGGATAATAAATGATCTCTATGAATCTCTAAAGAAGGCTGGTAATTTTTTTTTATGAATCAAGGTTTGGCTGGTTGACAATGTTCGGAATAACAATGATCATAAAGCTCGCTTATTGAGCAATTTCAACACCACCGGTAGCACCAAGAACTCTGTTGTAAAAAGCGGAAAGTTAATAAAAGCGGAAAACAACGTAAGGCATACACTAGTTCAATCTGGCTCTAAAAAAAAGACCACCAGAATACGTACCTCTTGATATCACCGTAGATGGCGAACTGACCAGCAGTCAAGGTAGCAACCATGACAATACGAGGAGCAAGACCAGTGAAAAGACCCTTAACACCGAGTTCCTTGGACATGGTAACAAGACGAGAGGTGACAGATTGACCTTCAGCACCCTTCTGCTTGTTGATCTTGGACAACAAGGTATCAGCGGGTTGAGAGATGATGGCAGCAGCAGTACCAGCAATGATACCGGAGCCCAAGTTGACAGCGGTGACAGTGCTGTTGGAAAGTTGATCCTTAGGCTTTCCAATGGACTTGTAGATGGATTCAGCAGCCTTTTCGTAGACGACGAACTTGGCCATGGTGTAGGGAACTTGCTTGAACAAGATGGGTCCGAAACCAGAGTAGAAACCTCTGATGACACCCTCCTCCTTCAAGATTCTAGAGAAACCGCCCAACAAACCATTGGCGAAAGAAGGTTGAGAGACCTGTACATAGTATAAGAGAAATTAGAACGGCTCTCGACCAAACCGGTGATATGGAAAAGGACACTTACGAGACGAATTCTGGTAGCCTCAAGAGGGCAAAGAGCAACATCGGCGAAGAATTCAGCAATAGCAGAGGAGACAAGGTAGATACTATTGGTAGAAAATGTATCGGTTAGTTTGGATGAAATTTTTGGCACTCCGGCCATTACCGGAAGACAACACCAAATTATGAGTCAATGACCCAAAGCTATGATACTTACGCAGTTCTGTTCTCCTTGGCCTTCTCAAGACCAACCAAATCAATGGCAGTCTTCTTCCAGAATTCGTAACCACCGAACTTGAAGGCACCTTGGAGGAAGTAACCAGCAGCAGTGGGTCCGAAACCAGTCAAAAGGGCACCAGCACCCTCGGCAGCGATGACTTGACGGAAACCACCAATCATACCCTTGTTGTAGATCTCAGGAGAGAGCTGAATACGGGTCTTAACGACATCGACGGGGGTCATAGCACCGTGAGTGATGGAGCAGCAAACAGCACCGGCGAAGGCGAAACGAGCGTAAAGGTTGGCTCCAGAGGGGGGAGCAGCAACATCACCGGCGGGAGCAGCGGCAACGAAGTTCTTTTGAAGGGCAGATTGTGATGGGAACATTTCTGGTGAAGTAGAGGAGGAAGATGAGGAAAGTATCAGGCACTGTCCCTGTCACGGCTCTTAAAAAAAAAAATTGGAACAAAAAAAAAATTTGTGTTGACGTCGAAGGATAAACAAGGGTGGAACTTTGCGGGTAATTGACCAATAAAATTCCAGCTATTGAACCACTCTCCCTTGGTTATGACTTTGTTGCCATCTTTAAGGCTTTCTACCATTGGCCTTTCGACTGTGTAGTCATAAATAATGACCATGGAAAATGAAGGTTACTTGGATACATAGGGTTTTAACTCTATGATGATGTTCGTTTTTCAGTCTGAATCAAGTTGGTCTTGAGTAATATCATTGGTCCCATGGATAGAATATATGGGGTTCTTCAGGTCAGGTCACGTCAAGTCAGCTAAAGTCATGACCTGGTTGCTCTTTATTCAGAGAAACTTGAGTATTTTTAACCCTCTGCTCAGTGAAATGAATTGAATAAGCGGATTTTCCCTCGGAAAAAGTGCTGGGCCGGCCAAAATGACGGTCACCCGGAAAGTGCCGTCCAGCCAGCATGAGCCAAGGCAGAAAAAGAACCCTTAAAGCGAGTAAACAGCGGGGTACACAGAAGTGGTTTTTTTCTTTACATTTTTAATTCCATCTTTTCCCCATAATGTATCGATTCTCTCGTGCCATGAAGCCTTTGGCTTCTAATGGCTCGCGTGCATTACACATGTCTACTCGTTTGCCTTTGAAGCAACACAAGAATGTCGCTGCATTCCACACCATGTCTTCTCGTTTGGCCGCTGCAAAGACAGCTCCTGAACCTAATGATGTTTTCATGCAAGGCAATTCGGCTGCTTACATTGAAGAAATGTTCGAAGCATGGCTCAAGGATCCTTCCAGCGTCCATCTTTCCTGGCAGATTTACTTTAAGAACATGGCTAATGGTGTCAGCCCTGGCCAAGCCTACCAGCCCCCTCCCACCATTGTGCCATCCGCCTCTGCACGTTTGCCTGCCCTCCCTGGCGCACAGATGGCCACTGGTTCATCGTCTGAAGTCATTGATCATATGAAGATTCAATTGCTTGTTCGTGCTTATCAAGTTCGTGGACATCACATCGCCAACTTGGACCCTCTTGGTATCCAGCACGTCGACCTCCAGAGCAGCACTCCCAAGGAGCTGGAATTGAGCTATTATGGTTTCACCGAGAAGGACTTGGACCGTAAGTTCACCCTCGGTCCTGGTATCTTACCTGCCTTCATCGATGGCTCCAAGGAGATGTCTCTTCGTGAGATTGTTGACAGCTTGAAAAAAATTTACTGTAAGTTCGGGATATGACGGAATACTTTTCGGATTAGGACTATGTTGGTTCATATGTATTTACTGTTTATTGTTTTCTTTCATTTCAGGCGGCTCCATTGGTATTGAATACATTCACATCCCTGATCGTGCTCAGTGCGATTGGATTCGCCAACGCGTTGAAACACCTCAACCCTTCAAGTACACCAAGGAGGAGAAGGAGATGATTTTGGATCGTCTTGTGTGGTCTGACAGCTTTGAGCGTTTCGTTTCAACAAAGTACCCTAGTGAGAAGCGTTTCGGTTTAGAAGGTGGAGAGAGTTTGATTCCTGGTATGAAGGCTTTGGTAAGTGATTGACTGATTCCTTGTTGCTCGATTTTGTGAGAAAATTTTTTGACATATGAATTCCGCTTTTTACCACGCTTTAGATTGACCGCTCGGTTGATCTCGGTGTCGAGTCCATCGTCATTGGTATGCCTCATCGTGGTCGTCTTAACGTCCTTAGCAACGTTGTTCGCAAGCCCAACGAATCTATTTTCTGTGAATTCTCTGGCTCCATCGAACCCAGCGCTGAAGGTTCTGGTGACGTCAAGTACCATCTTGGTATGAACTACGTTCGTCCTACCCCATCTGGCAAGCGTGTTCATTTGTCTTTGGTGGCCAACCCCTCTCACTTGGAAGCTGTCAACCCAGTCGTTCTCGGCAAGACTCGTGCTCTTCAATTCTACAGCAAGGACGAGAACCGTGATCACTCCATGGCTGTTTTGATGCATGGTGATGCCGCTTTTGCCGGTCAAGGTGTCGTCTACGAAACCATGGGCTTCCACGATCTCCCTGCTTACACCACCGGTGGTACCATTCACATTGTTGTCAACAATCAGATTGGTTTCACCACTGATCCTCGCTTCTCCCGATCAACCCCTTACTGTACCGATATTGCAAAGTCGATCAATGCTCCCGTCTTCCACGTTAATGGCGATGATACCGAAGCTGTTACCTTTGTCATGAAGTTGGCCGCTGACTGGCGTCAAACCTTCAAGCGTGATGTCGTTATTGATCTTGTCTGCTACCGTAAGCACGGTCACAACGAAACTGATCAGCCCAGCTTCACTCAACCTAGAATGTATGAAAAGATCGCCAAGCAAAAGCCTGTTTTGGAAAAGTACACCGAGCAGCTTAAGGAAGAAGGCTCTGTTAGTGTTCAGGAAATTGAGGCAAACAAGAAGCGTGTTTGGGAAATTCTTGAAGAGAGCTATACCAAGTCCAAGGATTACAAGCCTACCTCCCGTGAATGGCTTTCCAGCTCATGGCCCGGTTTCAAGTCACCAAAGGAACTTGCTGAGGAGATTTTGCCTCACTACCCTACTGGTGTCTCCACTGAGACTTTGCAACAAGTCGGAAAGGCCATTTCCACCGTTCCCCATGATTTCAACATTCACCGTAACCTCAACCGTATCATCCAGCAACGTGCAAAGAACTTGAACGAAGGCAAGGATATCGATTGGTCTACTGCTGAAGCCCTTGCATGGGGTACTTTGTTGTTGGAGGGCAAGCACGTCCGTCTTTCTGGTCAAGATGTTGAACGTGGTACCTTCTCTCAACGTCATGCTATCTTGCACGACCAAAAGAACGAGACCCCCTATACTCTCTTGGGCAACATCTCTCCTGAACAAGCTGCTTTCACCATTTCTAACTCTTCTTTGTCTGAATATGGTGTCCTTGGTTTCGAACTCGGATACTCTTTGGTCGATCCTAACTCTCTCGTCATGTGGGAAGCTCAGTTCGGTGATTTTGCCAATACTGCCCAATGTATCATTGATCAATTCATTGCTGCCGGTGAGAAGAAGTGGCTCCAGCGTACTGGTCTTGTCGTCCTCTTGCCCCACGGTTATGATGGTCAAGGTCCTGAGCACTCCTCTTCTCGTGTTGAACGATACCTCCAAATGTGCGATGACCATCCCTACGTCTACCCATCGCCTGAGAAGCTTAACCGCATGCACCAAGACTGCAATATGCAAGTCATCTATGCTTCCACCCCCGCTAATTACTTCCACGCTTTGAGACGACAGATTCATCGTGAATTCCGCAAGCCTTTGATTATGCCCGTCTCCAAGGCCATGCTCCGTCATCCTTTGGCTCGCTCCACTCTCTCTGACATGACTGGTAACACCTCATTCCAATTGTATATTCCTGAGGCCCACCCAGACCATCTCGAGGCTCCTGAAAAGATCACCAAGCATATTCTGTGCTCTGGTCAAGTTTACTATGCCTTGTTGCGTGCTCGTGAGCAGAACAAGCTCAACAACATTGCTATTTCTCGTGTTGAACAGCTCAATCCTTTCCCATACGAGCAAGTTAAGGAACATGCTGACAAGTACCCCAACGCTGAAATCATCTGGTGTCAAGAAGAACCCTTGAACATGGGTGCATGGTCTCATGTCCAACCCCGTATCACCACCGCTCTCTCTAAATCCGAGCATCACTCTGGCAAATCTCCTAGCTATGCTGGCCGAGAACCCTCTGCCTCTGTTGCCACTGGTAACAAGAAGCAACATTTGCACGAAGAGTACTCTTTCCTCAGCAAAGCACTCCTTGGCGCCGCTGAGAAGCCCAAGGACGTCCAGTCCGGTGTTCCTGTCTGGGTGTAAGGCATTGTATGACTAAATACGCTGCTTGACTTACAAGCAATTACTGTTTCCTTCTCTTTTTTTACATGTCACCTTTTATTTCCTTCTTTAGTGTTTAAGAAACAATGCATTGCCGAGCCTGATGAAAACTTCAGTGACTTGGTTCCTTCCCTTTACCTACTTTTTTCTTTCTTTTGGACGCCATGTCCTTTCTCCCTCCTAAAAACTATTCTTTCAAAGAAAAAAGTATTCGAATAAATATAGATGGCGATTTCGTTTTTTTTTATTCTCACTATGTATGAATGTATGCACTGTTTCTGATATCTTTGGGGTGTGTTGGCGGGCAAAGGCGAATAATTCAATTCGTTTCAATTTATTGGGAAATGTACTGCATTACTTCTCAAAATTGATACACACTTTGCCTATATGTTTGGCCTGAAGCAAATACTCATAAGCTTCTCTTACCCCGGAGTCAGTAAAGGGAAATACTGTGTCAACAGCCATGTGCAAGTCGTTGACTACAGCAAATCTGACCATTTCTTCAAGTTGTTGTTTGTTGCCTACCATGATTCCACGAACCACAGCACCCTTACCCAAGGCAAGGGCTGCAACATTTGGACGATCTTCAGGTCGAGGGTTGCCGCCTAAGTGTCCAACAACCGATATATTTCCGCCATAGGCTACGCATGCCAAAGACTTTGCAATGGTGGCTATTCCTCCTGTTTCGATGATATAGTCAGCGCCTTGACCATCGGTAAGCTTAAGCACCTCTTGGTCCCAATCTGGCTTGGTCTTGTAGTTGATAACATGGGTTGGTTGGTACTGCTCTTGAACTAGCTTCAGTTTTTCATCTGAAGAAGACGTGATGATGGTCTTCGCTCCGGCAGCCTTGGCAATTTGAAGCGCTGTCATACTAACGCCTCCGGTGCCCAAAAGGAGGACGGTCTGTCCAGGTTTTAACGGTACGTTGCCGTAAAGAGCGTTCCAAGTGGTCACACCAGTGCAGACTAGCGAAGCCGCTTCAGCATCGGACATGTTCGTATCTTTGGGAATCTTGACCACACCGTATTCAGGCAGTACAACATACTCTCGAAGCACACCGTCCAATGGGCCCCCTAATCCAGAATTCCAGTTGGTGGGTGCACCGTATAAGGCATCTTGTATGAAATTGCCAATGACTTTGTCTCCTTTCTTGAAGTTGGTTACCAGAGCACCGACTTCCTCAACGACACCACACATGTCGGAGCACGGCACAACAGAATCTTTGACGGGAAATGGATATGTTCCGTCCACAATAGCAATGTCACGGTAATTGAGAGCTACAGCGCCTATCTTGACCAACACTGACTGCTTATCAACCGGTGGAAGAGGCTCCTTAAACGACTTCATGCCATCCAGCGTAGCTCCGAATGCAGATAAACGAAATACAGTGTGCTTCTGCGCATTCATGGTGAGTTTCTTTAATGTGTAAGATACACGGAAAGATTGTTGTTTGCTTCAGGTACTTATATACCTTTTTGCTAGCATGAACTGGGGCAGAAAAAATTGGAATGCTTATTAATGTATGCAAGTTTCGTCGACTTGAACACCGCCCAATTCGCTCAATACAGAGTGACCCAATTGTTGACAGCATGAAAACATTGTATTGAACTACGCATTGAGAGCAATCTATTTATTCATGACTTAAACACAAAATGTTTTATTTGCTTATTCGCTACAAATATACTGCTTTTCAATTATACTGATCCCATATCGTACTGTCCACCATCTTGATGGTATGACCATAGGTTCTACTTGGGTACAAGGTCATGTGTGAAGTTGATACATACTTTACCCACATGGCCAGCTTGAGCCATATACTGGAAGGCTTCCATGACTCCACTATCACTGAAAGGAAATTCTTTATCTACTGGCAAATGGATATTGTTCACTACAGTAAACCTGACCATTTCTTCAAGTTGCTGCCTGTTGCCAACCATTATGCCGCGCACAACAGCACCTTTGGCTAGGGCAAGGCCGGCCATATCTGGTCTTTGATCTGCAGGACATGCTGCTAAAAACCCAATGACAGAAATGATGCCACCGAAAGCAACGCATTGCAAAGATTTTTCAATGGTGCCGGCGCCGCCAGTTTCAACAATGTAGTCGGCTCCATGACCACCGGTGAAATCCAAAACTTCTTTTTCCCAGTCTGGACACTTCTTGTAATTGATAACATGGGTTGGTTTGTAAGCGCGTTGGACATGCTTCAGTTTAACATCTGAGGACGATGTTACAATGGTATTTGCACCAGCTGCTTTGGCAATTTGCAGTGCTGTGATGCTGACGCCACCCGTGCCCAAGACAAGCACTGTTTGTCCTGGTTTTAGAGGAACATTGCCGTACAGCGCATTCCAGGTTGTTACTCCGGTACAAACCAGAGAAGCCGCTTCAGCGTCCGTCATCAGGGCTTCCTTTGGGATCTTCACGAGTCCATGCTCGGGAAACACTGCGTACTCTTGGAGGACGCCATCTATAGGACCTCCCAGGCCATCGTGCCAATCAGTGCATGGGCCATACAATGCATTTTGCATAAAGAGAGAAATGACTTTGTCGCCTTTCTTGAGGGACTTGACCCTGGAGCCTGCATGATGGACTACACCACACATGTCTGAACATGGAATAACAGACTTCTTGACTGGGAACGGGTAGGTTCCTTCTGCAATAGCAATATCGCGGTAGTTCAATGCTACAGCACAAATTCTGACCACAACCTGATGTTTGTCCAGCTCAGGCATGGGTTCCTTGTACGACTTGAGCGCGTCCAAGCTACTTCCCTTGTCAGGTAGACGAAATACTGTATATTGATTTGTCATTTCCTTCTTTTTTCTGAGCTGTAGAAATTAATGAGAAAAAAGCAATAGTATTGACGTAGCCGCAAAGTGCTAGTTTATGGAATCCAAACTGCATAGTCGAAGTCACTTTAGCATAAAACATTTCACCAGAATTATATCACAATTACTTTGCTTCTGAGGCTATCCTATCATCGAACGATATGATGAGACATTGCATAAAGATTCATGGAGAAATGAATATGATCAATATCATTCATGCAAGTGTATGCATTCAGACAGATGAACAGTTAAGAGAAGGATGTGAAAGATGTCTCATACATTGCCACCGCCATAGGTTGACTAATCACGCTGGCATAGGTTTAAAAAGCACTTTTTATAACTTTACTATACAATAAAATGGTATTCTGTCGTCTATGTTATTCCCCAACGCTGTAATGCGGTCCTCAGCTCATTATATACCGGGTCCTGGATGTCGTCTAACAAAAGAAATCAATTGATGAGCGACAAGAAGGTCAAAATGGGGTTTTAAAAACACTACAAAGGGATCCTTACCAGAAGTAAAAGTACCACCAACAACGCCGTACGCATTACTAAGGTATTCCCATAGTGAGGGTGATACAATGCTGAATCCACCAGTAAACGAACCATTGGGTCGAGAAATGTGAGAAAACCGTCCGTCGTCATCAGTCAGATGCTGATTGGTGACCTTCTCTTCGGCAATTCGTCCATCACACAAGCTCAAGAACCATTTAGTCATCCAGAGTCTATCAATAAAATAATACTTTTCTCCTCGAAGCACTGCGAGCTTGTCAACTTCATTGTAGTACATTTCGCGCTCCGCTAGACATCGCCTTCGCTTCTTCATTTCCTGTCTACCCTTCTCGCATCCTTCCGTCAAAGTTTCCAGCAAGTTGTCGACATACTGAGATTCGCTTGGGTCACCTCGAGTTTCACCCAGCTGATGGTCGCAGAAATAATTGGGGTTAGAATAAATGCCATAAGGGTGGCAAAGGAATGAGAGCAATGTAACACTTACAATTCTAGAGCATGTGTAGCAATAGAGCTGCAACATGTTAATTCGTACGAGGATGCCATGGCGAGCCTTTTCAGCAGCGTGGTATCGATAACAGCATTCTTTACAGTCTAAAACCAACATAATTCGATGACATAAGGTGAGTTGCAGGTAAATTGTTAATAGACCATTATTAACCATAGATCGGCAACAGAAATGCATTTCGCCATCTGAGCGGATAACTTACACACACGAGTTCGTCCGGGCCACATGTAAAAGCATAGGCTACTTTCGTCATGCTTTCGACATGCCATGCAAACGAGCGGTGTCTTGGATTCAATGGCGGCCTGGTATCGAGCGGAATAGTGACGTTGGACTACTTTAGGGGTTATAAAGCTGAGATGTGGACAAATTCTATTGTGTCGTGGATCGTCCTTGCAACGTTCGTACATTTCCTTCCACGATTCGTCGGGGACCTTGTAGCTGACACCGAATTGCCTCAGGACCATGAGTTTCCATGCTGACTCATTACCGCAGAGGTTGAGGAAATGTTTGCTTGTTTGGCTCAGGTTCAAGTTGTTCTCGTCATCCAAAAATCCAATAACATTGATAAGCAACTCTTCCGATAGTTCATCTAGGAGCATCGTAAAGTACTACTGATGAATGGGCGATAAGGCGGGCTTGCACAGGAGACAAAAAAAAAGGGCAGCGGGTTTTTCCCAAATTACAGCAGTCACACTTCGAGTCTCAGATAGAGCACTGGTTGGTTTATAACCAAAGTAAAAAAAAAAGAGTTCGTTAAAAGTACGTAAAAGGTACGTCTAAAAGTGAGTACAGAGACCCAAGGCACATAGATAACATAGTAATAAGAAAGAATAAAGGTTGGAAGAAGCTATGTTGTGGAGAAGGTACGGCAATCTAGTTAATGAAGTTACTTTTCTCGGCAAAGAAAACATATTATGGGCAATCATGCCATTCCGTGTTGATCAAAGGTTCAAGTTTTGCTTTTCTTTCTTTCAACTTCTTTGAAAAAAAAATACAGACGAAAGCTGATTTATTTTCTAGCTTTCTTGGACTCTGAATGGGCAAGGATAGAAGTAATTAGATCATGGTGACCACCACTAGGTAAAATGGATCTTCATCACTTACTGGGTGCTTCCTCTTCTTCTTCGTCATCTTCTTCGTCATCTTCGTCTTCTGATCCAAGTTCAATCTCATCAAGATACTCTTCGTCGTCGGAGTCATCTTCGCCATTGTAGTAGCTATGCAACGAGAGGAATTAGATATCCACACACACACTGTATCATCACACTGCAGATGTAAAACCACTTACTTGATGGCATCAGGGAAGAAATCATCTCTGCATGGAAATTATTTGTTTAATACTACGCGTGGTGCACCTATATTTTCAAAATACTCAATTCAAAATACCTGAAGAAGGAGCCGATGATATGATCGTCATTGCTAAACCAGTCAATGAAAGATGTAGCCTCCTCATCAGCAGCAGCCGCCTTGCGCTTCTTTCCACCCTTCCAGTTGATAGTTGACTTTACAACTTCAGCTGATTCACCATCATCGCTAACGGTAATTTTCTGCAAGCCAAACGATTAGATTTAAATCATGAAACACGAGCCAACTGGTAGAATGCAAGTAATCAGCCATACCTTGGTCAAAGTCTCATTTTCAAAGTCATCGTTCTTTGCGAAAGACTAGCAGGAATACAGGGTTAGTCAATGACCGGGGGATCTCCAAGACAAGATGATGTAACGGAGAGCCAAATAAAAAAATTTAACTACTTACCACACTAATAGTATAAGTGTCGGGGTTTTCATCGTCATGCTCGACGTGAAAGTCAGTGATGTTGTTCAAAAGCTGTACACCGCAAAGTAAGACGCTAAGTTAGCTACTGAAACATGAAAAGAGATCGATAAAAGAAACTTCAGCAATACAAACATCTTGATCAACGTCTTCAAACAAAGTGACCATCATTTGGTTGTTGCCCAACTGCGCAATGAAAAATATGAAGTTAGCAACGCGGGCTCGTTTGATTTGTAAGAAACACTGGCTCGTAGTACAACAACAGCTTTCCTCTCTCTCTGTCGACCTCAACGTAGAGGTGGCATAGTACTGTGTGGGAGTACTTACGGCAGTTCCCCAAAAGTTAGGGACTTTCTTGAGGATTTCGCGTCGTTTAGCATAAATGGGCTTCATGAGCTTGTTTCTCTGAAGGAACAGTTGTCTATCGGCATCAGCAGTGTCCTTGCCGATTCTTTCGAGCTGCTGTTGAATTTCGTCACTGATCATGTTGGAATGAACTTTTAGAGGGTAGGGATGTGCGAGAAAACACAAAAAAAAATGCGTTTTTGTGGTTCCAGTGACTGTTTTCTGCAGCGCTTTCGTTCCCAATTTGGAATACCGCATAACAGTGCTGTCTACCGGCTTTGGAAGGTAAAAAACGCACTAAAGAAGTTGTTTCATTTTTCATCGTTAGCGGTGAGGGGATTTATTTTTAATTGTAATAAAATGGTGGGGGAAAAAAAAACTTTGTTAAATGAAGATATTTGGTTATTGTTTAACCTCTAAGAGCATTGAGCTTGGGAACAGCGCTAGGATATTCTTGAGCAAATCGGATTTGAGTCTTGGTGGCTTCAACATACGAAATAGCGTGTTCAAGTTCAGCCTCCGTTCTGGCAAGATCGATAGCCATCTCGTAATAACGTACAGCTTCAGCAGGCTGACCTTGCTCCAACAAAATTTGAGCCAAAGATGCAACGGCGGCGTCACACAGAGGATCAGCTTCCAAGGCTCCCTTGCAAAGATCCATAGCTTGTTGAACATCACCTCTGACTTGATACATCAACATAGCCTTGTTAATATAAGGTAATGGGTTCTTAGCATCAAGTTCCACAGCCTTGCCAAACATCTCCATAGCCTCCTCGATCTTTTGTTGATCAGCCAAAAGTTCACCATAATAATTATGAACATCTGCATTGTTTTCAAACTTCTTGAGAGTGTTCTTGAAAGTTGCCATAGCAGAAGAAATAGAGCCGAGCTTGTATTGAACAACACCAAGCTGAATATGGCTGTAGACGAATGAATCATCCAACTTGATGCTCTCACTGTAATCCTTGGCGGCAGCTTCAAAGTTACCATTGATGTAGTTAACTTGTCCACGATGATAGTAAATATCAGGGTTGCTAGCGTCAATACCAATGGCATCTTCGAATTGCTTGAAAGTAGCAGCGATGTCACCTTGCTCCATATAGATGCTGGCACGCTTGATATAAGTTTGGACGTATTTGGGATCAAGCTCGATGGCCTTGTTGAATGCAGCAACGGCACCCTTAGTATCACCCTTCAAGAAGACAAATGTTCCCTGCATGTTGAGAGCCTGAGCTTGTTGCGAGCATCCCAACTCAACAGCCTTATCAAATGCATCCATAGCCTCCTCATACTTCTTTTCCTGCAATGCCTTACGGGCACGGTTATAATAAGCATCACCACTTCCATCTTCAGTGGAGGTCATGGGAGTTTGATCTAGAAAATAGAGATTTTTTAGTTCATGACCCGTGTCAGATGACAACGTGATGAATGTCGCATACCTTGGTGGAAAGAATCAAGATAAGCTGAGACAAAGGTAGGTGATGGCAACTTTTGCTTCTTGGTCTATTGACGGTACATCGTTTAATAAATAAAATAGCGTTACAACATAGCATGATGACCGAGCACATACCTTGATCAACTCCTTTGCTTTCTCCTCGGAAACCTTCTTCAACAAGCGTTCCATAGCCTTAGCAGCAGTCTCATTCTTGAAACCATCAAGAATGCAGACACAAGTGAAATCTAATGATTCAGAGACAAAGTCGTTAATCAATTGCCAAGCCATTCAAGCAAAACAGGCTCGAAACATTACCATAAAGTGAATCCGAAAGATTGCCCTTCTTTTCCAAAGCCTGTGCACGTCTGTTCAATGCCTTGATATAAGTAGAGTCCAATTTCAAAGCTTCGTTGCAATCAGCAATGACTTCATCGCTCTTTCCAAGATTAGCGTAGCAAGCAGCACGGTTGGAATAGAAGATGGGATCCGGCTTGAAAAGGATAGCTTGAGTATAGAAGTCGATAGCCTCCTGATACTTTTTGCTACTAAAGAAAGAGTTTCCCTTAGCCTTCAAGGCACCAGCAGCTTCAGCGCGATCCTAAATTTTATACCAAAACAAACAGTGAGTTCATTGTTGTCAATGGGTTGGCGACAAACGTGTACTTACAGCGTCAGTAAGCGATGCAATTGCTTCAGGAGTCATATTAACCCAGCCATCAACAGATGATGGTTCAGAGGTTTTGTCAGCTTTGCCTAATATTCAAAAGAAGCGTATGCGTCAGCTGGTAGGTTCCTAGGGTGTTCAAGCAAGTTGTAAGCGTAATTTTACCGGTTGCATCAGAGGCAGGCGCTTTTCCTTTGCCAGTAGCTTCGTCAGCCTCCTTCTTCTTGGAAGAAGAGGACTTCTTTTGCTTCTTGGACGATGAGCCAGCAGTTAAATAGTAAGCACCGGCACCAGCGACAGCAACGCCAGCGAAAACAGCGGCGTAAAACTTCCAGTCCTTGTCTTCAAAAAACTTCTTGATTCTCTCGGTTGCAGGTGATGCATCGGTAACTGTGGTGTTGGAGGTAGCTGGACCACTAATGTCTGGTTTAATGACGGCGACCATGGCTGTCAATGAGTGATTGCAAAAGTGAACGAAGTCAGCAACCAAAAAAAATAAAAATCCCTGGGTGAGTATTTGGCGGCAGGTGAACTTGCACAATTTTTGCAGACCAAATGACGTCGCTGACACTCACTCAGACTGGCCCGGTCTGCTTTTCCCGCTCTGCCCCTCCACTGTCCCACAAAACCCCTTCTTAAAGTCAATGGCTGGACTACGAAGTAAGTTGTTGTCTAGCGTATTGGAAGAGAAAGTGCCTGTGATACAACTTTAGGCTTTTGGATTGGTCTGTCAAAAACTCACCACTTGCTCCTGAACTTACTCTCATTCATTCGTGTGCATCGTCGGAACTGAACAGCGTAAGCTATTTTTGATTCTCCATGACGAAACAAACCCAGTACCCACTAACACCTTAGACTCTACTACTTTAGTATCATAGCTCTTGCCTTCGTTTTGGCTGTTGGATTTTTGCTTGTCATATTGTCATGTGCCTTATATCAGTAAGTTCCGATCTCACTTGGCAGCTTTTATGGTACCCCGCAGACTCATCTTTTTCCCTTTACATCAATAGTAACTGGTGGCCATTGTTTGTTGGTATGTTATATATCATATGTCATCAAGGGTTGGATCGGTTTTGGTAATTGTTCTCTTGTCTAGTTGCAACCTATGTACTTGCTCCCCTTCCAAACGCCTTGAGTGCACGGTGCGCAGGAGGAGATGACTTGATGTCTGATTACCACAAGTAAGTCATTCGGGTATATCTAGATGAGACACTTTCTATGTCGGCTAACCATGCGAAATTACGCGTACAATTAGTGGTGCCGTTGATGCTGGCGAATTTATAACCGGGATATTTATTGTCACAGGATTTTGTAAGTAGCAATCACAACGAGCCATCCTCAAAAATGTGAATACTCACTGTTTCGAATTGATAGGTCTGCCCCTTGTTCTTGCTCATGCAGAAGTGGTAAGTTGCTGCATTTCTACCACCGTAAACCGTGTACAATGTCTAAAACAAATGTACTTTAGATAACGATTCCAGCAATGGTCATGAGCATCATTGGCGGCATTTTAGTATATGGCACCAGTATGTATACGCGAGAAGGACATTTGTGACATAGCCGAATTTTTTTACTCATTGCTTTTTGGTAATAGTCATCGCATACACGCATTTCTTTGCAAATGAAGGAGAGGATTTCTAAATCGTAACCTGCGAAGGCACCAAGAAAGCATCATGGCTGCGTTTACCCTTCGCTATGAGCGAATTTCATTGCTGTATATCTGTACAGATGGCTTAATATAATTACTACAGAACGAAAGCAGACGAAAAATCTGTAAAATAAATGAAAACGAACCCAAAAAAAGAATTGGATGATATCTATCGATGTTGATTTAAGTGGGATTGCTGCTTTGTGATGTATAAAATTCTAAAATCTGCTTTCAATACTTTCAACCTCCTTGGCGAGTTGATCCCAAGTTCCTCGAGCATAACGGGCTGCTTCAAATGATGAGACCATTTCACTTGTCATACGGGTTGGATCATTACCTTTCCAGAAGGTGCCGATCATGTTGGATATACATTCCCTACGAGCCTTGATGTGGTTGCCGTTGGTGCTTATGCCCTGGCTGAGGCCATAGTCCCGTATCCGAGATTTGACTGCGACGTAGACATTCGTTACGGATGTTAATCCGCTAACCATAAGTGAGAAGCCGATATCTTCGCAGTTTAAGTTGGCATCGACATATTCGTGCAAAGCAGGGTCCATGAGACAAGTATAAGCGAATAAGTACTCTGATCTGATAAACATGCTCTTTGTCAAGACAACAGAATAGGTTGGTCGCTTGTTATCTGCCATGGCATATATCGCTCGACCATTGGTGGAATTATAGCTGTGAAATCTTGGGAAATGACCAACGATTGAATGTTGCCGATTCTGCCACACCTAGTGAGTTTGTTGAGCATGGTTAGGATGTCATCATGCATACACACACCATGGTTAATATTGAGCCTGGAAATTACCTGGAAAGAAAATTCCAAATCCGGCACAGATACAACAATATCGTCGTCCAAAATGTATACAGCCGACGTTTCCAAGCCCTCGATTGGATTGAATCGATTGTTGAGCGAATCAAATTGCTGCCGGAGTATCACTAGTGGTTTGCGTAGCTTTTCCTGTAGTTCTTGAAGTTCCTTGCTAACCTCCAATTTCGGATTGTGCCATGTCAAGTAGATGGTATGAACCAAATCAGATGTTGCCAAGTGCCTTATTAGCGTCGTGACATGATCAATGCGATCAGGATTGTATGTACTAAGCAGAACCGAAAACTTGTCTGTGATAGGGAAGAACTTTGACAATTGTTTTTGGTTACACACATTTCTCGTTCGGTTAATACTGTTGCTCAGTCCTACAATGGGTTGAAAAATTGTAAGGCTTTCCAATGTTACGAATAAGGTGGACTAGAATGCCCATTTACTATCATACCTTTGGATCCGTTAAACAGATACTGAATGACGTTGCGATGGTGTCTCCATTGCCACATACTATCGGGATCCCAATTCTTCAGCCAAGCATCGTCTTGAGCAGTGTACCAGTTCCAAGGCTTGATATTTCCATCGAACATCAAAAGTTTAGCGTCCTGTAGCGTGCGTGGTTTGTCACCTACCAACCTGACAACAGAATAAGGTATGGGATAGAATGTGTCGGCCATCAAATAGGTACCTAAAACTCCATCTGTAGAACTATGCTGATGAATAGATAGCTTTAGTAGCTTGTCGTACGTTGAGCTACTTGGTTTCAAAATGATCAGCTTCTCGATGTTGTTTGGCCAGTTTTGTAAAAGCAGTGAGTTGGCTGGTAAATCGAACATGTCGTCAAAGTTCTAGATTAAGATGTCAAGTCAAGTGTCAAATGACGTTATGAGTACCTAGCATTGAAAATAAGCAAGGCCAATTAAAACATCGAAAGACAACATACATGGATCATAACACTCCCAGAGTCGATATAGATGATCTTCTTATATGATGTCAATGACCATAGAGCCATCTTGGCGACGTTACAATCAGCGTTATGTACTCGTACAACTACGGCGCCCAGTGACAGAAAAAGCCCTTCGTAATGAGAGGAGACATCGTCATTTAGTGCAGCCAGTATTGAATAAGGCGTTTTCGAAGTTTTTATAGAGTGAATTAGAACAAGTGCATGTTCAACCTTGTGCACGAATTAAGATGGAAGTATCAATAAAAAAGAGTTAATAAGCACTTCATAATAGATAGACAGACGGTGTTTAACACCATCAATTTCTACATTGTTTATCATACCTGATCGGCATTGCAAGCAGATGTAGCGAAAGCGAAATGGTTTGATTTAAGGTCTACTGACATTGTAGTGTTATCATCACTCCATCCGTTCGAGTTTTTTTGCAACATAGAGTGGTCATTGGGAGACCAGTTCCATGATTGAGGATACAATTGACCGTATGTCCATATTATGAAGACGGCAACAGCGCAAGCCGCCAAATAGACAGGAAAGCGTCGCAGGGGATTCATGATTGATTTTTTGAAGAAAAGGAGATAAGAGGAGAAGAAGAAAAAAGATAGATGAGACGAAGATGTCCGGCAGAAAGGCAGTTTATCATACTGCAATAATTGACCGCACGTTGGACAAACAGGTCATAATGCTGAAATGTCGGGAAAAAGGATATCTGAGAAAACAACATCAGTCACGCTTGAAGGAATAAGCAATATACGGAAAATGAAAAGAATGTTGTCAAATGCAGCCTTCATTGGCTGAATAACAACAACACTCGCGACACCATGGACTCGTCTTCACGAATATACTTTGATTTCAGTCTATCAGCTTTCATCATGACAAGTTGACCGAGAATCAGAGAGATATGGATGTTGAAGCGAGTACGATAGCCAAGTATTGCCAACCAGCTTCTTCAATATGCCACCGCCATACCAATGGATTTGCCCGGGTTACTGTAGCCTGCAGCATCAAATACCGTATATGGAAAAACGGGTTTCTGCCAAGAATGTTTTGTCGGCAAATTGGGTATTTTTCTTCCACACAAGGACGTATTCTCATCTCATGCATCCTCATATATTGCACCCAATGCAACCAATGAGCTATTCCACAGTACAAGGCATATGTTACGCTGGTTAAGGTTCTATTACTCCGCAGGAGCCTTCAAGCGATACCACACTGGTTGTTTTAGCCAATTACCCACTTACTCCCTGTACGTCCGACTTTATAAATGGCCATCATTCTCGGCTTTGCGTTACAGAGGTGGCGAATTTTTCATCGACTTCTACCTGAGTTGCAGCTTGTAGATTCACTGTTACTTACTTTGCTAACCATTACGTGGTACGAGTGCCAGGCGTCCGATTGCCACGTTTTAGATAACAAAGGATGGATGTGTTTTAAAGAGTAGGATCAGGGCATAATACTCTCGTCTTTCAATCTCTCTACACACCTGGATGCCAATTCCAGCAAACCTTAACTGACCAGTGACTTCTTGGGACCGGTAGCATTCCAAATCGCCAAAGTGCTCATAACTCAATGGGTTATGAATTGCCGTATGCACCAGTTCCTATGATCCACCGCCTTACTAAAGGCGTTGCAAGCGAATGTAAAGCGCATGGTGATAGTTACTCTACCATAATGAGACTAACAACCACTTACACCAACACCTGAAGTTCATAGCCCCACTCCCCACACTGCAAGCAAAGAGAAATCGTATGATGTTGTTCATTGTAATGATGAGATTCGTATCTTCCATCGTTTTAGGTGTAGCTAAGGGTGAGCAGATCAGATAAGAAGCCATAGCGTTTGGTGAAAATAAAATAAAAATGTGCAATGTGCAAGTGGAGATTCATCTGACGACAGCCAACCCTTATGCGACCGTTTCTGGTAGCGGATATCGAAACATAACATGTACGATTGTCACCGCTGCAAAATACAAATCACCTGCTATGCTCTTGTGCCAGTGACGATGAAATACTACGGATAATAATGCAACGTATGGTGTAAAAATTACATAGGATTAGCAGGTAAGACAAAGAAAAAGTTCCATTGTGTATGCGTTCCAACCAGCGTGGTACACTTTCGCCAGCAGTGCTGAGTTAGGAAAGCTCTGAGAAAATGAGATCACAGGAGTTTTAAAAGAGGCAATAGCAAAGAGTCCATGGTTAAGGTAAGATAAGGAACAGTACCTTCATTTAGGAACCAGGACCATCATTCACTCACTATCTATCGGGTACGTGTTGAATTTTCTCGTTTTCAAACCGCTCCTATGCTTCCCTTGGAGAAATCTCTTTTTGTAGCGGGCAATCCGGTGAACAAAGCGCAGATGTTTCAAGGCCGCATGGTACCAAACTCTGTCTGCACCACAATGTAAAAAATCGTTCATGCAAGATGTAACCAGGATTTTCGGTCAGAAGGTGCATCGACCGGATCCGGCAAAGCCAAGCTCTTGTTGAGATATCACTTCCGAGACACTCCAATATGCCTGTAATCGTTTGCTTTTCGGATAACGGCTATAGGGTTGTCTGGGCATGGAATGGATATGTAAACAGTTGCCCCGCTCCGCATATTTTGGTGGATGGCGCGCAACCAGAAAATAAAGCAATGGCGTTTTCTTGTTATGATCCACAGTAGGCAGAGATTTTGTAAATGTACCTTCTATACACGCCGCCACCTCGTAATCCATTCACTAGTCTGTACGCATAATGAAATATAGAACTCATTCAGTCGTACGTTATGCTTAGAAAATTCGCATGAATTTTTCTTTGTGGTAACTGGCAGTTATGAAACATCAGGGAATATACTCAAGATACGGCATTCGAAGCCATGGCTGATCGCATGACCAGGGCTTTTCGCGTCGTTTCTATGGTATGAAGCAGGGACATTTTCTGATCATAAACCATGCGCCCTAGGAGGGGATTTAGGGCAGGGATGTGGTGGTGGGGGGGTGGCAAATTTTGTAGCGTGGATGATGAAAAAGATGATGGCTTACTCGCACAGAGCCAGTCCCCCAAAAAAGACTGACTCTATAAAAAGCATATCCGTTTTGCTCCATATAGCAATGACGACTTTGTATTTAAGAACGCTAGGACAACCCGCGATTTGGATTTGCTGGCATCTCTTTCTCCCATTTTTCCCGCCCTTTCTGGTCCCTCATGAAGCTTTGGTCGTTATCACTCTTGGTTTTTACTCTCTTCATGCTTGCCCCCGTGCAATCTATTCCTATCGACACTGATCTTGTATCAAGCCCATTCATACACCAACTTCAGTTGAAGAAAGGTCAAGCTGCCAGGGTGCGTCAAAGGAATAACCAGGTGGAACAATGAAAACCCTTGCTAGCATGATTTTAATCCTATGTCACGCGCGTGCTGGCTAGTCCGAGCGTTGACTTTTTGTTTATCCATATATCAAATGTACATATCCGTAGAATCTATGTATTAATCTTGACTTTTTGATCAAAGCGTGTTTGTTGCAAAATATACATATTTCCAAAACCAACTGCCCCCATCGTTACTCCATATTTCGTTGTACGCATTGCCGTTGGCCGCCGCCAAATCAAAAATAGCTCGGTCGTACAGACCGAAGAAGAAGAAGCCAACGTCCGCGCGCAAAAAATAACAAGGCTTTTTTTAAAAACCACTTACGATCTTATTCTCTCCATCTCCAGCCAGCGATGCCTAGTGCATCCTCCCTTTAAATAGACCCCGTCTCTCATTCCCTTTACTTGGTCCTGATATGGCTTCCAATAATTATCGTCCACCACCTCAACACTATTATCCCTCATCTCCTCCAACCCGTTATGCATCTCCAACATTGTCCGAGCAGGGATCCATGCGAAGCATGGCCTCTCCTCCTCCAGCATATCAACAGCCATATCTCAATGGATATGGCAACAACAATCATTATAGACCTGTAAGTGCTTATATGAAATGGTTCCACCCACCCACACTTGGGTACTAATAAAGTTTCCTCATATTTTTTTTAATTAGCAGCTGAACTTGCCGACAAATCGAAATTCAGATACTCTGAGTACATTCATTCCCAACGCGCCGCTTCTCCGCAACTTTGACCATCAATATTCAGGCACACCGGACAGCCAGAGCCAAAATAGCTCATATCCTTCCTCCAGTCCTCACAATTCCATCCAAAGCAGTGGTGGTCCTCCTTATCATTCACCTACCCCATCTCATGCCACCATCGCCTCTAATGCTAGTCAAAGACCTCTGCCCCAGAGAAAATCGTCGTTGCGGGGAAGAGATCCACAACCCATCGATATGAACCGATCTAGAAATCCTCAGCAACAACCCAATGGACCACCCATGTCACCTACGCCAACCCAATCTCAGTCTACTCCTCCTCGCAGAACACACTCTTTAAGAAATCGAAATCCAGCCGCCAATCCCACTCCAGGCAACTCTACACCACCTATGCCACGCTTGCTTACTCCTCAGAACCACATGGGAATCCACGAGGTTTTGGAAGCAGAAGCTCGATCCAATGATTACTCTCCATCACAGTCCTCAAGCCAATCTAGTGATACAAATTCGGTCACCAACCCACGGATAAGGCAATCGCCACAGAAGCAGGCGTACAATCTAACTGTCCAACCTCCTCCAAGATCAGCGTCAAGAAATAACCCTGTACCATCCAAATCTTCGCCAATCGTACCTCATGCTCGATCTCCAGCCAATGCTAACATACCTTATCCTCCTTTACCTGTTCCACCCAAACATACCAGCGAGGAAAAGGGTAAAGGTGTTGCTGAAGTACCACAGCTAACGGTAACACCCGAGCGGCCGCAAAGATCAGATCGCCGGCCTTCAGTTGCGTCCTCGGGCAGTAGTCCGAAGAACTCTGTTATTTATGATAATAAGAACCTGGATCCCATCGTTGGTGGTGTTCAGCGAAAACATAACTCATATGTCTCGACGGTACCTTACTTGACACCATTTGAGGCTATGCAACGTATACATCCCGATGCCATGCACATTCTTATTACCAAGGCGGTAGCGGATTCGAAGGAATACGGTGTCTTGTTTGATTCACAGGAGCATGAGGAGTTCAAGGCCGAGTATCGACGACTTGACTCACGCGTACGCTCACTAGCTGATTCTCATTCCCGCGAAATGCGAATCTTGCATTCGGCTCAAGATTTGCTTCGAATGTTGGAGCAGCAGCAACAATCTGGCGGACAAAAGGTGTCGCGGTCCGCCTCCTTCCGAACCAAAGCCACCCATCGTGAACTTGCCGCTGCTAGTGAAAAGGTGCGTGAAGCCGAGGCCCATGTAAGGAATATCACCACTGAGCTCTGGCATGCGTTTTCTCGCATGAATGAAGTCCAACGACGTATTCTGGAACACACCGCAGCCACCTTGAATGTCGGTATGAGAAGATTGGATGATGGCAACAAGAAATTGATGCTACGTGTGAAGTCAGCCGAAGCGGGTGTATGGACTGTGCCAGAGGACGTGGATGCTCGCATTCAAGATGAAATCGCCAACATCTCAAACACCACCTCCACAGGAGAAACCGTGATGGATGAATACTCTAAATTATCGCCTATTGGCTCTGCATCATCACCTGATGTGATCTATGTTCGAATGAAGGTATTGGAAAAGGCTGTCCAAGAGCTTTCCAAAAAACAAACCGACGACGCCCTTCCTGAAATTAAACATTTGGTTCATGAACTATGGGAAAAGAAGTGCGGTTCAGATACTCAAGACCAACCCTTGTCTGTTGTAGAAGAATTACGTGACCTTTCGGAGAAGGAGGACGCTGTTACTGAAAAGCTTGCAGTCTCTTCAAATATGCCTCATCGTCTGACCATGGGAAGTGAATTACGACACGTGCTGGATTCAAGCTTACTTGAGCTCACTGGTAACCTGGGTAGTCTGGATAGCGATCGTAGCTCGGAAGGACCCATGTTTACCGATTTCCAGAGCAAAGGTACTTCCTCTGTTGCAACCTCAATCGATCCCCCGACTGTAAAGCCCGAGTCTGTCACCGTTGCTGAAATGCAAGAGATGTCTCATAAGCATGAAAAGATGATGGAGGAGCTTGAAACGGAATACGAAGCACGCCTTCATGAAGAAGTCAGGTAAGCTAGAGATCATGAAGTTTTAATTTGAATCTGTGTACCACGTATAGAAAGTCAATCATGTCACTAACGATACTTTTACCACTTTTTCCCCCAGCTTCCGCAAAAAAATGGAAACTGAAATGGACTCACAACGGCAGCAGGTAACCAAGTTGAATACCATTGTGCAAGATCTGGAAGGATTGATTAAATCCAAGCAACGAGATCTGGATGAACGGGATGTTCGAATTGAAAAAGAAAAAGAAAAAGCGGCAAAGATGACTGCAGAGAAAGAGGAAGCGATAACGGATATAAAGAAGCAATTGACCAGTGTTCAAAGCCAAAGGGCCGAAGCCGAAGAAAAGGTGAAGGATCTGACGCAACAGCTCGAAACCACCAATTCGTACAAGAACAAGCAGCTGCCTGTCCCCAACAAAAGGGCCAACAAAACAGATACCATGTCCGCGTTCCTGACAAGCTACCTTGATGACAGCGATGACGATGAAGACGACGACGATTTGCCCGCTTTGCCCAGCCATCTTCGTAGTCGATCGCCTGTGAACAGTCGCTCTACTCCCTCGCCCAGCGCTGCCCGTCCTCAACTCCCAGCAGCCGTTCGCAGTCGTCCAAGCTATGACTTAAACCGCGATGATATCGCTAGTGTGAAGAGCCAAGAAAATGCCCCTAGACAAAATATTCCGTATGGTGTACGGTTTTAAAATCTCCCCCCCCCCGCCCGATACAGTTCATATTTATATACATACCATGCTTTCCTTTATTAAACAAATCCCTGCCCTACCCGCCATTTACAAACTATTGAATCATCCATTATTTATAAACAGAGACCATAAAGGTGTTTACGAACACAAATGGCTTGATCTATAGCCAAGGAGTGTATTAAAATACAGAAAAAATTATCGTCCTGCCAACATCAACTATTTTATACTATAGATACAGCTAGCTCTTTATCGCAATGAGGCCAAGTTGTGAGCGTAAGCTACAAGGAAGCATCCAGATTAGCACTTTACTATCACACATTCGTCACTCCTGCCATTGATCTCTTACCATTTCCAGTTCGCTCTCCACTTGGGTAGGCTTTATGCGTCTTCATAAATCGTCCACTGGGAGCTGGTATTTCACGCATAGGTCGGAATCTCCAGCGCCCTTGACCTTCTGATACGGGTGGCTCGTCGGATTGCTGGCTACTTGCAAACGATGGAGCATTACCCACAGGTGCCGGTGGACTATATGCTGCAGTTCTTGGCTTGTTACCCATTGGCAATTGTGGAGACCGCATTGACGGACCTCCAGGCGGTGGTGGAGGGGGTGGAGCGCTAGGTGCAGCTGGCATGTTTCGCTGAGGAGGTGGTGGAAGCGTTGATCTAGGTGGTGTAGCCATCGCTGGTCGACCTGGTGATGCAGCAGAGGGAGGCGGCGGCGGTGGTGGTGGCGGTGGTGGAGCAGGAGTAGAAGGACTAGAAGGCATTGCAGGCGATTGAGGTGCTGATGATGACGCAGAACGAGGTCTACCTGGTGGTAATGGTGGTACAGCCAAGTTGCTAGGGCGGGGTGAAGAGGTGTTTACAGAGTTCGCTAGGCCAGGAATGGGTACCGGGCGGTTCGGCCGCGACGATAATACTGATGGCGAAACGGGACTATTGAGCGGTGAAGGCACAGGCTTGGGTGGAATCGGTAAGTCCCTTTGCGGTGAACTACTTGCGCGTGGTCTTCCTGGTAATTTAGGAGCCGCTTTAGCTGCTGCAGCAGCGCCAAGTCCAGGCGGAGGTGGGGGTGGTGTAGCTGGTGCTGCATTACTTGGCCGTGGTCGACCAAAACCTGGTAGTGGCGGAGGAGCTGCCGGAGCAGACGGAGTAGTCCTACCGGGCATCGGGGGAGGTGGGGGTGGCGCAGAAGGAGCAGCACTACGTCCAAAAGATGATGGAGTAGGTGGCGGTACGGCTGGCGAGGCTCTACCTGGCATAGGCGGCGGCGGTGGAGGTACAGCTTGCGAAGGTTTACCGGGCATTGGGGGAGGTACTGCCGGAGATGCCCTGCCTGGCATTGGAGGTGGGGGAGGAGGTACTGCCGGGGACGATCTGCCTGGCATTGGTGGAGGGGGTGGAGGTACTGCTGCAGAAGACCTGCCTGGCATTGGAGGTGGTGGAGGTATTCCTGCAGTGGGTCGTCCGGGCATTGATGGAGGTGAAGGTGCGGATTTACCGGGCATAGGCGGAGGTGGTGGGGGAGGTGGTGGAGGTGGTGCTGCTGAAGAGCCGCCGCCCGGTGGTGGTGGAGGAGGAGGAACACTTGGACGACCAGGAATGCCTGGTGGTTTGGAAAATCTACCAGGAGTAGATGGTGCTGAAGTTTTGGGAAAAGTGTTGAAGTTCGACCGCGGCGCCTGAGGTGGTAATGCTGGGGCCGAAGGTGTATCTACACAGTCAAGTCATGAGTATCAGACACTATTTAACTTGTGCTTATCCCGTATCTATAAATTCAGTATATTTGCATCCACCCGCTCACTTACTTCGACCAGTTTCAACAGCTGAGCCTTGAGTCTTCTTCAGTGTTGGCATACCACCAGCAAACAGGCCACCGAGTTGCGGGGCTTGTGGAGCTGCTGCCGCTGGAGCAGTAGCTGTCTTCATACCACTTCCACCCATGGGAGGTGGTCTAGCCATAGCAGTTGCTCCCATTCCTCCTCCTGACGGTTTAGCGTCTAAAAAGCACATGACAACCAGTCAATATTTCAATCCCTCGACGTTTTGAGACATCCGCTCATTCTTCGTCACTTTACTAAAATTCCACTTACCGACAATGGGTGCTGATCTGTCGTTGGTTGTAGCCTTTTTGAGTCTCCTTCCCTTTTGGATCTGGTCCAGTAAAGCATTTCTATCGGCCATCTTGTATGGTAAGCGGAAAGAGTTTGTCTGAAAGCCAAGCTTTACCGGCACACAAAAATTATGGAGGAGTTGATGTCATGCACAATGTGTGACCGATTTGGTAATTCCCGCGAAAAACGAAACCAGCTTTGCAGAAGTCATGCTTTTAGCCAAGAAACTTGAGCATCCAAGACGTCAAAGACCCTGATAGTTACGTACGTTGACGAACGAAACGATCATTCTATGCTCTGTTATAGTTAATTCGAAAAGTACTGCATCAGTGTACTGGTAGAACACCATCAATCACACAAAATTTACGGTGAATAAACTTCGTGTTTGTAATTTTAAAAACATTGTCCATGTTCCCGGGTCTTACATTTAAACGCATGTCTAGAAAACATTGCCTTCATTGAAATGAAAGATAGTTGTCTAACATAATCTATGCATAGATGATCAAATCTACCCTGATAATATAAGCGTGTTTGATCTGAATTGAGCACCACGCGTTGAAATGAATAATGCAAGGATCTATGAGACAGAGTCGCATGCCCTTGAGTAGAAAGAACGCTCTAGTATGGGAAAGTACATTCGGTATCATGTAACCGAAATGATTTAAACACATCACGCATTTTAAACGAGACTGTTGTGATCGCCGCCTCATAAACAGTAAAGTGACATTTTATCAACATATTGGTTTTGTAAAAACAGCGCTTGTCCCTTTCATTTTCTGTTTCTCTCACAGGAAATGACTGTTTCAAACGACCATGGAGAAGACACTGACCTTGAGAAGGATATAGCAGCTTATAATCGCAGTGTTCAACACCCAAATGTTGCAGAAAGAGTACGCCAATTGGTTTCTCCTCGCAGAAGCAATGAACTGAAGCCACAGCATGTTTCGTTTGCGTTCAACCCTCAATATTCTATTTCCACACCATCTTTATCGTCAGTACCCCAGATTATTGTCACCAATTCACCCTTGCAACAATCAAATAACTCTCAAGGCTTAGCACAAGCTATAGCAATGCCAAGTACTATCGAAAGACCACATACTTCCCCACCTGCCACTCCGACTATGCCTAGCCCCGTAATATCGGAAGATATTGATTATACTCCGAGAACATCCATTGAAGACTATGAACGGCAACGAAGAAAATACAAAACAAATTATGTTGCAGACACGGACGACGAAGATGATAGAATGTCCAACGTAGATACTTTGTACGGCTCGGCATCGGTGTACTCGGAAGATGAGGATGACGAACCGGTTGCAAGCTTTTCATGCCGGTGCTGTCCGTCATGGTGGCTACAGAGATCCAAGCTGTTTCGAAGGATTGTCACCAACGCATTGGTTTTCATTTTAATCTTCGTCCCGGGCATTGTTACGAGGCTAGTTGTCTCGAAAGATTATACCATATTGGATATTCCTATTGACCGCTGGACGGAATTTCTTTGCTTGGTTTTCTTTGGTTTGCACGTTTCCAGACTATTCGTCTACGTAGTCCTCAAGATAACATGGCTATCCACCGCTGGAAAAGCACAAGCTAGGATTGAAATGCTACAATTTGTGCAAATCAACATTGCCCTTTGCGTCTGGTCAGTTGTATGCTTATCTGGCTGGCATTACATAATCAAAGCACCTGCATGTCCAGATAATCAATGTGGGGATGTAGGGAAATTATTTGCCATTATTGGTAACGCCATTGAAAGTCTAGTCTGTGCATGCTTTGCATTCTGCTTAGAGCGTATCGCATTGACGCAGGTATCCACAATTTTCAAGAAGGGGGCTTATCACGACCGAATAGTACAGTGCCGGTTTGAGGCAGACATGATGGAAGCCATGCTCAAATGCCGACATATCGACCGAGTGGAGCGAAAAATGGCCAAGTCGCAAGGCCGAAGACCATCTGGCAGTGATATGTTTGATCTGAATGTCTCAAATGCCAGTACGAGGCACAACTTTGGCCAAGTTCTAAAGTCGCAGCCAGAATACCCATCTCAACTTGTTCACTGTTCATCAGAATCACAATTTGGAGCAGCACCATCGATTGCAACCAGAATAAGCGTAGAGCTTGAAGAAAAACTGCGAAAGCCTTCAAAGGCTGGTTTAATTATTCCAGAATGTCTCCTTGACGGAAACAGTAGTCAGTATGGGGATCGGAAACCAGCAAATATCAATATGACACAGATGGCAAAGTACATTCGCCAAATTCGCAGCAAAAAATTACTCAATGTGATTGGATCAATAGAAGATTCAAACAAGTATGCCAAGAAGATCTTTTTCCGAATATGCCCCCGAAACAGAGCCTATATAGTACCAGATGACTTTCAGAGAGTTTTCCATTCAAAGCATACTCAAGAATTTGCCTTCCAATTGCTGGACAAAGATATGGATGGCAAAATTACTTTAACAGATATGCGGGAAGGTAAGATTACACACATTATCACAAGCGAGATTAATATATCATTCTTGGTAAAGCCAATATATTAAAATGTCCTTCAGCCGTAAGACGGACGTATAAGGAAAGAAGAAACTTGGCAAAAACGTTATCGGATCTAGAGAGCGCAATTCACAAACTTGATATCATCTTCAAGACCATAACTACAGTGCTGCTGCTGCTGGTGACCATGTTGGTGTTTGGTAAGCTTAATGCCATATTAGAATTACATGACCAATATCACAGAGATTAAATGTATTTTGAATTTTATAGAGGTCAGCGTTGTCAGTATTATCGCCTCATTTTCTTCGGTAAGGATATCTTTCTTTTTTACCTTGCTCACTATTGCATGCAATTAAAATGGATAGTTTCAACATTTAGGTGTTTGTGAGCATGGCGTTTATACTGGGTAATTCGGCCAAAAATGCTTTTGACTGCCTAGTCTTTCTTTTCATTGTGGTAAGCAGATATGGAATTGGTGAAAACGAAAGACGTGGCGAGACTCATCCTAGTCTATTTTTACAGCATCCATTCGACGTCGGAGATCGCATCATTCTGGACAACAGAATTTATATAATCCACAAATTACATATATTAACAACAGTGCTTGAGAGGTAATGAAAACGGCTTTTGTATGATTCCATAGCATCCTCATCTGCTAACGAAGAATTTTCTATCTTGCTGTAGAGGTGATGGCCTGGTAAGTTTCTGAACTACTCAATGCATTGACAAAACGTTTGGCTCAGACATCTAATCTTGCTGAAACGATTAGTACTTTTATGTTGCAAATCATATCCTTGCTCAGCAGTTCATCGCCAACATCAGGCGTTCAGGTATACATTTGTGCTTGTACGTACATAGCTTTATACCACGACTAACGATTTGTTCTGAAGGTGACATGGTGGAGGAGATTCGACTTGACTGCAACAAATTAACGTCAGCTGCCCAAATATACGCTTTGAGAACCAGCCTTGGAGAGTTCATTACTCGCGACTCCGAAATTGCCGACTACCGAAGTGCAGATATTATCATCGATGGTGTTCTTGATGGATATAGGTTGCGTATCAATATTCAAATGACTTGTCGAGGAAACTTCCAAGACGCAACCCGCAAGAACCGCCGTAAAGTCCGTCTGTTCCTATTCTTGCAAGACCAGATTCGTGATATTGGAATAGACTGTCGCCCAATGACAGTAGTGGACTCATCCATAATACAGGAATATGACAAGTACCAGGCCGCTGACCCAGTCATAAGCGAAGCTCAAAAAATAGCCCAATCTGTCCGAGGCTAATCGTAGGCTTTATCTTAACCCCTATTGTATGCTCATTTTTCATTACCTTGTATAATAATGGCACTATCGTCCAAGTATACCACATTTGTGCCATGTTTAACTATTTCTACGGTTACTGGTCATAAGCAATCGATTCGCATATTTCATAAACTTCAGCATCTTTCTCCTACTCCATCAAGTATAGCGTACAGCACACAGTGGGGTTTGTGAAAAGGCAGAAGAGTAAACGCATCTCCTAATAATAGCATTTTTATTTATTTTATAACCATCATCTAGTTGTAGTAGCCTAAATGTAATGTAATATAGCAAATAGTGATCCAACCATAATTTTTAGGACAGATTCTTGAGAGGAATTTCTTCAACTGGCTTTTTAATACTTGCGTTCTCGACAGCGACTTGTTCGCGATCGTTTCCAACAGGTACCAATTTTGGCCATTGCACAAACTCAGATCCATTCTGGACGATATAACGAACTCCCGATACGAGGACCGAGAACCAGAAAGAAACTACCAACAGATACATAAATGTTGAATTGCTTCCGGAAAATCTTGGGAAGATAAGGTTGACCAGGAGCATGATGAAGGCGAAGATCAGAATGGCAGGAACCTTCAATGCAAGGCAATTAGATACTGCTTATCGTATAGCACTAGACATGGTTGTTTCACTTCTACTTACCACTCGTACTCGAAGTGCTTTTTCAGTATGGAATGGACTGACGTATTTCCCTGCCACAGCTGCTTTAACGGAGAAGTTGCCCAAAAACAAGTCAAATCCATCTTGTCGGCTACCATCAAGATAGTTATTCTTGACATATCGAGTGGCGGAGTTGCTGAAGTCTTGTAAAGCTCCAGCCTTGGTTCGTTGACCAGTTCTGTATTATTCGGAGATGATTAGGCATTCGAGTATTCAACATTTTCGGGCTGATCTTTCGGTTATTCCTATTACCTGGTATAATCAGTCTTCAAAGCGCCAGTGCCAGAGTATGTGAAGCTGACGGCATCAGCATTGTCGGCCCAAACTAAGACAACGACTTTAGTATTGATCATTGTGCATAACTCTCTACCACCTGAAACACTTACTATTGCGGAAAGATACCATAAAGTCTTCGTGTTCTTCAATCTTTTCCTTCACATCAAGGACCTTGATGTCACGCAGTTGCTGGTTAAGAACATGGCGAGCCAATGTGCTTTGCACGACGTTGGTACGGTCGAGACAATCCATGCAGTTGGTACGGACGACTGAGGTTTGTGTCTTTTGGAGAACAGGATTTTTTAGGTTGCTGGCGTCAAAGAAGCAGTAGCTTTGTTTTACCAATTCTGGCTCTAACTGATCCAACAACAACGAAATACGGTCCCATCTCATTTTGCGGCACTCGTGATGGAAATCGAAATGAGTGTAAATAAGACGACCGTCATTCAACTGCTCGACGTTGCGAGCGTAGGCTTGGCTCATTGGAAGTTCATATCCTTTCTTATTGACCAAGTTGACAAGGAGTTGTGGGCCATAAATGGCGATCTGCTCGTCAAAGTGAGCTCTGCTGGCCTCAAGCTAAAAAAAAAAAGAAAAGCGAGGTTCAGAGACAGTGTCGATATAAATTGATAAGTCACCCAGATAATTCGTATTTACTCACACTCTTTCGGCTATCTCCAACCCAAAGCTTTGGTGTATACTTTGAATTGATAATTTGAGACCAATAGACTGGGATAGATCCACGCGTTTGTACGTACGAGAGCTGTATTCTTCCCTCGACAACGTCAGAGGTGCTTTCTTTATCTCCATCATAGAGTACGATTTGTTCAGTTTCGACGAAGTTGGATACATGACCCTTAGCATCAATACCGCGAGAGAAGTAGCGTGTACCGGGGCGATATCTGCTACGACGAGTAATCAAAGCGAAGAGGACTTGCTTCTTGTTGATCTTAGTTGGGAGAACTTGCACAACTAAAATGATAAGATTAGAATTATGAGCGCTAGCAAGATATGCATAGTCCACATATCGACGTTACTTACAGCCTTGCATCACTGGAAGGATATATTTGTACAGCTAGAAATCAGAGTTATAACCATGTTAGAACATGTTACATAGAAATATGCCTTCTTCAAAACTTACCTCGGATGGATTTTCAGTAGTTTTGGCCGCATCAATCAACTTGGTAGAGATGAACTTGTTCCAGAAGAACCGGTCATCGGCCTATCAGAACCACAAAGTTAAGCATGGTATTTCATTATTCGTAGACAATAGTTCAAACTTTACCCGCTGTGAAGGAACTTGATTCATAGTCTCTTTGCTGAACTGCGCTTGCCTTTGAATAGTCTGTGTCAAGTCATAAGTATATGACATGTAGAAGGTATTGATCTTGAGATGATCTGTTAACAGATCTACATATCTCTGTTCATCGGCGGCCTGAAAGAAGGAGTCTGAAAGTTAAAATCCAAGTTCCATCTGCTCTTTTTACACTCCATATGACTAACCTGAGCAGGAGTCAGTGACGACAAGTCCTTTACAAATGGCACAATCTCGAAGGAAGTAATACGGTATATGTCTTGGCCGCGGATTTGCCCAACACGTTTCCGATTAGTGATGACTATCATATATTCACCTAAAAAAGGAACGTCGATCTACTGTCAACGGCAGTTGTTGTATCAAACCATGAGAGTTTCATAATTACCAGCTAGTAGCTTGATGAATCCCATGATACCATAGATGTTCCATACGTTCTCTCGAGTAGCGTGTGTCGAGGCTTCAGCTGAGAAATGTTTGAACTATGTTTAGTACGGTCTCTGCATGTCAGGGCCAATATTCGTATAATGAAGTACGATAAGACATACCAGTGCATTCTAAGGTTCCAGTAGATCGGTTAATGACAATAACCTCTCTCGACACCTCAGGGTCGTAGAATTCTGGGACTACAGTGAAGGTCTCTTCATTAATGTAGCTATAGAAGTGGTGTGAACCAAGACATCAAAGAATTAAAAAGATGCATTAAGTGTAGCACTACATCATTAGTGGATCTACTTACAGCTTGAGCGACTGATGCGACATGACTGGACACAATAGAGAAGGATGTTAAAACCAAAGCTCTCCACACCACCCCAAAAAGCAGTCAGTTGAATTGCCACGTGCAACTCATGAGCCGCTATGGAATAACCCACAGATGCAAGTATCGAAAAGAAGAAGGTTTTTATATGATACAAAGTTTCTATACAGTTCTATTGTGTAGTTTTTGTTTTTGGCTTTCAGTCTAATGGGACCGATATACGGTGACGATCTCGCGCAAGTCTAGCAAAGTCACTATAGCCGCCTACAAATTTGAGTTCATTCCCAGAACAGCCCTCATAGATGAATGGGGAAGTTGAATGATACCCGGCTTTTAGCTCCTGAAATGATGGAGGAACGAGTCAGCACTGGGACAATAAAAAACAAGTTTGAGCTCGTTTCACTTGCCTGTTGTAGTTGGTTCAAGCGATCCTGCCACTGTGCTTTCATATAAGCGCTGACGTCGATTTTAACATCCTTCATCTTATCTGTCAAACGATCACCGACATCTGTCGCTGCATGGAAATACGCACATGATAGAAACCCTTCCTACAGACAGAAAAAAAAATGTTGTAAGTGAGATGTCGCCATTCTAGTAAGATGGATCTACTCTTTACATGTTGCTTACAATGTGATAACAGTAATTCTTCTTTGAGATTTCGTCAGCATTTTCTTCCTTCCTAAATAGCGGCAGCCAGTCGAATATGCCCATGATATCGAAGTGATTGTTGATTTGTAGGATAGGTGCCTTGATGTTTCCTGGTAAATCAGTCGTTCTTTTGTCCCAGGGAAACGATTTTTTTTTGTATAGTGTGGGCAATCACAACTCCGCTGTAGTGGTCCTGACACCTGCAGGTACCAAGTACAATAAACATCAGAGGACACTCCATACAAAGTGCTTTCTTTTAAGCCACATCTACCTCACAATGTATAGCATTGATATGTTATATACAGGAAGCTATCACAATTTATTGTAACGCTTTTTCATCGAATGACAGTTCGTGTCGCAACGACAAGCATGGCAGACATGTCAAAATTTTCCGATCACTCGTTTCAATCGAGAAATCGGTCAAGCTACGGAAAGTCTGTAAAAGTGTTGCGGTACAATACGGTAAAACTTTCCAGAATGCTGGTCTAATTGAATGTAAGGAGGCGATCGATTACAGGTTTGCTGTGTATTGTTTTCTAAAGTTCCGTCCGCCAGTGGCATGCGTAGGACAAAGATACAGCATGTCAGCTTGATCTCATGGTGTGTCTGGCGCGCTGGAAGTTTTTGTAAAATACGAGTCGTGTTGAAACAAGAGACACTCATTGCCCCAGCTGGTTGTGTTATAGGCTAAACATCTTGCAAAGAGCTCCAAGCAACGACGATCGGGATGGTTGGAGTCAAACAGAGAGAATAGATCTGAAGCACATTTTTTTTTGTTTGTTAGCCACCACCACATTCCATGGGCCTTCCCACTACGAAAAAAAAGGGACCTGGGGTCTTACCATTTAAGGGAGGTTTGCGCGAGTGTTGACTTGCAACACTGGCAAACACCAGCTTCTCAGGCACATGGATGATTGAGCTACCAGCCTTGCTACGAGCCACAAGTAATAGCTCGTAAGGTTTACGATGGGTAGAATCAAGTGGCATGACAGGTTGACCCATGGTCGTCATTTTCATCCAATACCACTCTCCTACAAGCTCAAGATTCCATGAAGGAAAAAGTTTATCAATAAGAAATTGTTTGTATTTTGGACGGTTCGTCACCCACACGGCCACCAAGGCATCGGATGACAATAGTTTAGCCATTGGGATATCAAATAGAGCATAAATATCAAGGGTGTCATAATTCTTGGAGCGGTGGGCTGAGAGATAAAAAGATTTTCCATGTGAGACGAGGAAAGGCGATTTCGCGATGCGCTGAAAAGGACACGATACCTGATTTGTTCGGCCATGGTGGGTCGATGACGATAAAGTCATAGCCTCCTTGGTCTTCGGCTAAGTGAGAGTAGAGTATTGAGTGCCCATCATATTTGAAGCAAGTGCATGTATGCCACATACCATGAGAGCTTAACGTGTCCATGCTGTCATCAAGTTGACCCATTAAGAAGGTTGACTTGGCTGGTATCAAATACCGCTGCAGAGTTGGCTCCACCGCCAAGGTTACATATTGACTTGAGCGATTTCTTATTATGGTATTGTAGATTTCTGGCAACTCAATGCTATTGGTGTCTGATTGCAGCAAGGTTTAGCTGCCTTGTATATATTTTTATGATAGTCATTGGGTTTACCTTGTAAAGTCATGGTTCTTTCAGCTTGCTCGGGATCAAGTTGAAAGGCAAATGATTTCACTACCTTGACCAGTTCTGCGCTTTTAACGAAATCAATCATCGAAGGGTGGTTGATTTGCGATATCGCGCTTTCGTTATCAGGTTCACAAAGGGAATCCTTGATAGCGGGCCACGCGCTGATGAGTTCTTGCATACATTGTTCAAAATACGGCTGAAGGCTCTGAAATGTTTCCAATGTCTGCTGTTCTGTATTGCTAGGCACTGTTTTCCGTCGTTTGGCTCTTTGAGGCATGTCCCTTTTCGGCCCAAAATAAGGTTGACTTAGATTGAATTGGCCTGATCTCAACTTCCAGGTGTCCTGATCATTCTGTAAACCATGACTAAATGCTGGTCTGGGATCGAGTACGACAGTCTTGTCAGTTCTTGCTACTACACTCATCACCTTTTAAGGTGGGGGGCTCGGAAGGAAGTCCGAAGTTGGGGGAGCGAGGGTACAGCTTGCTTAAAGCTGTGTGTGTGTCTGACTTTGGGTGGCGTCGTTGATATGGGTTTTTGGGGGGAGTCATTTTTTTTTTTTTTTTTGGTCGGTTTCTGCTTGGCTTGGTGTGCGCTGCTGTATTTAACCTCCCGCCTCCTCGTCACGCAAGCTGCTTTGCTACTTTTTTTCTTTCTTCTCTTCCCTTTACACTTGAGAAATCAATCCTAATTATCGAAATGTCTTTGGATAACGTAAGTAATTCATTCTGACATTCGCCTACCTCGCCAAGATGGTCTTTTATCTGTGTATCCCTCCATTTCATCTTCATCTTGCTCAAACATCTCCTGCCACTTCACACACCACACCTTATTTTTTGGCTGTGTCGTGTTTCCTACCCTTCCTTTCCTTTCTTTCCGCATCCATCACTTATTCTTTCGACTTTTGACGTATTGCTTTCCTTTTGATGACATCAACGTTTACTAAACTATCTTCTGTTCCACAGAGTCGTGACGAATATGTATGCGTTTTACTTTGCTTTGCTTTGATAAGAAAATTATGAGAGGGAGAGAGGCTGGATGCGGAGTATGGGAATTCTGATATCATGCTAACGACTCCGTTTCAAAATAACTCTATTAGGTCTATATGAGCAAGGTTGCCGAGCAGGTATGTGTTGATGGCTGAACCTCTTTTCTTTGCTGCTGGTTACATAGCTAATATATCTTGCATGTTTTTTTTCTTTGTGACTTTTTAATAGGCCGAACGCTACGATGGTAAGCTGGCGTGATCTGAAATCCAAATAGCTAACCTTTTTTTTTTACACCTCGCTGGGGGAGTAAAAAGGAGGCGACTGTCATGGATAAGGGACAGCAGGGTTATCACCATGTGTTTGAACTGACAATAATTCTTCTTTACAATATGCAGAAATGGTTCAGTATATGAAGCAAGTTGCTGGTGTAAGTGAATCATACAGTGCGACATTATTTCATGGCTTGCCGCAGTTAGACCTAACTCACAATTTTTTCTCTATCCTCCTTCCCTTCCCGTTCTATTTTTCTTTTTACTTTAGCTTGGTGAGGAACTTACCGTTGAGGAACGCAATTTGCTCTCTGTCGCCTACAAGAACGTCATTGGATCTCGTCGTGCCTCATGGCGTATCCTCTCCTCCATCGAACAGAAGGAGGAATCCAAGGGTAATGCCAGACAAGTTGAGATTATCAAGGACTACCGTCAAAAGGTTGAGCTCGAGTTGAAGGATGTCTGCACTGATATCCTTAAGGTTCTTGACGAGTCTTTGATCGCCAAGTCCCAAGCTGGTGAATCCAAGGTCTTCTACTACAAGATGTAAGGGCCCGATTTTAATTTTTTTTTGAGAAATTTTTGGCTCTTGCCGCTCGTTGTCTCTGAAACATGCTCACATGCACTTTCCTTTTTTCTCACTCAATAGGAAGGGTGACTACCACCGTTACCTCGCTGAGTTCGCCGCTGGTGATGAACGCAAGGGTGCTGCTACCTTCGCACACGAGGCATACAAGGCTGCCACTGACATTGCCCAGACTGAATTGCCTCCTACCCACCCCATCCGTCTTGGTCTTGCCCTCAACTTCTCCGTCTTCTACTATGAGATTTTGAACTCACCCGACAGAGCTTGCCATCTCGCCAAGCAAGCATTCGATGATGCTATTGCCGAGCTTGACACTTTGAGCGAAGAGAGCTACAAGGATTCTACACTCATCATGCAACTCCTCAGAGACAACTTGACTTTGTGGACCTCAGACTTGCAAGATGGTTAGTATTAAGGAAGCCCGTGTGATGTCGTTGCTTCACTGACTAAACATATCTTTCGTTATTCTATAGAAAATGAAAACAGCAAGGCCGAAGAATCAAGAGCTGACGAGGAAGCACAGTAGACGGAGCGTGTGTTCAATGATTTCGCTACACCATGATGCTGATATAGTAAACCATTCTATTCCTTCATTCTATGTTTCTAATTTGAATTTCTTCTTCTTCTACTTCTTCTTCTTCTTCTCCCTTTCGATTGGTCGACAATGGCGTGTTTTTTATTCCTTCCTGCGAAGACACCATCTTTCTTTTTTTATTGGCAATTTGAACACACTCCTTTTGTTTACCTGCTGAATGGTATCCGCATGTTTCTCCGAAACTCTTATTGAATTCGTAAACCTTTTATCCCACCTTCTTCCCCGCCCCTCTTCCCGATGTTCCCCCTCCCATCACAAAGTTGCGACTATCCAATCAATCAAAATGCTCCAAAAAAAATATGAAAGAAAAATTTATAGCTTATAGATATTGCGTGCGTGTGTTGTGTGTGTGTCTATGGGTCCATTATTTCTGTACAAATGGCTCGTCATCCTCGTCACTTGAGTCCTCGACCTTCTGTCCTGCCATGGCTTTGTGGAAATCCTCTGCAAACTGGGCTATAGTTTGTCCATTGGACAAATCGACAACGTCTTTGGGAACCATGTTCGCTGAAAATGATGGGGCGCACCGTGCTCTCATGTTGGCCTCAACTTGGGAAGTAATGATTCGAATATCTGCGTTGTTATCGTCTGGTGAAACTGCAACCAAATTGTTAGAACCTGATTTTTTTTTTTTTGGCTTCACTCCCTGTTGATTCACCCTCAGCTCAACTTACTTTGATATAACTCTGCCCACTCGTACAAAAGGCCGTCAGTTGTTGGTGAAAACGGATTGAAATCAACAAGCTTTACCGTTCGTCGATTTTGCAATACGTATACATCAAAGACATCTAACATTGAAAAAAAAAATAAGTGATCCGTCCGTAATGACATACAGTGGTGGGGAATGAGAACACGATGCTTACAATTATCACTCTCGAACTGGTCTCGAACCCGGTCTTCGAAAAATTCATGTATCGTGGTTTCCAGTTCATCTTTCATGTCGGCTAAGAACTCATAGTAATTGATGTCCCGTTGTGAAATGCCTATCAAGCCATAGAGTATAAGAATGTTATGCCAACATTGCATCCTTTCCAATTACACATCATCTCTTACCAATGATTTCACGATTTCGTACGAAGCATCGAAATTCCATTGATGGGTGTAAGTCATACCATTTCCTGAGTACAAGTTCGTAGCTCTGGTCTGAATCGTAATGTTGCCCGTCGGTGCATTCATCGTATGCATGGCTTAAGTCATAATTGATAAAGTCAGAAGATTTCAATAGCAAGTAAATGTCGAATGCATTGGTGCACTTTAAAGATTGCGTTGCGGTAATCCATGCTGCGTCCTATAAACAAAACTATGGTTAGCAATGAACACAATAACTGAAATGATTACGTAAACACACTTACCCTTGGCGAACTCCAATTGAGCTTTGGGAAGATTGCACCTTCGTACTCTGCCACAGCATCTCGAATAGCATCCTCAACTTCCGGAAAAGATGGAGCATTGCTTTGCTCCTATTCACAACCGTTAGAATAAAAACACATATTTCAATTGAAAATTTTTGTTAGCTTTACCTCCGTTTCGTTTCCATCTGTGTCAAAGTCGTCTAAAGCGTCCTCATCATCGCTGTCTTGTTCCATCAGTCGAGCTGCTTGCGCTTGCCTGGGGTAAAGTTAGAAAATAGGCGCAAAGGAATACTTTCTTAAAATGTTCATTATTTCTTACCCTTCGTCGGGAAGATATATGCCATCTGCGTTCAAATAGTCAATGAATTCCTTCGGCAACGGTATCACACGAGATTTGAATGTGGCATCTCGAAATCGGCCGTACCAAGAAGAGAATCGACACCGAATAATATCCTCTCTGGTAATTTGTACTGGCTCAATGGCAATTGCTTCATCGGTGGGGGTTTCAGAGCTTATGCTGGCAGGCATGTTAAGTGGAGTCGAAATGTTCATGCAACTGATCGATCTTCAAAATTGTTGAAACTTATGCAACTTTTTGCCGGCGGGGTATAAAAGTTTTTCTCGGTCGACCAAGTTATGACAGCAGATGAATCATATTGTTCGCTTTCATATACCGTATTTGAATACAAATAGGCATGAAAACTTGAAAGGATTATTAATGTATAAAAATTGGAAAAAAAAAAGGCGACAAGATTCATAAATGTCATAGACAAACTTGTCTAGATGTCTGACTAATCTCTTTTTTCCTCTCACTTCATGTTTTCATCCCAAGTGCATCACACTATTTGTTGAAGAATGAAATAAACAGGCCTATACCAGAACAGAACAGAATTTGGAAAATATTTTCAATACTAATTCTGATTACAAAATCTAAAGCTAATTTAATGACATGAGGTAGAGAATGTGATACTCGATCATTGACTGCTATACACTATGGTGCTACCATAGGGGCCAATGATCGAGTAACATTATGATGTAGCAAACCCATCGGTTATGTTTGAATACACTATTACGCTTGCACCGTGGTAGAAAGTCTTGTTTGAATGAGAAATACATTGGGTACACCAAGCTCCGTCTGGGATGTCAAATATGGCTGTAAGCTGACATTGTTTCCGTCCCACTGCTTTGTGCGATAAATTGACAACTGTACCTTTATTTCCGATACCTTTTCCACTTCATTTGGTGCGGTCACAAGGCTAGTTGATGTAGTTGGATCTCGACATTGGTAAAATCCACATTTCTATCCATACGCCGGAGATCAGTACTTTGATACTCTAAAAACGATGTGCTCAGCTCAACTTACCTCCGACCAAGATGAACGGCAGGACCAACAGAACGCATGACCGCAGTAAGAACAGTCAACCTTGTTACATCCCTCGTCACGATTTATCATGATGTAGCAGGAAGGGCATGGACGACTATTCTTCAATTTCCATTGCAACGTCTCTATCGCATCAGCTGTTTCAGTGTTGCGCACTATCTTTTTCTCCATATTAACTATACAATTAGCATCAGGATGAGCGGGTTCACCGCACTGTAGGCATAGCTCAAGCTGACAGTGAGTGCTTATAAAATGAAATCAGCATCGAACTTTTAGTTATTACAGGTGTTTCAGCAGCCACCTACGCAGTAAATCCTTACCAATGTGTGAATGGAAAGTTCTTAATGTGGCTGAATTGCAATCGTTTCCAGCCTTCTGGTCGCACTTCCAAAGCAACCAGTTGCTTGGAAATGCTCGATGCTTGTCGAAGTACATCTACTCGAGAAAATTTACGTTTCATGTCGAGTCTCCCAAATCGGCTGCTCTGTAGCTCAGCTAAGGCTTTGACTTCATATTCTCTTTCATCAGCCCACGTGAAAAGGGTTTTGACTGTGTGTTTGTGCAATTCTTGCAAGTTATGACCCCCATAACTTCGATAGACATCATCAAAAGTTGTCAACAATCTTCGCATTTGGGAGGTTTCATCCAACATAATGTCGGGATCATATGACAGTATCAAGTTTTTGATTGTTTCTTGAATGAGGATAATGCGACTACAAGAAATGCGGCTCAGCCAGCGAAATACACTTCGATCAACGTTCAAAAATAGCATACCTTTCTCTTGTGAAACCAGAATTGCGACTGTATTCACAAGCCTTGACTTCTCCTTGGCAGTCTGGACAGAACCGAGAGAACGATCGATAAGGTTGATTATATTTGTTGTAAGTATCAATAACGTGTTGTGGGACATATTTGCTCCACTCTCCATATGGAATACAATCTCGACAGACTATTGACATACAGATGAATCAATAATCAGAAAGTTAATAAATTTGCTTTTGACGCTAATCGTTGTCTGGTACCAGTACCTGGACATTTAATTTTCGTAATACTCAGGCCCCAAGATGATGAGACGACTTCTGTAACATAGCTATGGGCAGTGGAAAGATTAAATTATGCGATTCGGCAACCCCATGAATAATATAAATCATGGAAACCAACCGTTCAAAGCAGTCAATGCAGAATTGATCACGGCAATATTCAAGACAAAGGTCCAACTGTGAGTCAAAGCAAATGGAGCAGCGCTGCAGCCAATAGTCCATCTCATCAACTGAGGTGTCTTCATCTCGGTGGCTGTCAGTTTCCTCCATTTGATTATCGCTATCATCACCGTCCTCAACTTCTTCTCCATCTTCATACCAACGGTGGTGTCGAGACATGGCGATAAGGGTCTTATCAAGTTAAGGATGAAATATAATGGTTCTTGGTCAGGAACAAAGAAAAGGCACCACTGTGAAGGGGTTAAGCATATAGTAAAGGTTCGAAATGGTCAAAGGGTGGTAGATTTCCACAAACCTTTGGCAATGAGAAAGTCAAAAGTAGAGCACTAGGAACAAAGTAAGTGTGGCAACGGTTATCCGTTCAGTAGGAGGGCTATTTGTGAAAAAAAAGGTATGCTATTAGAGTACAGCTTGGCTATGTATTATGGAAAGCTGCCTCCAAGGGAACTGACTACGGAAGAGGAGACTACAGATAGGAAGAAAGTAGAAGGCTGTTGGGCAAGGGGGCAGAACTACTCAATAGTCATCGGACTCGACTACCAGCCCGTGACAAGTTGGTCAGCAGATCTGTGTGCATTGTTCACGCCATACTGCACCAAGTGCCCAGGTCTAAGCTCAAGACATGATCTGTGTCAAACAACAAAATGTTGGCTATCAACGAAACAATAGTGCTCAAAGAATTCCTGTGTCAGTGAACTTTTTGCTATGGTTGCGCGAATATACCTCTGCTTATGGCCAGCCATACCACAGTAGTAGCATTATCACACCAAACGCAGTCACTGGCACATCTTTATGGAGTTGCCTTTCCACTCCGCCTATACAAAAAAGTCCAGCCCTGATCATTGGAAATGAATAACGAAGCAACTATAGAGGGCGTTCAAGACGGGTCTACGGCTTCGAAACCCGCCTATTCGGACTTCTCTAGCGATCCAAGATGCACAATGAACGAACAGTCTGGAAAGTGGAATTATGTCGGCGACGATGGCGTGTCTTATGAATATGACGAAACGATCGGTGCTTGGTTTCCAATGGTAAGTGATTCTGGAAACTATGTTGGCATGCTAATTGGAAAAGTAGTAACGGACTGTACTTTAGTTCGACGAAAGCCTTGTAGAAGCACAGCAGTCGGCTTATGCTGTCGAAGGCGTGGATATATCGGTATGTGATGGACGGCATGGGTCGTTCGGTTAAATTATAGCACTCATGTTTATGGCTACATTTAAAGGAACCGGCAGTCACGCCAAGCAGAAAGAAGAAGGTTTATACATCTAACGAAGTATGGCGATTGATCTAATATCCCTACAACAGCTGAAATTGATAATCGAATCTAACGTTAAACAACTTCAGCAGGATGATCATCCTAACAAAAAGCAAAAACGTGATGTAAAGCCCAAACCAGTCAAAGCCATCTATGTGACTGGAATACCATTGGATACAACAGTAGATGAAGTTAAAGAAGTGTTTTCGAAATGTGGTGTTATCATGGAAGATATAGCCACTGGAGAACCCAAAATCAAATTATACAAAGATGAAGGTGGAGCTTTGAAGGGAGATGCTTTGATTACATTTTTCAAAGAGGATTCCGTTCCACTGGCTATTAATTTACTGGATGATGCAGAGTTTCGACTTGGTGATGCAGCAAGCAAGATTCGTGTGCAACAGGTATGGTAACAAAATCCAGAATTGCAAGACGTGATATAAAGGAAGAATACTCACTCATTTGAATGCATCAAAGGCTGAATTTAAGGAAAGAGACCCATCAGCCATTACCCAGAACAAAAAGTCAACTATGGAGAAGATGAAAGCTAGGAAGAAACTACATCAATTGCAGAGGTAATTCAGTCTCATTACATTTTCAATTGGAAAAAAGATGTCATGCTGACACAGGTTACGTATTATCTAGAAAATTAGACTGGGTTGATGATGAAGTAGGCAAGAAGAACGAAAAGTTCCGCAAGATTATCATCCTAAAGAATATGTATACGCAACAGGAACTTGATGTAAGCTGTTGGGTAAAAGCGAAATCAACTTGAAAGAGCAGGATCTAATTTATTATTTTTTTGGGTAGGATGACCCGGCGTTACTTTTGGAACTGAAAGATGATGTACGAGAAGAATGTGAAAGACTAGGAGAGGTCACAAATGTTATTATGTACGATGTAAGTAACACTCATGATTGCATCTGGTGCACTACTGCTCATGCTAATTCCTATTTATCATGGAACAGAAATCCCCGGGCGGCATTATATCCGTTCGATTCAAGGAACCTGAGAGTGCTGAGGCATGCATAAAGGTAAGCGTCCTATTTCCTTAGCCATCACCTCATATTTATCGCTCTAACCCGTAAAACACACCACAGCTTATGGACAAGCGATACTTTGCTGGCAAGCAAATCAGCGCTGAGATTTATGATGGAACGACTAAATATCAAAAGAGTGGATCTAATGATGCAGAGGACGACGAAGCAGAAAAGGCTCGTCTTGAGAAGTACGCAAAATGGTTGGAGTCACAGGAAGAAGATATCGAAGAAAATAATAGAGAAAGGGCAGAAAGATTGGCTACGAAGTCGTAGTTGGAGCCAAAATCTTAAGAGCCAAGCCACATTCCAACCTCACTGTAAAACGAGAGCATGCATTCGCAATTCAATAAATCCTACTACGAACCAGACCCACTTAAATAATACAATATGTCTGACTCTGAGAAAGGAATCGAAAAGAAGGAAGGAGGTTCAGAACACATCAACCTCAAAGTTGTTGGCAATGTAAGTAAAATGTTGATAAATGGACATGAACCAGGTCATCTGCACACGTAAGCGTTACGGGCTGCATGTTTGAATCTTGAAACAGTTTCTGGAAAAAAGTGCAATAGCTGCGCCATTCCATTTCTTACTGCGATGCAAAGCGACCATTTGCGTTCAAATCATAGTCCTCTTCATCTTTACCGTTAAGCCTATATCGGTTGTCGGAACCTGGATGATAAGTTGCCGCAGGCATATGCATTAACGCTATTTTTGCTCAATGTACAGGACCACAACGAAGTTTTCTTCAAGATTAAGCGCTCCACTCAACTCAAGAAGCTGATGGACGCATACTGCGAACGTCAAGGAAAGGCCACCTCCTCCGTGCGCTTCCTTTATGATGGTATTCGAATCCAGCCAACAAAGTAAGTCCTCCATAGCCATCCGAATGTAACACTCTCACGCCAAAAGGTACTAATTGTTGAAACTCTCGCCCTATCTTCTATTATTCTCTAAAGTACGCCAAATGAGGTATGAGTGACAGTTCTGTATAATACACTACGTATATGGAGCTTGCTAACGAGTCTCTCATTTATTAGCTTGATATGGAAGATGGCGATTCCATCGATGTTATGGTGGAACAAATTGGAGGCTGTTAAACGATATCCATCTTACCTTGTTCAAGTATTTCAAGAGCAGTTGGATTAAAACATGTATGCGATATGAATTATGGCCATACTTGGTTTCGACTCTTTCATTTTTGTTTCTTCAGCCCACTCAAATTGTATTAGCGAAATTATTCAGGTGGTTGCACTGTTTCGACTTGCTTTCCAATACTACCAGTGCTTTTCAGTTTTTCCATTGCCATTTTCATATTTCTCTTATTATCATGAAATACGTGAATATAAAATTGTACACGGATACTCTTTATGGCGGTAACGATTTCACTTCACTGCTACAGCGCTTGTCATTGTGATTACGAAAATGCATGATATATTGTTTCTTTGGAGAGTTGAATAAGAGGTATATGTACAGATTACGCGATTATGTGGACTACTTGATTACGATCCTACATTATTCTATTATTACTTCTTGACAACATTACTCTAGTATTACTTTTTGTCATCAGATAATGATTGGTGATCAATATCCCTTGGCTTCTTTGTATCGCTTGCAAATTTCATGATTTTCAGCTAAAACAAACGGTAACGTTGCCCGCTGATAATAATTGTTGTCAATGATAGCAATGTTGTCAATGACTTGATCCAGAAGGTGAGCCTGTCCAGCTATGATCCCAGGAGCAGATGTATAAGCAGTATGTACAACGTGGACGTGCAGATGGTAGTAGCTAGGTTGGTAATGGAAGAACATCCTCAGACTTTGACTTTTGATTTCGTATGTCTTCTCCACAAATTGCTCAACTTTTTCTGCAATGTTTCGCAAAAGCGGAAGATGACTAGCATTCAAATCGCGGATAGACTTGAGGTCTCGCCTGTGTACTATTACTACCAGGTACAGCGCGTTCATTGTTTTCATATCCCATTTCATATCGGGCAGAAGTATGAAACCAGTATTAGGATCTTGATCGTCTCGCAGCAGCACACGTTCGGCCTCAGCTTTGCCTTCCAGAATGTTATACACCCATTGAACTCTTTTCAAAGGCTGTTCTTCAATATAAGGTTTAGTTATTTGAAGGTAATCGTCACTTGTTTCCCGGATATTGATGAACGGTCTGGTGGAGTATTTGTCAATATGCGCCTGAGTGGCAGGATATATGATCCGAATATTCACGTCCGGTCGCGTTAAATCTTTCACCAGATTGGTTTTAGTCCAGTGGTAAATGTCGTTACTTTCGGTGTCAATAAGTTCGGTAATCCTACTGGATGCTAATATGGGCAATTCCGACTCGTAAAAGTGATGCTTCTCAAAGTACAGGATGGCATCCTCCAATTCCGGCTGGTCTTGGTTTGGTATGCGTCCCAAGAGGTAAACACATTTGGCACGCGAATCTTGTGAAAGAATTCGGGAGAACTGGAATTTGTTTAGGAGTTCAGCTTCTTCCATGACGAATACGTAAAAAAGAGTACTGTGCAGACTGCGCCGGGTAAAGAAACCCTTTCATAATACCAAAAAAAAATTATTCCTGTTGTCGTCTTCTGATTAAAGCTCGTATTACTCCTCTCGCCCCCCCCCCCCAATTATACCTTTCCCCTTGTAAGGCTGACATGTTGCTATTCGAATGATTTTCATTGCAGTTTTGCAATATGAATTACGCGGGAACCGGCTTAAGTGCGAATCACTCCATGCTTGAATAGCATACACTAATTCTAATTATGGGCATAAACCGGTTTGAACCACGCATTGATACACAAAATCTTATTTCACACATCTACAGTGGAATGGATTGACCATATGCAAGATCACGGTGCTTCGCTACCTCGTAAATGACTTTATATTTCACAACAACAAAGCAATTCTATTCTCCTTCATAGCTCCAGTGGATACATTTTTACATTTCATGTTTGATACGGAATGACGGTTAGGCTACTTTGCTTACCAGACTTGTGCTAACTTACTGGTAGCCGCACTGTGGACCCAATCTCCACCTCATGTGCACCCGCCCAAACAATCAGGTTTATCTCACCTCCCCCAAAACCATCCCTTACAGTTGCTCCAAAACCCAATACTAGACAGAAAAAATAACTCCTTTCGCTTCGATAACATTGCCATTTTTTTTTCTTTTCGTTTCTTCTTTTCCTCTTCGCCTTTCATTTTTATTCTTCCATTTTTACGTTGTGTGTTTTGACAGCAAAAGGAAGTTGTTTACTTTATATTATTATCCCTTTTCTCTATTTTTATTCCGTTGGAAATCCCTTTTGATTCTCATATAGTATATCCTTATATCATGGTGACTCGCGCACTTGCTTATGAACCGAAGGGCCCACGCATCGACCAGGACGACGACGACTACAGCAGCGAAGACATCCATCAGCCCGAGAAACGGGAGAAACAACCTCGTAAAAAGCAGAGCAGCACACAAGCACTAGTTGAGTTTCTGAACACCACTGGACCAGAAGAGTTTCAAAAACAGGCCACCGTTCCCAAGCGTGGATCTACACTTTTTTTTAGGCGGCGTAAGAAGTCACCAGCCAGGCCACCGATTCCTCCCAGCCCTGGAAACCAAAAAAAATATGTAGAGATAGTCACTGGCTATCCTTTGGATATACTTGGCAGCCGACGATTGTCTAAAGTGCCATCGCTGGCCGCTGCAAAATACAGTGGCTTTCGTCGAAGTATCATAACTCCAGATGGCCTCCCTAACAGCACTCCCCTTCCGCAAAACCATCGTAAACAAAAGGAATCCAGCTTATATAGTCCAACCAGCCGCAACTATTTTTCTGATCTCACCAGTGCCAATCTCCATGAAAAAGCAGTTGAGGCACCTCACTATTTGGTAAAATCACAAAGCGACTATTCCATAACAGCTAGTGATATTAGCTCACCAGCTATACCATTGAAATCCAGTCGGCGAGTTTCACCACCAAACAACGTTCGCCATGGTTATGCACTATCAAGCGACAGTGGAATGACCTTTGGTAATGCGGCAATATGGTCGGCGGACTCACCTCAGTCAGACGATACGGAAATTATCAGTGGCCACTCTCGTTCTCCTTCTCCACAAGCTATGGACAAACGACAGGTTGATCGAAGTCGTTCGATGGATAATTTGAGAGTATCCAACATCAGCAGTACGTCACAAGAAAGCTCAACCGCACCAAGGCGTCCTAGGTCCAAAAGTGGGAGCTTGGCCTCTCAGTGGCCATCTAGTAGGTCAGTTGGATCTCCGATAGGGCGATCCGATCTATCTGGTAAAGCGCGAGGACGACATCGAATTGATCTGGTTGAGAGAGCATTATCCCAAAGAATCGAGGCATTTCGAGCCACAAATGGAAACTCGGTTCATTCAACGCCAAGTGAGATGGTTGCAAGTCAATTGGTAGCAGAACATCTCCGTGCTCTGCAGTTATCCAGCGTCGAACAGATCGACGCGGTGGAGAATATGGCCATCACGGCTGCTAATGCTGAATACGCACACCATCAGTCTACTCTCACTACTAGCAGTATTAGTCCATCACATTCAAATGGAAGACTTAATATGGCTATTATGGCAGAAAGAAAAAAAATTCGGCATGTTCAAGTTCAAACTATGGACACGGTGGAAAAATGCAAGGCTTCAACACAAACCGACTCCTTAATAGTAGTACGAGAAGGAAACAATGTGGTGGTTGGTCCAAGCGGAAAACATCTGAATGGATCCTTTGTTTCTTGTCCTTCATGTTCTTCCATCTTTCACCATGGCGATATCGATCTATCGTCCCCTAAAGAGGTAGCCTTTGACCGTAAAAAATCTTATTCTACTCCTGCTGTCACTACATCTCAAGCTCTAAAGATGTACGACTCATCACCTCAACGCCCAGCTTCTGCAGGGGCTGGCCCAACACCTCAACCTAGCAAAAATTATTTGACACCCAACAGTAATCAAGAGGATTTGCAGCAACAAGTTACATCTCTTTTGCATGCTGTTAGTGAACTACAATCTCGCCTGACCAACGAACAACGCGCCAAGAAACGCCTTGTAGCAGCAATGAACGACTCCAATGATAAATCAGAGCTATTGAGTGCTCTCGCTTATAAAAAATTGCGAGAGCTTTGGGAGGAAAAGTGTCGATGGGAAGCTGCGTGCTATGCTATGCAAGAACGATTCACGCAAATTGATCAACTGGATGTTGGTAACGATAGAGGATGGAGCCGCGCTGACTGGAATCATGATCTTTATGCAAACCCCAGTCATGTCGAAGAATCAATCGCTGCAAGTCAAGATCGTGACTTGAGCTAAATTCTATCCCCTTCGCCACCTTTATTCAACCCCTCCTGGCTCATTGTCTCTTCTTTATTCGATCTATCTCCCTGGGCCATTTGTCCTTTCTTTTTCTTGGTGCTTTTACAACCTTCCTTTTATTAGCCTCTTCCAACTCAACCTACCGCTTCTCGAACTTTTTTTTTCCAGATCCTCCTTCCATCCTCATTCATTATCCAACCAAAGCCTACTGCTTTGACGAATAGTTACATCTGACGATGCAAACGTTTTTACTATACAAGAAATGGCTTTTCTTGTTACTTCATTGCCATCAACTGCCACAAAAAATGATATGTACCTTTGTTCAAATAAAACATGACCACTTGGTGCTGCTGCCCAATTGATGGGTCACAACAATTTAAACGAGGTGGCTGTAATGTTATAGATGACTAGAAAATACCTGTGTTGTAAGTCTGGATTGAGTGAAGTTTTCCATATTGTAAAGATGCGTCTTGAACATTTTGAATTATCAACGCTCTTGTAAATTTTCATCTTCTCTTTTTGGCTATCAAACTACAGGGGTATATTTGCATTCCCCACTCGAAAGATACCTTTCAAGTGTCACAGCTGGGCCATTCTGGCCGTGCCGGGGACAGTCCGTATCAGTTTGGGTAGGCACATGACCTGTGTGCAACGAGTCGATACCGAACAAGTTATAACTGCTGTTGCCACCACAAGTTCTTTTTTTGTTTCCTTTCTTCGTCTGGAGCCTAGACCACCTTCTTTTCCTTCCGCACACAGAAAATACTACTGAATAATATTCACTCGTCCATGAATATCAATCGAAATGTCGTCGTTAGTCCCCAGCCCAATATATGACAGCCAGGATCCAGCTTTCCTTGTAGAGGTTGTGCGAGGCTTGCCTTCTCCTACCGCTTGGGAGCTACGTGACCAGACAGTGAAGCAAAGGATCATAGAAGCCAACGACTATATTAACAATGTAAGAGCAACAGTCAACTTTATACACCATGCTTGTCACTGTATGCTAATTTACTTTGTTTGTATATAATAGGTTGAGCATGCTATACGGGTGAACGAACATGAGTCTGCAATGAAACTTTTCCTAAAGGCGTTCAGGTATCTGTCATATCTGCAACTATAATGCATTGCTGGCCATGAAATTGATGTTTATCTATTTTTGTATTCAGGATCGCATATATTCTTCTACCTGTGCACCCAGAGTGTGCACAGATGCATACCACTGATGAGGCAGCACTGCCGTTGAGAAAGGTAATCTATCGTGATATCAAAGATCAAAAGTGAATACGAAACTACAACAGCCTGGGTTGACAAATTATCTTTTTTTTTTTGCCAGCTGAGGCATAGGATAGAGGAGACTCATATGGTCGTCATGAAAATAGCTACGCCTGAGGAACTGATTCAATCAACAAGGAGGATATATCCGAGCCCACCTAACACTCCACCCATGGATACGAGCATGTCACCTCCTTCACCAACTCGATCAAACCCTATATCTGGCGAAGCCAGCTTGGGTAACCACAATGTGCATCTTTTCCCCCCAAGAAGGACCCATACATCTACTCCTCCTATATCAGCCGCCATTGGTAAGTTCTGCTGAAAAGTGAATGCAAATTTAGACTCCATTAATTAATATATCGATGTCATAATTGAAACTGGAAGTCAATGCCAACGTTCAAGCGCTTTTCGATGAAGCATCATCTTTGTTTGGAGAGCTTCGGCCATTATCCCAGAACGATTCACCTCATCTTCCAAACGAAAATATGGAAGATGCTTCATTTTTGGTTCCCAGCTGGACAGTTCATCAAAGAAAGATATCAGAGCCAGAAGTATTTGCGGCAACCTATGAAGACCCTGGTACAACACATGGCGCTCAAAACATTAACGATATGTTTGTCAACAAGGAAACGGGTGGTGGTAGAGATGTTCAATTATATCCAGAAGGTAAGATTATCAGACCTGTACGATTTCGTTCTATACAATGGAACCAAGTACTTCATGTACCAACATCAATGTTAGATATAGATCTTTCTTCGGATTCATCTATCAATTATGCATTTCTTAGCGCAGACGAGCCGCCTGGCCCTTCCAACGTGACACACGACGGTGAAATTTCGTCTAGCCCGCTTACATTTTTGGCAGAAGACAGCGAAACGAGCGCATCTCCGACTAGTAAGTGGTTTGGGAAACAACAGCATTTTAACCACATGTTCTAACTAGTATCCTTTCAACTAGAGAAAAGTAGAATGCTCTTCGGAAAGACACGGTCGTCATCCGGCTCCATTAAAGAAGACTTGTCTGCTGTGAAGACAGATCCTTTAGCAAGAGATAATTCAAAATCTCGCAGGAGAGCTTCTGATAAAATTGTCTTTGCATCAACCTCTTCGAACGATGTCAAGATTATCGTCAAATCTTCCCAGCCTAAAGCGTTGTGGCCCAGAATTTCAACCGAGTTTTTACGATCTTTGATGGCCGGTTCCGATGCAAACAAGGTTAGCCCAGGACAGCTCGTTGCAACGGAGAAAAATTCGAAGAAGCAACCGTCTGCTTCTTATTCTCCTTCAGCTAATGGAATACCCACCTATATACCTCTGATCTCGTTTATGCACCAACCACCACGGGCCCATAGGCATACCAGTCTTAAAAAGAAAAATGAGCAAAGCCCAACCCTGAAGGCTTCTGGTAACACAGGCCCTCAGCTAGGTCAAATGGTTCCAGGGGAGCAGACCGGTGATCATTTGGACCCAAATGATAATTCAATGAGCAATGATGCCGCTCCTCAAGTTCACGTCCGACCGCCCAATAATCAGCGCGACAATCACGCTTCGTCTGTCAACGGTCCTACACCTTGCGCGTCTCCGAATACGTCTACACCTAATCCTATACTTGCTAGACTTCGACTTCACGCGCGGTCTAACCTTGGATGCATTAAATACATGTCATTCTCTGGACTGATCTCTTATTCAAATGATTGTTTTTCAAACATGCGCATGTACTCTGAGATCAAAGACTATGCTAACGCTTATACTCATGGTATTCAAGGAATGATGTAAGTGACTGGTTGTTAAAAAATCTACAGAGATGCCTTATTTAACGTTGTATCCTTTCAGAATTGTAACCAATGTACTGCCGCATCATCATGAATGCCGGCCAGAGACAGGACTCCCATACTTCAATTACGTTGCCGCCGTTGAGGTAAACTTTTTGCGTGCTGTATGGTGGTGTATTTGAATGAAGATTAATTTGAGCTCTCAAAAGATGATTTGGTACAGATACAAAGAAATGTTGGACAATTTACAAGACAAGGTTGAGCAGGAGTATAGAACAATGTGATCTCTTGGAAGAGCAAACATACTGGTGATGTTAGACTTCCAGAGCGTTAGCTGGATCAAAAGGGGTGCTTTCCAAAATTATTTAAACCTTTTAAATTGTCGGCTCAAACAGACCAGATTAACTTGAAACGACTGAAACTTCAAACTGTGCAAGCGTAAATGCCACTGATGGTAGCAAAAGCTCAACCCATACACCTTCAGCTATTCCTACAGTAACCTGCGGGAATCCATGAATATCCTGGCTCCGGTATCTTTCGTCAGAGGATAGACGTCTATTCTTGACTCAGTTTTTGTCCTTTGATTAGCTTATTAAAACTTTATAAAATAATAAAAGTAATTTCTAATTATATGAAAGTCGACCGTGATACCTCTCCCCCCTCAAAGTGCTTTGAGAGTCTCCTGGAGTGCTTGAGAGGGTGCATCTGACCGGCCAGCCTTCAAGCAGCCTATAATGGTTTCACGGTATGATTGATAAAGTCTCCAACATCACATATAATATTATTTCATTTGAAGAGATCACCTTGAAGAACACAAGTTTTCGCGTAACACCGTATCAATCTTTAGCAATGATGTGATGGCTATGTCGGAGAATGAAAAGTGTCGGCTGCCACTGAAACGTGAGCTGCGCTGCGTCATGACTATCTGGCTGTTCAGAGCTGTACACTCTTTTTTTTCGACCCTTTCTATACCTAAAATGAACTTGTTTTTTGGCAAAGCAAAATCAAAGACAACGGCGAAGGATTCCATCGTGAAGCTGCGGGAGACTCTAGCTATGCTGGAGAAGCGACAAGCTCATCTCGAAACCAAGGCAGAAAATGAATATAAGATTGCAAAGCTTAATGCTACGAAGAATCGGAGAGGTTAGTATCTATAGTTTTTCTTTCAACGTAGTCCTTATAGTCCTGTATGGGTACTAAATTTGGCGATGTCTAGTTGCGCTCATGGCGCTCAAGAAGAAGAAGGCTTACGATGTGCACATTGACAAGATAAATGGAACCCGCATGACGATAGAGACACAAGTAATGGCCATCGAGAACGCTAATGTTAACTTGGAAACAATGAATGCTTTGCGTGGCGGTGCCGAAGCCATGAAAAACATACATGGCTCCATGTAAGTACCATATACTGAATACTCTTAGAAAGATTGTGCTATGTGCTTGCCAGCCGCGCCATCCACAGCTTATGAGAGCTGTCGATGCTTTCTGGGTGACATTTGATCTTCCACGAACTCGCTGTTCAAACATAAACCAGTTGATGTACAGTGGAGCCGAAAGATCAAAGTAGTCATCTGCGCGGACGGTGAAGTCCTTGGCGCCAAGCTCTAGATTGGAGATACTGATTGTAAATTGCAATGACAGGGATATCAACAAAGTCGACGCTACTATGGATGATATTCGCGACCAAATGGATATTGCAAATGAAATATCAGATGCTATTTCAAGACCAGTTCTAGGAGATGAACTAGATGAGGTAACTTTTTCAGCGCCGAGGTCAACACCATTGTAACACACTTATCTGCATCTGAATTAACACCAATATTCTCCTATAGGACGAACTTCTGAATGAATTGGAGGAACTAGAGCAAGAAGAACTGGATGCCAAGATGTTGGAGGCACCTACACCAGCAATGAGTGTTCCAAATGTCCCATCTCATGAGCCAGGTACGTCCTCTTTCTTTTCTTTCGTTAGTAAATAGTATACAACCGTTACTCATCTCTTTCTCAATAACAGCTGTACGTACCAATACATCAGTGGAGGATGATGAAGAGGCAGAACTTAAGGCTTTGCAGGCCAGCATGGCAATGTAAACCTGATCTACAGCGTATATTGTGAATTTTTTTTTTCGCACCAGCGTTATCTCGTTCAACCGCACGATTCCTTCCTTGTTCCTCCCCTTAATCTGAAGAGGTCATGTTAGCTGTGATAATCTGACCACCATTGTGTATTATTTTTTTATTTTCCCTTGTTGTTGTTCATGGCCCACCCTTGTGACTCAATGGCGGCGATCAGTGACTACTGACATTATATCATCATTTTCTTTTATTCTTTCTTAAAACCTGCAACTTCAAGTTTCTCATTCAGAAACGCATTTTTTCGTCCGTTCTATATTGCTTTCTCAACATGGAATCCAATTATACAATACGAAGGGTGAATGGCGTTAGTTTACCTTTAAAGTTAAAAAGCGTGGGTTAAGGCTGGTGACAGCTGGACGGCTAGCCTTACGCCACCCCCTTACCAAAAGACTTTCGCAATACATGTTCCTAAATTTCAGCTTACTCGGTTCCATCGGTACCCGAGTGCAACATAAACAATACAATTACCCTTAAAATCAATACATAAATGATTTCTTCAATTCATCACCGAAGTCCTGGTAAGCCTGCGATGAGATTGAAATTCTTTACAAGTTGCGAACAAAAAAAAAGCTTTGGTGCAAATTTGGAAATAACCATATTTCAAAGACGTGCAATAATGACATCAGATTTCAGCGTCAGGAACAAGCTCCAGCGTTTTTATTGAAGGGCTGGTTCTAGCTCGTTTCAGAAATTAAAAACCTATTTTCTTCTTTTTTTCTTCTCATTTCCACGATTTCTCTTGTTCGATTGCGTAGATCTCTGTGAGGGACCAAGTAGCTACCCATATATACTCAAACCTGACGTTGCTGATAAACGCCAGCATATCGATATACCGGCTTCGTCAGGATCTCCTCTCACCCCTTTCATTCGTTAGTAATTTCACAATTCCATACGTACCATGTATGAATACGAAAAAAATAAGCAGTCATTTAACGTGAAGTTCGAAATCCCTATAGATATGTCAATACAGAAGCCTCGGCCAAACTTGCAAGACGAGGAACCAGTAATAAACTCAAGGGTTTCGGAGCTTGAAGACATATGGACAAGCCGACTGAAAGCCACCACTCAGTCGTTCGATAGTGATGACCACCTGCAGCAACCAATTAACGGAGTAGCCTTGTATTTGGGTGAAAATGATGACCGAGAATCATCAAGAAAGTACCAAGATCTTCAATTGATCGTGGAAAAATGGACACGGCTTATCATTTTGTGTAATATCGCTGCCCCAACTGCTGCCATTATCGTCTCTTGGTATGTCCCACTACTGAACAACAAATCCAGCAATCTGAGGTACGATATTACCTCTTGGAACCTTTTTTACCTTTGCTGCGCATTGGCTTGGTTTAACTTGCTCAAAACCCACCGCGACCTGAGGTCACTTCTACAAGAATTGCGAACCCTCTCTATTATTATAGCTGGCTTACAATGCCTTTCTCATATTCTTCTTTCGACATTTTCCATTATCATTTGTTGGGTTAGCGCAGGAGACTTTCAGCGACCTTTATTCAGTTATGCAACATTTCCATTTCTACAATTTTCATCTACAATTCTGCTTCCAGTCATCCAACTTTTGATCAGTCTTGAAAGCATCATACAAAGTGGAGACTACTCTCCATCCTCCGAGATCCAGCTAAACGACATGCCACCGCATCTCGAAATCGCCAGCCAAGAGATACATGACGTTGCACATATGGTCACATCCATCATAGAACAATATGCGCCAACTTCCATACCAACTGCATCTCAAGAATATCTGAGCTCTTGCTCTATTGCTATGCCAATAGCTTCTACTTTGGCTATCAATACTGCTATGAAAGAAATAATACACATCTCGTCATGCTTGCAAAAGCCCTCCTCCAGCCTTCCACCAGAAAAGATTCAAACCAGTAATTTTGATCTATGCGAGTTATTACAGTCCGTTGGCGATGCCATGGAGGGTATATGTGCCTCACTAGACGTAGCAATGGTTATTTATTTCACCGACAGTGAGTGGAAAAGTATATGCATTAAAAGTAATCCAGGATTTCTGCGACATGGTTTGATCAGGGTAAGTATTGAACTCTGCACAGTAAGCATTGCTACACTATTTTCTTACTGTTAAATGAACTAGGTCCTTACAACATTATTGAACAAAGCAACGGTCGGTTCCACAATCGAAATGACGCTAAATATCAGAAATCTAGACAGTTCTTCGGAAGATGTAAAGTCTCAAAGCGGTGATGATTCTGGAACATTGGGCATAGACATCGAAATTGCTCTCATTCCTTGTGCTGAAAGTCAGGCGAAGGTCGAAGAAATTTGCAAGTCAGACTTTCTTCCTAATCAAATCGAGCTGTTGAGAGGAACTGTTGAGGTAGCAGGATCTGCTGAGGAAGGAAGGCAGGCAGTGGAAATTTTCTTTGAGGCACCACAAAGGTCAGAAGATAACGCCTATCCCGTCCCTACCGATCTATCCAACTTAGATGGTGACAGCGAAGGCTACCACGCCTTGGAGAATTTTTATGAACTTCTCAAAGACATGAAAATAGCTCTTTATGCTATGGAGAATAGCCATTTCGCTAAACACCTGACGAATTGTCTGACGAATTGGAGTATGAACATCACACATTTTTCCATAAATGAATTACGTCAACAGTTAGATAGCGTGGGAAGCGACAGGACTCTTAAAGATGCGGTGTCAAGCCCACCTACTACCAGCGTCAGCTATCCACATCAAGCACCATTTCCAGTGTCTCCAGGCAGCCCATACACAAGCCCGGCCACGACAGAAAATGAACGATACGACACCACAGATGCTAAATTCATCATCATAGACGATGACATCCCCACTCTGAAGAGACAGATTATGAATCGACAGGCAGCTGTAGCGTCGGACGCATCCATTCGACCTCGCACAAGTAATCGTCGTACGAAGGGTGGGTTCAATGGCAGGCTTGACATCCGCTATCCTGAAATTTCACCTCAATCTACCATTATATTTTTCACTTCATTGAAAAATTATAAGCAAGTGAGAGAGATCATGATGTCAAACGTCAACCCATGGTCAAAGCAATCCTATGCTCTTGCACACATAGTAGCCGTTCCAAAACCAGCTTGCCCAAGAAGAATTCTCACAGCTTTATTCACAGCCTGGAACAAGAAATCGGTCGATCCTCAATTCACTCCAATTGCTTCTCTGCCCACCAGCCCATTGACTTCAAATTCATCATATAGTAGCCAGTCTAATTATCAGGAACATATGTCACCACCTACACCCCATGGAGATGGGTACATCATGGTAGATTCAAATGGAAGAAAACATGAGCGTGGCATAGACAGCCCGTTGGCAAGGGATACCGAGACTGGGCACTATTTCTCTCCTTCATATTCTACGTTACACCCGTCCATGGGTAATTCTCTCAAAAACCATGCCTCTCCTGCTGGAATGGTAGTTGACGAAGGGATGCTGTTTGTACCTGGAAATCGTACTCCACATTCGCTTCCAAGGACCAAGAATCCTACAAAGAAATCACAGCTATCACCCAAAGCACAGAGCCCCACCAAACAAGACAAGTTCCTCGAAGCACCTCATCCGAATGAAACGTCAGCCGATTACAACGCCTCTGGTATACCAAAGACGAGGACTCCGTATACGAACTCAAATGAGTTCCTTAATGGTGGCTCACCTGCCCATATGGCCGTTGGAGATGATCTATCCTCCAAGGTATCGGATACTTCAACGTGCAAAAGCGGAACTAGTCCTATTACCATCGTAACGGATACTACACACAGTAGGAATACGACTCCAGATTTGGATGACAAACTGGGAGATGCAATGCCCCCAGTAGACGGTCCACTTCCTACTCCCCATTTGACAGGTGATATGCAAGTAGATTATCAAAAGCAAGCACCTGATCAATTGCAGCCTCCAAAGTTGCCGGACAAGGCGACATTACGAAGAGCATCGCTCAAACGAAAGAAGAAGCTTTCTTTGAACAAGTCTGTCAGTCCTTCCATTCAGGTTCTTATCGTTGAAGGTATGTGCACATCATTTACTACGGCCATAGCATTATATGGGATCACCAAAAAAAGTTTAGTATGTTCCTAACTTGTTTTGTCCACAGATAATATCATTAACCAAGTGATTTTGTCGAAATGGATGAAAAATCATGGCATCAAGTACGAGGTTGCAAGTAATGGCCAAGAGGCATTTGACAAGTGGTCTCAAGGAGCCTTCCATCTTATTCTGGTTAGTATCAGATCAAAGTGATAGATTAGAAGTGTCCATTAGCTGCACCTGAAAAAAGCGAAATCTGTATTGACACGTGTAAAACTTTTGTAGATGGACATTCAACTGCCAGTCATGGATGGTATTACTTGTACCAAGAAAATTCGAGCAGTGGAGAAGGAAAACAAGTTGCAGCAAATGCAACAAAGCCTTCATAGAGAGGTGCCACGGTCTCTGTCTTTCGATACACTGGGTTCCATGGAAGAAAAAGCAACGGAATTCCGATCACCTGTCATCATAGTAGCTTTGACAGCCTCTTCTCTTGATAGTGATCGTCAAGAAGCCCTGGCAGCTGGTTGCAATGACTTTTTGACCAAACCTGTAAGCATGGAATGGTTGGACCGAAAGATCACAGAATGGGGATGTATGCAAGCCTTGATAGATTACGAAGGTTGGCGCCAATGGCGAGAAGCAAAACAATCAGCAACATCTAATCAAGTCGTCGACGATAAACAACCGGACATCATCAGTAAACCGGTACAGCCAGAGAGAAAGGCTAGTTCATCGACTAATCGCTCTGGAGTTATGATGAAAGGAGGCTCAGCTATCAAACCACCTTCACAGCGGTCAGCAACGTCCTGATTTCAAAAAATTATGTTATTAAAAATATACCAAGCCAAAATATTTATTTGATGGTTCGTAAATAATTTAGCCTTTAGCAATTTTGACTTTGTAAGTAGAAAACAAGAAAACAATAAATAGCTGTTAAATAGCTGTTACGAAAACATATTTCGCCTTACCATTAAGTATCAATTCGTAGTTTTACCTGCATGTGGTTGCGGCTGGCTGTATTGTTTCGTCCTTACCGCTTTGTGCAATTCAGAACAATGTGTCACTATAGTACTCCCTTTGTATTCAAGAACATGACTAAACGTGGTACAGATCGCCGACATTAAATAGAATGCCATATTTTTAAAAATTTATAATTATGACTAAGGCTGCGCAACAAACGATCAGTGATCTTAAGAACGCAAGGTCAAAACAAATTATAATGAAACAACAGAAGGCCAATTCTAAAATGCATGGCATCCATCAAGAACTTTCTAAACTCTGTTAGACTGGATTATTATTTTTCAAATATGTTCGAATCATCTTCTTGTCGTGTTCAGTGATTATTCTTGAATCTACATCATTTACATCAAAAGCGATTTTTGGCTTCATTTCTTTAGCTACCTTATTGAGCAGAATGTACATCTTGATCATTTCATGATCCTCTTCTAGCGATGGGTGATGCATAGGCTGGGCATAGACCCCGACAATTTTGCGCCTGGTGAAAGAGTCTAGTGTCCGGCAATGCAATGTCCAGGAAGAATTCGTTGCCTTGGGCAATTTGAAAAGCATGGTGCTCCTCGGGCGTGATTCAAACTCTTTCGTGAAATATCGATCAAGCTTAATCACCACCATATCTTCCGTATGGCTGTTTCGATAATGAAAACGCAATGTCCTGTCGGTATTGTTTATTATCATCATATTGATACGATGCTTTCTCTCCGCATACGTGCAATTAAAGTCGTATTCCCCATGCTTGATTTTGTGGTACCGAAAATTTTTGATGATCATGGCTCGATGGTTATAATGTACACTGTGTTGAGCTCAAGCGCTTTCGCTCGGAGTGTGAGTTTGAATATTGAGAAAAGAGAAGAAGAACAAAAAGAAAGGATCAAGACGTTGGAAAGTGAGAAGAAGATCATAAGTGAGTTTCGATCGGGCTCCAATTTTGGCGGCACTGGCGGTAGTAACTGTACTACTTTTAATAGTAGTACAGTACAGGAGAACGCCGTTGATTCCACAAGCGCGCCGTCGGTGTATTACATGTACCATTGATAGTTTTGCAGCAAGCTCAGGTAGAACCTTATCACAAGTAAGCCAAAGTAAACCATTTTACTGGATGCCGATACGAATTTCATTTTTTTATAAAGCTATGTAAAGCGCAACGCGAAAAAAGGGCCTGACCATCTATTTGGCTGATAGGTCAGCAAGAGCATTGGCAGAGAAGCTTGTGTGTCCCGTCTTTGGCAAGCTCGACCAGTCTGAAATGCCAAACACTCGCAGTTGAGGCACTCGAAACTCCCAAAGATCTTTCAACCGCCTCGAGTGAGTGAGATCCCGTCACTTGGCCACAACAAAAGATGCAAGATTTGACCGCTTCTATGCTCTTCTGGAATGGATTCAACGGTGCTATGAGCCTACAGTGGTTTCCGTTTTCTGCCACGTATCAAGTTGCCCTTGATATGTGATCGAACCCCAATGCCTTATGTGCAACTGGGGACGGATCCTCATACATCCTTTCAACCATCGCCATTTGTTGCTTGACCTTATCAGTCAGCAATTCCGTGGTTCTCCTGGTCTTCAGCCTTCTCTGGCTTAAATACATCAGGGATGTCCCTGGGCTAATCTCGTTCGTATAGAACACTCGCGTAAACTAAATAGCTCCAGCAATCAGAGTAAAGGGCTGAAAAAAAAAAAAGGAAAGCAATTAGTATACAGACCACTACTGCTCTTTTACCAATTACTATTGACTTGATGTTGAAAAACATCATTAGTCCAAGGCCATGAACTCTGTTTACTCTGTAAATGGGACAAGTTATATAGTCAAGCTGTTGTACTGTAATATACCAACTAGCTAGTTTAGTAAAACTCAGCAATGGCTTCTAATCATGTCTCACGATTAGTTTGATAATTATACGGTTGACCAATCTCATATTTTAACCCAGGGAGGAGCATAATGGTTGCAAGCATTTCTCATTGTGTGAGTTGAAAATCAACGCCCAAGAGCCAGCCCATACTCTCTCTATTCAGGCATGCCATTGCTACTATTTGGCATAATGAAATGTAAGACATAATGATGGGCTGCTGAAGATAAGATATATAAAAGTTGATCTAATGATGTGGAGACTAACATTCATGAAACAAAGGGGCAGAGTGATTTATTTTCACAAATCAGCGTGAAAGACGGTAGTTCGCCAACAACAATAATTCATGAGATTATTTACAGAGGAAGACAAACACATTTCATTTTGCAGAGTCCAAACCATTTGATGCGGAGCTTAAACTTTTATGGCATGAGCGCAAATTTCTTCATTTTCTGCAAATTATATCTATATTTAACAATGTGTGTGGGTGGGGTAAATGAGATGATGTGGTCTGAAGGTTGGATGATGAAAGATTACAGGATGTGAAAGAAAGGGGGGAATATGAACAAAAAGGGGGCAGTGTTATGATTTTATATACTGTACACAAAAAACGAGAGCGTGGGTGGTATCTTTTAAAATTCAAGGAGGTCAGAATTGGAGAGAAAGGAGATATTAAGGTCATCAGCAAAAGGGCGATCAGCAAGCAGAGGATCCTCGCAGTCAAAAACGTCGATGGGAACCACATCCAGTTGGAAATCCGTTGGTGACTGAGAATGCGTCAAACAGTAGACACCAGGTTCCAACAGGGCACAGATACAACATTCATTTTCTTCAGGTATATATTGGTAGTAGTCTTCCTCATCGTCTTCAGAGAGTTCCGGTAGAAAACTGTCTATAGGAGGAACCTCTAAGTCAGGAACATCCGTCCACAGATCTGGTTGTTCGAACAGGTCGTAACCCATAGGCTGTAGTAAAAGTGATAGTGTGGCTGTTGCGTTTTCGAGATCATATGCAATGCCTTTTTGGAATTGAAGGGGAGATTTTGATGATTCCATTTTGAACAGAAAGGGAATTGAGATGAGAGTTTGGTGAAAAAGAGGGATGTATTGCAATGAATCAAACAATACTTGGGATATTTATATGCTTGTCTGCCTTCGAGAAAGGCGCCAACTTTCGTAGCGTCATGCTGAGCACAGGGTCGCACAGCTTTTGTGCATCTTATCCTGAATAGGCATACATGTGTCAGAGGAAGGCAGTTCGATTGTCTGCGGCACAGTGTCCATACCCTTTCCACGCGGTGTCTGCGTGTGGATGCGAACATGATAACTCTGCCTTAAATGTCTATCCCGATCATCTGGTAGAATAGCTGTTCTACAAAAGGCATCGCTTTCACTACACCGGTAACCATTGGCATGCCGGTCCTTAAAATGTTAATGTGGACATCCTTGCCTACCAGAATAGCTTTCTATGGCCATGGGCACGTGTTGCAATATCTGCATTCAGCCTGTTTGTACACCCATGGCCAAGCATAATTTAATTGTTTTGGTCCTTTTCACCCCAATGCTTGTAAACAAACACCCTCGAAATTTTTATGGGCTGTCATGTACTTTTCCTCTGCGGCATCTGTATGCCAGCCCTTCATTACGACATCACCCTCGCATTAGAACTCAAAATATCTTTTTGTATACATACCAGCTTCTGTTGTATCCCTGAAATTTTGGCTGTGTCGTGGCCCAGCCCCAACTGCCAAGTTTAGATGGCCTTGTGAGTATAGCCGCCAAATCTCGTACAAGAGCGCACAAGAATATGTAGTACATCGTATAAGTGTGCTCGAGCCATATTTTTTTTTATTACAGAATGTGCTTCCCAATGCGTGCTGATTATAAAGTAATGCCCCATGCCTTCAAGGCGGCTCTTCTTGCTTACTATCAAATGCAAAACGAACATCTGAATCTGTAGTAATTTTTAGAAATAAAGGAAGAGTGCTTTTTTAAACTTTTGAACGTTTGAGTCATGGTACGCTTCTCATTTCGGATTTGCAGTACGAAAAGGGAAACTTAAATTTGACGCTCGTTCGAAAAGAAAACACTGCACTGTATCACCGAAGGGTCCCCGTAGTTTTAAGATCTCTGGGCGCAAGAAAAAAAAATCTGCCATGGAACAGGCTTTGAATGATTATTTATGACCAGAAGCCATTGGGAATATAAAAGGAGTGAGAAACAAGCTGATGTTTACGCTATAATACCATCATAGGACATTAAGAGGAGATCTTGCTTTCATCGATACTCCCATTTGTTTTGACCGTCCAACGTAGGCGGCTAACTGGACGGAAATTTTAGAACCAAACAAGCCAATGTGGCTTGCTGATCCTCAGTAGGCGAGGGCCTTTTCAGACTGAACCCCTTCCGAAAAGTCCAATTTGTCAAATTACATGCACTGAACTGCTAGAATTTTCCACCAATCTCACATTGACGAAAACTGGTATCCTTAATGGAGTTCTCAGATATGGGCTATTTTCAAGAAAAATAAATAAATAAAAATAAATATTCACAGCCTATGCAGACGGTTTACATCAAACTTGACATTTCTATTTGTGATTTAATTTGTAAATTTATGAAACTGATCATCGCTGTGATGATGACAATAGCTGATGATCCTGACTCTGTCACCGTTTCATCGCTGCTGGTCAGGGGTAAAATTCAATTTTTCCATCTTGGTAATTAGGAATACTTTGCAGATATAGCACAGGTCCACTCCATTGGCATGATCAGCGCCTTAGCCTCAAGAACGCTAGAACCTCTGCCTGCTTATTCGCCAACGCGTGGTCCTCCTATTTGGTCACTCGTTTGTCCTTCCATATACCTTTTGGTCAGGAAAACGTTCTGTTTCCCGGAACTGCGTATACGGATTTCTTGGAACGGGTGTTCAAAAGTAATCGTATATGTATGCTCTGGATCGTCGATGGTGATCATGTTTTGAAGCCAGCTCAAAAATTGATCGGCGAAGTTTAAACATACGCGGGCATCCTGAAAAGGTTGGTTCGTTAGCCTTTAGGAGCATTTCTTCATCCCTTTGTTCATTTTAGAGCTTAATGCGTCATGGCTTTCATGTCCTTACCCACATGCCGTGTTGACCGCGGACCATGCGCGGCATCTCCAGCGTCTTGAGTTTTTGAATTTTGCGAACATTGCCATCGTTGTCACGAAATCCACATATGACTGCAGGCGTACCGACAAGAAAAGACTGTGCCCAAAACTTCAGCATTTTGTGCCTAAAGTTGGATATTAGTAACTACCAATGAGGGCCAAGCTAAAACTGTACCGAATGTTTTTCGAACCTACCGTTCGAAAATATGTTTGTCACGCCCTGATTCGATCAGCTTGGACGTTTTCAGTTCCAGGTAATTCGGTAAGGGATTGACGTCAGATTGCTTTGGAGCTTTTGATAAGATAAAAAAAATATCAGTCTTCGGTTTTGACAATACCATCACGCATGATATGGGATGGCCTCCACTTTACCAGATGTACAATCAACCTCAGCACCCATAATCAAGGTGTTATCGCCAAGTTTGGTTTTGAAAACTGTACAATATTGCTCATTCGTGTTCGCACTTGCACCCTTTCGACTTTTTATCTCTTCCTTATCTGCTTCTGTCATATCTGGCGGAAATTTAGACACTGTGGAGAGGGTTTCAAATTTGTATCCCCAATATCCCATAAGTTGCTGTCGGTCGTTTTGACCTTGGTTTTGCGACCGCTTATACTCTGTTTCGTGCTCCTCAAGGTAGATAGTGTTATTAAATAACGTGGCGCCAAGCTCAAAAGGGTCTTTTGCGTATGGCACACATAGTAATTTGGTGATAATGCCTCTCCATGTAACCTACAAAAGGTGTAACGTCGCTCGATTCAGTATTTTCTTATGAAATAATGTTTCAGCAGCAGTATAATTCATACAATATCTGCTGTTATTGTATTCGGGTCCTCGTTTTTCGAACGTGCGATAGTCAAGGCGTCCAACAGGGTATCAATGTGTTCTTTCAATCCGGGGTCGCGCTGGATAAATTCGTCGTACCCAACGGATAAATCCGCATCAGATAGGTCGGCTGGCAAGTAATATTTCTTCAAACAACACAAGATTTAGTCACCAAATACATGGTCGATTATTTCCTTGAGATATAGTTTACCAGTTGGCGATCGTCAAAATGAACTGATCGTTCATGATCGATGCTATAAGACTGTAGCTCTACAGGTTGTTTATATACAGCACAATTTCCATGATACTTTGATAATGGGTGAATGGGAAATGACGCTAATTCTTCTAGACGTGGAGCCTTCCTGGAGTCATCACTGTCTCTTTGTGATCGTTTGCCCAGTGGTGATGCCATTGTGTGTTGTCCGATTTGCTCTGCCTAAGCCAAAGAGCGTGTCATCCACGTGACGACGGGAATTGCATGTGTTGAAAGGCGTTCAGGGCAGAAATTCCGAGAAAACTGTGGTGATAGCACAGGTATTGCAATTACAACATTATGGTAGTAGCTTCGTTGAGTGCCAAGAAAGGTCACCAAGCCGTTCAACTCACCTACGACGGTGAAGGTCTTCGTATTGAGGGAGACGTTACAGCAGCTAAGCGGCGTAAGTCAACTTTACGGCTGCTTACTTTTTTTTTATCATACTTTTTAACTGTCAAATATCATTTCAGCCAAAGCTCCTCGCACTTGCTTCTGCATCCCATTGCCACCACCGAAAGTATCCAATCCACTCCTTTTACCCATCCAGAACATCAACCTTCTCAACGTAGAATATGGCTCTACCAATATGCTGAGAATCAGCGCTTTAATTCCAGACAAGCCAGCTGAGGATGAATCCCCCGTCACTCTTTACAATCTAGTATACTCAATCGACCCCCAAGATGCGGAAAAAGCAACCAAGTTTAGCAGCGATATCATGAGTCAAGTTTATAAAGGTCGGGATTGATTTTCGACTAACCTTGAAGCAAATAAGCAATTAACTTAAATGGCAATCTGTCACAGACGTCCAGCAAGGCAAACGCCTCAAAGTGCTTATCAATCCATTCGGAGGTCAAGGAAAGGCCAAGCACATATTCGAGACTCAGGTAAAGCCTGTATTTGAAGCCGCAAAATGCGCTATGGATGTTCAATGTTAGTCTATTTTAGAATGTCCCTGTTACCATTTTATTTCAGGGATTTTAACCTTCATCATTTTCATTCATTAGTTACTGAGCGTCAAGGACATGGCATTGATATTGCCAAAGAAATCGACATCAATGCATTTGACTCTATTGTCACCGTGAGTGGCGATGGTGTCATTCACGAAGTCATCAATGGTTTCCTTCAACGACCAGATGCCAGAGAAGCCATTAGAAAGTTACCCTTGGGAGTCATTCCTGGCGGAACGGGCAATGCTTTAAGCATCTCCATGCTAGGCGAGAAGAGCGGATTTGATCCACAGTACACTGCTCTTCAAGTCATCAAAGGTTCGGCTTACCATGATTAAACGTAATTGCTATGACGCTCTAACTGGTACTGACAATTAAATGTTATACAGGCAAACCCATGGCCTTTGACTTGTGCTCAGTAACCTACGATGACAAACGCTATTTCTCGTTCTTGTCTCAAAACTATGGAATCACTGCTTATGCAGATTTGGCCACAGAACATATGAGGTAAATAATCCTAACATATCATATCACCTATCTACATGCCCATCAATAACGCTTGGTAATAGGTGGATGGGTGATACTCGCACTATTATAGGATTATTGCAACAAATCTTTGGTGGAAAATCATATTCTATGGAAGCGGCATTTGATATTGTTAAAAGCGACAAAACTTCAATTGCCGAAGATTATCCCGTAGAATACGATAGATCTGATCAGCAAACAGCTATTGACGATAGTAGGGGTGGACAAGTCGTAGATAGCATTCCTCCTTTATCCGAACCCGTTCCAAAAGGTTGGACAGTTGTTAACGATGACATCTGCGTATTCTTGACGAGCAAGGTGCCATGGTTAGCTCGGGGAATGTTAACACACCCTTACTGTATGCCAAACGATGGCCTGATCGACTTGATGCTGATCAAAAAGGGCGCCTCAATTGGTGATAAGCTTAGTGTATTCGACACCGTCGATAAAGGCACTCACGTCAAGTCCAAAATTGTAAGTCAATATATAAGTACGGTGCGATCCACAGTAAGTGTCGTTGAGACAGATAGCTAATGCAACCATAAATTTATAGGTTGATTATTACAAAGTCAAAGCCTTCCGTCTTACACCCGTTACCAAAGACCCAAAGCAAAAGAACTACGTGGCGATTGACGGTGAGCATGCTCCTCCCAAACCATTCCAAGTTGAAGTCCATCGTTCTTTAGGCGCTGTGTTGAGTTTGGACGGTAGATATCGCTCAACTACCATCTGATACCCTTGGCCACACATCGCCGGAAGTTTGAACATCCCATAAGGAGTGTTTAAAATAATGAGAAAAAATAATTATTTCTGTATGACCCTGATAGTCTCGACTATTTTAATTTAGTGATTATAAACCCTCCTTCCTTTCCTTTCATATAATTGAGTGACTACAGATACATTGGTGGGTTGTTGCAGAGCGTAATTATCGAATGACAAAAGGCACTTGCCCTCTCATCTTCTTCTCTCTTCAAACCCCAGTTTTTGTACCTGAGGGAGCAACCATTACCGTTGATTTTTAAGATTGACTGACAACAAGAAAATCTGGTCTTAATGGCGTTTTAGCTAGAGTTTGAATGTTATGGACAAAACCATCGAACTTAGTACTACTATTACGTCAACATGTGTTCCAAAGCTATCATATTCTTTCTGCAACCCTACCATCCAACATGATTCAACTTGCTTGGGCGATATTGGTGAGTCATGTATCATCGGCATGTCAGGATAAAGAGCACTGCCTCCTTCACCAACTGCACTAATTTTTCTGCAAACGCACCGGATTCAATCATGGCTCCAAGTTAAAATGAGAAAATGCAGACTTATATTATACAGATTGTATTCTGTGAAAGAAAGAACAATAAGAGCTAGTGGTATTCCAATTCTAGGCTACTTCTTGCAAAGCAATTTCTAGTTGTTTGAGACAAGTCTTCATCTCTTGTTCAGTACCAACACTGATACGCAAGCAGCCTGTGCACCCATAATCCTTGCCTCTGAAGCGAACAACCACATCCTTGGATTCAGCAAGGTTCTTGTACACTTGTTCAGCGCGTTGATTGCAGGGTTCGCCATTTTGGTTGAGAATTTCGACCAACAAAAAGTTACCTTCAGCCGCACCACGAATCTTTCCAACGCCAGCGACAGGGAAGTTCTGAAGTGCTTCGATCAACAGATCACGCTGCTGTCTGAGCTGCTCGATATTTTGATACATCGTTTCCAATCCCTTATCAGAGAGGGCTTCAAGGGCAACTTGAGCGGTAAGTGTGGAGATGTTGTATGGTGCCTTGGTATTGTTGAGGATTTGAATGACATCTGCGTTGGCAATGCCAACTCCCATACGAATACCAGCCAGACCGAAACTCTTGCTCAAAGTCTGCATGACGACAAGGTTGGGATACTTTGTGATCCAAGTTGAAACAGAAGGGTTTTTCGTCTGGTCAACAAAGTCAATGTAAGCCTCATCAACAACCACCAATCCACTGTAATCAGGGTTCTCGAGGACGGCCCTTATGCTGTCAGGGTTGAGGCAAGTGCTGGTAGGGTTTCCAGGTGAGCACAGGAAGACGACCTTGATAGTTGGGTCAGACTTCAAGGCTTGGTTAACGGCCTCAGTTTCCAATTGATAGGCTCCCTCTTCAACGTCGAGGTTGACCTTAACCACACCGACGTCGTTAATCTGGGCGCAAACACTGTACATTCCGTAGGTAGGAGGGGTGATAAGAATCTTGTCCTTGCCGGGAACGCAAGCAATGCGAAGGAGCAAGTCAATGACTTCGTCGGAGCCAACACCTAGGAAGACATTATGAACTGAGGGGATTTTTCGGAGAGAGACAACACGCTCTTTGATGTCAGGGTGGAGAGGGTCAGGGTATCGGTTAAGATCTCCGGAGCGAGGTTCTGACAATGAAGGGCCAAAGGCATTTTCATTGGCATCGAGAAGAACACCACTATCATAGTCATCACGAGCACAGCGGTAAGGCTGAAGAGCCAATATATTAGGTCGAATAGCTTTTTGTAAATCGAAAGGCATTGTACAATAAAGAATCAAAAAAAGTGTCAAACCGAGTTTAAATAATTCGGTCTTCAGGATATGACACATTCAGGAGATGAAAAAGACAGTCACTCGATCTCATTTCTGAAGTGCCTGGTTGATCTCTGGCAGCAGTTCTACCAGAGCCTCCCACTGAGCTTTGGGCAGGCAAATACCTGTACATGTCAGCCATGACTCCCTGTTAGATACTGGTATCCAAATGAATCCATTCTATTGAATTCATACCTTTTCCTGGCTTGTATTCACCGTCTTTCTGATACCATTCCCGCAAATCCACAGCTTTCTCTCCTGACGAAAATTTGGTGATTGTGACTCTTCGCTTGGACGAAAGCTAATTGTACATGCAGTGCGTCAAAGTGAGTCTTCCAAACATCAAAACCTTATGGGTACATCATATGCACTCCTTACCTGATAATATACGTTTCCCTTGGCGTCCTTCAACGTATTGCTTGTTTCGGGAGTGTCGTCTGTTGCTTTCCTCTTCTTGCTGTTTCGACTTGGCGCTTTTTCCACTGTCTGTTACCTGATGTTTAGCAAGGCATTGATATACAGTGAATTGGGTTCTGCATTGTCACCTTTGAAATCTCAACTTCCTCTTCACTGGAGGAGTCGTTTTTGGGCTTTGTATCAAACAAGACTTGTTTTAAGCTAGAATTCTGAATGGTACTACACTATAATATGAATTACCTCATAAGCGGTGTCGTCTTTTGGACTCTCGGACATGTTTTTGACAGTTGCAATGGGGTGGGATAGTTTCGTAGTGGGAAGTTTTGACGCGCTGGTGGAGTTAGCTAAATCATTTCGTGACTTCGACTGTTTTCACTCGTACTTGCACTTTCACGCCGCCTTTGATAAACCCTGGCAGCCTGAGTGATCCAAGCTAGCACCTAATGGATCAACCCAAACCCTCTGTCTCGCAATCAGCGCCATTACCACGAACACCTACAAGATCCCCATTTGACCCGGATAAAGCTTCGGCTAGTCTTGGCCAAGAACATGTGCAAAGGCTGAGTGAGAATCTGTTCAAGAAGCTGGCACAATATACCCAGGGAGAGCTTATTGGTAAGTACATCCACATCAGTAACATAAGTAACAAATAGCGTTTTATTGATCACCACATGCAGCCAGTAGCGAAAATTATAAGCTTTTAGAGGCCATGAACCATACCACGCGTGAGCGATATGCCGACATGTCAGAAATGGCTCAGCGTCTGGTGAAAGAGATGTCTAAGCTGCAGTCTACATGTAAACATCTTTCCGAAACTGATTTTATGATGAACCGTAATAGCTCATTTATCTTGTTGCAGATGCCGACTTCACAGAATATATGAAGGAGATTGATGATGTCAGTGAGCAGGCAGCCAACATGGAACAGATATGTTTGGAATTAGACGACTACACCAAGTACTTGGGTAAGCAGACGCAGCTTGCAGTTCATCATATTGATTTGATCTAATTGACCTACTTTAAAAAAATTATCTCAGAGGACAAATTGAAGAATGCCAATCGTGCAAGGACGTAGCTTGATAGCGATACAGAACTGATTATATTAGCGTAAACTATTTAGAATTCATTGTACAGACTTGCCATTTTTACCAGATAAACTCAACGGTCGCTTAAGAGGAAATACGGTGCTGGACCATTTTTAACTCACTGTGGGTCATTGAGAGATCTTTGATTCTCCGATATCTTTTCAAAATCAGGAAACAAAAATAAAATTGTTCAAGCTAGTTTGATACTCTTACCTCCTTCACTTTTTTGCAATGCTATCTGCTCGCACAGTAAAGGCTGTCCTATCCACAACCTCTCGAGCCAGTCTCTCCAAGAATGCTGGTCGAATCACCAGCATTGTTGCCATGGTTTGTCATTTCGTTCAGCATTTCAGTTCATTCCTATTGCACGCGGACTCACGATATGTTTTGCCATGATTTCAGACAAAGCGATCGGCCAGTACCAACTCTGAGGTAGCAAGAAAATACTATATAAATGAAATGATGAGTTTACTTTTGGCTGATACTGTTCCCTGCCTCATATAGATCACGCATCCTGATTCGGATGTACCCAAGGAGACCATCGATACTATTCAGCGATACAACAAATATACTCTCAACACATATGCTCGACCTGACCTTATGTTTACACACGGCAAGGGATGTTACATCTACGACACCAATAACCGAAAATATCTCGATTTTTCGGCTGGTATTGCTGTCAATGCCCTGGGCCATGCTGACGAAGAGGTCGCAAAGACACTTTATGAACAAGCTATGAAGCTCGTTCATTGCAGCAATCTGTATCATAATGAGAATGCTGGAGCTCTGGCTGAAAAGCTCGTTACAGAGACCGTTCAACAAGGCGGTATGAATGCTGGAAAGGTTTTTTTCGCCAATTCCGGTACCGAAGCCAATGAGGGTGCTTTAAAGTTTGGAAGAAAATGGGGTAACCTCGTCGAACCATCTGGAAAGAAGCACAAGATCGTTTCATTCACCAACGCCTTCCATGGTCGCTCCATGGGTGCATTGTCTGCAACCTACAATCCTAAATATCAAAAGCCTTTCGCACCACTCATCCCTGGATTCGAAGTAGCCGAATATAACAATGTTGATGACGTTAAACGCTTGATTGACGACAATACCTGCGCTGTCATCATTGAACCTATTCAAGGTGAAGGAGGCGTTCACCCAGCCAACGCTGAGTTCCTTGAGACTGTACGAAAGGAGTGCAATGAACACAATGCTTTGCTCATTTACGATGAAATTCAATGCGGTCTTGGCCGAACTGGTAAACTCTGGGCTCATCAATACTTCCCAGATTCATGCCGACCTGACGTTTTGACCATGGCTAAACCTCTTGCTAATGGTATCCCCATCGGTGCCATTCTGATTACTGACAAGGTCGCTGATATTATCAAGATCGGTAAGTACTAAACCATATCAACTCGCAAGTGTTCAATGATAATTTGCGTGGTATTTATTTTCATCTTTCTCGTTTAGGTGATCATGGCACCACTTTCGGTGGAAACCCATTGGCCACAGGCGTTGCACTCAGCGTCTTGAACCGTCTCACTAAGCCAGAATTTCTCAAGCAAGTCTCAAGCACTGGCGATGTCCTCAAGAAGGGCTTGGAGGATATCCACAATGCGTACCCCAAGCTTGTCAAAGATGTGAGAGGTAATGGTATGATGCTTGGAATAGAATTTACCAAGGACCCAACCCCCATTGTCAAGATGGCTCGCGAACGAGGTCTTTTGGTTATCACCGCTGGTAGCAACACCGTCCGTATCATTCCATCCCTGACTCTCACTGAAGCTGAAGCCCAAGAAGGTTTGAACTTGTTCAAATCTGCCGTTCACCAATTCTCTGAATCGCAATAATTGCCTAATATTTTTATGGCACGGCCAAATGCTAAAAAGCAAACTGTAGTTGAAACGTAGAATATGAAAATAAAATGCTATTTTAGAGGCAAGTTTGTTTTTCAAACCCATATTCAACTGACCAGAAGTATGGGATTGACAACAGTTAAAAAATAGAAAACAGTGGTTTAAAGTATAAAGATTATGGTTATTGTTCCACGAACAATAGAATAAGGATGTGGTGGAAGTATAGAAAAAAAAAGAAAGGGTTAGGAAAGAAGAGTAGAATGAGTGAAATCTGTTGCTGCTGTGGTAACCAGTATCTGGCCCTGTTATGCCTTGAAGTCCGCATGGAGATTCTTTCTGCCGTAATTATCTTCTGGTAGTGTTGCGTCCCTGAGCTTGGTATAGAGCATCCAACTCGCCTTCGAGATTCTTAATTTGGGCATGCTTATCTTCCAAATCCTTATTCAGTCGATCTCTTTCAGCGATTAATTGTTGCTCCCAATGACGGAAACGGTTCTCCTCCTGCTTGACTTGCTCTGTGAATTTCTTGCGCAAGTTGTCCTCTTCCTCCTTGAACTTGGGATTGTTCAACTTCTTGACCCTAGATTGGTACAAATGAAGATATAAGAAAATGCATGCATTCAAATCCATAGCTCACTGCAGATCTCCTTACTTTGGATCGCCAAACTTTCTAGTCTCCATTTGGCCACGACGATAGTTTTCATAGTGCATCTCTTCAGTGGTGGAAACCAAATCCAGCATATGAGTACGAACAAGCAAGCTACGAAGTTTCTTAAAGTCGCAGTGCTCTTCATTTTCAACCTCGGCTACACCCCAAGAGTATTCACGACCCTTAACGGTTCTTCCATCGGCTGTGGTGACATCCTGTGTTGATCCAATAACGGAAAATGGCATAGCACTCATAATGGTCCTGTTACGAGCAGTGGTAGATTCATCTTCACTCTCAATGGGACATGAATAGATCTGAATATTTTGGGCGGCGATCACTTCGCGGAGCTTGATAAAATAGACATGGGGTCAATCGTTTTGGGTTTGGCTGCGAATGGGCCTTTGAAGTCAGTGCTCAAAATTTTACCTTTCGCTTAAAGTCAGCCAAATCCCTAGGGGTAAGTGTGTCGGCCTTTGCAATCACCGGGATCAAGTTGACACGGGTTCCTAGACGCTTCATAACCTCAATATCCAATGGCGTCAATCTAATAAGGGGGCGCGGATTAGGAGGGTGAAAGAGAGCCAATGGATGTTTCACTCTAACTTACGTATGACCAGTCGGTCTGATGAAATACAAGCACACATGGACGCGCAAGTCATTGATCTTTTGACGAGAAGGCTGTTGCTCTTGGCGCATATAGCTCTCGTGTTGATCATCAAGGAATTCAATGACGGGCAGCCAGCTGTCCTTATTGTTGATGTAATCACCGAAACCAGGGGTATCAATGACAGTTAAATTGACCTTGAACATCTTTTCTTCGAGTTCTGAGGTAAAAAGGAATATTAGAAATCCCATGGAAATTCCGAGAACATATACGAAACGACCATGGTACCTGCTTTGGTGATTTCAATCTCGACAGTTTTGTCGAGTTGTTTATGATGACGACGAAGAGGGTTCTTGTGATCCTTAATCGAGGTGGTGAACAAAGTATTGATGAATGTGGTTTTTCCCAAGCCGGATTCACCTATTTGAGAAGTTCAAGTTCAATGGTCATAAGTACACGGTCTGACGAATTGATGCTAAGGTTGGTCATAATAACGGGTTCCGAGATGAAAGCGCGTTGGGCTGAATTTATTTTAAAAGCTTGGGGAATGGGCAATGGCGTTTGTGTAAGATGATGAAGAGAGGGCTTACCGCACACCATAATGGTGAAATTAGCACCACGTTTTGCGACTATCTTATGGCGTTGGTTTGGGAGATTTGCAACACCAACACCGGTAGCAAGTGGAGCAGGAGCCATGATTAATTTGACACTACTAGAGGGACAAAAACAAGAGGGAAAGAAGAGGAAAACGAGACGGAGAAGGGGGAAGATGTGCAACCGCAAAAGAGAGTATGTATTTTTTCAGATTTGGCTATGTGTAACCCTTTATATACAACGAAAAAAAAAAAAAAAAAATGATACAGTTAATCTCTCCACACAAATGTACTTTTCAGCTCCAAGAGCTTGCCATAAGATCCTTTTGTACAAAATCATCGTGTTGATTGCGCGCAATACCGAATAGTGACGATCGTCTTCGGACTGCATCCCCGTGCGGTGGGCCAATGGTCATGGGCTGAGATCCACCCTCCTGTTGGCTGACAATGATATTGGGCGGACATGACTGACTGGTAGGAGTCGTTGCCAGATCGTTATTTACCGAGTCATGGTCAGCTTGAGTTTGTAGTTTGGTAAGATGTTGTTTAACTCCAGTGTATAATTTATTGAACATGTTTTAGAGAACAGAAGGAAGAAAGAGCGTGCATTCGACCGCTTCTATAAAGACTTTTGGCACCCGAAATAATCATCCGACTCGGATTCACTTCGAAAAAACCTCGGTCCTGTGACCAAAACGGACATCAAATGAAATGCCTAGCAAGACAAAAATATTGTACAGCAAACTGAGTGTATTTAATAAGATAAATTCTATAATTCTTCTTCATCACTATCGACTGGTAATGCTCCATAGTTATTTTGCATCATATCGTCGTCACCCATCATGTCATCGTCTTCTTCCATGCCGGGCTCCTCGTCACCTCCGCCTAATCGTTCTTGGCGTCTAGCCTTCTTTTGTTGCATCTTGAGTTGTTTCTTTAAGCTTTGATTCATTTGCGGGTTGGCTTGAGCTTCATTTGCGTCAATCAATACTTGCTTCTTGACAATAGTAGAGGATCCCTTCTTTGGTCTTAAGCTTATATTGACTACCGGTTGTTGTGAGAATGCTTCCGTAGCCATATTATCATTGTTACTGGAGGTACTCATGTCCATCAAACTTTCAGTGCTAGTAGGTTTCGGAGATTAGTCACATGTTCCTTTCATTTTTGACAACCATATAAAACATTGATGTTACCCTTCCATCATGTCTTGGTCCATAAGATCTGTGTATCTATCCGCGTCGGCATCATTCGATTGCTAAAAAGTGCGATTTAGTACCGTGTCTCGTCTAGATCCAATCATTGGATGTACCTACCATAACGACAGCTCCGTTTCCAAACTCGCTACTGCTCTTCAATGATCCAAGAACAAGACTATCGTCATTCACCAACTCGTCCAAACTCAACTCCTTGCCCCACGAGGATACCACAGAGGCAGTGATATGACTGGTCGTAGCAGATGGAGGCCTGGTGTAAAATGGAATCTTGCCACCATTCCAATCTTGAAGTACAGCTCTAGCGACAAGATGTGTATCTGGGATACCACCCTGTAGTCATGCACGTTAGAACACAGCTACGCTCAGACCATGAGAATACAAAGTCGACCTACCTTCTTTAATTTACCTCTCTGTAACGCCAATTGCACGAGGAATTCTTGAACATCATTGAAAGGCGGGATTTCATACATGGCCATAAGTTGCTCCATATTACATCGAGACACAATGACCTCAACTACGAATAGAGAGTAAGTAAGATTACAGGGTCAGTGCACTACACATTCATGCTGCTTTTCATACCTGGTGTGATTGGATCTTCCAATAATTCGACTTTGACGCAATTTCGCAGAAGCACTTCTGCATCTGATTCTCCATTATGTCCCTGGGCAGCAAAGACAATACCAGGACAATCCAACAACTTGATATTTTTATCCAGGGTGATTTGTTGTGCAACTTTGGTGAATCCAGGGGTCGATCCGACACCACATACTTTTGATCGCTTGAGTGAATTAATAACAGATGACTTTCCAACGTTAGGATAACCGATGACACCAACGGTGATGGAAGTCTTCATGTTAAGATTACGGCAATAATTCTTCAAGAGTTTGATAAGCTGATCCGCTCCTAAACATTCTGAAGAGTTGAGCATATCTGAGCTAGCAATATCAGCTGACATGTTGGATTGGCCAAGATTTCTTCTCTGGCTCTGAGTTGAGGCCTTGAAGGCAATGGCGGGGTATTCGTTGCGAAGGTATTTTAGCCATGATTCGACATTTTCTCTAGGTACCAGATCTAGCATACAACATGGACAATCATAAATGAACTGCGGATTCGTTCACTATATCTTGACACTTTGCTCCACCTACCAATCTTGTTAAGCACAAGGATAACCTTCTTGTTCAGACCACTATCCATAATCATTCTCTCTACATGTCGAGTACGGCATCCTAGAGGGTCACGAGCATCCAATACTTCCAACACAACATCGGCGTGCTCCAAAACTTTTCGGAACTCTCTAAAGTATGCTTTTCTGGAGTTGTCTTTTTGTCCCGTCGCGGCAGCATCCACCATATCCTTGAACTCTTCTTCGCCAGCACCTTCAGCGCTAGCGAATGTTGCACTTCGCTGCTCTGCTTGATTAGCCATATCTGCTAATGAGAGTCCGGATGACATATTTCTGTATTTGTTATGAAGAGCTTCCCGAGCACTTGTTTGTCGCTTTCCAGCCTCTTCTACCTAATTGTAGGCGAGGCATTAGTAACAAATGTCTCACTAGCTTATTGGCACGTAAATTATGGCGTACCTTTCGCTTCTGTTCCTCAACTTTGTTGGTCATTTTTGTCTTGAAGTGCTGTAGACTTGGTACTCCGAGATCTTTCTTCAGCTCTAAAAGGGATGGCATTAGTGAACTAGCTATTGCTCATGAATGAAGGGTAGATGGAGATAGCTTACTTGGCTGGGTGCGAACTTCAAGGCCACGCTTTCCGTTAGACTGGCGCTTGTTTTGTTGTTCTGAAATTTTTCATATTTGGTAAGCATTTGAAAGAGGCAATGGGGAACTGTTGGTAAAGAAGTCCTTACTTTTGGTTCCCATGTTCGCTAGAGGTCAAGTCGAGATTGGCACAGCTTGGGCATTCCCAAAAACTTGCAAATTTCAAAAAAATATTGAGAGGCCGCCAAGTGGCAGTCACGTCACATGCTTAAAGGGTTCCTGCGGCACAAATCAATCCAGCCACTAACTCCACCGTCTCCAACCTTACGCGCTTCCAACATGACCTCTCAAGAACAAAATGATTGGCAACCAGAACTCACGGACGAACAGATATTAGCATTTGAGCAAAAAATTAAGGACGAAGAAGCTGAAAAGGTATAGCTCGATATCAATACTCCACCAGAGGTTCCCACTATGAACATCCTAATACCTACGTTTCGCTATCGCCAAGATACCTTTAGTCTGCCAGAAAGAATCTATTGATGCATTGGAAAAAGAGTTTCAAGATAATAAGCCATTTCTCGAAAAAGTGCAGGTGATTATAGCGCATATGGAAGCAAATCCGGCAACTCATAGCATGATGAAATGCTAATGACGTTGGTTTCGTAGAAATTGAAAGAGACGAACGATGAGTTGCGTAAATGCCGTGGTGATGGTAAGACTACGTTTTACCAATATACATTTCAACACTCTTGACTAATATGGTTTTTAGGCAACTGCTTTTTCAGAGGTACAGGAGATGTTCAGTATGGTAGAAGCACAGTCGCAGTTATTAATTTGCCCCCGATCAACTCATTTTACGCAACTCAGCATTTGCATTTGCATGGTTCGAGAGTTTGATGCGAAATCCACACATTTTCAAAGCAGGCGTCGAAAAACTGAAGTCTACAACCGAACTCTTGTTAAGCGGAGGCTTTCAAGAGCTTGCATTTGAAGACTTTTACGACGTCACGCTAAACCAACTCGAACAGATACCAGACAGCGACCCTGATCTGCTTCTCGTCAACTTCCAAACTGAAGAGATCAGCAACTCTATCGTTATGCATTTACGATTTGTCACTTCTGCTTACCTCAAAATTCACTCTGCCGAATATGAACCATTTTTGATCGTTGAGTCAATCTCCATCGACCAGTTCTGTGCACAGGAGGTTGAGGCATTCGGACGTGAAAGCGACCATTTACAGATAACTGCCTTGACGAAGGCACTTGATGTTCCAGTCGAAGTATTATACTTGGACGGTAGCTCCGGCGATCATGTAGCTGTACATGAATTTTGGCCGGATGAAGCGTCCAAAGGGAGCCGAAAAGCGCTACAGTTGATATACAGACCAGGTGAGTTACTCAACATATTCAGGCGCTGAAACCATATTTTTGATTCCTGCAATTAACTTCTTTGCTAAGGTCACTACGATATCTTATATCGAAAGGAATAAACCTGATTACGAATTTTTGTCTATATGGTCTGTTGTATTTTGGGTCCATTACGTATAAAGGGATTGTGAGCACCTGTGAGATCATCTTGGCATGTCGGAGAGAAATTTAATCCCAAATTTTGGCGTGGTGTCCATAAAATCGGTTCATTGCTTTTGTTCACCAACTCATACACCATGACTGAAGAACAGAACACCGTAAAAGCACAGACGACAGAGGAATTGTCCGCATTTGTAAGATTTCATACTTCGATCTGCTAAAAGTTATAGGTTTCCCTTATAATTCTAATTCATCTTCTGGATCATTCCTAATCAAGATCGACTCCTTTTTAGAGCAAATGGTAAAGATCTGTTCATTGAGACGTTGAAAATTTCTTGTAGAGACTAACACTCGATGATTCACTTAGGAAACGAAATTTGATACCATGTCTACGCAGTTGAATCATAAGAGTATGTTCTCCTAAAAGTGTCCGAGAGCTAGCAACAATATGTAACCAAATATTGCTTTCCAACAGTGAACGAAATTTCATCACGGATTGATGATATGGAAAAGTCTCTTGGTGATCTCATAGAGAACATCAACGGCCAAGCTGATCCTAAACGGTCTGGAAATGACTAGATACTGCACAATCCTATGTGCAAGACATCTTGCTTGCTCCAAACATTTCAATCGAAGACAGTTACCTTTCCTGTCACAGCGGGCCTTTTGAACCACCATCTCATTAGAGAATGTTTCTTTTTGCCGAGAATCTTCTTCCGTTACTCCATTCTCTACAGTGATAATCTTCCATAGACAACACAACAAAGTTTAACCCCTTTTTGTAGCCAGCGGCTTGACTGCCTAATTATTACTTAATTACACATACAATATACTTAGTTGCATTTTTAACCTACTCCTTTACCACAATGCGATGATTGAATGAAACGACAAGAAAGTCTGCTGCTGAAGTTGATATCCACAGTGAACGCAGTCACAGTCATTCAGGCGGGCAGCTTAATCTTGATGGGTTCGATGGAATAACCAGTGTATTTTTTCCCACCTTTTCGATTGTCCTGCTAGTGCGAGAAGAAAGCGTGATGATGCTAGAATCGGAAATTACGCTGACCAACGATGGTGCCTGAATCACCCGTTTTGAAAGCCCGCCGAGAGACTTCTCCAGACAATTTTTCGCACAAAGAAGACTTTCCCACTTCTTCGACATTCACCATGGCAACTGCATTAGGCGATGTCTTCAAATATGAACCACACATAGTACGCGAAAAGATGGCAAAGTTCTGGAACAAAGTCAAAGGTGCTATTCCCATGACTGAAGTAGGCAGTGTCACCGAGACTTCCTTCCAAAGTATCGACAAGAACGATGTCACCCTACGAGTCTATACCCCGGAGGGAGCCGGCCCTTTCCCCGCTGTAGTGTTCTATCATGGAGGCGGATTTGTTCTTTGCAGTTTGGATACGCATGATTTCTTGTGCAGAGCTATCTGCAAGAAAGTACAAGCCGTTGTCATCTCGGTCGACTACCGCCTAGCCCCAGAGGTAAAGCAGCAATCACGCTATGTGAATGCAATGTTTGCGTGAGTTCTGACCATGTTGTAGGCCAAATACCCTAAAGGAGTGGAAGATGCTTATGCGGCATTGTGGTAAGTTATCACAATTTCATAATAACCTCTGCTGAAAATCAATACAAACGAGCCACTCTTTTAGCCATGTTTATGAAAATGCCACCAAATTTAACATCGACAACAAGCGAATCGCAGTTGCAGGAGACAGGTGAGGTGAAATTTTGAAGCACATGGTAGTAACGACGAGACCTCTTACACAATTCCGTATATCAGTGCTGGAGGGAACCTGTCAACTGTCACCAGCATCCTTTCCAAAGAGCGAAATGGACCACCTATTATTTATCAATGTCTGATCTACCCTACGACCGACTTTGCCTTCCACGGCAAAAGAGAAAAGCAGGGACAGGCAGTCAACAAAAGCCAGACGCTAAGCAACGAGAGCATGAACTAGTAAGTATACCTTGTACTGGCAACCCCAACGAACGATCAAACCCACTCAAACTGTTATGTTCAAAAGTTTTGGCAGACATTACTTGAACAAGCCCTCCGAAGCTCGCGAACCATATGCCTCGCCATTGAGAGCTAAAGATCTCTCCAATTTGCCACCGGCCATGATCATCACCGCTGAACACGATGTCCTCAAAGCAGAGGGTCAGGCCTACGGAGAAAGATTGAAGGAAGCAGGCGTTGACTGTCAAATGGTGTTTGCCGCAGACCAAGACCACGGATTCCTCACCGTATACCCGCCAGTTGATGACCGAGTCAACGAAACATTCGATGCGATGTTCAAAGCTTTGAACGATGCGTTGCATGCTTCTCCCAAGGCTAAACTTTGATGGTCATTTGTATTTGCTATGTAATCGCATGGAATGTAATGGAACAAAAACAGCAAGCTGGTTTGCCACTGTATCTAAATATACTGTTTATAAACTATGACAATTTTCAATCATAAAAGTTAGCGCTTATTCATTTATATGAGATTCAAAATCTAATATTGGGAAATTAAGCGAGGGGGCTCCAGTTGTTGGCGATGTGAGCCATTAATGTTTAAACTAGAAGGTATAGCAGTATGGTGAAAATGAAAATAATACGAAGCCAACATTGACTATATAGTACATATCGAGAGAATTTTGTCAGATCGAAAGGTTGTTGGACATGAGCATTCAGGATACGTTTGGCAAACGAGTTAGTGTCAACTAGCGGATGCAGGAGAAGCCGGATGATGAGGCTGTTGCTTCCAGATTTTTCAAACTGCAACCGTTTTCTTCTAAATCGGTGCGCTTATGACCACTAACAAACACTGCCTACAGCGACAGCCACAACTACCATGATATTACCATAATGCACCACCTACGATGGCAATGATAGTCAATGTTTGTTCTGTATCCGTATATACCGTTTTGTCAACTTACCACTTGCTCGATATTTAAGAAGCTTTTAATCATGATAACTTTGGCGATGAACTCGGCGACGAGAATAAATCCCTAGGATGACACATAGGCGTAAAGACGAACCCAGGGAACATAGGCGAACATCCAATCTGGTTTAGTAACGCTGTACTCAGTACCATGTTCATCGGTTCACTCGATGCGATCACCACCACCAAACATTTGGCAGAAAACCAAACAGAATAGCGGTAAGATGTGGATGCGTTTTGTTCGGATGGGATAAGAGTCAGCAAGAATGAAACACCAGTGACGCAAGTAATTGAAGAGTTAGGTAGTGGCACCAAACGAGGGGGTCGCCTGTGGCAAGAGCAAAGATAGCAGCCAAGGTGAATCCAAAGCAGCAGAGGAAGCCGATGATATCCACTCTATGATGATGTATAAATTTTGCAATGACAAAAAAAAGAGGAGGGATGCAGGACACGAGAAGAGCAGCAATGATCGATGTATGAGGCTTCATGGCATAGAATATGCCCAGTGGAAGGCCGATATCGATGGTCAAGGTGCCGAAGAACATGCCAATGCCTATCAGCAGATCGCGCTTTCTCTGGATCTGCATAAACTGCCGCGTTTTGCCATTCTCATCATCTGTATAGGTTGGTCTGGGTATATTGTACTATGATCTTTAGGATCGGGTTGTCCATTGGTTGTGTGAGAGAGAGGCTCCACGCGACATCGTCCTGTTGCCACCACCTGCTTTCTTCCAAGGCCGATTCGCTTGTCGGTAGGATTGCAGTGTTGCAACTGCCCATGCTAGTGTTAGGTAAAGAAGATATGGTGAAGAGAAAGCAGAAAAAAAAATATCAATCAAATTTATTTGATCTGATTATATTTTTCTATCATCTATCTATGGTTACCTTTGAAGTTATCCTCGAGCAGGAAGTTGAACAGCGGCTAATAGATATCGGGGTTATAGGGAAGTGTTCGACATGCATCCCCAGTTTCCATGAAACTGCGCAAAAATGGTTTGTTTTTGTTTTTATGTCTGGGCTAGTGAATGCACAATCAATCGTTAAAGTCATTATGCCTAACTCGACGGCAAACTTCCCACACCTACACTCGCTATGGCCTTGCGCTTCAAGCCTTCGTTTCCAAAGGTCAATATATTGTTTGATATTTTTTTTTTTGATTGGTACTTTCTTGGAATGAACTACCAAGACCAGATATTATGTACACATCACGCAAATTGAAAAGAAAACAAAAAAAAAGTAAAGCGACTTTAGAAAAAAAAAAATGAATGAAAGCAGTAATAGTAGATGGTTGGTTATGTAACATAAAGGAGAGGAGAAAATTCTGTATTTTCTACAAACTTCCTTTAGTTGGTAGCAGCCTTCTCTCTCATCAAGTTGAGAGCGGAACCAGCCTTGAACCATTCAATTTGACCTTGGTTGAAGGTGTGGTTGAGCTTGACATCCTCAGTCTTACCGTCTTGGTGGTGGAGACGAAGAGTCAAGGGCTTGCCCTCTTGGAAATCAGCAAGACCAACAATGTCGACCTTATCTTCGGGTTGGACCTTGTCGTAATCGGCAGCGTTGGCGAAAGTCAAAGGAAGCATACCTTGCTTCTTCAAGTTGGTCTCGTGAATACGAGCGAAGGACTTGACAATGATGGCAGCACCGTTCAAGAAACGGGGTTCAAGAGCGGCGTGTTCACGGGAAGAACCTTCACCGTAGTTCTCATCACCAACAACGACCCAACGGACACCACGAGCCTTGTAGTCACGAGCAGTAGCGGGGACAGCATCGTACTTGCCAGTGAAGGTGTTCTTGACACTGTTGACTTCACCGTTCTCAGAGTTGACAGCACCGATCAACATGTTGTTGGAGATGTTGTCCAAGTGACCACGGTACTTGAGCCAGGGACCGGCCATGGAGATGTGATCGGTAGTACACTTACCCTTGACCTTGATCAAGATTGGGATTTCCTCAAAGTCCTTTCCGTCCCACTTGCTGAAGGGCTTAAGAAGTTGAAGACGGTTGGAGTCAGGGGCAACAGCAACGTTGACGCTGGAACGGTCAGAGGGAGGAGCTTGGTATGTGTCCTGACCGGGGTCGTAACCCTTGGGGGGAAGTTCATATCCAGTAGGAGCCTCGAACTTGAAGGGCTTACCGTCTTCACCAGTCAAGCTATCAGTGAGAGGGTTGAAGGTGAGGTCACCAGCGATAGTGAGAGCAGTGACGATTTCAGGGGAAGCAACGAAAGCGTGGGTAGCAGGGTTGGCATCGTTACGGCCAGTGAAGTTACGGTTGTAGGAAGTGATGATAGAGTTCTTCTCACCCTTCTTGATGTCCTTACGATCCCATTGACCAATGCAGGGACCGCAAGCGTTGGCAAGGACAACACCACCAGCTTGGGTAAGAGTGTCCATGATACCGTCACGTTCGATGGTAGCACGAATTTGTTCGGAACCAGGGGTGATGGTGTATTGAGCCTTAGCCTTAACTCCGTGTCCAGCAGCTTGTTCAGCGAGGGAAGCAGAGCGAGCCATATCTTCGTAAGAAGAGTTGGTGCAGGAACCGATGAGACCAACACGGAGATCGGCGGGCCAGTCGTTCTTGATGACGGCTTCCTTGAACTTGGAGATGGGGGTGGCAAGATCAGGAGTGAAGGGACCGTTGATATGGGGTTCAAGCTTGTCAAGATCAATCTCAATAAGCTCATCATATTGAGCACCTTCATCAGGAGTGAGGTTGTGCTTGAAGGCATCAGCGAGATCAGCAATGGGAGCACGCTTGGTGGCAACGAGGTAGTCTCTCATGCGGTGGTTGTAAGGGAACAAGGAGGTGGTGGCTCCGATTTCAGCACCCATGTTACAGATGGTACCCATACCAGTGGCAGAGATAGAGTCAACACCCTTACCGGTGTATTCAACAATAGCACCAGTACCACCCTTGACGGTCAAGATACCAGCAACCTTAAGGATGATATCCTTAGGGGAGGTCCAGCCGGAAAGGTTTCCGTGAAGCTTGACGCCAATGACCTTGGGGCACTTGAGTTCCCAAGGAATGTCAGCCATGACATCGACGGCATCAGCACCACCGACACCAATGGCGACCATACCAAGACCACCAGCGTTAGGGGTGTGAGAGTCAGTACCGATCATAAGACCACCGGGAAAAGCATAGTTCTCGAGAATGATCTGATGGATAATACCGGAACCGGGCTTCCAGAAACCAATGTTGTACTTGGCAGTGGAAGTGGCCAAGAAGTCGTAGACTTCCTTGTTGATATCGATGGCACGAGCCAAATCCTTAACACCACCAACTTGAGCTTCAATCAAGTGATCACAGTGAACAGTGGTAGGAACGGCAACGCTGGGAAGACCAGCAGACATGAACTGCAAAAGAGCCATTTGAGCAGTGGCGTCCTGGCAAGCAACACGATCAGGACGAAGCTTGAGGTAAGATTGTCCACGAACGATTTCTTGGTTCTCAGCATCGTCCAAATGACCATAGACGATCTTCTCAGACAAGGTGAGAGGACGGTTCAATCTGTGAGGATCAACGTAGTGATATGTTAGTTCACGCTCCCAAAAAAAAAAAAAATTTGGCGTTGCCACACCAAAAAAAAAAAAGACGATTTGTTTACCTGCGACGAACGATTTCAAGGTTGTCCTCAATGCGTTGGTAGTTAATGAACTTGTCAGACTCAAAGTTGGACATGGCAACCTTCTGGCTGGCCCAGTTGGTAGCAGCCTTAGCGTAGGTGCGAGTGGTGACATTGATGGCCGGGGTGACGGCCTATATAGAGTTTCAATGAGATTAGCATGCTGTGTGGAAGGACATAATACCGTCTTGCTATAACACTGTACCTTGGCAGCCTTCATGAAAGTCTTGGAAGACAACATGATGAGTGGGGAGAGAAAGCTGGTAGGAAAACGCCTGAAGAAGAAGAGAAAAACCCTTCTAGGGTTTCAAAAAGTAAATAGGTATTTATACGCTGTGGATCCAAGGCAAGCCCTGTATTACTAGCACGGATATTATAAAATTCCTTCGGAGTCCCAAAATCAGGGAAAACAAGCATGTCATCATCATCTCCTATTCCATTTCATGTGAAATGCCGCGCTGGCCTACTTCTTTGCTCTAACAATGAAAACCCTATAAACAGCTTGGATGAAACTCCCCCCATGAATGGATTGATCTTGTATACTATGATTCCAAATTATTATAAAATTGCAAAGAAAACTATCCCATACCTCGTTCTTGAAAAATTTTATTCATTCTTATTCTTAGTATTCGGCCTTACGGAATGTGCAACAGGGCCATGAAAAAAGCTTCATGGCCCTAAGCCAAGGAGCTCTGGTTGGTGCACTGCAACTCAACTTTTGAATTTCCGATAGGCGTGATGTAAAATAGAAAAAAAAATCGGTATGGTGACTGTACAAATTTGCCAAATACCTCAAGCTAGTACAACTGACCAACCCCTTCGTTCCAACGTTCTTTTTGTCTTGTGATAGAGCGTGCCAGTAGAGTTTAAGAATATCCCATATTTACGTTTTTGGAAAAACTTGTATCCATTTTCGCCATACCGGGCGGGCTACACTGACCCTGCCAACCGACACCTTTTCCTTCCTTCCATCCTACGCACGTACTCTTTTCTACGCTTCATCTCGTTGTGCTGGTCAACCGACGCGCCAGCCATCAAAAACCAAAACCATCACACCAGAAACCATCTGAGTAGAGTTGAATGGAGAAGTGAAACATGAGGTACCCCACTGTGCAAAAAATTTTAGTTAGTCGACGATGTTCTTTTGAAAAACGAGGTTTTTTTTTTCTGCTAAAACGATTCAGCCGCAGAACGGGACGAAGTTGTATTCTTCGAAGCGACATCGCAGATCAAAGCGTTATGGCACTGCTTGTAGAATTGCAATCTCCCTTCACTTATGTTATGACAATTGAATGAGTCAGCGAGATTATCTTTAATGAATATGTGGGATAATATTGTCACTCTACATCTCCACATGCTTGTACGAAATGGATACGTTGGTAATTTTTTTTATATAATCGGCTGTGGCACGCCGTCGGACCTCAATTTGATATAGGGCCAGGAAAGGGCCATGCAAAAATTTCATCGTCCGAAAGGTTTTTTATGGATTTTCAACACTACCTACTCAAAGGAAAACAGAAGCTTCCATATTTCGTTTTTTATTTATAATAGTGGGTCAAAGAACGTCTTTGCATAAATCCATCATGGCAGCTTTACCATTACCTGCAAACAAAAGTTCTTGAATCGCCACTTGCGTTTGTTTGTACATATGTTCCAGTCGCGGCATACCAGGAAGATTTCGTGACACTAGGATAGCAGAATTAAGCTGGTTGACCAACTCGTCACGTCGCTGGTCGTCAAGAACATGCGCAACAGGACTTTGGAAAGGATCTCGATACGCAATCAACGAAAACGTCTCGACCAGAGTACTTTGCACTTCAGGGCGTTCGTCTCGGCCATAATTCTGTTGCAGTTGTTGCCCATAAGTCATGGCCGTGCCCAACAATCCGTCTAGCGAATCTTCTTCGTCCGAGTCATCATCTTCCTCGTCATCTTCCTCATTATTGCTCAAGCTATCGACGCTAGCTATATCCTCTTCTTCATGTATACTTCTTCGTCGCTTATACCCTCGTTGTTGCTGAACCGGAACGTCATCTAGGTCCATCCCTTCCCTAGTAGGAACATAGGTATCGATGGCACTCTTGGTATTGGAGGAGCAACTGCTGGTTAGCTTTTTCTTGGGGTGAAATCCTTGTTGTTCGGCATACTGTCGCATGAGTTCTATAAATTTATGACATTCAAGCTTGAACATGAGCATGTCATTGTCGTCCAATACGCTGGGGTAATGTTCTTCACAAAGGTTAATGGCTTTGTCGACATCGCCAGCCATTAGCGCATGTCTTATTTCTGGAGGATGGGGTAGGTGGTGTGAGCACGCCAAATCCATTTTATTTCCCAGTCATAGCGAAATATCCGCTTGTAGCTAAGTTCTCTCACCCTGTCTTTGTTGTATATCTTGTTCATCCCGTATCAAGTCGACAGGATCAGTATCCATACTATTATCCTTCAGAAGCGCCATCGAATCGGTTCTCCGAGATTCAGTTATGTCCTTGGCAAATGTCTTTGCCGAATCACTGAAGCCATGATGAACCATGTAGGATAGCACAACCTCATGAAGGATTTTGCTACTTTCCATGTCATCTATAGCATTTAGCCTGGGTGGTGCAGGTGAGGATGGTTTGGAAGTGCTGGCTGGTGTTGCAGTGCCTGCTGGTGTCGACGGTGGTGCGGCGGATGAGGCTTTGGAAGGGGTGGAAATGCTGTCACCTGCACCTCTGGATATAGCTGATTCCGTGATAGGTATATTGGATATGTCTGCCAGTAGTTTTCCTTTTGCCTCCTGCATGCTAGTGTGTTAGCTGTCTGAACCAGTAAAGGCGCCTTGGTTTCCACTTTCCCTTACCTTGACGTAATGTTCAATATCAAACTTGAATTCCCTTTCACCAAAGTTGACTTCAACTTGCTCGCCAGGTGTTCGGAATCCGACGCATGGGTATAATGAAGCACCCTGGAGGCCCTGGAAGGCGGTCCCGAGATCCACTCCATTCTTGGTGTAAAATGCAGACATGTCTTGGAAATTGACACCGCAGCCAATAGTGTCACCTGTGCCAAACTTAGGTCCATAGGGTTTGCCGTTACCAGAGCTACAGAAGGAATGTCCATCATCGCCATGGTAGCCCCAAGAATGGTCGTCCCAGCCAGGTAATCGGTTCAATAGATTAGACTGCCAGCAAAATCCAATGCCAATGTAACCATCTCTTCCTTTAGATACAATTTCGACTTCGAAATAAAAAATGCCGCACTGGGGTCGCATGGGAAAGTTAGCTCGCACTGAAGCCGCATCGGTATCGTCTTTTCCAACGCCTGAAAACAAATTGAACAAGTTTAGTAGGTTGAGCAGCAACAAAAAGTCGGAAAAACGCATGAGAAAAATAAAAAATAAAAAGTGTCCATCGTAAAATTGGCAATGTGGCCCATCAAGCTTTCCCGTCCGTTTTGGACTAAAAGTTCATTCGATTATGGCAGATAACGAATGATAACGCAGTAGCGTAACGAAATAGTCATAGAGGATAGACGCAATAGTATATGAAATGCTTATCACTGTTACTTACCAACATATTTCAAGCGACGGTTGTCTGATGACAATTCCACACAGTGACCCTTATCATTTGGATTCCAGGCGGTGGGAAGTTTCAAATCCAAATCTTCCAATTTATCAGCATTGTCAAGCGACAAATGGAAAGGCTGGCCACTAGTCTTCACCTTGGGCTTTCGTACCGCAGAATTGACCAAGATAGGAGTTGTGTCGGCAGACTCCCGATGTTTGTCGGACGAGTAGGCTGCAAGCCGAAGTTCGTATTGCCTCTGGACAAGCTCAGCATATGAGCTACTATCAAGATACTTTGGAAATTTGGGAGGAACGAGGGGCTCCATTGCATTTGTTGGGACGGATGCGCTAGTGGTGGCGGTTGTGCTATTACTGCTTGGTGGAGGCAAACGATGTAATGGTGGGGAACTGCCAAAGTTGAGAGTGGAAAATGGTATTGAACTTGTATGGAGACTGTGTGGAGGTGGGAACCGTGGTGGGGATGAAGAATATATTCGTGGTGGAGCTGACATTAGTTATTGACTTTAGGTTAGAAATGTAACTTGCATAAGCCAGCTCAAAGGCGGTTGAAAGTTGGTTTGCTTGTAACGTGACGGCTAGTTGCATGTCGTCAGAAAAACCACGCTTTTTTTCTCAGTGACAGACAGTACTGGGAATTTCAAAACCTTGAAAATTAATAAGGTCAGAGCAGAATTCTTCAACTCTATGGTTCTTTTTCTATCAAAATATCTGATAAATATGGGCTTTGTGAGCATTTTGACATTGTACATCAGTGTTAAGGGCTGAACTTTGCGTGGTTGATGCATCCCTGTGTCCAGGAGGGTATCATACCGTTCGTCAACAGCACAACAATGTAATAAAGTAATAATGTTATTGACCGAATATCTTCCACTTTTAAAGTTCTATTTAAAGACTTACAAAGTTTCTGACAATATGCAAGCGTTGTAATACATCTTTATGCTGCTGTGCTGAATGAATCATTACCACATGTGTACGGTTGTATTTTATGTAAATTTGTTATGGCTCTCGAAACACGGAGGCGCAAAAAATGAATATCTCGATCATGGGCATCTACTTTTACTAACACGACGTCTCTTTCGCCAGCTTAACGACGGTCGTTGGGATTCAATTTGCGTCAACCACCAAAATAACTGATATTAAACTCCATATTGATGAACTGGTTTGATAATTATTTATTATGTACCACCGTCTTCTCATTTTTTTCCATGTTAGAGAAAATCGGCACATTTGATACTCTTTGTTTCATTTCATTTATTTGTTTTGCCTTATATACTGGACATATTGACAAAGTCAGTAAAGACATAGGACTGAATTGATGTATAATGCTCGCAAAGATGATGTAGCTTTTCATGTCGACATCAGAGGTGATAGCAAATGGATGCAAAATGTGTGAATGTCGTTGACAACAGTTGCATAGCAAGCCCATGTGCATGCTCTCAGCATTGTCAAACTTTCTTTAAGGTTCTCCGATTCTTTATTAATTTGTCACATAGTTCGCATATCTGGGTAACAGCATATGCTGAACAATTGCAAGACTACTTTTCATTCAGCGCAGTATTAGTTTGGTCAAGTGTATACATGACATAGGACGAAGCCCTGCTTGCATGGCTCAGCAATAGTGAGAGGAAGATCGCTACACTGCCTACATAAACAGCCAATTTGGAAATCTCGTTTACTTCCTGGTAGATTATTTGTATTCATTGCTCTCCCGTTGGCAATGGCTAATTTTAGCCACACTATTACTGACGTTTCCCTCACAAATACCAATCTATATAACAAAAAAAAAAAAGAGTCGCGTGAGTCTTCCAGTCATGACAAAGCAGCTTTATTTATGGCATAGGAAGGAGCAATGTTGAAAGGATTTGTTTGGGTGCTTGGAATACTGCTCAATTGGAAAAGGTGAGACTAAATCTTACTGAATGGGGTAGGATTTTTGTGAGGCAAAGATTTGTTATCTGCTGGCGAAATCAACTTTTCAGGTTACTCTCCCAATACGAGTTTTCACAGCATCTATGTTTTTGTCTCACTATTTTCATTAGCATTAATATTAATTTTGTGGGACTATGAGGTATACTAATCTTGAGTCATCGAAAAGCAAAAGGACCGCCGACATATGGAGCGATAGGGGCCGGAAACCGCCTCGTTGATGCCAAGCACCTGTTTCAAAATTCACTTAAACAAGGCATGCGCAGTTCTGTCCTTTGCACAGTAAAGTTGTGACCGGTCTCGGCCTTCCATTAGCGTAATCCCGAGGCTTTACCCATTTATTGCAATTGAACTTTGGGTGAAAGGCGTCAACGCAAGCTTGACTAAGCACCTGAGAAACCCGAATCCATCCATATTAACCAATTGACTCGTAATAAATGACGGTGTGCATGGGGTTACCTGTAAACACTGAGCATCCTTCATTACCGATTACGGATCAGCAAACACTCACTTATATGCAACTTCATCAGTGACCTCCAATGACAGAGTTGATGCAATATCATCTCCGACTCCTCCTTTGGACTTGAACTGAACTAACCTGCTATTCATAGCGTCGGTTACAAGCATTATTAATGCAAAAATCCCAACAAAAATTCGTTATATCATAATGCCATACACTTGGATTGAATTATATTCTTTACTAAGGTTTGGTTATTGACATTCGTGAATTGAATGGAGTCGCGAATTGAATGAGTTGAAGGTGCCGCAGCAAAATTGACAGATTTACCCCATATTTGTACGTTCAAAACGAGAGGGGTCAGCCAACGTAGAGACGACACATGGCAACAGGACACCTCATTTGGGAGCAGCAATATTTGTTACATCATTGGTACCTTCGAGAAAATTAAAATTAGCATTTCCTTTGTTGAGTCACCGCGAAAAAAATGAGTGACTCACTGTACACTGGTCGCCTCTTTAATAAGCCGATCTCAATTGCCAAAGGTTATTACTAGGGTGCTTTGCCCATCCTCTTGACCTTTCTCTCTTTCAAATATCTATTTTTCTCTTCCGTGCTTGGAGAACATTTCTCATTGCTAACGGATACGTTTGGAAATTATTAGGCCAATCGACTTTTGACATTTCCCCTGAAGGTACTTCCTCCAATCAATCGAATGCATTAACGCATCGGCCACCACTTCTTGCATTGAAACCAAAACAAGGCACTTTCTTGATATAACTAAAAACCAACCCGGAAAACTAGAAAAGATTTCAATTGGTATTGCATAGACGCCGCATACCGATTTCAACTTACAGGGTTCACCACATCATCCCAATATTTTTAAATAATCCACCCAACCGTTTTTGCACACACCCACACTCGCCTGTTTGCGTATATGCAGCAAATCTTGTTCATTTGAATGTCCTGGCGCTTCAAATCCAGCCGTGGAGGATGGCGCAACTTTGATACAGACGTGTCCTGCATGCTTGAATTCAGATATATGTTTTGTACTGCGGGTCAGGGCGTCATTGTCAATGATCGGCATTTTTCTGGTCCCGTGATCGTCTACCCGAGGGATGGGTATGCCTTTTCAGCAGGTGTTCGGTACTTGGTCCAACGCGCAGCACCGTAATTTTTTTTTGTTTTAAACCCGTATCATATGCAAATTTCATTTTATAATTTTTTTTTAAACTATCGTTTTATATATATTTCTTGGTCAGAATTTTATTCATCAAACTGTACCTTCATTATATGACTATTATTGTAAAGAGAAAAAAAGAAGAATAAAAAAAGAAGGGAAAATAAGCAACATTTGAAGCAGATTCGACAGGAAGCATTTTTTTGTCAGATCAAGAAGAAAATATGCTCTGCTTCGTGGATGGTGAGGAATCCAAAAAGCCAGAGTATTTTGAGACGACACAAAAACTGTTTATGGACAAAAAGACAAATAAAAAAAAAAACAAGAGATAGAGGAAAATGAGGAAAAGCACAGGGAGGCGGACAAGCGGTGGTTGGTTGCGTCGGTGAGACGTTGGTGGCATGTTTTCGCCCAATCTTTAAAGGAAAGAGTCGCCAAACACAGTAATGGATTCACTTCCTTCACATCTGAAGGTCATACTCGCTCCAGTTGCCGGCAACAAGAGCGGGCTTGCTCATAAATGAATTGGTGGTCACGTAGGCGTCGTTTCTAACTTGCATGGTGGATTGATTGATGTTATGAAATGATTGTGACGAGAACAGTTCTTGTGGTGAGCTATTTCTCATTCCACCTCCACCACTAGATCGTCCGATAGGTGGCATCAGGGGGGTTTCATCTATTCGGCGGTCTGGAACATGCATGTAGGCATAAGAAAAGTTATTCGGAGGGTTCATACTAGTGGTGGGAATCATGGAAGGGTGCGTGGTGTTGGCAGATGATAATGGAAGATTGGCGACAGAGTCCAAGTTGTTATCCATGGATTGCCCAAACGGAGGGCGAAACGATGGCTGTATTGGAGCGAGCTGAGCAGTGTCGTTGTTGGAAAGTGCCGGTGAATTGTCCGCAATAGAGTCCGACATGTGCGGAGATGTTGGTCGAGCGAATGATCCTTGTGGAACCATGGGTATGCCATACGAAGTTGGCAGGCTATGTGACATGTGGTCCATAGAAGGTGTTCTGGAACGATACATGCTAGGCGACCATGACATTTGGCGCTCGGCCTGGCGAGATTGTCGTTCCATCATGCCATCTACCAATGAATATTTTCGCTTTTGACCTGTGATATCTTGATAGTCATGTGGTATGTGTTGTGAATAATATGGCATTGAATGTCGGTGCTGCTGCGGCGTCATAAATTGCGCCTGTTCATTTTCGACGTTGAGAGAGGATGGAAGACCAGAGTCTCGCGTAGACGGTCGACGTTCTGCTTTTTTTTTTTCAAAATAGAAATTGATAATATACAAAAAAGTACTGCATTAGTCATTATTTTCAAATAGGAATATAGCAAACAATGTGGTCAGGGATGCGGCCGATTTTTTTGTGGAGGGGACGGCATTTTTTTTTTCTTTCCAGCAAAGAGTATGACGGAATAAAAAAATTAGCTCACCTGACGAGGTTGAAGACGATGAAGAGGGCGGTGGGGAAGGCAAATCTTGTTGTTGTTCGCCAGTAACTTCACCACCGGGCTCAATCAGTAAAGGAATACGGAAATTCTGCTTGTGTAAGAAATCGGGAGAAATTTCTAAGATAGCTAACTCGGGCACATTGGAGGGTGTTCTCAAGCGACCAGCCATGACATCTTCAATGTCATAATAGCTGATCAAATTTTGGTGAACGCCGTCGACCACAATGGACATAGACTTTTTGATCAGGCCATTCTTTTTGAATTTGTATGAGTTTGTAAGGGAACCAACCAGTGCCCTTTCACGCACTTTCTCCGCTTCATCAGAGTCGTTCTTTGATTCATCTCTTTCTTGTTCTTTTGGGTCAATAATCCGTTTGCCTCCTTGTGAGGCTCTGCGATCAAGCTCGCGGTATACCAAAAAATTGCCCAAGATACGAGATGGGCTCCAAACAAGGCCATCTGTCCACCGTTTAATTCCTGCGAGAGACAAAATAAAATAGGTATGAGGTCAGATTTATCGTAACCAGAAATAATTCAATGATATGATACCAAGGATATTTTCATTACCCGATTCTTTCTCATCAAACACAAACACCGATCCAGATCTCACCAGACAGTTTCGCTCTTTCTCTTGCAGCCGACGACTAACTCTAGGAAGCAAACCTCGTCGGCAGGCTTCGTACAATAACAGCGAATCTGTTGTATTTGCGATGTATCCATGAAACGTTTCTACAACCGACATGACGAGTATTTTGTTGTTGTTTCTTTGTTGTTGTGCACCAAAGGGATATAAAGATAAAGAAAGTGAATAAAGCAAGAACAGGAAGAGTGGGAAGAGAGAGAGAGAGGAGGAAAAAGATACCAAACCAAGAGGAACCGAAAAAAACCTCTAAAGCCGCCCTTTTTTCGCTAGGCTTAGTGTGGGGAAACGGTCTCTTCTCCCTCGGAGTTTGCTTGCAGTCAGTGAGCAGAGCAGACATAGCTGTATGTGTTGAACGCCGGTTAAACTAACATGATAAGCTTTTCATGGCAAACTGGTCTATAAATGCATTTCACCACTATCAACCATCCAATAGTGACCCTGTTTGTCTATCCGACGCTCAATGCATCTGATATAGGCTTTGCTGCTGAAGAATGGACAGGACCCTTCACTCGGTCGAGCAACCGTAGGCTCGGACAAACGATATTAGATCATCTTCCTATTGGTCAGGTCGGGGCTCAAAATGCAAGCTGGAAGTCACTGGCCATGCGGAGTTCATGGTAGCATCTCGAGGTTTTTTTTTTTGGGAGAACCAGAATAAAAAACATTCTTAGTATCAAAATGGTAAGATTTTGATGTAAATGTTAGTACTAACTTCACCAACGGCTACATCTCCCATAACTGAGTATAATAAAATAAATTGATTTATTTCGCTGTTTTCGCTGCTGTCTACGGTCCTCCGAACCCTTATGTCAGCACACCGAAGATGGCATTTACGCCACATGGGCATGAAACAGTCAAATGACTTCACGATCCAAAAAAAATATACTAGAGATGTGTGTGCTATGAAAGTTCTAAAGCAGATACGTGCGAGTTAACCATACTAGACTGTTATATATATAAAATTGCCTCAAAAAATATGCCACCAGTTGATAGATAAGAGGGGAAAGAGAAAAACCACATTTGATATTACACGTTGGAAACACCACTCTTCGATGAGATAGTGGAACAACTTGATCAGCAAGCGCACGGACTGGACTCTTGCTCGTCATTCCCATTCGAAGATACACGAATGGTAGATGCTGGAGCTTGTTGCTTTTGCCATAAACTTGGGGTTTCAATGATCTAATGAGAAAGGGGGGATTAGTGAGTAAGGTGTTTGTGTGCAACCATATGGGAAGTTAGAAATAACAGAACAGCACTCAGCATATCGAGATTTTACCTTTTGTACTAATTCTTCAAAAGCTTCTTGCACACCAACCTTAGTTTTGGCACTACATTCAATAAACAAGGTTTGAAGTTTTTGAGCCATGGCTGCTCCTTCCTTGTATGTCACGACCCTTGAAGATTCCTGGATAGCACGTGGGCAGCGCAGGAAGGGAAAAACTATGTGAGCGAAAATGCCCGCATATCTTTGACATTATACGGAGTTATTTTAGGGTCGTACCTTATCAACCTTGTTGCCCACAATCATCTTCACAACATCCTTTGACGAGCTATAGGTTTGCAATTCCGTGTACCAATTTTGAAGCGCATCAAATGTATCTCGATTGGAAACATCATATACTATACAATGAATCAAAATTTTAGCTTTGTCGGTACGGCACGGCCATGGTCATTCCATGCCATCGCTTAGGCTTGTGGCAGCTGGCCACGTTCCCACTCTTCCCACGTCGCTAACGTCCTATCACTTACCCAAAATAACACCTTGTGCTCCTCGATAATAGCTTGATGTTAAAGTGCGAAAGCGCTCTTGCCCCGCTGTATCCTTTAATTGGAATGACAGTTAACCAAGGCATGATAAGTAAGATATACGTCATAGACAATATACTTACCCAGATCGTTAATTTGTACCGCTTTCCATCGACCTCCATCATGCTGACCTTAAAATCCACTCCTAACCATGGGAGAAACGGTGAAGAGATCAAAATTAGTCAATTGAAGCTGAGCTTGGCAGGTCATCTAGAACAAACGTCGAAAATTCAAGCTCCTGCCCTCAAGTACGACGTCTGTTCATACCAACAGCCAAGCACTAGCGGCTTGAATCCGACTGGCCATTTTGTCGTTGTGGACCATCTATTTAGCATGTCAGCAGATACCTACCGATTGTAGCGGATACTTCGTCTTGTGGAAGGAAAGTATCGTCTGTGAATCGCAAAAGCAGAGACGATTTACCGACCGAGGAGTTGCCAATGAGTAGCAGTTTGAGAGTTGGAGTTTCTTGTTGAGACATTGTTGGATTGAAAGAAAGGTAAGAAGTAATGGGAGAACTACCAACTAGAAAGAAACGACGGTAATTATTTTCCTTGGGGTTTTGAAAAGTGACGACGTTAATGGGTCACATTTTTGCACGCTCAGTCCAGTCCGCCCCGCCTTGGCGTGACTTTGCCTTCGCATAGCAACGTCATTTTGTGCCTTTTGACGTGAATCGAACAGCTTAAATCTTGAACGCTTTTTTTCTACAAAATGGCCGCATGTACTCATATCGATTTGGCACAGCTTCAAGTACCCAATGCTTATTCCAACATTTACAAGGACGAATGTACTCTGTGCTTTGATTCGCAGGTAGGCTGACAAATTCGACCTAACACCGGTCAAAATGCCGATCAACACGCTGATTATAAAATAACTTAGGATTCCCCAACTGGCCTCGACGTGTGTTTAACCTGCTTCAATGGTGGATGCACTGACAACCAGCGCAGCCATGCGCGACTTCATTACTCAAAGACTCAACACCCTATTGTCTTGAATATGCGAAGAATACCTAAAGAACAGCCGAAAAAGAGGGTAGGTGTAACTGACGCGGATATCAGAGAGGTCAATTGATCAGGATGCTTGGCTGACTTCTTTTATAAAAACAGTCAGACGACGGATCGCCACCACCACCAAAGATCAGCAAACTTGCCATTGCCGCTGAGAGTGACCAAGACAAGTACGAGTATGTGACCAAGGCAAAGTGCTACGCTTGCAACGAGGCGGAGATTGATACGTCAAATCCTTCGGTATGGTCATGAACCCTTGGTCGACCAGTCCTTGGCAATTTTAAATACTAAATTCTGTACGGTCATAGGTGTCTCAAGTTATCAATGCGGTTGTGAATGCTCAGTCTTCCGCAAAGCGTTCGGAGGTTCAAGCGTGGGAGGAGGAGGTCACGGCGTGCGAACATACCCTCTGCCTAGAGCAAGACGCGCCTAAGCAATTAGAGTCGCAGCAACTCGCTCATTGCTCAGAGTGCGACCTCCGCGAGAATTTGTGGCTATGTTTTACCTGCGGTAGTCTTGGTTGTGGTAGACGGCAGTACGATGGTTCTGGGGGCAATAATCACGGATTAGAGCACTTTGAAAAGACCGGTCATGCTGTCTGTTGCAAGCTTGGTACCATTACGCCCGAGGGCACTGCTGGTATGTGAAATTTTCAATGCGGGTATAAATCATGTTTCTATTTCTAAATTTCACTACAGATATATATTGTTACAAGTGCAATGATGCGCGCTTGGATCCAAACCTTTCCGATCACTTGGCAAATTGGGGTATCAGCGTATCTAATCAGCAGAAGACGGAAAAGAGCATGACTGAGCTGGTATGTACGAAGCATAGTCACCAATGACGAATGAGCTATTATCTAATTGAATATCTTTCGCATACACAGCAACTTGAGCAGAATCTCAATTTTGATTTTAGCATGACAACCGAGGATGGAAAGTTATTGCCACCACTTTTTGGTCCAGGATTCACGGGTTTAAAAAACCTTGGCAATAGGTGAGTACGAAAGCGTTACTATTGCGAACTACACCGTACCCTCCCATCAATTATATCCCATAACTCATTACATTGTTCAGCTGCTATATGGCATCGGTTCTTCAGTCTGTTTTCGATTTAAAGACATTTGCTGATCGGTATTATGATTCATCGGAGTCACATTTTAAGACGTGCACACGAGAGCCTGCAGTCTGTCTAGACTGTCAACTTTACAAGATGGCTGATGGAATATGGTCTGGTCGGTATTCTCAACCGAAAAAGCAGGATGCAGACAGCGACGGTCTTTCACAAGAAGGAATCACACCCTCTATGTTGAAGGCATTAGTAGGCAAAGGCCACCCAGAATTTTCCACTATGCGTCAGCAGGATGCCCATGAATTTTTCCAGTACCTTACCAGCTCCATCAAGAAGCAAGAAAAGTCGAACCATAGTAGTAATGATCCTACCATGTTGTTTCAATTTGAACTTGAACAACGACTCCAATGTACACGATGCCACAAAGTTCGGTACCAACGCGACGTTGCAAGCGATGTTATGATACCCGTTCCTGAGAAAGTCATAAAGGAGAAGGTGAATGACAAGGATACTACCGAGTACGAGATTGTAGATTTGTACAAATGCTTGGACATGTTTACTGCACCAGAAAGTTTAGAGTACAACTGCCCAAGCTGTGACCAAAAAACGGAGGTCGTCAAGTGAGTATCCACAGGGCTAAAGTGTACTACTATGTATACACGATTTCACTAATGCTGCTTTCTGTAACAGGACTGTTAAGTTTGCTACCTTTCCTGAGGTACTTGTCATTCAGGCAAATCGATTTAAATTTGTCAATTGGGTGCCTGTGAAAATAGGTATTAAAATATCACCGTAATGTATGATGGAGATATACAATGCAAACATTATATTAATTTTTTTTTTTATTTTTTTTTTCAATTCAATAGGTATCCCTATCAGCATACCGGATGGTCCACTCACCTTGGATAAATACCTTGGTACAGGGCAGCAAGCAAATGAAGAGCTGTTACCTGAGTCAGCGCCAGCAGCTGCTGAACCAGCCTTTGATCAAGGAGCTTTGGATCAATTGTTGGCAATGGGATTCCCGGAAAATAGATGTAAACGAGCAATGATGAACACCGGTAACTCTGGTGCAGAAGCTGCTATGAACTGGTTGTTTGAGCATATGGAAGATTCAGGTATGTAATTACGCACATATCTGTAGGCAACTTGCATATCATTAGCTTTTGACGTACTGACGTTGTAATACAGGCATCGATGATCCTATCGCTGCTGACACTTCAACCGCTGAGCCGTCTGCTGAACAATTAGAGCTCCTTACTGCCATGGGTTTCTCGCAAGCACAAGCAAAGAAGGCTTTGAGAGAGACAGTAAGTACTGCCGTCTTGGAAAGATGCAAAATGTGAACGCATGAGTACTGACGTATCCAATTTTTTTTTAGAATGGTGATGCCGAGCGTGCAGTTGATTGGCTCTTCAGTCACCCTGATGAGCCTGTCGACGACGAAGGTGATGCTGGTGCGGCAACGAAACCTGTTGTTGGAGGTATGAAGCCATGCAGTATGGTTATGAAAGAGATGGAAGCGCATTATATTGACTTTTGGTTTTTATCACTTTCAGATGCCACGCTACCTGCTAACTTTGATGTCAAATCGTTCGTTTCGCACAAGGGTACATCAGTTCATTGTGGACATTATGTAGCCCACGTCAACAAGAACGGTCAATGGACTCTGTTCAACGACAACAAGGTTGCTGCCGCTACTACTCCTGTAGCATCATCTGATGCCTACATCTTCTTCTTACAACGACATCGGTAATGGTTAAATGCCGATAGCATAGGTATGGGTTTGAAATACCTTTAATAATAGCATTCAAAAGAAGTATCCATCTACTTAAAAAAGTGTTTTGTATATGGAAGTGGAGGATGATACGATCTGATCATTTTCTTAGGTTGTGTGGATTACATTAGCAGGGATTAAATAAAATGTTGTTACAGCTGAGCATTACTGAACAAGAAGAGTTACTACAGAGTGGAGAAATAAAAACGTGTACAAAATTACTTTGGGAAATACTAGAACTATGAATGCAATTGTTTTTTGTTTTTTTTTTGTTTTTGTCTGATTGAGATGATGAATGCGATACGATGAGAGGTATGAAAAATTGACTAGAGGGCATGGTACATTTCACGGCCAGCGTTCGTTTGCCGTCGACGTCGTCGAGGAGGTGGGTGGGGATCGACATTAGACGCAGTCGAAGTGGTGGGAAATGAAATAGATTGGTTAGGGGTAGAGCTGGATGGGTATTGGTAATCTGATAGGACGCTGGAACACCGTTGGGCTGAGCTCTCACTACTGGAAACAGGGGCCACCGGGTAGTCAATTTGAGAGATTTGCGACAGAGGACGTGGCCAGCTGGGTACGTCTGGTTCGGCACATGTTGCTGGAGAAGGTGGAACAACAATAGGAGATCCTGTAGGGCATTCATTCGGATAGTGCTTTGATTCGCATACATTACCATCGAAGCTAATGTCGTTCTGGTCAGACGAGCTGACTTGTATAAGTGAGTTGCGACGGTTTCCGGCCGAAGGTTGCAGCCAGTTTCGTACAATCCACCGCATCAATTTATTCCCTTGGTCGCCAGTAGGTCGAACAGGGGTCGTTTGCGACTGACTCCCATTGCCTACAACCTCAAACAGGCTGATATCGGTCGCTGTTGGGTCGAAAGGTCGGGTTGCGTTGCCTGAGCTTCCTTCCGTCGCTGTATGCTTTGGTAAGTCGCCATACTTGTCAATGAGATCACTATAGAGGAAATGGTCAGTTATCATCATCTTAGAAGAAGCAGCAATGGCAATCAAACAGATCGAGAAATACTTGGTAATGGTAACAGCGACATTGTACACTGCGGGATCAAGACTGAATGCAATCAGATTGAAAAATCCAGGTAGCGCCTTCAATGTAACACCCCTTTGAAAGATAGTTAGCAAGCTATGATGGGCTTTGTTCGTATATATAAGTCGCCACTTACCAAACGTTGAGGCCAAAGTCTGCTCGAAAGTTCCTGTACATCCAGATTTCAGAGACAATAAAACCGGTCTGAGTAATGATGGGTACGAGTGGGTATAATAAAATACGTCGAACCACTCGATTAATCGACTGCTGAGCTTTTCGGTGTCGTGCTTCATCGTCGTGAAAACGGTCATTGGCCCATTCTTTCCCCATCCATGGCATTCGCAAATGCCGATCCAGTTCCTTTTGCTCGTTTTTTAGTTTGACGGCCACAATGACGACAACAACAAGGCAGTAAGCTAGACAAATTAATTGAAGAACTATATATGTGGCCCATTCAATATCTTGCGTCTGAGCGGTGTAAGATGCTGTCAATGAAACATTGCCGAAAAAACTAAAGGTCAGCCTCTGTCCATCACTTTGTGTCACCTAGTCATAAAACAATGAAATGATGTGCAACTTACGAGTATACCAGCAGTAGGTTTGGGCCTCATCGTAACCCAATTTTCCAGCTGCCAGAGGTATGATGGCTGTGATAAGAGCGAGGCCAATGGGACATATAAAGTACCTTAAGAGCGATAAAAATGAGGAAGATAAATATACTGGCCATGAGGACAATAACTAAAGCAACATGAAGGCATGCTTGCTCGACCCTCTTACCATTTCTCAAGATTGCCTAATGCCTTCTTATGTAAGAACAACCATTGTAGGTTGAAAGCGATGGCCTATACCATTCAAAAAGCGATATGTATGAGATCATTTGAAACACATTGATGGACCCCCTTCCCCCTTGAAAATGAATGGTAATCTTAAAAAAAGGAAGAGCTTACCGTTGTCAAAAAAATATACTGGTTTGACAACCAAATGATCAAGAATGCTGAGAAGGTGCAGGATGCGCCCTCCGAATTTGAGAATGTGTAAATGAGAAGGCCCATGGAGTTGACTACATCGGTGGCGCTAATGGCAGCATTCAATCGAAGAGAAACTCGGTCAACAAGCTTTTTGTCGTAGATTCTCAGGCCAGCTGTAATGGCGAGCACAGTGATGCCGCATACTATAGAGATAGTATTGCATGCGATGTTGAGGTCTTTAATGACAGAGTTTTGCCATGGTGAATCAAATGTGAGATCCGGAATGTCTTCTCGTTTGTATATTTGCTGCGAGCTAAGGCTCGGCTCGTTCATTGAAGAGTTACAAGCGTTGAACGCTACGCTTATTGCTACTTGGCAAGAAGTTGAAGTATGAAGAAGCTTTTCAAACTTAAGCTAACTAGTGTGGCAAATTTCCA